GCTGCTATGGCATCTGGGGAAATCAACGACACGTGGAGGATGGTTGAAGGCATGAGCTTCCGTGACGCGATCCAAACACTTCAAGTTGAGGCGAATCCCCCTTCTGAGTGACTGAACGCGGCTCTGTACATTAGCACCGGAAAACCTTTTGTATTTGAATGATCTTGCCGACATTTGCAGCGATGTTCTTCCAAAAGAATCAAACCCCGCTACACGCGGGGTGTGTGTGTGTGTAACATCTGAACAGATGTAAAACTTCTATTGCTCTAATCTTTTCACATTTGCAGGGGGTGCCAGGGATCATTGCAAGTCTGGCACTAACAAAGACACTTGCCTTGATCTGTGAAATCAGAAAGGGGCGCCTTTCTGACGTACCTGCCAATTTGCAGATCGTTTTCAACTGTTGATCAAGCTGTTACCCTGCGTTGTTTCGAATCTACACGGTTGCCACAATCTGTATTGCCTGCATCAGAACCTTCCTCAGTATTTTCGCCGAAACCATGTCGCCGACAGTATTTTGAATTTTTGCATTATTTCGCCGAACATGTCGCCGATGTATTTGGATTATCTTATCAAAACCATGTCGCCGATTCATTTATTTATTTTTGATGACGATCTTGGCCATGGAAACCATTCAGGAGAACTCCCATTATTCGTAGGGTGCATCGTTAATTTCGTTGTTTCATATCTAATCTGCATGTTTCAGGATTCAGTTCCTGCCGGATCATATAATGATCCATTCTTGTCTAGTGTGTGCACCTCTGATACCTCTGGCAGTTCTTGAATGCGCTTGTGTGCAATGCATACATTCTATTTGTCTTCACGCTTATGGATGGTGAGCTTGTGAGGCTATCTCTGCACACTGCCTGCTTCGTAACTGCACTCAGAAAGCATGCAGTGTCAACAGCTTTTGCCAAGTATCTGTAGACCAAGCGTCTATCGTTGGCTGACCCAGTGGAAGCATATGCGAACAGCAGAAGCGCAAACATTGCAATTTGCTCTAGCTGTCGTGAACAAGAAGCTCCTTGAATGTCAACCCCGTGGAGGTCTCTCTCTCTCTCTCTCTTTTTCTTTCTCTCTCGCCCCATCGCCATCTGGTCAAGTTCAGCTAGGCTGGATCAAAGGGTTTCCTGTTCGGTTTGGCATGCTTTTTTGTGGTGACTATTTCAATGATTCCGTTCTCAACACCTAGCTGCACCTAGCTCAAGCTATGCTCTGATATTCATCAAGCCGAAGTCAAACAAGAGAGCCATGAGTATGAGCCAGCTGGGCACACAAATGCTGATAAGCAGCGACTCACTGGGTGACAAACAGGAAAGAAATGCGTAGAACAACTATGGAGAGAATACACATGAATTCAGCTGTTCTTCACATTCAAACACTCCCAGGGCAACTTCATCTCTCTGGCGTGATGGAACAAATATGAACAAATACCGGAATGTGATCCAGCTTGCCTGGAGCGTTCAAAAAGAGCGTTCAAGCAGCAGTCGCCGGCGCTTCAAACATGGCACATCGCAGAACGTGGCAACAAACACAAGTGTTCACCAGATTCACCCGTTCTTTTGTCACCGTCAACCACCTTAACCACCGACTGAGCAAGCCCGAGCTGCTGACGTCCCACGCCAGTTTCTATATGAATCGTACGAGTACTGGCTAAGACGGCTAAGACAAAATGCACTGCCAAATGCTGCCAAGATGATACCTCTCTCTCTCTCTCTCCATCGCCGTCTCATCATATTATAGATTATATATATATATCATTGCGGCAATTATATATCATAAATTGGAAACCTCCATGATTGTTGCATCTTTCATACCACTTGATGTTGCCATCACCATCAAATCCTCATAGAACTCCTGGCTATTCAAGCCCTTTGGAAGAGATTGGCAAGAGCTTGGTGAGCCAAAACCAGGCCGGAGTGTCGGCAGGTCGGCAGGTCGGCTTGCGGAGCGCCAAATTGGTTTTTCGTGCGGGACGGAATCCGACGGAATATTCTGGGAAAACAATGGAATTGAAGAGTTATGATACTGTACGTAGTTATGAAGGCTTTAGAAAATGCTGCAATCTGCACGGAGCTCAACTCCTGTCACTCTCAGGTGCTGAGCCGAAAGCACAGCGCTTCACATCCAAGTGCCCGCGAGCATTCCTTGGCCGAGCACGTCTTAGCTGTCTTAGCTGTCTTAACAGCTAAAAGTGTGTGGAGCTGTGTGTGTGCATCATCGGAGACCTGGGAGTTGCAGTCAAACAGAGCATGAGCAGGGCCACACTGGGCAGAAACTGAAGCGGTGAGTGCTTCCTGAGACGACAGTTCCTGTCTTTCGGAAACAATGACCACCCGGAGAAGAGGAAGGAAACTGGGGGACTTATATAATTAGTGAGTCTACTCACACACTAAGCCGCCCCGCGGCGACTCAGAATGGTTGTACAAAGAGCCAAGGCCTAGAGCAAATTGATGCATCAAATGTACCCCGCCAAAATCGACTCTAAAGTAGGCGAACGTGGACATCATGGCGGATTCTGCGCTTACGTTCATATATGCCTTTGGTGTCATCAAAAGGCACGCATATCTAGTCTGAGAACAATATGAATATATTACCCAAAAAGCATATTATTTGAATAAAAGGGATGTCCATGGATGTCCCGACTCGAAAGAAAATTTGAAAAGTCTGTCCAAAAATGTGTCTGTTGATGTCGAAACGTCGCTGTTCAGTTTTTTCATTGGGTGCTGTTGCCATTTAATCAAGCTAAAATAATCTAAAATATGCACTAAAATCATCCCTTCCTGTCAACACCTCGTCTCTCAGCCACTACTTTCATGCATTTGCAGCTTGGAATGCTTGGACATCGCAGAGCGCATAATACCGCACAAATGTGGAATATACATAAATTTTATGGACACTACAATTACACTACGTCAACTAGTGCACGTCAACGTGCTGACACCCCACATCATCCAATTGTAATGGAGGAGCTTAAAACATCTTAAAACCACTTCATTCCTCTTGCAGCTGCTAGGTCAACGCAAGCCTAGCGGAAGGTAGAAGTCCTTGCTGTTTTCGTCATCCTTGAGGCCTTGGCAAACTAACAAAACTAATGCACCACATGTCAAATGCCAAAGAGCACTTCCAATCAATTGGCTCAAAGTTTTATCGAGATCAACTGTGGAAGATGGATGATCATTGATGAGCATGTGTGAAAGTCATTGAAAGTCCACTGTCGATAATTTGCATACAGACTGCAATAGTGTATATAATAGTATCATAGAACCCGGTATCATACAAACTTTTGTGAATCTCAAGGTGCCGACCCCAGCGGTAGCTGAACCTGGCAAGTGCTGTGGCAAGGCCAGATGGCCGGAATTCATCAGTTGCATGTTGCAACAACTGGGATGACTGGGCACATCTGGGCACAAAATAAATGACAAAATGCAGGCACTAACCTATGACCATCCTATGATCATTATGATCCATTATGAATCATTATGAATTATGACATATTATGTCCTACCATGTCCTACCAAATGTTTCTGGACTCGCTCTTTTGCATCAAAACACTGACAAACCCCAATCTCTCCGGGTGGGATAACAAATTTGTCAGCAACGAAAGTAATTAATTAATGATGAAGTGATGCTAGCTCAAGAGCCTGCCAACATCCCTCCAATTGGCAAAGCAAGCCGCCCACCATGTTTGAGGTTCGAAGTACAGTATGTCTGACTCCGGTATGCGAGGGCTTATGAATATACAGGGACAGAACACTACGAAGTGACGGTTAGCAGTTCATCCCCTCCCATCATAAAACTAAACAAGGTGAGTGACATCGCTTCCGCTGCACCTTCATCCTGAAGGCAGGATTGCAGCAATCATGTCATTGCATGTCAAAGGCAGTGTCCGGCGGTTCACGCAAACTTCTGGGCAAGGCGTGGTATTCCGTGGACGTGGAGAAAGAATCAAAACTCCCTCAGCATCCATATGCTTTCCAATATCCAGGCGGTCCCCCGTAGCCCCAGTCCATCAGCACTGCTGGACAACTTTCCAGGAGCTCACCAGCAGCGACCTCCTGCGCAACGTGGTGCAACATGGGATCCATCGAGATTCCATTGCCAAGTCACTTTACCATACTTTACCATCTTTATACATCTTTATCCAAGGATGTCCAAGGATAATTCATCAAGTGATATGTCAAGCTTCTTGGAGCGACATGTAAATAGTTAAGTCATATTCATTCAATTTTAATTTAATCATAGAATCTTCTTTGGATTGACTCAAACTTGTCGGGTCCTGCATTGTTATTGTTGCTCCCAATAGCTGATGAATGCTGATTCCGCCAGTTTGCAAGTGCAACCATTGTCTCACATATATTGCTAGTCGTGAACATGGGAAATCTGGAGCCGCACTGGGAGAATGTCATTGGACATCATTGGACAAGTCCCGTACACCTCGTAAGTCTCATAAGCGACACTTTCGCAGGGGGATTTAATGCCGGAAAATGAAGTGTGAAGGTTTATCAGGATGGAAGCCGGTGACAAGCCAGTGCGTGCACACACGCTGTGTGGTCTTGTGATGAAAAAATAAGTCTCTGTCTCTGATTCGCAGCACGTAGCAGCCCAAGCAACCCAATTGCTTTCAACAGCCAAAGTGCAGAAATGCGGTTTTCAAGTTGCATGTCTTACATTCACAAACCCAAAGCACCACATCACTCACTTTGCTCTGCCATTTCAACATACTAATTTGATCTAATTTGAAGCTATTCGCATGGCAGTCTCTCGGCTAATAATTAGCGCTTAACTTATAGCCTATAGCCTACAGCGCCCGTTGCAGTATGTAGTGCTACAGTCCTTTGTTGTGAACACGCCCCGTCCATGGATGCTGGACTCCTGGACGAAAGAAGACACACGGGTCTTAAGCTAGCTTCAGCTGTTGAGAGACGTGATGCAAATAAATGCATAGAATTCGCTGCATGGATGAAGTTGTCCATCGTGAATCACTCTCAGGCCGGACCTTTTTTACATATTTCACGCTCTGCCGTCAAGGCAACACTTCGCCTGTCCCAAAGCTTCCTTGGCCACAGGAACAGCGAGAAAAAGGCCTATCCAAACAGATGGCCTTGCAAATCTAAGACAGCCTCCTGTACCAAGCACGTCAGATGGGTTCACCGTGCCCTAGCTTTGCTCACACCCGCCGCTTTGGAGAAACTCACCTTGGCAAAAATCTGGGCACTCTTTGAGAAGTGCACATCTTTGGTCACCTCAGTGGGTACACCTCCTGCAGGCTGTGGTGGTCCCGCAAGTTGAGGTCCAGGAAGCCGTGCAGGAATGATTTTGGGACCGTTTGCACTAGCTTTTGCATGAACAACGCTCGGAGCAATCGGAGCAATCGGAGCAATCGGGGCAATCGGAGCAATCGGGGCAATCGGAGCAATCGGAGCAATCGGAGCCATCGGCCCTGGTGCAACGGGCGCTGGAGCTCCGGAGAATGCCCAAGAAGCCATGCGAAGCGAAGCTGCAGCTGCAGCTAACTCTGCTCTCTGCACACGTTCAGTCTCAGCCACACGTTCGGCCTCAGCTCGTTCGGCCTCAGCTCGTTCCACCTCAGCTCGTTCGGCTTCCCGAGCCTCGGCCAATCGCTTAGACTCAGCAGCTCTTTCCACTTCTTGCTGCACTGCTGCTGCCTGTTGGAGCTTGACTTGGGCAGCATAGTGAGCTTGAAGTTGAGCTACACGTATCAACTGAGCATTGCGAGCTGCTTCAGCAGCTTGAGCAACTTGTGCCTGTGCGGCCCACAGCTGCACTTGGTGGTTCCTTGCTTGAATAGCTGCTTGCGCTGCCGACTCATCCTGTGGTTGGGCCGCTCTCATCGCCTTCTCAACTCTTGCAGCTTCGGCGTCCTGACGAGCCTTTTCAACCTCTGCCGCTTTTGCAGCCTTCGCATCCCTGGCATCTTTGGCCGCTCGTTCGACTTTTTCGACTCGTGCAGCTTCTGCTGCTGCAGCTTCTTCGGCAAATTTTGCCGCCGCAGCTACTGCTGCCGCTTTCATGGCAGCTTTGGCAGCAGCTTGGGTGGAAGCATCTTCTTCTGCTTGTGCAATTTTGTCAGTGGTACCATCCCAACCATTCTCTCTCCTTGCTTTTTTAGTGGGTTGATCGAGATCACGGACCTTGTCTGGTTCTTCTCCTCGTTCTGCTGGGGCCCTGCCATTCTCTGCTGGGATCTTTTGAAACTCTACTCCTCTAGGCTGGGATAGCTCTTGCTTCTCCACAGTTACTGGGGTAGATTTGCCCTCCTTTCGCTTGGCATCTTTCTTGGGTTCCTCCTGCGGCACGTGACTCAATTCCCTGGCTTAACTGATAAGTGAATTGCAAATCTAGGGTAACCAGAACCCACAAGACTGATACAAGAATATACAAGACTATTATATATTTCTTGAAAGATTCTGCAGGTATGAGTGCATCCAGTCCTCTTGGTCATCGGTGAGGTTGAGCTGGCGCAGCAAAAGCTGTTCCTGAACCCTGACCCTCCTGGCATCTTGTAAATCCTGCTTCCTCTTCTTCTCAATCTCACTATCTTGCAATTGTTTTGCTCTGGCAGCATCTTCCTCTTCTTTTTTCTGCAGTTCAGCTTTCGAAGGACTAGGAGCCTGTTTGGGTTTCTTCCGTTCAGCTTTGAGCTCACCCTGTTTCTTCTCTGTCTCTTTCCTCTTCTTTTCTTCAGTCGAAGCTCTGTGCTTGTCTGTTCTAGATCCGGCCACACCTGGATCTTCACGCTTCAAGCCGGCTTGGCGCTTCTTCTCTAGCTTGAGAAGGTTTGATTCCGGTATCTTTTGAGTCTCCCGTTCTTTTTTATCTTTGATTGAGTTGCTTCCTGGGACCTTTGGCTCTTCTATCTCTTCTTGTTGGCTTTCCTCCTGTTTGTGGACCTTTGTCTCTTCAGATTCACCCTTTCTGGAACGGTTCTGTTTCAGTGGCACTTCTGCTTGCTGCGGTGCCTTCACGCTTGTGAAGCTCGGGTGTTCCACATTGCTGGCGCTTGTGATCTCCGAATCTTTCTTCTGAGCCTTTGCCTTTCCCGTCTTGCCAGTTGACAATGGTGCGGAATTTCGTTCCTGGTGTACTGCGCTCACAGCACTTTGCATGGCGCTCTGCATGGCACTCTGATCTGCCTTTGAGCCCCGTGCTGAGTTCTTGTTGTCAGAAGGAGATGCCGACGCCTCTGCCATTTCTCCCTCAATCACTTCTTCTATTTCCTCCACGACTCCTCCTTGCTGCCTTCTCTCTGTGTTCTCTGGCATCTTTCCCTTGACATCCTTTGCACAAATCGACTCTCAAAAGTATGTCATTGAACAAACATGTTGAATGCAATGCAATCTGATCAAGACTTGTAAGCAGAATGAACAAAAACCAAGAGAACAAAAAGGATCGCTGCATCGCTGGCGTCCTGTGGGTCTGGTTCATCGACTCTCAGTTCTCCATTCATCAAATGCTCCAAGAGCTCTTGAGCGTGTGGACCTGAGCTGGGCTGAAGCTGGGCTGAAACCGCTGTTTTTTTTGTATAATTTTAAGATCTATTGTGATCGTTTAGAAGGCCTGCAAGATCCTGCAAGGCTCTTAGCCTTCCAAGACCTTCCAAGACATTCTACAATGACAATTATCCGCAATTTATATCAATTTATCTCATTTTCCCTGGCCCGCGATTTTGACTCTTTTGTACGCCTCCGCCCAACATGCATCCAAGGCTCGTCCAGAAGCTTCCCCCAGCATTTTGCTTAAGGTCTGGTGCGAAAAAGCCAGCTTACCAGCCAATTTCTCACTTTGATCATTGCCCATCAAACGGCTCACCGAAAGGCGGGCTTGCTGCATGGCGGTTGCCTGAAGCTGAACCTTTGCACGCCAGCGGGCGATTTCAAATGAGCTCTAGCTGCTACTAGCTTTCATACGCCGTCGATCGCGGTTGTTGTGCTCAACCCTCAACAGAAAAGGACTGCATGAAAATCATTTGAACTGTACGGACGGTTTTACAATTCAGGCAATCTCTTGCAAGCACTCCATTGGAAGAGTGAGAAAATAAAACCTTTCTTTATGGGAAGTCCATGGAAATCATATCTTTGGACAATCAGCACAAACAAAGATGTGGACTGCACCAACAGTAGTTACGTATGGATAGTTATGGAACTGAGTTATCTTTGTTGATTTTTTCAGCGAGGAACGGCCAGAACTCCAAAGGAGAAGATGTCAAATGAGTGCACGGGATATGAAAAGTTCATGAAAGGCTCCTTTGCTTTGACTTCTGGAGGGGCCCAGTCGAACTTCCTCTTCTCATCCTCTTTCCAATTGCAGCGAACCACCGCGCTCTTGTTGCGGCACTGGTGTTCTTCAGCAAGTATCGTGTGACCCAAGTCAATGACCCTCACTTGGATATCAGCTTTGCGGTAGGAGACCATCAGATTTGTGGTGCGAAAGTCTCGATGAATGAGACCCATGTCCATCAGGTAGATCAAGGCTTGCGTCGCTTGTTTCACAATGCTTTCTTTCTCTTCCTGGTTCAAATGCTCATCAGTTGGTTGATCTCTTGACCAGCCCAATGCTGAGTGCAGCGTCCGTCCGGGAACATATTCCATCGCCACATATGGGAATTCTGGCATCGTCTCCATTGGCTTGAACTTGTCCCAACGGAATTCAGCAGACTCAAAGGTCACTCGCTCCTCATCAAAGTCACAGTCACGACTCCAACGACCTGTGTGATCCTCCAAGTACTTGGCAAAAAGGGCTGCCTTCTGTTTTGAGTAGCTCTTGTGTTCACTGTTGTGAATCCATTGTAGTGACCACTGCGCCTCCCTATGTAGGATGAAAGCGCTTCGAAGCTTTGCGGTGGCTTTGACATCCTTCGCCAGCTTGCAGACTTTGATGGCAATATCACCTACCAGTTTCCCCTTAGAGTCACGTGCACGATGGACAACGCCAAGGCCCCCTTCGCCCAATTTGCCCTGGTATTTCCAACGTCCAGACTTTCGACGAAAGTCATAGGGGTCTGGCAACCCTTCTCCGTGGTTGGTGACCGCCAACATAACCTTGGAGAATGAACTGAACACAAAAGGCACATAGCATGGTCAATCGGAAAGCTGTATAGTCTAGGGGAAACACGCACCTATGTAGCCTGCGATAACTTCTGAAGCTTGCCATAGTGTAGCAGGTGCTGCACTATGCTGCACTGTCACTATCCCACGTTGAATAGTAGAATATCACAGAGCTTTAAATTGCTTCGAGTCCCAAAATGATCTAGCACTTTTGCATTCCCCAGCTGTTTCAACTGCAATGTTGGCACGGCAATCAAGCACAATCAAATCCTGAATGCATGGGGCATGTTGGAATCTGCCGCATAAAACATCATGAAACGTGTGTTGCTGGATGGTTGGTTTCGGTTGTTGGCTCTCATTCCCATTGCCAAGTGCATAACCATTGCACCATTGCTACAAGACCCTTACCATCCCTTACCTGTAGGACTTGTGCCTATAACCTAAGGCCTTGTTTGGAAAATCAGAAGGGGCATGGCCAGCATAGCTTGACAACAAATACCGATAATACAGGAACACAAGGAAGAACAGAAAGAACATAGATTGAGAATGATATAAAATGACTAAGATAGTCATAAATAGTCTCTACTATATACATCTATATACGTGTCTCTAATATGTTCCAGTATATAGTCTCTAATGTCTCTAAATGTCTCTAATGCCTCTACTGTATCAGGACGGCATGTTTCTGGCAATTTCTTGCTCAGAAACTGGCGGCTCGCCAGGCCTGCCTGAGAGAGGAAAGAGGAGTTGCGTGCTCCGCGGCAATTCTCGAACTTCGCCTTTGCGCACTGGCAGCCATTCAGTGCTGTGGGCCAAGCCAGTGCCGTTGGTGGACGTGTCCTCCAACTGTAGGACTGGCTCAGAGGTATCTCTTGGCCTTCGCAAGACAGAAACTTAGTGATGAAGTATGATGAAATAGGCAGAATCTTGCGGAATGGTTTAACTTTACTTTTAAGTTTTCATACATCTCGGTCAGCTAAATACTCCATGCACGACTCCTTTCTTCCTTTCTGGTACATCCATGAAGAAGCCGGTCGCGGGGCAACTGAAGAAAATAGGAAAATTGCAGGTGCAGTCAGTACAGTCATCCATTCTACTGTGTGGAAGTAAGTCTATGGCCACATTCAAACATTATGAAACATTGGAATACATTGCGAGAGTCTTGGTGCTGGATTTTCTCACCTATGCCAGACTCCCAGGCCTGAAGTGCAGCACTGCATGACGTCCTGATACACCCTTGCTTTTGAGTATCACGTTGCAGTCGACCCCCCGGCCAATCGTCACGGTGGTGCCAGAATGCATGACAAACTGCCAGTACTCTTGGGACGGGCCATCCTTAGACTTCTTAGACAAACGGGCATGTCACATGCAAACATCAGCAATAAATTCTACAAGCAGCGGCAGCAGCGGATTCAGTTTTTTTTGGTTCAAGAGTTGGGGCTGCAAAAACAGGTGCCAAATGCCAAAGGACAAGATGCTCCCAGAGTGAGAGTTACAGTGATCACCTTTCCAGCAGTCTTCCCATCTTTTCTTCCACCATCATTCATCCCATCCTCTCCAAGTGTTACGACGCCCCTGCATGGGCCCAGGCCGTTAATGAAAGGGAAAGACTGTTTGCGGGTTTGAGTAGTTTACCTGCCTTACCTGCGTTGCTGCTTCTTGCGATGTCTCCTCAGTGGTTTTCAGGAGGTCTGCTTGTGAGCCGTGCTTTGCATGGAGTTTTTTCCTTGTTTTGCAAACATCTGGCCGTGAACAAATGCGCTTTGGTCAACCATACAGTGACATCAGCAAAAGGCTGGATGCCTGAGCCAAATTTCAAATCAAGTCCGGAATGGATGACATGGTATAAGGAGTACAGGGACTCCCGTTGCTGCTGGCCTGCTTTAGTCCGAAAAAATCCTTCACAATATATTATGGAAGGAAGTTTAGAGGCCAAACTTCCGACAATATGGACAGATGAAAAGCAGAGATGGGAAGAGTCAGAGAGAAGAGAAGAGTCGAAGAGAGAAGATCAGAGAGGAGAAAGAGTCAGAAGAAAGAAGATGCAGATGCACGAAAAGGCAGGAAAGTCGCGAAGCACTGTGTTTTTTCCAATGATTTGTGGCTCCGGAGGGTCGAAAAGTGGGCTCGCTAAAGCGGCGGGCGCGGAGCCAGCTGGCCAGATGAGAGATGAAAAATTGCACGCCGTTCTGGCGCGAAGCACATTTTCAAGTCAAAATGTGCAAAACACACATCAGCTTCGGACCACCTTTGGAAGTTGAGACGTCGAAAAAGTGCACGCCGTTGTGGCGCGAAGCACATTTCCAAGTCAAAATGTTAAAAACACCAGGGGTTCGGACCACTTTTGGAAGTTGAGATGTCGAAAAAGTGCATGCCGCTGTGGCGCGAAGCACGTTTCGAAGTCAAAATGTACAAAACACTACATGTCGCGCCACTTTTGGACGTTCAGATGTCGTTTCGCATGGCAGGCACAAGGGATTGTGCACTTTCTCAAAAGTGAGCAAAACAGCAAAACGTGAGGGTTTTGTAGCATTTCCAAAAACGATGGCAGGCGTGGGACATTTGAAGAGATCGATCTGCAAAGATGCATTTCGCGCGGCAGGTGCAATACAAAAGACATGTTCATCAGAGATGTTAGCTGGTCAGGGCGCTGATTTCCTGAGAGGGGTTGCATTTTGGAGCATCAGATCTGTCGGTTTGCTAAGATGATTTTGTGTGACAGGTGCAGCACTTCGTATGACCTGGCATCAATTTTTCGTGGCAGGCGCAGTACTTTAGACAGGTGGAGTGGAAAAATCGCAAAACGCATTGGTACGAGGCTGTCAGCGCTACACTCAACTTTCCATTTTTGAAGGAAGTCTCGCAGAATTGCTTTGTTTTTGATGTTGTCCAATTCAAAAATCGAAGAAGTCTCGCAGAATTGCTTCGTTTTGGATGTTGTTAAGTTCAAAAAATGAAAAAGTCTCGCAGAATTGCTGCGTTTTTGATGTTGTCAACTTCGAAAAATGAGGAAGTCTCGCAGAATAGCTTGGTTTTCAAGCTGGCAGCTAAACAGGTAGATAGACAGACAGACAGACAGAGGGATAGATAGAAAGATCCGTAGATGGGTAGATAGCTAGATACACAGTTACATAGACAGATGAGATAGATAGCTAGATAGATGGATAGATAGGTAGATAGATAAATGGATGGATAGACAGGTAGGTATATAGCTAAATAGATAGATAGATAGATAGATAGATAGACAGATAGACAGATAGACAGATAGACAGATAGACAGATAGACAGATAGACAGATAGACAGATAGACAGATTTAGATAGATTTAGATAGATTTAGGTAGATTTAGATAGATACATAGATAGATACATAGATAGATACATAGGTAGATAGATCGATAGATCGATAGATCGATAGATCGATAGATCGATAGATTGATTAGTTAGTTAGTTAGTTAGTTAGTTAGTTAGTAGTTAGTAGTTAGTTAGGTAGTTAGTTAGTTAGTTAGTTAGTTAAGATAGTTAGTTTTAGTTTCTTTGTTTGTTTGTTAGTTAGTTTGTTAGTTAATTAGTTAGTTGGTTAGTTAGTTAGTTAGTTAGTTAGTTATTTAGTTAGTTACTTAGTTAGTTAGTTAGATAGATAGATAGATAGATATCGAGATAGGTAGATAGATAGATTAATCGATAGATCGGTAAATAGATAGATAGATAAAATAGATGGATAGATTGCTATCTAGATAGATAGATTTAGATAGATTTAGATAAATAGATAGATAGGTAGATAGATAGATAGATTGATTGATTGATAGATAGATATCTAGATAGGCAGATAGATAGATAGACAGATAGACAGGCAGACAGATAGATAGACAGATAGACAGATGAGAGAGAGAGAGAAATGGATAGATCGATCGATCGATAGATAGATAGATAGATCCGTGGGTAGGTAGGTAGATAATCAGAGAAAGAGAGAGAAAGAGAGAGAGAAAGAAAGCAAAAGAGAGAGAAAGAGTGAGAGAGATCAATCACCTTTCAGTCCATCAGTGGCTTCGCTCTGCCATCCCTGATTCACAACAGCCAACCTCTCCTATAGGTTTCCTATTTTTGAAACTTCCGCCACCGCCTTGTGCGGTACTACTGGTAAAGATGTTCATGGCATGCATAATTTTGTATGTATACATGTTCAATATTAATTACTCAATTTTATTCACACAGTACAAATCCAGTGCTCTATTCAAGCATACAGTGCAGTCCCCGTGCAGAACGAAGCCAGAATGCGCCAACTTACCTGGCCTCAGTCCCGGAGCCAAAATCGGGGGGCCCACCGCCCACCTAACAAACGTATTTGATGTTCCCCATTGCCAAAAGCAGAACATAGCAGAACTAAGCAAAGCTTTAGAAGGTTATTAAATCATCTTTCCACATTGCTGATTATGCTGATTATTGAATAGTGACCAGGGTTTTGATGCAATTAATGAGCCGACAAAGGGTCCTAAGCCTTTGCGGCAGAAACTCTGCAACTGCGAAGTAATTGAGGCGGGACTATGAATATTTGCAGGTTGGCTTTAGCACACGATCAGTGTAGCCGAACCCCTCGATCAGTCTTATTTGAAGGTGCTTCCCATAGCTTCTTCGTCTGCAGGCAGCCCCAAGCTGGCGAGGGCGGCGTTGGCGCCATTTAGAGGGAGTTAGAATGATTTAGAGGGTATCTTTGCGCGGATTTCAGGCCACAGTCTCGAGGCAACATGAAGCAACAGACCTTGCTGTGGATGCTGGTAACGTGTTGTTTTTAATGTAATGTTTAACGTTCACTTGTGCGTTATGATCTAGTGATTTTGAAAACTTGGAATCCAGCGAGCTTCCCGCCACAGTCAGCCAATGCTTTCAACTGTTGGCGGCAGCTAGAAAAATATGAATGATTATGAATTTGATCTTTAGTACGAGTAAGTGGGTTAACACTTCCGCACCAAGCCTCTTGAAATGAGACTCTGCATATGACTCTGCATGTTTGTCAAGTCGGAAGGCGCCGCATTCAATGCCGTGGTTGAAGGGTGAGAAGGGAAACTTGCAGAAACGATTCTACGCACGGGAATTCTGGACAGATTCCACAAGTCTTTCAGATCCTTGATTCTCTAAGTATTGAACATCTCATAACTGTGCCGGGGGCTGGCCAAAACCAACAGACTGAGGTGAGACAGCTCCTTCCATTCACTGCTCGGCAAAGCCTGGCTATGCCTGGCAAGTTATCCGCACGTTCAGCCTTTCACTTCAAGTTTACTTCCCAAATTCCTAAAACTCAAAAAGACAATAGAACAATAAATAGATTTGAATAGCGCTTGGCCATGCGAGCTGCATGTGAGTGGGCTCACAGGTGAACATTCACAGCTGAGCAATTTATCATGGCAAGACACGTAAGGATGAAACATGCTAGGCCAGGCTACGTCCAAAACTCTTGTGCAAAAAGTCAGCCCAATTTTTCACATCTCGCTGAATCTCACATGTAAGGCACTGTATTCAGGCTTATGGCCTGTCGCTGCTATGCGATCGTGTCGAATTTTGACGCATTGGATTGAAATCATTGGGAGACACGTTGACGTTTAGTTGGCTCCTCGTGGTGCTCCGGCAGTCTCTTGGAAGATGCCAAGCTGGCTCCATGCTCTTCATTCCTAGCGACCTCCGGTTCCTTTCGACAGATTTTCCCTGTCTTGCCATTTGGAAGAGATGACAAATTCTGCGACACTTTGTAAGGAGTGGTCTCCTCCAGGTGTCAAACAAGGATTCAATATGATGTACCGTATGTATATATATTATATAAAAATACAAATACATGCGCGCCTGTGCGCGTGTGTAAATGAATGTAAATTAACGTAAATTATATATGAGATTTGTATAGTACTCTATAGGCTTGTGCATGCTTGTGCTGATTTGTCAATATCCAACGGGTACAAACCGTGGATAACCGGATAATCCGTGGATATGATATGGCACGTCGTCAGCCTGTTGTCCCCAAAACCCAAGACAGGTACACTTCTTTACATGTCCTTTATTCTCTTGTCATCGATTGCATAGAGGCACTTGAAAGGCAGGGATATGACGGAATGGTTTGACATTTTACAGGAGCCGACTGGGAAAAAGAATGCAGAAGGTCCAGGAAAGGGCTCTGATGTAGCTGAGATATTGAACCCGAATTAAGAGCCTGCATTTCTGGCTGGGTAGTGAAACACTTGTCTTTCCACTGTGTCCATGTACATCTCTGAAACATTCTGAAACCATGTTTGTTGGCCACAACTGTCTGCGTGGGTGAAGTTGCTTTCAAAGCATGCCCTTGTCCAAGAACGTATATGCAACCCTTGGGGACCTGGCATGAAGTAGGACGAGCAAAGGAAAAACAGGAGGATACAAGATGATACAAGCAATGCCTAGGAGAAAAAATGGAGGGAAAAAAGGCGAGCTTGCCTTGATAAGAAAACACTAAAACGGTATGTTTTACCTAAAGTTTTATCTTGACTAAAGCTCACGGACTACACAAAAATAGGATTGATCTTACTTCCCTGACGTAACGATTCTAAAATCAGAATATTAAAAGCAAGAACACGAGCGTTCCCATCGATTTAAGGTGAGAATTCTCCATAAACTTCATGACACCCATGTCATCCCAGTCTGTTGTCCAAGATGGGCAGGAGGTTGCGGTGCCAGGATCATTGAAGGGGCCATTGAAACATGCACGGGACTGCATTTCTATTTTGAAGGCCTTCGTGAAAGATGGTTGAAGAGACCATGTTTTCTATGTTTTCTTCTGCCTATCCTGTATATAGCTACACAGGCCTGAGACAGTTCTCGGCCTGAACCCATTCTTGATTGAGCTGGGATCTTGGTGGATATTGAAATAATGTGTGAAATACTAAATTGCGGTCAATTGCGGTGTTGGTTTATCTATTTCACATTTGTCCACCCTGTCCTTGGGTTGTCCTTGAGCTCTTTGCTGACCAGTCTTCAAATGCTCCCAGAGCTCGATAGCATGCGGACCTGGACTCAGTCGTTTTATGCCAGTGGCATTGGGCACTATTTCATACTGTTTCATTACTATTTGTCCCAGGGTCCCAGTTCAGACTTTCAACCTTTGACTTACAGAATCTTACAGATCTCACAGCAGGACTCAGCAGCACGAGATGCACGAGTAGGATGCAAAAAGATTGAATTCGGACCGGCAAGTAGAAATACACAATGAGAAATATAACATATATAATCATATTGTATATACTGTATATATATATATTATATATATAATAGTAGCCAAGGCTCGCCCCGATGCTTCTCCCAGCATGCGGATCAACATCTGCTGCGAGAAGCCCATCTTTCCCACCAGTTTCTCGCCTTGGTCGTTGCCCATCAGGCGGCTCACTTCAAGGCGGGCTGCTTGGGCACCATTGGTCTGCAGCTGAACCTGAGAGCAGGATAGACCAGATAAATGACAGGTAAATGACAGGTAAATGACCGGTAAATGACCGGTAAATGACAGGTATCACCAGGGTGAATAAGATGGAATCCATATGGACTCCACATCTCCACATATCTCCACCATGCTTGTCTGAAACTACTCTTTGGCTGAGTCTTCTCATGTGTCCCAGACATACCAAAATATATTATACCAAAGCAATCTTTTCCATCATTCCACAATAATCCATGCCATATCACTCCTTCCATACTCCCACTCCCTGATTTGAATATCAACGGAGACCCAAGAAGCGGCGCCGGACATCAACCAAGGAACTGCCAAGACGCCAAATGAGAAAACGTCAAACGAGTGCATGGGATACAGAAAGTTGACGAAGGGCTCCTTTGCTTTCACTTCCGGGGGTGCCCAGTCAAATCCATGCTTCTCTTCCTCTTTCCAGTTGCATCTCACAACTGCGCTTTCATTTTGGCACTGGTGTTCTTCAGACGAAATGGCCAGACCCAAATCAATCACTCTCATCTCAATGGAGGAATTTCGACGAACCACCATGAGGTTTGTTGTCCTGAAATCTCGATGAATGAGACCCATCTCTATGAGATAAATCAGGGCTTGGGTTGCTTGCCTTATGATTGATTCCCTTTCCTTGTGTGTCAGCACAGCTTCGTCTTTGAGTGGATGATGTCTTGACCAACCCAATGCTGAATGAACCGTGCGGCCTGGGACAAATTCCATGGCCACATAGGGATAGGATGGCAAAGGCGAAGGTGGTTCAAACTTATCCCACCGGAAGTTCGCGGCCTCAAAGGTAGATCGCTCTGCATCAAAATTGGAGTCTGTACTCCAATGGCCTGTGTGATCTTCCAGGTATCTGGCAAAAAGGCCTGCCCTCTGTTGCGAGTAGCTCTTGTGCATGCTGTTGTGAATCAACTGAAGGGACCACTGTGCCTCACGATGCAATTTAAAAGCACTTCTGAGCTTTGCAGCGGCCTTGATGTTTTTTGCAAGTTTGCATACTTTGATTGCAATGTCTCCTTGCAACCGTCCCAGGGCATCCACTGCGCGATACACCACGCCAAGGCCACCTTCACCCAATTTGCCGCAATACTTCCACCGCCCGGACTTTCTCTTAGAGTCATATGCGTCGGGGAGGCCTTCCCCATGGTTGATAACCGTCAACACAACCTGGGAACGTTTGCCGGAGAGTCAGGCAATGACAGGCATGAATGTGTTTGTGTTTGCATGCATTCACGGAGGCCGGGAAAACCGCACGAGCTGTTGAACCGCTTGAGTAAACAGTAAAGAATATGCCGGGAAGAACAATCGAATCACGAGAAAGATCGAGAAAGACAAGAAGGACAAAACGACTTCAAAATGACCAACAGCACCACAAACAACCATCCCAACCACAAACTTCCACTCAGAAATGTGAAAAACATATAAAAACATCTCGTTCATTCATATTCATTCACAGTAAATGCAGGAACCAACAACCCAGAAAAGGGGCGTTCCAGTCATCAGTCAAATCGTCAAGACTTCTGGATAATTCTGGCACTATTTCCCAAACATCCTCAAATGATGAACCAAATGATGACCCAAATAAACGTCCACAAACTTCAATATTCCAAAGATTTCCAAAGATTTCCAAAGATTTCCAAAGATTTCCAAAGATTCCCAGGGACTGCTTCTTGATGAGGCTTCCGGTTGAAGGGAACCACGAACTTTCCGAGTGACTTCAAGGCCCGGGCCTGGCCTTTCCGAATCGGAAGCCAGTCGGGCCCTGAGGCCATGCCAGTGCCGTTGGTGGAAGTGTCTTCCAAGTGCATCACCGGCTCAGAGTCACCCAATGGCCTTGAAAAACGCTTTGATATTGTGGATATTGCAAGAGCTGCACTGCCAAGGAAATGACTCAAATTGTACTCAAGAAAAATTACAAGGGACTGTTTTTTTCTTCTATTGTTTGGTGGCTTTGACAAGTCAAATTATGATTTTGGACCAATAAAGACCCAGAAATACCCACTGGCCTGTATCGAAGCAGGGCATGATGTACAGACACGCCTCTATACGGCAGCGTCACATCACAGTCGGACCCACGGCCAATCAACACAGATCTTCCAGGATGCATGACAAACTGCCAGAACTGATCCTTAGAGAAAAACGTTTGGCAAACTGCCCCAGATGAAATGTGAACATGTGTAGGTTGTCAAAGCACAAAATTCCAATATGTATATAGTAGTACTGGGACATACTTTGTGCATGTCTTGTATACTGGGAAGTCATTTGTGCAAGCTTTGTAGTTCCAAGTAGTACTTGGAAGTACTTTGTGCATTCTGTTGCCATTCAGTGCCACAACGGACTCTGTGCAAAAAGCTTCTCTTTGAAATAGCTTCTGTTTGTAAAAGGTTCCCATGTGTAAAAGCTTTCTGTGTGTAAAAGTTTCTCCGTGTGTAAACACATCCGCGTGTAACAGCTTTTCTGTGCAAAAGCTTTCTGCATGCAACGGTTTTTGTGTAGAAGAGCTCCTCTCTGACAGTAAAAGCTTTCTGGAGCTGAGATGAGTTAAGAAGAGCTTCCATGAGATGAGAAAGGTTGAGCAGCGCTCGGATGAGATGAAAATAGTTGAGAAGAACTTAGATGACATCTGAGAAGAGATGAGATGAGATGAAATGAGATGACAAGAGGTGAGATGAGATGAGGTGAGATTAGGTGAGAAGAGCTCAGATGAGATGAGATGGGATGAAATGTGGAGTGTGTATAATGCCGTGGGAAGTGAAGTGTGATCTTTGGAGTACAAAGTTTCGCTTGGCGTTGCATTGCAAGGTGGTCGTGCGCAGGTCATGTTCTTGGACAACAACAGCGCAACAGGTTCGCAGAAAGCACGCATGCATGGGCCTGGCTGGCGCACGACGCAAGTTCTATGGATGAAAAAGGTCTTATAGTATAACTCTAAGCCTAAGGCAATTTCTGCCCCGCCTCGTGCGGGTACTACTGGTATGATGTAATACGTCACGTTTTACAGACAGAAGGCATCAAGCTCAGGCTTGATTTTCACCCGCCAAGATGCTCCGCGAGTTACAGTGACCACCTTTCCAGCTGGGTTACCATCGTTTTCCACCATCATTCATCCCATCCTCTTCAGGTGAAACCACGCCCCTGCATAGGCCCCTGGTGTCAATTAAAGGGAAAGAGCGTTTGTGCGTTTGATTGGTTTACTTAGGCTTACCATGGTTTGCCTTATGTGTGTTGCATTGGGTTGCTGATTCTTGTGGTGTCTCTAGGGTTTTCAGGAGTTCTGCTTGTGAGCCATGCTTTGTGAGGCGTTGTGTTGCGCAGCATCTCGGCCAGTGACTCCATATGCTTTGGGCCATGCAGTGACATCAAATGAAGGCTGGATTCGTCTGGATGCCTGAACCAAATTTCAGACCAAGGCCGTTGTGCAGTGTTGCCTTGCATATCTCAAAACTACTGTCTACAGTTACGATCTCGCAAAACAAAGCTGCCAAAATGGTTCAAACATGTTCAAACAGGATTTAGGCACCACGTTTCCTCTGCATACAGAGCGCAGGCCATGTGCCAAGTTGCTTGCCTCAGCATCCCGTTTCCAGTGTCAACATGGGCACATGACGCTTGGGTCAAACCAAATGTCCTTTCTGGCAATATGCCCCCCTCCCAGCAAACATTATTTTCCTCTGCGGCGGTTCTAGGCGAAACTGGGCCAAAGCCGTGCCAAGGAAAAAACAGAGAGCATGGATAAACCTTGGTGGCAAAGACTATCCAAACTGGAATCCAAGTTCAGGCGTCAGTCGGTTTCAGTTTCAAGTGCGCATAAGCCGTCTCAACTCCCGCGACACGAACATGCACAATCATTGAAGCCATCGGGCCAACGGAATCCACATGTTCCACTATCTGAGCAGCACGCGGGCACACATTGTTAGCATCCTTGGACACGTCAGAGCTGCAAATTGTTTGAAGTTTCACAAACAGCTGCGAGACGAAACAATACAAAACGAATTTCACAAACACATCGATTTGGGATGGGTATGGATGAGTCAAACCATCATGGGTTGATCAATCCAAAAAATCAATCGATGTATATAATATAATATATTGTATACAATATTATACAATTATATTTAATTACTGCGTCACCGAAGGAAGTTTAGAAGTCAAACTTCCGACAACATGGAAGAGTCAGAAGAAAGAGTCAGAAGAAAGAGTCGGAAGAAAGAGTCAGAAGAAAGAGTCAGAAGAAAAAGTCAGAAGAAAGAGTCAGAAGAAAGAAGATGCAGGCGCACAAAAAGGTAGAAAAGTCGCAACTCACTGTGTTTTTCAAATGATTTGTGGCTTCGTAGGGTCGAAGAGTAGGCTCGCTAAAGCTGCAGGTGCGGAGCCACCTGGCCTGATGAGAAATTGAAAATTGCACGCTGTTGTGACGCGAAGCACATTTCAAAATCAAAATGTGCTAAGCAATCTAAACATACCATTCTCGGAGCACTTTTGGAAGTTGCCATGTCAAAAAAGTGCACGCCGTCGTGGCGCGAAGCACATTTCGAAGTCGAACCACTTTTGGAAGTTGAGATGTCGAAAAAGTGCACGCCGTTGTGGCGCGAAGCACATTTCGAAGTCAAAATGTTAAAAACACCACATGCTCAGACCACTTTTGAAGGTTCAGATGCTGTTTCCCGTGGCAGGCGCAAGGGATTCTGCACCTTGCCAAAAGTGAGCAAAACGTGAGGGTTTTGTAGCATTTCCAAAAAAACAATGGCAGGCGTGGGGTATTTGAAGAGATCGATCTGCAAAGTTGCATTTCGCGTGGCAGGTGCAGGAGGTCAGGGCGTTGATTTCCTGAGAGGCCTTGCATTTTGGAGCATCAGATCTTCAGGTTTGCTACGATGATTTTGCATGACAGGTGCAGCACTCCGTATGACCTGGCAGCACTTTTGCGTGGCAGGCGCAGCACTTTACACAGATGGAGTGAAAAATCGCAAAACACATTGGTACGAGGCCGTCGTTTTTGAGAATTGCTGTGCTTCTGATGTTGTCAAGTTCAAAAATTGAGGAATTCTCGCAGAATAGCTTCGTTTTCAAACTTGCAGATATATAGACAGATAGATAAATAGAAAGATAGATAGAAAGATAGATAGATAGATAAATAAATAGATATATAGATAGATAGATAGATAGACAGATAGAAGATAGACAGATAGACAGATAGACAGATTGACAGATAGACAGATAGACAGGTAGACAGATAGACAGATAGATATATAGATAGACAACTACAACTACAACTACAACTACAACAGCTACACTACCCTACACTAACACTACAATACAAATACAAATACAAATACAAATACAAATACAAAATAATACAATATATTACGCTACTATACACTACTTACACTACACTACACTACACCAATTACACTACACTACACTAATATGACTATAACATACTATAACTACTACAGCTGCAGCTACAACTCCAACTGCAACTACAGTACATTACACTACACTAATTTCCGTCCATCAGTGGATTCGCTCTGCCATCCATGCATCACAACAACTCACCCCTACTTAGTGTCCTATCTTTGAAACTTCCGCCACCGCCTTGTGCGGTAATTCCTACTGGTACTGTGTCCAATCCATTGATATTTTGGGAAATTTTTGGGATAGTGTTTTTCATTTCTGTTCCCTTTCGACAATAGTTTGAAACTCATCGTGCTGCTGGGCATCAGGGCCGCCAAGGCAGTCCAGCCAGGCAGGTGTCGCAAGGCATGCATTGCAGGTAGCTGCAGCAAGACTCCCAAAACGTCCAGGGCTACCAGGAGGCGGAAGTTCTGCGAAAGTCGACGACAGCTGGCGAAAGCTATGGGGGTTGCAGCGGTTGCAAGTGTGGCCGTACTAGGAACACTTCAGTTATCTTCAAGTATGTGCTAGAATCATCTAGAATTTAGAATCACACTAGAATTCAGAAAAAAAAAACAATGTGATTCTATCAGAATGAACAAGTGGCCATGTTGGACGGCTTGTCCGCCCACGTTGCGAGAATGTTGTGAGCAACTTACACCCCTCCTTTCTAAGGATTGATCCTTTTGTGTCCGGCTTCAGGATGCTTGACGAACTGGCATTTTGACTCCAAGTGTGTCCAAACAGATCAAATGAATTATAATGAATTCAAAAGACTAATCTTGCAATATCTTTCAATGTTTAGGATTGTTTTAGGCTTTCGCATGCGAAAGCGCACTGCCTCTCAACCTTTCGGCTGCGCCCTGAACCCTGGACCCATGGGACCACCAGCCCGCCTTGGTCGCAAGCATGGCCCCGTCAACAGGGTATTCGAAGACCTCCGCGGCACGGCGATGCAAAATCCTTTTGCGTTTGCCATGAAAAGTCCATTCCTAGGACGCAAAAGTCCCATGAAAAACCATGAAAAACCAGACCACAAAAGTTGCACACTGGATAGTGCAGCCTTCTGAACAGTTTTCTCAACCACTTGCCTCCAACTATGGCAGGACACACTTTGCAAACCCAGTGGCAAGGGATGCCACGGTCACCAGGAGGACAGGCGACAAATGCTGGAGTAAGCGCAAAACGTCTGCATCAGCCTTTTTTGGATCGGCGATGATCGGCGTGTTAACCCCGCAGCTGTCCAAGTTTTTGCAGTTGGATGCTGCAGATCTCACACACATTCTCTACCACTACAGGCAGCGCTGCATCCTAGATCTAGAGCTCAACAAACTGGTAGTCACCCGCGTGATCCAACAAGACCTACACTACACTTAGTTACTACATGTTATCATGTTACTACATCATTTTGATCCAAACTTTGTTCCATTGGGTCCCATTTCGATCCATTTGGCATGACACCAATCACACCTGCACAACTTGGGTTTCCCATCGCCCTAATCGCCCAGACAGGGCGCTGAAAACAAACGCCCCCCGAGCAAAGCTGCAAGAGCCGCAAGGCTGCCAGCACCGAAACCAAAGGCGAGGCCCAAAAGAAGTAGACTCCTAAGAAGCACAATTCAAAACAAATCACAAGGAATAGGAATTCCATAAGAGTTCTATAATGTTCTATATAAAGTATATGCACATATAACAAACGTCAATAAACGTGCAAAATGTTCTACAAAGGTTTTAACAAAGAAATAGCTACTAAGCAAGAATACGTACAAAATGCTAATACATCTAAGACCTGCAACACAATCCGTCTCGATCATTCTCGATCCGTATCAGTCTCTGGGATGCGCATCGTTCCAAACAACGCATCGCTTGAGACCTGTTGAGTTGACCCTGTCCAAACACAGCAAAGCGTCCGCATTGCACGCCTCACCCCGCGGCGATCCTGCGTTTCAGATCGTTTCAGTGGGTTATATGTTTTCACACTTGGATGCTTGAAATATGATGAAATTAGATTGTTTATGATTGTTTGTAGATACTCGGAGAGCTTCGCAGAGCGCTTTACCTAGCCTTCCGCTCCAGCAAAGGGGGAAGCATAGCTTGGGCTGCTTGGCTCAGAGGCTCACCAAACAAGCCAAAAAGGGTGTAGAGGTTGATAAGCACCTTCGCGACAAAGTTGAAGGTGAGCGCATCTCAATCAGACAAAAAGAATATATATATATATATGAATCGGATAATATCGGATAAGACATAAAAGCCCCGTGACTCAGTGAACAATCACCCAATGGTGAATGTGCACGAATGTCCTCTATTCAGAACAATCGCTGTTCAGTCAACCCCATTTGGAAGTTTACTCCCTACAAAATCTACAAAAATATGAACCTGGTAGGCTGCCAGTGCTGTAGTTCCCAATGACGCGGCATACAAAGCCATGGCAGAGAGCGTCAGGAAGCGCGAGATGAGAACCAGCAACAAAGGTCCTGCATAAGGCAAAAATCGCAACCAGGTTAGTGTGATTGGCATGCTGGATGCACTCGCACAAAGAAATGAACGATTTTTTTCAATATCCAAGTTCCATCATCTCGTGCCTGCGTATTCCAGCAGCGGCTGCAAGTATGCAGCCTCATCACTGAAAGAAGTCGCTTCAAATTTGCAGATGCGTAATGTTGTGCACGAAAAAAAGCTTCCCACTTGCAGCTTTGCATTTCTGAGTCTGGGAGCTGATTTTGGAAGCTGAAGCCATTTGCCGGGTAGCAAGTCCTACCAAGCTGGATACAACAAGAAATTCTCTGGCTATGACATGCTCTTCATCAGAATATTGCAGCTTCTGCGGCTTAGAATGCTGTAGATATCTACAGAAACAGAACACCGAGGCAAGCAGAGGCAAGTGCACAGAGACACCGCTGCGAGACTGAGGCGCTCCCTCGCTCGTAAAGCTCGAAGCATCAGCACGAAGCTCAGCCTGCCCGTTAATCTCCACGATTAAAAGGAGTATTGCACGAATTGCAGGGATGTCGGATACACCAAAAGTGTGGCGCTTGAGAAAACAGTGGCACGGTTAACATTGGTAGACAGTAGACAGTCACAAGCAAACATATATAAGCATATGTAAATCTGTTTATATGTTGCAAAATAAGTCTTAACCCTGGCCTAGGCCTGGAATTTGTCTATATATATATATATATACGTACTTCCTCACGCACCCCTAGGCCCTAGACATCACCGCTTTGACATTGCAACGGAGTGAAAAGTTGTAAGGAAAAATATGGAACACGTCAACCACCTCTAACACCCCACATCACCATAAAAACAGTGGTAGTCGCAAACATACTAGCTACATCAAATACATGAAGAGAGAGAGAGAGAGAGCAGTTTCATGCAGTTTCGTGCAGTTTGCCGTGCAGTATGGCATTGCTGCCGCAAATGGGAGCATGTTTGAGGATGTTTGAGGGCCCGGCCAGGTTGCAAATGAAGTTGCCAGAGCAGCCCCAGCAACACCCAGATGTCCAGGCCAAGCGCAGAGTAGGAAATCACCACCTCGGAGCTCGAAATTGTCAATTGCACCAGATGCCACCGTTCAGTCGTCTAAGCTCATGACAAATGTTAGCCACAGCCTCAATCGCCACCACCTGCAAAAGCTCAGTCTATAGTCTCCAGGTGGGACGTTACCTATAGATGAAATTATATGAAATTAAAATGAAATTATGATATTTGAAATTTGAATGAACAAAATGACGTGAGGAACATAGCAGAGAGAGAGAGAGAGGAGAATAAAAAGACAGAAAGAAGGACGGAAAGAAAGGAACAAGCGGGCATAGAAAGATGGAAAGAAAAGAAAGACAACAAGAGGTAGACACACAAGAATCATCAAGAATCTACAAATTGGAACTTCCAAAAAAAAAGTGAAAGAATACTCTTGGTACCCTCTGGTAATTTAACATAGCTATTGAAAATGGCCATTTATAGTGAGTTTTCCCATTAAAAATGACCATTTTCCATGGCTATGTTAGTTTCCCAGAGGGTATATCTCGGTACTCTTTCTTGCTTGGGCACAGTCACATCATGTCACATCGCCTTCAACGGAGTGATGGAGTCCTTCGTTGCCAGGAGCGCCGAAAGGCAAACGCTTTGTGCCAGGGTCGCCCATGTCATAGCACCACGACTTGGTTCAGCGGGTGTCCAAAAAGCAAGACGTGATTTTTTCAGGATCAATGAAGGTACAGTTATCAAAAAAGAAAACGATAAAATACAGGCATTCAAAGCCATGACGAACCGAAAGGAATTTCATCTTGGCATCCCTTGGCTCAGCATATCTCAGCAATCTGGAACACAGCTAAGTGACATTCGAGCATAGACTGCTGCTTGTGGCAGCAGCACTGGAGAGATGTGCATCAGTCTCAAGATTTGCTCCTGCAACATCCCAATAGGAAGTTCAAAGCTTGCAAACAATTAGATTCTGCTAGCCTGTCCTGTCAAACTAAGAAAAGCAGGTCTAACTACAAATGAACTGTCATAGTGTCATGTATTTATAGTTGTTTCATGTTGTTTCACCGTTTCCATGGTTTAATCATTTTTAATCTAGTATCTTGGACGTATGGACCTGGATTGACCTTGAACCTACTTATCCTACTTGCTGCACCCAGGTCCGTGCACAGCAGGTACATGATGGAGAGGGAAATGCCCAGTGGCACAGCCACGCTGAGCGATCGTACCAATTCAAATTGCGCAGCCTGGATCCGGATCATTGTAATTATTCAGTGTGCATTCAGCGCATTCAGTGTGAATTCAGTGTGCAGTCTACTGTATTCATTGCTCATCACTTATCATCTGTTTGGGTGTAAAAATGGCTCAACTACACCTGGCGCAGCATGACGCTGCATGGCGCAGCCTTGGCACCTTTGGCCACAGCGCGCGAAACGAGGCCAACGGTTGCACGAGGCAGGAAAACGACCAAGTACCTGCTGGGGGTCGCATGAAGAAACACAACACTTGGACATGAAGCCATCATCAAGCAGTGGGATGCGTGGCAAAGTGCTTTGACGTGCTCTGGTATGCTTTGACCCTGTCATGTGCAGTGGACAAACCATGGACAAAGCCTAGGATTGACCAAGCCACAGAATATAATCAGCCACCACAGTGCCAGGGCTCAAAGCTGCAAGGCTCTGTGGGCCACACAGGCGGCCCACAAACGCATTATCAATGTTGCCTAGGGGTCGGAAGATGTCGGAAGTAAACTGTAAACTAGTTGAATCTAATTGAATTTAATTGAATCTTTTCATATCTTTTCGACCAGGCTCATCCATGTTCCAGATTCTCCAGCTTGTCTGCAAAACGCAAGGCCGTGCAGGTCTGGCAAACTTGTGCTGGGAGCCCTGGCTCAAAATTGGCCCGGCAAGACTGATGCCCAAAGCTGGCACTGCAAAGCGCAGGAGTTCCTTGTCTCCACATTACTTCAAGGGTGTGGATGAGGAGTCACACAACAAGGTTGCTGTGCCATTTTTGGGGCAAACATGCCAAATACGCTCAAATACTGTGCAGTGTCTTGATGGTTTCAGTTGCCCTGATGTTTCACACATCGTTCCTTGTGGCTTGATGAATGCGGCTTTTCAATTCTTGAAAGAGGATGCAAAACACGCACATTCTCGGCAAGTAGCTCCCATAGAAGCGCGCTTCAATTCTGCTCCCTCACTACGAAGCTCAATGCGGGGGCGTGCGCGCAACGCACCTTGCCACAATTTCCCCAGGAGGACAGCACAAGCAGGTTCATGCGGTTATGACATCAATCAAAACAAAGCGTTGAAAATTCATGAAACAAAGGTCGTGTGGTGACGGCTAATTTTTCTTCGGATGCTTCCTGCCGGCCCTTCAGACCACTTTGGTCCCTTGATGTCTTGAACACCAGCGAGGCTAGCACGTGAGACTGCCTGGGGCTGCAGCCCTTGAGGGACGCACACATTTTGCACAAAGCGCAGGAGTTTCTCACAGCGCTGATAAAATATACAACGAGTTGTACTGCTACACGGGGATGATTTGCCTTTGACGCATCTGCTCCTTAGGTATTCTTCGGTATTCTTTCTGCTCCTTATGCATTTCAATTGCAACTCCTTCTATTTTAATACATGGTTGTGCGTGTCTTGAATTTTTTATCAAAATAGGGCGCTGTCAGGTGAAGGCGCAAGTCATCTGGATTTCAAATGGGGGTGGAAATAAGACAGTGGCCAAATCTCCAGTGCAGCGTATTGGTGAGACATGCCTCACGTTCTGGTCAAGATGTTCTCGTAGTACCTCACTTTGGTTCACCCCAAATACTAAAGTTACTAAACCAGTGAACCACGTACTAGGCGCATTGAATTTGACAGCAAGTAATGCAACATAGAGAGAAATGCTGCCCGAGAACCAGGGGATGTGGGGCTCCTTCTTTTTCTTCTCCAAATCTTCCATTCGAGCAGGCAAGTCCCGATTCAAGGCGCGTTCTATCAACCTTGGAAGAAAAATGATACAACTATCCGATGGTAAGGGAAGGCAGAAAATGTCACTAAGATTCACCAGGTGACACTAGACTAGACATCGTGATCTATGTGTGTGTGTACATGTCCGTGTATATATATATATATGTGTGTGTGTGCGTACGGTTATCATATGCATGTGTGTGTGCGTTTGCTTCTGTGTGTGCACATTAAATAAATAAATATAATATATATATATAATATATATATATATAATATATATATATACACTATATATATATAATATAATATATATATATATATGTATGTATGTATCGCTGATGTATCAGTGATATGTTTGATTATGTGTGTATAATAAAATGGAATCAATATGGTTATGCGGATATAATACAGATAGATAGATAGATAGATAGATGGATGGATGGATGGATGGATGGATGGATGGATGGATGGATACACAGATGGATTAGATAGATGGATAGATAGGATAGATTAGATTAGATTAGATTGGATTGGATTAGATTAGATTAGATTAGATAGATTAGATAGATTAGATAGATTAGAAAGATTAGATAGATTAGATAGATGAGATAGATTAGATAGATTAGATAGATGAGATAGATGAGATAGATTAGATAGATTAGATAGATTAGATAGGTTGGATACATTAGATAGATCAGATAGATAGGATAGATAGATAGATTCGATAGATTCGATAGATTAGGTAGGTTAGATAAATTAGATAGATCAAATAGATCAGATAGATACGATAGATTAGATAGATTAGATAGATTAGATAGATAGATAAGGTAGATAGATAGGTTCGATAGATTCGATAGATCGGATAGATTAGACAGATTCGATAGACTAGATAGATTAGACATATTAGATTAGATAGATTAGACAGATTTGATTAGATAGATAGACAGATTTGATTAGATAGATAGATAGATAGATAGATAAATAGATAGATTTGAATAGATTTGAATAGATTTGAATAGATTTGAATAGATTTGAATAGATTTGAATAGATTTGAATAGATTTGAATAGATTTGAATAGATTTGAATAGATTTGAATAGATAGATAGATAGATAGCTAGCTAGATAGATAGATAGGTAGGTAGGTAGATAGATAGATAGATTTGATTAGATAGATAGATAGATTTGATTAGATAGATAGATAGATTTGATTAGATAGATAGATAGATTTGATTGATTAGATATATTTGGATAGATAGATAGATAGATGGATGGATAGATAGATAGATGGATGGATGGATGGATAGATAGATAGATAAGATAGAGAAGATAGAGAAGATAGAGAAGATAGAGAAGATAGAGAAGATAGAAGATAGAGAAGATAGAGAAGATAGATAAGATAGATAAGATAGAGAAGATAGATAAGATATGTAGATACATATGATAGAAAAGAAAGATAAGATAGATAAGATAGATAAGATATATAAGATATATAAGATAGATAAGATAGATAAGATAGGTAAGATAGATAAGATAGATAAGATACATAAATAAATAAGATAGATAAATAAATAAGATAGATAAATAAATAAGATAGATAAGATAGATAAGATAGATAAGATAGATAAGATAGATAAGATAGATAAGATAGATAAGATAGATAAAATAGATAAGATAGATAAGATAGATAAGATAGATATCAAGATAAGATAGATAAGATAGATAAGATAGATAAGATAGATAAGATAGATAAGATAGATAAGATAGATAAGATAGATAGCTAGATAGATAGATATATAGATCGATAGATAGATAGGTAGATAGATAGATAGATGGATACGATAGATACGATAAGATAAGATAAGATAGATAGATAGATAGATAGATACGATAAGGTAAGATAAGATAAGATAAGATTCGATAATATAAGATAAGATAAGATAAGATAAAATTAGATAAGATAAAATAGGATAGGATAGGATAAGATTAGATTTGATTAGATTAGATTAGATTTAGAATTAGATTAGATTAGATTAGATAGATAGGATAGTATAGGATAGGATAGGATATATATAGGATAGGATAGATCGGATAGGATAGGGTAGATAGGATAGATAGGATGGATAGGATAGGATAGATAGGATAGATAGGGTAGGATAGATAGGATACATAGGATAGATAGGATAGATAGGATAGATAGGATAGGATAGACAGGATAGATAGGATAGGATAGGATAGGATTGGATTGGATTGGATAGGATAGATAGGATAGATAGGATAGATAGGATAGGATGGGATAGGATAGATAGGATAGATAGGATAGGATAGGATAGATAGGTTAGATAGATTGGTTAGATCAGATAAATAAGATAGATACGATAGATAAGATAGATGCGATAGATACGATAGATTAGATAGATTAGATAGATTTGATAGATTTGGTTTGATTAGATTAGATTAGATTAGATAGATTAGACAGATTAGATAGATTAGATAGATTAGATAGATTAGATAAGATTAGATAAGATTAGATAAGATTAGATTAGATAGAGTAGATAGATTAGATAGATTAGATAAGATTAGATTGATAAGATAAGATAGGATATGATAGGATATGATAAGAAAATAAAAAACAATAAGATAAGATAAGATAAGATAGATAAGATAAGATAAGGTAAGATAAGATAAGATAGATAAGATCAGATAATATAAGATAAGATAAATAAGATAAGATAAGATAGATTGGATGGATTAGATAGATTAGATTAGATTAGATAGATTAGATTGATTAGATTAGATTAGATTAGATAAATTAGATAGCTATGATAAGAAAAGATTAGATTCGATAAGACTAGGTCAGATTAGATAATTTTAGATAAGATTAGATTGATAAGATAAGATTAGATTAGATTCGATAAGATTAGATAAGATTAGCTAAGATTAACTAAGATTAGATAAGATTAGATAAGATAGATAAGATAGATAAGATTAGATAAGATTAGATAAGATAGACAAGATAGACAAGATAGATAAGATAGATAAGATAGATAAGATAGATAAGATAGATAAGATAGATAAGATAGATAAGATAGATAAAATAGATAAGATAGACAAGATAGATAAGATAGATACGATAGATAAGATAGATAAGATAGATTGAATAGATTAGATTAGATTAGGTTAGCTTAGATGATTTAGATTAGATTAGAATAGATGGATAGATAGATCGATAGATAGATAGAATAGATTAGATTAGATTAGATTTAGATTAGATTAGATTAGAATAGATAGATAGATAGGTAGATAGATAAGATAGATAGATAAGATAGATAAGATAGATAACATATATAATATAGATAAGATTAGATTGATACGATAAGATAAGATAAGATAGATAAGATAAGATAGATAAGATAGGATAGATAAGGTAAGGTAGATAAGATAAGATAGACAAGATCGATAAGATAGACCAGATCGATAAGATGATAGACAAGATAGACAAGATAGATCAGATAGACAAGATAGATTAGATGGATTAGATCGATTAGATGGCTTAGATCGATTCGATTGGATTAGATCGATTAGATTGGATTAGATTGGATTAAATTGCATTAGATTAGATCAGGTTAGATTAGATTAGATAGATCGATAATGATCGATAGATGGATAGATAGATAGATGGATGGATTGATTATGGCATGGCATGGTACGGTATGTTTCCACACCACTATGTCTTGGGTCTTATAGCTGAACCCCATCCATATTATAGATGAGCAACGCCTGTCGTTTCACTTTCTTCTTCTGCGCCTCCAGGAGCATCGACCCTCCGACTTTGCGGATGAGCAAGTTCTTCATCTCGAACATCTGAAGCTCCCCTTGGCCACATCAAATTTCCCCTGGCATCCCCTGGCTAAGGATTCACAGGGCCACGGGCATACTCCACACAAGAGTACACAAGATAAAACATAGTGAAAAATCATGATGGAGGAAAAAGTTCGCCGACAGCCAATGACTCTGCAGCTACTGAACTATGGCAAATGCAGGTGCTGCCGGGCTTCTCTGATCGCTCGAGGAGTCCTTCAAACAAAAGCAGCTTTAGACTGTAGACTTAGACCATGGTGGGCTTTGGATAGATAGGCTGGCTACAATACGTGACAGAAAGTGTGTAGGATCATTATTTATAAGTGGGGAAACACAAGAAAAACGCACTGTTCACGCCAACGCTTGACCTGACTTGCGTCCTTCAGGCCCCTGGAGGGTTCCTTCTTGGTGCTGGCTCGCCGGCCAGTCAAGACTGAATGGCTCCTCGCATGGCAAAGGGCTAAAACGAATTGCCTAGCTTGGGAAATCAAAAGCCTATATATAGAAGATTATAGAAGCATATACAAGCATCTTCAAATCTTGCATCGTGCTCGCTTCATCACCTTTCATCTTCACCACTTCGCCCCTTGAAAAGCTGCGAGCATTCATTATCATCTATTTCAGAAGGATGGTAGACCCGTTACCCCATTCTCCCAAACCCTGTCCTCACAAGCAAAGGCCCTGAGTCCAGCTTTCGCTTGAAGGGCTGCTTCTCTAAGATCCCTCTCTTTTCAAGCTCCTGTCCAGGGACCAGCGCAAACAGTGCACACGCTGTGCCGTGGCAAATCGGTTGTGTATAATGATAATGGTATATGAATGATATATGATAATCGTATATGATGGATATGACCATGCTCTGCTGCGATGCAAGGCTGACTGACTTGCCCGTCCGTGACCGCATGGAAGAGTCTCATGTAGTCAAAATAGTTTGAGCCGGACCACCTGAGAGAGCTGGCTGGTTGGTGGGGATTAACTACTGTACATCCCCACACAAGAAAGGGACCCGAAAAAATATGGGCATGAAGCAACAAAAGGAGGCTTGAGTTCCATCAAATGAACCGTGTAATCCCAAGCTAATATCTGCTTGAAAATGCTAGAAATAGTTCTCAATCTTGCACACTTACTTTCAGCCTCTGGCTTTCTTGCAATTCTTTCATGTGACTCTTCCTATCAGAATGACTTGTTGATGCTCCATTCTCTTTCACCGCTGCACTCCCTCGTTGCAGATCAAAGCCTGGAGCAAGAACTGGATGCAAGGTCTTGCAATGAGAAAGGGCTGGTAAAAACTGTACTGACCTTCAGCACAGCAGCCTGGCAACAACACGCAACCAATTTCAACATAGCTCAACCACCCGAAACTCTCATTGTCACATGTCTGAGACCAGAAGACCTTTGCAGGAGTTGGCGCTCACAAAAAAGGAAGATCAGCTATTGCATGCTATTGTAACCATGATCCTGCCTGCAAGGGATCTAACGACTCCAGCAAACACATTGTTTCGCCAACCATGGATGTGTGAGACCTTGGAGGAGGACAAGTGGAAAAGGCGAAGCATTACAAATGGGCACACGGTCCAACAGTGCAGTATAGTGCAGTGTTCAACAAATCAAAACCGCAGGGCCCAAACCAATTTGCAATCTCGACCGATTCCAAGTCCTGGAGGACACACCCAAGAAGATCAAGAAGCCAGTTGGCAAGCAACTGCGCGCGACTTTGTCATTCCGTCTTCTGAGTCTTCTGCATTATTCTGTCACAATCGATCCCAGTCACATCTGGTCTCCGCGACATAATTATATAACTTGCAGAGGGTTGAAAACCCCAACTAAGCAGGCAGACTGCAAAGAAATCTGGACAGCCAGGAACTCGTCTCATCTGTTTATCTGCTTCAGTCTGTCCTCAATGTTCTGCTCCACCTCCGAACCATCTCGGACATCTATGTGGCCGTCAGCCAGTAGCTGACCCAGGGCTTCCTGAAGTGCTCTAGCTGGGATGGTGGCTGCAAGTCTACAGAAATCTCAAGCGTGTGAAACAATACCAGACCATGCCAGACTCTACTGGACCACCATGCACCAAATAAATCCAACTTTGTTCGAGCAGCTCTGATGTAGAGAGGGTTCCCAAGGGAGATCTTGTAGACAAAGCTCACAACTTGCTCAGGGATGACTCCTAGTGGCACCTTGGTCCAAGTGTCCGAACCTCTTGCCTGACTGGGGCCCAACTATGGGGTGCAGCCAAAAGCTGAGCATCAACACCAAACTTGCTCAATATTGGGGTCAGAGTTTCAGACAAATCATGTCTTCTTCTTGTGCTTAAAGGTCCAGTATTAGAAATCGAGTCTCTCTCTCTCTCTCTCTCGATTTTGCTAGGAACTTCGCACGGCAAGCTGCAGCTTACATCCAGTGTCTCCTTAATTCATGCCGCAGCACCTCCAAATGCGCAGCCATGTATTCCTGACAAATGTCCTGGGACAAGCCTGCGAGGTCCATGTGCCAACCCTTCGCGACGGAAGCCTTCCAGGATGTCAGGCATAGACAAAGATAGGTCCATTTGGCATATCAAATTAATGCAAGTAGCGTAAAGATGCGTAAAGTAGCCAAGTTCTGTTTGGATAGATAGGTTTGGAAGTATATGGTTCATCAATACGTCACAACACATCCAATCATAGTGTAATTAATGACACCACAGACCAGCCTTCATGAATTCTAGGTTCATGTCCGGGTTCTTGCACAGAGTCCACAGTGTCACAGGGTGAGCTCCCCTTTCTTCTACGAGCCTCATCAACCTCACCAACAACATCCCGAAACGGTGCTTCAGCACAAGCTAATCCACAAAAGCCCCATATCCACCCTACAGGACATGTTTGCTGATTTCACGGTTCAGTGACGTCGTATGCGCACAACATATTTGGATGAATTAGCTTGCTTGCTTGTAATATTATTCGTAGCCCTTCTGGTCCTTGCATATGTTGATCTAAATGACAGCTGTTTGCATAAGTTACAAATGAACCACAACAGGTCTGTGCAGCCACGGAAGCTTTGCGACGATCTCATAGAAGCAATTGAAGTATTGCAGCGTCTTTGGGAACAGAGTGGTGCCAAGCTCAAGCTGGCAAACCTGAGAGAACCAAGAGAAACGAAGATGCAAAGTGGTTGCAGCAAGAAGAGCAAAATCATGCAGAATCCAAAGTTGCCACTGTAGCATACTGTAGCCCACTGCCAAGTCTGCCAATTATCACCGTGATGCTATCTATCAGCTGCTGTCAGCTGCTGTCAGCTGCAGTCGTTTATGGCAGCATATTGCAGCTCTGAAGCAATAATGAGACTGACATGACTGCTGAGTTTTTGAATGATGTCCAACCCCACATCAACCAGCTCGTGCAGCACTGAAATGCCTCAGCAGGTAGTAGAACGTTTGAACACAGGCGGCTCTGGCCAGTGATTGTGTGACCATGGTGCTTTACACAGGCCACATCAGCAGGACAATGTCAGGAACATGCTGAGGATGCTGAGGCATTGCTGGGTTGTATCTGGCGCTGAGACACGGGAGTCTTCATGCACATCTCCATTTTCCACGTCTTGGAGGTGCTGAGCGATCACATCACAGTTAGGCATGCCAGGTAGCAGCTTGCCTTAGACAACGAGTAACGAGGCATGAGGCCCATTGAGGGCCCACTGCTTTGGCGATGATTGGCGATGATTGGCATGAATGTCTTTGATATTCTTTGATCATGCAGGATGACATCATCCAACCCAACCCAAAATAGAAGCATACGTGTGCAAGTCTTGCTGCTCAGCGCAGCTTCGTCAGATTCCGGAAGAGAAGGATCAACAGCATGACGGTAAGCTCCCAAGCAGCTTTTCACCATCTCGTGACCCATCCGCGCAAGGTCCTATCAACGGCAACGGTTGAAACAACAAATACATCAGCTTCACATAGCTTCACCAAATATCACCAAATCGTCTCTAAAGTGGATGAGTGGATTTTTTGGAAAGTTCCTCACTGTGGTACGTACTGTATGACTTCATAGGACCACCCCATCAGGCCATCTGCAAAGGTCCTGTGTCCGAGGACCCATCGTCCCGATGACAGGCATAGTGAAATATTTCCGAGCTGCATAGACTACCTGTTTCAAGGTTTTCAAGGGACAAGCAGGACTGGAAGTTCATCTGAAGATATTTGAATTGAAAGATTGCAAACAGCTCCAACACGCTGGAAGTCGAGAAATCTACAGTCTGGAAATCCGCTGTTCTCTGATTCGAAGCAGTACCAGCAGCAGCGTTGGCAGATGCAATACTTGCAATTGTATGCCAGGTTGCCGCATGTTGGGCCAGTTCAATCTTGCCAAGCCCAGCTGTCCCCTGGGAATCGGCTTCAAAATGCCAGTGTGAAGAGCACTGAGAGAAAAAAAACAAACGCCCCACATGTCTCCAACCCGACACGACCGTTTAGATCTGTTTGGATTTAGATGTCAAACAGCAAGAAGTCCAGGAGAGCCACCTACGGAGTCTTCAATATCAGGTCTAAGTCTATGTTTGGAAGCTTCCCATGTTCACTGCAGCTCACAGTTTTCAAATGCTCTTCGCTTCTCGCTACCTGCCTCACTTCCCCGAACCCAAGAAAGTCTGGCCTGAAGCACCACTGAACCGCCAGAGCTAAGAGGGCTGTTGGCGGGCAAAGGCTCTGGTTTGGCTGTAGCCTTTGGTGGTGCATATGGCACCTGTGCATGAAGACTTTCATCATGCATACCGCCCAGCAGGTTCTGTATCTTGCCTGGCGGGCTGTTGGCCAAAAATGATCTCATATTGAAGATATTGAAATATATTGAAGCATGGCAGTGTGGAGGCATCTTTGATCAGTCTGACATGACAAAGAACATCACATAATCATATCATAATCATCAGCCCAAGTGGCAAATCCCTGGCCAATCTGGAAGGCTGCACAGCTTCTGGACGTTGGACTGCGCGTGTCGTAGAAGTAACACACTAAACTCACTAAACGAGGTTTCCAAGCACCCACGGCACAAAGATGTGCAGAACATGGTGATTGGTTTCGACATGTCTTGATTGGTGGCATCCTTTTGTTCCTATCAAAATCCAGAAAAAGCCAGAAAGTAAGTTCAAGGCAAAAATATGCAAAAACCTTGTCGTCAGGTATCTCTGTCCTGGCATCCAGCCTGCAGAACTTCCGCAAGCTGAGACTTGTCACCCGAGCCATCGCCTGTTATCAGGCTCCGGTCATACCACGGGAAGGCGATCTTCCCACCTGGGCCAACACCTGTCACAAAGCACTGCTCGAATGTTCACCTCTTGTCACCTCTTGTCACACCCGACACCACTACATATAAGTCTACTTCATCGATCTTCATCGATCTTCATCGATCTTCATCGATCTTCATCGATCTTCATCGTGGGTCTCTATTCCTCTGCTTGCAAGACTAGTCATATGGTGCAAATGCTGCAGTATCCCACAATAGGCTGAAGATGGCTGAAGTATGCTGAAATGCATTTGTGGCATTATCCTTGTTTGAAGCATCTAGTGAGTCTAGTGCAAGGCTAACAACCAACAAATATATAAATAAACGATCGAATCATAAATGCATACAAATGCCAATTCCACCACCCCTATCTCAGAACCTCAGCCGCAAGCTGTCGGCATATCCTCCAGCCTACGTGTGGATTGCAGTGGGCCATGTGCGGCTTGAAAATCTTCACGGCTTGGGCTTTACCTAAGAAAAAGGATCGGACACTAGGAGTGGTGAGGGAATTCAAGCAGGATTGTGCCGGCTACTAAACATCAAACTCGCAGCATGTTGAAGCAGAAGTGCTTGCAAACAAGGCTAGATGTCCCAAGAACAAGTCTCTGTGTGTGTGTGTGTCTGACTGGAGTGCTACCACAATAAATGCGATTCACATCTATTCGCCTATTTTGGTTTTTGAGGGCAAGGGGGTGTGTGAAGTAACTCATGGGAGAAAATTTGCCCTGGTTTGCCTCTCTCTCTCTCTTGTGCTCCATCGCCCATGTTTGCCCTTTCCGCATGCTACCAGTATCAATTGCATTGGAACCAACCACTTTCCAGCAAACTACACATGGTCTTCCATCTGACGCATCCGATGCATCCAAGAGTCCCTTCACTTTGATGGGCTTTAAGTCTTCCACTGAGATTTCCAAAGTACATCGCATCCTTGGGGGAATTGTGCGAAGTAGGTTTGCTACTCATCATGTAGGCCACCAAATATGTGTTTTGCAATTTCTCTCTATCTCTCTCTCTCTCTCTCTCTCCATCTCGTCGAGTAAGACTGGCTTTTGCAATGTCTTGTTCCCATTTATCTCGTCTATTCTGTTTCTACAAAATGTCGAGAGACTTGAGTCTTTGTGCTTTGCGCGAACTGCCCAGACCAACCTTCCACTCACAAGTGACACTCAACAAGAATTTCACACCGTTGCAGCCATGTCTCTTGGTGCTCTCATCGATGAGAATTCCGTTGGCCGGCGCATTTGCCATTAAACGGGCCGCCAAGTTTACTGCATCTCCAAGCACAGTGTATTCCATGCCTTCGCAGGAGCCATTCAGAGCTACACACAAGAAATGCCAGATTCATGCATTCATCTTTACATTTTCCAGGACTATATTCGGTCCAGCGATCTGTCCATCAAAATGTTCATCTTCTATCTATTCAAAATCCCACCAGTCGCCAAGCGAGGAAGCGGTTGCAGCAAACAGGCAGCAACTGGAGAGATACAGCAAAGGGGGCCACAACATCGTGGAGAAACTCATCTATCATGTGCGGCAAACCAATATAATTGATTATAATTGTGATTTTATCTTCACGTATACATGCCGAATATCATATAATATATACTAATACTTGTGCGTGTGTCTTGCGAAAGAGTCACGCTCAGCACTGCCACAAACCCCGCAGTAGGCGCGTCCAGTTGAAACGCCACACCGTGCAATGAGGCCCAACTTTTCGAAAGCTTGGACCTCGGTGGGATTTGATCATCATTCCAGTCAATCTTGAAAACCATTCGCCAATGCATACAAACACAATCAAACACATCATGCTTCCTCCTTGCATTTTAGCTGGTGCATTCATCGAAAGAGATTGATACTGTTACTATCTGTTACTAGTGTAATCGTTTCGTCTCTTGTCATCACCATATGAAGGAGTTGATATCTCGGAGAGTTTCAGGTCGACTGTCCAATGACCTCGCATGGATCACTCCTGACATGCATGAATAAAGAAACTTGACATCGCTGAACACAAACAACGAGTGCCTGCACTTCACCATGTCGGTAATATGGTACTGTGAGAAGGTATGAGGAGGGGATGTGGAAAGTGGTTCACCCTGAAAAATGATACTAAGCAGTGCTACTTCGTGCAAGCCACAATGTCGAAGCAGGACAAAACAGCGCGGGTTGCATCGTCTGTGTGCACTAGAGGTGGCAACCCATATGCCAGAAGGAAAAGCATGCCTTTGTCGTCGATGAGGAACTTGTTGAGGGTACCCTCCTGACAAAACAAGTGCCAGCTTCAAGTGTTTCAGCTTTGAAACGGAAACGTCTTGGAGAACTGTAAGCACCGGTGTCCCTTGGAAAAGTATCAATCAGAGCTGAGCATCATTAGCGTAGCAAATCCGCTGCACCGACACCATGAGCTCTTGAGCTGTATTAGCACCCTCATCTCTGCTAACGTCAACGCCAGAGCAAGAGATGAATAGTGTTGAGATGTTACCTGAAGGCGGGGGATACGGCACAATGAAGCTGACAAGTCTGTATGACACGAAGGATTTGTTTCGTTTGATCTTATCCGCAATTTCGTTTGCTTAACCCAGCTCAACTTTTGGCATTTCAAAGCAACAAAACGACTTTAGTGACTTTATGACAACTTTATTTATCAATCAAAGAGCGCTTCTAAAAGCATCTTTAAGACTTTTCAGAGGGAGTCAACTTGATCAACCGGCTCTCAGGCCTCAGGTACATACCACTGTAGGGAGTCAGAATTCCTGCTGAACATATTCTGCATAATATTTCTGCGTGCAATCTGCTTAGGATATCTCAGAATATGAATGAATGTGATAGGTATATATATATACATATTAGAAAGGACCCTCTCCTTCCATGCGGGGAATGAGGTCGGGGTCACCTTCCAAAGCTCACGCTTTGGCAAGCCGCTTGACATGCCTAGTTCTCCATTCATCGAGTGAATCCGAAGACTGCTTGCTTCATACATCTTCTTAACCAACAGCTCAGCCCAAGAGACGCATCTCGTTCACATAGGTAAGGGTGCCATCCTCAATCTGCTTAAACACCGCGGATGGCACGAACTTGCGGATAACATCTAGCTCAGCGATGGTGAACTGGTTGTCCTGCCACACAGGCATGAAAGCCATACAACATCATACAACTGTTGGGGAGAGTAAGCATATCGCAATGATAAGCCGTCCAATTTGTGTTGGGGATATGAGTCGACAGCGTTGCGGTTCGGTGGAGCGGAGAGTGTGGAGACTGTAATGACTGGCAGGATGCTGCCGATACTGGTACCCATTCCATTGGTACCCATCGGTAACCATTGATACCCCCCTTTCTGCAACATGTCAAAATGGATCTACCACCTTGCTTGCTACTTCGTCCAGTTGAACACATTGTTGTTTTTACCACTCCAGACTCCAAAGATCTCCAAAGTTTCTTCGTTCATTTGTTGCGCCCAAAGCAACAGAAGGTCACGAGTGGTCATGCTTTCAAAGCGATTTCAAGACACATCATCAGTAATTAATTAGCATCCCATATTCCGCTAGCCCCATGGGATGGAAATAAGTTCCTGATAGGCTTCGCCAACTCCCCCAGCCTTTCGTGTGTCTCTTTCTTGAGCTGAAGCTTTCACCGTTGGGAAGGTGAACTTGGACTCATCCAATCTCCCCAGCAATTTAAAGGCATCGTTCTCCTTGGCTACAGCCGCAGTCCAGTTCATGATTCATCTTCATCAGCTGCAGCAACAGCAGCAACAGCCAACAGCAGCAAGAATAGCAACAGCAAAAACGAAAACACAAAATTTAATCAAGTTTAACAGTTAACAACAACAATGATCTCCTCAGCCACTATCACAACCGCACGCTGTTTCTGCGCTGATCAAGGCCGTTTGAACCAGGTTCCCTTGCGATCCCAGTGTCTAGTTCCCTGCTGGTATCTGCGAAAATGTAGTCTTTGACCTTGAAAGGAACTGGCTGATGTGACAGCTCTTCAGTGCACGAATCGTGCTGGATGTCGACGATACGCTCATGATGTGCAAAGCTGGACGAAAATAAAGTTGGTATATATATATATATATTCTATTGGGTTATAGGCATATAAACAAAAACGGACAAGGCTGGACAATGATGCATCGAGATGTGCAATGATGTGCATAGCATGAGCTTCCAAGACAAGCTGCATGCTCCCATGCCTGAGGGCTTAAACAAGTCTCTCCATTCTTTGCCAACGGTTCAGCTATGGAGATCTGCTCCAATGGAGCTCCTCAGGAATCAGCGGCAGCTGAGATCAGCTGAGTTGGCTGAGTCCGGCTGAGTGACCAACGACATCCAGGATGCCATCAACAAGCGCCCATAGTATGTACAACAAATACTCGTGTAATCTTCTTGGCTACCTATGTCCAATATATACATATATGATCATATGTGTATATATATATATAGAATAGGTGCGCGCATAGATACATACATACATACCTTCATATAAGTATACAAGCATATAAGATCATATAAGATTATATTGATAAGTACATAATGCGTATATTCATGTTCTATAAGCATTCAAATCATTGCGACATGCCACAAAGAACTCTCATGAAATGTTTACTAGAAAGCAATGGTCTGTCTGGCCTGCGATGATGTACTCAGAGCGGGGAATGGCAGTCTCCGGTGGCTCAATGCCGCCCACTTGCAAAATGGCAATCTGCACAGGAAGCAAAAGCCACAAGTCGTGCGACGAAGGTGGGAGTCTGATGGAATCTGATTACATCATTTACATCTGATTAAATTATATCTTACGGTGATCAAACCAAATGAAACATTGTTTCGCGATGTTTTGAGCACACTCACCAACACAAACCCTCGCGGCCTCCCCGCATCCCAAGCCGATGTGGAGGCAGAGGCGTACGCCATCGACACCCGTGTCAAACATGTGCAAACGTTTCTGAATCCTCAGCTCCCCATAGCTGAGATATACTGAGATGGTTGAAATTGGTTGAATATTGAATGCTGGCTTTGAAGTCCCGTGGCAGGAAGTCTTCCGATCGCCACCCTGACAGACCCATGAAAGCCCTGACATTGTGAAAACAGCTTGGGGACACATTCGTGCTTGCCAAATAAAAAAACAACTTGCCCGTTTGCACTCGATCTGGATGTCATGTAGGAATCTTCGCTGGGCCAAAAGCCCGGTTTGTTATGGTTTGTTCTGGTATTGTCCCAGCACTGGCACGGTTTGAAATAGTCTGAAGTCTTATGAAATCATTTCGGCCCAGGCTTGATCAAACGAGTTGAATCGTGTGCGTCAGGTTCTACAGAACTCTCCTTACACACATTTACACACTCTCTGACAACCGGCCCCAGTCCACATTGCACTTTACGCAATCCAAAGTTCTCAATGCAGCATGCGCAAGCTCGCAGAACTGCTGTCGCCATCGGCCCGATATCCTGGGCACTTGCCAGCTGAAATTCAATACGCTCAGACAATGGTTTTGGCCAAGATCCAACAAGGACAAAGGCACTCTTACTATGAGCGCTTAGCGCCACAAGTAAATTGTACCCTGAGAACTTGAATTCATTGGAAATTTGATAAGTTATATAATTCTCATATAGGTAGATTAAAGGATCGATACGCAATGTTTTGACCACAATTGCAGTCAAAATTATGTAATAATAATATACAATTGATTGCATTTATAGAATCATTGCGTCAAACCCACACAATGCAAGCATGCAGCCGGCTGATGGAAGGACCCATGCGGAGGCACTTTGAATTTGGACTGATCGCCAGTGGCCGCATCGTCCACTGCCTTTGTCAACGACCCAAACAATCAGCATTGGATGAAATTGGTTATTTTATGGTGTTTTATGATTCATGGTGAGTCATGATGATTTTTGTTTTGCGCTGTCCATCTTTGTTGTCCTCTTCTGTTCTGTTAGCCTTATGTTGGCCCTTCAACTCTTCAAGTCAAGAGTCGGACCCAGCAGTAAAAGAAGTATGCAGAAACTCGATCTGCGTTACACAGTCATTACACATGACGTATGCAGCTGAGACAGCTGGAACGGATTTGGAAACAGTACAACGATGTACGTGTGACAACCTCGTCTGTTGGCATCCATTTTGCCGCCTTTCCTGTGGCACTGAAGAGCCTCTTGCAATGCCATGATGCTGGAAAGTAGATCATCAAAGCATCACCGCTGAATTTGATGACGTCACCCCTGTACGCATTGATAAGCCTGAGTTCAGGATAAGTATGAGTAAGTATGATAAGTCCGAATCAAGAATAAAAAGCTGAAGGCAACTGGCAGCGAAGTCCATTGTGTCTGGAATTCAACACGGGTTTCGAGGCTTACTGAGAATCTCACAGACTGCATGTGTGGGGTGTTCTGCACATTTCTGATGCATCACAAATCCCAATTTCAACCACTGCTACGACTGTAAATTTGCGCCAGTCTTCCAATCATTTCCAATCGAGAAACTGAATTAGTGGCGTAAAGAATGATGTCAAACATTGCGAGAGCAGTTCGGCTCCGTTGGTTTTCAGTGCCAGCCGCTCGGTCAGAGCTGTAAAACCACTTGCATCCGAAAACACCACGGCACCAGAACCTCTGTGAAGAACCAGAGTTTCCGGATGCACGTCGCCTTGCAGGTAGGCCTCTTGCAAAATCCAGGGCACGAAAGCTAACGATCCAGAGAGAGCCTCGTTATTGCGATTCCTTGGCTGAGAAAACTCCATCCAGGTAATTTCTGCCAAAATCCGTCAAGAACCAGGCTTCAAGGCTTCAAAAATTCTAAGGTCTTGTAAGGTCCTATGTCCTCTCTCCAAAAGCCAAGTTGCTTAAACCACTTTACAGCATCCATGGGCAAAGGTTTTCGATTGCCCTGTGCATCCTCAATATCCAAACCTAAGAGCACACGACTGGAACTCGGATGCTTGCAAGCATGTCCACAACTTGACTTTTGAAATTGTGTACTCCGCAGACTCATGCAGACTCTGCAGCGACGCTAAGATATATTGAGGTCATTCCCATGCCATCACCCTCATCATTCACCCATGCCATGCGTGCCACTCGCCAAGCAAAACACCTCCAGCATAGCAAAATGAACATGATCTTAAGGATTGAATTATATTATATATATATACATATTGAACTGGACGTACGTTGGTCATCGTTGGGGATTCTCCGGCGTACTTGTCGTGAGTGACTTGAGGCCAAGGAGCCTCCTCTTTCAGTGGCATGAACCAGTTGCCGAGGCTCATCCTGCTCCAGTTTGCCTTTGGTACGGCTCGTAAGGCCCTTGGAGACGTCCAAACCTGGAGCAAAAATCAGCCACAACCCGTCCGATGAAAGACGCCCTTGGGTGGATTTGGAGGCCCATAAATTGTGAGATATTGTGAGATAACTAGATATGATGCAATGATATGCACCAAGAACCCAAAGGACACAGTAGTCACAGTAAAAATAATGCACCAAAATTCCAAGAAACCATCCATGGCAAACATCGATTTCCGTGGAGAAGTTTCATCATCCGATCTGGGTATGGACTGGACATGGCTTTTGGAGCCACTTCCACCCATGCTGCAAGAGAATCACACCTTCCTCTACTCTACATAATGGAGGAGGGTTCTTGAGCCTGAGGACTTCGGATGGTGTGGCACATGGCATTGAACAAACACATGTAATTAATAGTAATTCTGCGTGTCTATGCATGTCTGCAAAACAGCAACGTGAATGGAGGCAATCCACTTAACAAAAGAACATACACAGGGCGGCCGGTTTGCTGAATTTCCGGTCAATGTATCAGTGATGTAGCCGGGCCCCCAAAGTCAGACAGGGCAGGGGTTTTCCTGTCACGCCGAACCATGCCACGCTTCATCTTGAAATCATCTAAGATCCAATTGATAAGCCTGCCTGGCGCCCTGACGCATGGTGGCCCGGAAACGAATGGGCGGACGCTCATCATGTTGTCACGGGACTTGGTTGTTTTCGAATGGCTTTAAGATGCTTTAAATATCCATGAGTACGCTCTTGGCATCCTTATTGTAGAAAAATACTTCCGAAATCTCCCTGCCAAACCACAGCTGGGTTGAGAAGCGACAACTGTTTGGAATTTGGAGCAGCATCGGATAGATATGGCTTGATGATGCTTGATGAGATTATCACGTAGTTATTGTGAAAAGCTTGCTCTCAGCGATTAGAGCAGCCAAGGGAAGTAATTCTCATGCTTGTCCTTTGACATCCTTGTATGACTGGTACAAGCTGAACAAGCTGGTTTCAGCCTATCATGGTTTTTTATATATATATATATAATCATGGCAAGTCCGGCTAATTGAGCCCATGATTTCCGCAGACCAGTTCACAAATGCTTCGGTCCCAATTTGCACTTCTGTATCTTCTGCCCTCCGAAATGGCCTTTTTTAATGGTCACTTTGGCCACATTTTCTCGACCTCTGTCCTACCTCTACTTTTCGATCCGTGATCGTGACTGATGCTGGAAAGATCTGGAAAGATCTGCATGGGAATCACAGGACCTTTTTCACCTGCATCGTCTTCATCGCCGAAAAGCCGACGGGCATCGGAATGCCGAAGCTGCAGGCGTGCATCCTCGATCTTTTCGAAGAGATCTTCGACGTCCTCAGATTGCAACACGAGAAGTGCTGACGGGTCGCACACTGAGACTTCTCATCCAAAGCCAAAAGCATCCAAAAGCAACACAAGACATCACAAGACAACAAGACAACTGGTTGAATGCAAAGTGTAGTGTGTAGTGGACTGGCCAAGGTTTCCTCAGATCAAGGATACGATTCACTGCATCCACTCATGATCATGATCATGATGATGATGATGATGATGATGATGATGATTATGATGATGACGATGATAAAAAATGATTCAACATGTTTCAAAATGATGATGAAAATAAGGAAAAAAATCGGGAGAAGCAAAGGTTCAATGCACACATCCGCAGCTGTGCCAACTTCAGCATTAAGGCAAACCAATTCAAAGCAATGGAGGGCCTGCAGCAGCATGGAATGCATCACATGCTGGGGATATTTGGCACCTAGATTTCAGAGGGATCCCTGGCAACCAGCATGCAACCAGCTCCAGAACCTCTCAGATCTCTCAGCTGAATCTTGCCTGGTTTCCCTAATGATGCCATATTAGATGCCTGATGTATGTCACATATTGTCACAGAGGAAAGAAAAATGAATCGCGAATCAGGCCGTTCGGCCCTCACACCTCTTCGAAGTCATCAAGCTCTGCATAGACATCGCCCAGCGCAAGGAGACACCTGGAGCCATCTTCTGTACCAATACGACCTCGCCATTCCAATATAGTCCTCGCAACGAACCAAACTTATGCCACTTAAGCCAGACATCAAAACATTGCAAGTATATGCTTTGCACATAGAGAATCATAAAGATAAAAGAGAGAGAGAGAGAGCCAAACATCGGAGTTTGTTATTGAACACTCCACACGGTTTGCAATCGGATTCTGATGTTAAGGTTAGAGTATCATTTCAGAATGAGTCTGATTCTGTTTCACCCTTATATACACATCCTTATGCTGATACTTCCTGCCATAGCTTTATTAGAGAGAGAGTCCAAGCATGTCATATAAATCCTGAACCTCACCTGCACTCTTCAATGATTAAAGCTGCTGCTAGGATCTCTCAGGCATTGATTGAAACTCGTCTCCTTGCTGCTTGCAGCGGTTCAAGTGCAGCCTCTGCGTCTCCACATCCGTTGTATGCCAAGCCCAGCCCCTGCAAGCAGCGAGCAGCTAAAGGGGTATCTAAGTCCTCTGTCTCCTGCAGCGCGCGAAGCGGCGAAGCGCAGCAAAGCAAAACAACATGGCACACTATGGCACACTCTATCCTTCTCCGGACGTAATGTATCTCTATAAAATATCTGGGGTGCTATGCGTATGTCAATATACATATATATATATAATTATATATTATATATGTGATAGTCATAAATATATAGTCATAAAAGTAATATGCATTGACATGTGTATAATTCTGCTAATTTAACGTGTCTTCGTCGTCGTCTTCTTCTTCTTTTTCTTCTTCTTCTTCTTCTTATTCTTCTTCGTCTTCTTCTTCTTCGTCTTCTGCTTCTGCTTCTTCTTCTTCTTCTTCTGCTTCTGCTACTTCTTCTTCTTCGTCGTCGTCGTCAAGCAAATAGCAAATGAATGTGTCAGTCATAGACCTTCGTGAAGTTTCTCTGCTACCTGTACATGCGACATAATGATCAAAAATGGTTGGGCACCTGGCTTGCATGCACCGGTGGCACCATAGCAGTTCTTTGCTGGAAGCCATTTCAGATTCTTCTCAATACACTGCGGTGTTTGCATTTTGATTTCATTGTTCGCTGCAGTACAACGTCGTTCTTGCACTTGAGCAAACGATACTGTCATCCTCTAGTTCGTCCAGCACATCTTCAAAGGTGTCCCGGGCAGCTTGGAAATTTTCGCTGGCTAAATGTGCCAAACCTGGGTGCAAAAATGATGCAAACCCCAATCCCGCGTCCCGATCTTCTGACTCCCCCCGACTCAAGTGGTTCTTAATGACCTGCTTCAAAAGTCAACGGCTTTTGACATTCACCATCATTCATCCAAAAAAAAATCAAATCCATCATTCACCATCATTCACCATCATCATTCACCATTCATCCAACAATATCCAACACATGCGTCTGGACTTCTGGTCACCAGTGTCTGCTTTCTGCCAGGCACCTAAGCTCGCCATGGAAGCGACCTCTGGTGGCAGAGCTTGGAGCTCCAAAAGCGCTTCTTGGTGCCGACCAGACCTGAAAATGATCCACCGTATGGACCCACAAGAGGACAGGATGAGTCAGGACAACTCAATGTGCATCAATATTATTATTATATAATCAATATTATATAAAATGATTGTAATATCATCCGACATGTTGCCAGATGATAGATGTTGACAGTTGACACATTACCATGAAGCCTGGCCTGACAAGCAAGTCTCCAAGAACTCTCCGCACGAAAATGCCAGTGTCTGAATCAAGGTCACCTTGGATGCCAATAGCTGAAATTGATGCGATGTGTGTGTGTGTGATTGTTCAGACTAATCTATGCCTATGCTCCTTATCTATTTGTCTTGTGATTGTGTTTATACATGTTTACACAAAGAATGATTCATTGTTCAACGGATTTGCCTTCCAATCAATATAATAAATTCACTTATTTAATCATTTCCTTAACTTTAACTTTGTTCATTTGTTTTCTTAACGTTTGGCTCCAGGATCTAATCTAGAGATGTTAATGGGCAAATGATATGATGGCAAATGAAAATTGTTGAAAATCCCTTTCCAACCTCAGTAGTCTGCTAACTGCTAATTGCTGTTGTCTCCAGTCCAAGCACCGCTTCCTCTCAACAGCTCCATGGCAGATTCGCATTGCTCAAGGCTCTTCTGCAAGCCTTGGGCGGAACCGGAACCTCAGCATGGCCAAAAAACAAGAGGCCTCGAAATGTCAGATGTTGTGAGGATTTTCAGGCAAATATGATATATATATATACATAAATATAGACACACACACATATATATATATATAGAAATACAGACATTTATATAATTTATACATAACTATATAATATATTATAATTGGTGGGGTTTCCCTTTGACAGTTACTGGATTTCCATGGGCCCATGATGGCCCATGCATTTCCAGAGGCCCCTGCGTCGGCTCCTAGCTGCAGCTCTGCGTGCCATTAGCGCGGCGCGTTGCGGTGCAGCCAGCCTGTGTGCACGCAGACATCTTTCAACCACCGTCCTTTTGCAGTCTGTGCTGGACGTTCAGGAAGCATTATGTACATTCATGATCATTTATGTAATTACAAGATATGAAGATATCTGAAGGTGGATAGCCATATGAATACATTGCGCGTCCGCGATATAATGTGGTTCGAAATATGCTTCATCCCGCCAATCATGTTATATAATCACCCAAGATCCCTTGAGGCCACGTGTGGAAAGCACATTACATGAAAGCGCTTGATTAGCATCAGAAAAGCAATGCGCAGCTACCATGATGGCAGAAGTCAGCAGAGCATAGCAAAGCACGCTTGGCTTCTCCTGAGTTCTTGATCAAGTTCTCCTTGCGCCTTCTCAAACCATTCCTCGGATGATTTGGATGACAATGTTCCAGTTTGGCCGAACGACATCCCACATGCTGGCAGAGTGCTTCTAAAGGGCGGAGCATGCGCTTGCAAAATGTTGCAAAGAGTTGCGAGTCAGTTTGTGCTGGCACACAATCACTCGAAATCTTCACCTCACAAAACAAAGAAGTTTCGGCTTTCTGAACGCCAAGCCGCAAGTGCTATGTCGGGAAGGGAATCTTCAAGGTACGCGTCTCCAATCCTTGGTCTCCAATGTTGTACAGCAGCATGTAAAACGTCCTTGCCTCATCGCAACCTGGGAAAAATTCAGTGCTTTCAGGACGTCCCCGCACTGGTGTCATGCCGCGCGACCGCATCAGAAGGTCGACGCGTTGAGCGGAGTCTGTGAGCAGGCCTCTTGGAGAAATCTGGGCACATGGCATTAACATGCATTGACATCCTTTGCTAAGTAACTAGAAGAAGGTGGCTCGAAACTCTCAAAGCTCTTTAGCATCCACACCCCTCCGATTCTCCTGTGATCTCCTGTGTTTTGCAGTGCCCCAAGAACTCAGTCCCTGCCTAAGGCAGCCTCGAAGCACTCCCGCGCAAGGCGTGGTTCTCGGCAGCTGCACCCTGCTGCGACCAGTTCTGAGACCTGCCCCAGAGCAAAGGACTTCAAGGCTCTAGAAATGTCCAAAAATTCAAACACCGAGCATAGGAAGTGTGAAACCAAGCGGGGCCCATCATGTCATTGTCATCGCCAAGCGATGCCAATCGCCTCGATCCTTTCTTGATCCTTCTTGGATTATATAGGATGTATTTGGATGCACTAAGAGATATTAGCATTAGTAGCAGTCTTTAATGAGCTCATAAACATCATAAACATTCACAAAGAAGAGAAGTATCTGCGCTCATATTTTCACTGGAGTTCCCGAGGGCCGATGACTCAGCTTGTGAGCTGAAGCCGGACGAAAGCCCAGCTTTATCGTCCAGTGAATGATGGAAGATGGTCCGTTCGGAGCGAAGAAAATCCGTGGACCATTTTTTACAGATCATGCGAAGGTTCCCAGCGGCAAAGTTGCATCTGCGAAGTGAAATCAGCAGCATACAACTGGATGCAAATTGGAAGCTGTTTTTCTTTTAACAAAGCAAATATTCTATATTTAACAAAGCAAATGTTCTATATCTTTCGATATCCAGTACTTGGTTCTACATCGCTACATGTTCTCGTCTGTTTGATGTCCGCAGATGAAATTTGTGCAGCTTCTGGTACTGGGCGAAGATAAATCTGGATCACTTGCCAGGACCAAAGACCGGTTCCAATGTGTAGGTCTCAACCTCAATTTTGCTGACACCTTCAATGCCATGCCATCGCCGAACCAGCTCCTTCCAGGTGTGATGCAAGAACCATCCTGGGATTGCGTTCCCAGCTTAAGTAGCTTGAGTGCCATTGAATGCAGTCGGTCCTCTTCTGGGTAGAACTGCATTCCTGACCAGTCTTCGAAGGCATCGAGTGCTAGTTTACCTCGGCCACAGCTGATGCAAGGGCGAATGACACATACCAATAGGCACCACAACCCCTATATAGCTTCTGCTTCTGCTATTAATTGACGGTCAAATGGCAGAAGCCAACAGGAGCCAAAAGATCTCAGAAGAACACGGAACATCACGGAACTAGCTCATATGTGAACTAGCATGAAGTGGCGACTCTTCCTGCCAATTCGTCTGAGCCGCTGATCACTTTGAACTCTTTGTTGCATCCGCAAACGACACGCTGCACAGAAAGAACCCCTTGCACTCTTCGAAGTGCGGGAAGTGCAACTTCCTCCGGAGAAACAAACGGTCACTGAAAGCTGCACATGAATCTTTGGAGTTTCAAGTTCAATCAAGTTGGTTTTCAGACATTGTCTTCACAATGTACTCCTTTAACATCTCTTAACACACAATTCATCGTGACCCACTATGGCCCCGTATCAGTCCTGCGGGGATTGCAGGGCAAGTGAGGGGTCTATGGGATTCTATGGGTATAGGGCGACAAGTCGTCAGAAGGTCTTGTCTCCCTAAAGGTGATCAGGGAATGCTTCCTTCACAGCTTCAGAGCTTACGCGGGCTTCCTTTTCCCCTACTGAAAATGAATGGATAATGGATGATAATGGGCCTTTCAGCGTGTCTCCATCTCTATGTGCATTTTCTACTTACAGTATTTATCTATTCATGTCAGAACCTCGTCGGGGACCACAAAAGGCATCTGGAAGAATCTGCCTGTGATTTCACCTGAAAAGCGCGCACTTCTACCTTTCACCAAAGAAATCTGGTCTGTCAGCTAAACAATTGGAGCTGAGACATGAACTTCCAGCCCCCTCACTGAATCCAAACCAACCCAAGGATAGCTGTGAAACTTGAAACTTGAAACTATGTGGTACTTGTCGGATGCTGCCGGGAAGAATGAGAAGATACATAATACTGAAGCGTTGCATCTGCCCTGCAGGCTCCTCCAAAACCCGCTGGAGTTCTGTCAGAGAGCGTTTGTCGTCGTCTTCACTCCACACACACCGCCATTCGCGGGCGAAGGTGTTGTAGTGAATTTCTTTGATCAAATAGGCAGAGTTCCTGGCGGACACTTCACAGAAAATTCCGGCGGAGGTTCAGATCAACTGCTATGCCAATCTCCGGAGTTGCTTCAAAGTCTTGCTCTTAGAGGTGTTCGCAAACCATGCAAAACATATCAACAATATTCAACAAATGCCAAGAGTCCTGCAAGCTTTTTTCCACAACTCTGACTCGTACAGCTTCAATTGGGACATCTGCGCATAGGACAAGGAGGATGGGTCCTCCACCATTGGCTTGTCCTGTGGTGCAGCATCAACTCTATTCAGCCAAGGGGCCAAGGAGATGGAACTCAGCCTATCCCAATGGAGTAATTTTATGTAATTTTCACACCCCGCTCTGCGCTAAACAGTCACTAAACCTGCCTCTGATTTGACGATCGCCATGGTGCCGCCCTCCAACAATTGGTTTGAGCCACTCAAATGATCTGCGCTTGAATCTCTTACAAGCTACTCAATGACATGGACATGGCATGCTCACAAGCAATTGGGGCAAGAAAAGCTGGCTCCACGATATGATTATGTCTGATCTGCAACATTTTTGAATAATTTTGAATATGTGTGAATATCTTTAAATATGTTTGTATAATTTTGTATATGTAAGAGATCATTTCCAATCATCCTGATGTCCTGTCGCCAGCTGGCCTCCTCGTCCATGCAACGCCGGCCTTGCAGAGATTGTCGAGGCAACCGTGGAACCTGCACGATGGACAAAGTACCGCCACCTTTCGTGGACCCTTTGAAGTCATTTGCAGCCGCAAAATTCCCATGACAACAATCGCATGATAATTCAAAAGAGAATATCAAGGATATCAAGTAAGCAGAGAAGAGAGATGGATCAAAACAAACAAAGGCTGGAAGCATGCCATCACACCCCAACTTCTTTTCTAGCTAGTTGTATCATGTTGTATCTGTCCAGTGCCCGGCTTACGGAAGGGTCTAATTCAAATGTACAAGCAATCCTGAGTTGTAGGCCCAAAAGGTGGTTGGTCAAACAGAAACTTTTTCATACTTTTTCTATACAGTACATATCAGTACATGATAGAACTGGATGACTTGAATTCAAACGATCAAATAATTGCCAAATCTGCACATACCAGGGGTGGAGGCAGCCAGTCATCCTGACCACCTGCCTGCACCCAGCTCTGCATCCATGCTCCCTGGATTCAGGATCATCAGGATCATGGTGGTCCACAAATATTCAGAAGCCACGCAGTATGGTGTTCAACGGCGATAGATCTACGAACAACAAAGGGATCAAGCACATCATTGACAAAATATAACAAAATGATACAAAATGCTGTCTTCCATCCTGGAGGTGCAACTGGGGACACCAGAATTCAAGAGAAGAATACTGGACACTCCAGGGTTTGCCGCCAAGCCACTAGAGCCAGCAGTCCGATTACGGACACTCGTGCCATGGAGCTTCATGAAGAAACATGCATGATCCCACAAATGCGAAATTATCCGAGCGTCGCACAGTGAAAGGAGTCTGAGTTAATCAAACATGTTCAAGACTATGGACACCCATAATTCTTACATATTCTTACCATACTCGTTTGAAGTGAGCTCAAGCAGTCAACCATGTTCGCTCCAAATTAAGAAACATAAGCATACATAGGGAAGAACCTTGTCACATTAACTTTATGCATGTGTGAATGACCATATTATGTTCATATCGTTCTCTCTCTCTCTCTTCTTCTCTCTCTCTCTCTATAAAAATATTAATATAATATATATATGTGTGTGTGTGCGTGTCTCTTTACGTATCTATGCAACTTTTCAACTACATACGCATACTTGTTTGCATGAGTATGTGGCACATCCATGCAAATACAATGACATGACTTCAACAAACACAAATTCAGTGGGTAATTATATGTAATTATCACTCTCAGTGGATGGATTGAGCAAGAGTTCAACAGGCTGTCGCGCTCCAACGTTGTGCTTCATATGTGTGAACCTTCACAGTTGCAGTCCCCCTTCATCAAATCAATTGGCCAGTCTGATTTTGACTCGACCTGGAAAGCTGCGGAACGTTGACATGCCAACCAAGTTTTGAAGTGAAGACTCACTTCACCCTACTTCACACATGTTCACCCTATCTCTCCCTATGTAAAATGCGAAGCAGATTGTGGAGAATGGATTTAGAATCGTGGTATCGGCTTCTCTCTCTTTTGCGTTCTCTCTTCATTCTTTTCTAGATTCTACATTGCCATCTCTGGTGACTTCTCTGTATCAGCCATGACCAATGGGTCTGCCATTTGGTGATGGACATTCAAGGACTGATGATACTGATGAGCTGTTGCATTTTTTTAGAGAAAGGTAGAAGTGTCATGGAGTGTTTACAGTAGGTGTGTCTTACCCGTGTGTTCCTCACGCTTCCTCTGACAAAGCTGGGGATTCCGACTTCTGCGGCGGCTGCCACCTGAATAACTAAGATTTGGAAGTCAAAGCGCGTCCGTGAGCTGCACGTCCGTCTAATAAAACAAGGGCAAGCCCGGAAAAGTAGTTTGATGGAGATGTTATCAAAATATGACGCAGGTAAAATTTCAAGCTGGTGATATTGTTTGATGCATTTTGGATAAGGGACTTACAACGGAACAAGCTCCAAACCAGTTAAGTACAGCAAAGAGTGTGCCGGAGTTTGTTGTGGATAGTGTCTACAGCAAGTCATCATTCCGTCATTCCCTATGGAACATCTTCGAACCCGGGGGCACCTTGATGCATGCAATCCAAAGATCACATCGCTGGTGAGGACATTTACATACATTTAGGTCATCCTTGTCCATGAGATTCCATGAGTGTCCAGTGTGGTGTAGCTTCTTCCCCAAATTCAATGCAGTGAGCTGCTGAGCAGCCCCAAGCACACAATGCTGCATGTTACATGCTCATTCAACGAGAGTTTATTGCTTGAGTTTGAGAGTGTTAAGCGAACCTATTTGCAGAACAATAATCTAGAATCTAGAAATCTTGAAGGGACTCTAAAGATCATGATGTGACTCAAAAGGTTTGCCGCCAAGCCACTAGAACCAGCAGTCCGATTACGTACACTCGTGCCATGGAGCTTCATGAAGAAACATGCATGATCCCACAAATGCGAAATTATCCGAGCGTCGCACAGTGAAAGGGGTTTGAGTTAATCAAACATGTTCAAGATTATGGACACCCATAATTCTTAAACATTCTTACCATACTCGTTTGAAGTGAGCTCAAGCAGTCAACCATGTTCGCTCCAAATTAAGAAACATAAGGATACATAGGGAAGAACCTTGTCACATTAACTTTATGCATGTGTGAATGACCATATTATAATCATATCGTTCTCTCTCTCTCTCTCTTCTTCTCTCTCTCTATAAAAATATTAATATATATATATATGTGTGTGTGTGCGTGTGTCTCTTTACGTATCTATGCAACTTTTCAACTACATACGCATACTTGTTTGCATGAGTATGTGGCACATCCATGCAAATACAATGACATGACTTCAACAAACACAAATTCAGTGGGTAATTATATGTAATTATCACTCTCAGTGGATGGATTGAGCAAGAGTTCAACAGGCTGTCGCGCTCCAACTTTGTGCTTCATATTTCATATGTGTGAACCTTCACAGTTGCAGTCCCCCTTCATCAAATCAATTGGCCAGTCTGATTTTGACTCGACCTGGAAAGCTGCGGAACGTTGACATGCCAACCAAGTTTTGAAGTGAAGACTCACTTCACCCTACTTCACACATGTTCACCCTATCTCTCCCTATGTAAAATGCGAAGCAGATTGTGGAGAATGGATTTAGAATCGTGGTATCGGCTTCTCTCTCTTTTGCGTTCTCTCTTCATTCTTTTCTAGATTCTACATTGCCATCTCTGGTGACTTCTCTGTATCAGCCATGACCAATGGGTCTGCCATTTGGTGATGGACATTCAAGGACTGATGATACTGATGAGCTGTTGCATTTTTTTAGAGAAAGGTAGAAGTGTCATGGAGTGTTTACAGTAGGTGTGTCTTACCCGTGTGTTCCTCACGCTTCCTCTGACAAAGCTGGGGATTCCGACTTCTGCGGAGGCGGCTGCCACCTGAGTCTCGTACCACTACTTGACTGGAGACAGCCATGGACAGCCACTGGTAGGGCTCAAGCGTTGCAGGGGGCTTGTTCGCCATCTCCAGCGGCTGTGGGGAAGCACTGAAGTCCACCTTTGTCTCTCAAAGAGGTGGATCTGGAAATGTCCAGGGATATCCCTCTGGCTAGCAATCTGACAGGATCTGAAAGGATCTGAAAGCCCAACTGTTGAGATTCTCAAGTGACTAAATCATGCGCTGAAAGCCAGTGCTCTCTGAAAAAAAAACACCTGGGTCTTGACAAGTTTTGTCATGCCTGAGTGCTCGACGGTCAGTTCCCCTCCGCTGAGAATGTTCTCTGCAGCCCACAGCACAACCTGAACCATGAACGGTCATCAACCAACTTTCCACCTTTGATAGTGCAAATAAAAGCTGCACTGCCAAACGCTTGCCGCAAGTCCTTTCAATCCCCTGGGCTTGATGATCTTGATGCGAGTCTGAATGATTTGTATATGATTTGCATGTTGCCTCAAGAAGAAAACTCTCTACGTGATGTCTACTTCAACTCCAAGCCCACCCGAAACTGCCGCAACTTCCAACATGTTGTGATGGACACTGGTCTACACCTCATCGTCTCCGCGATAGCTCCAGTGCCTTGAAGGCATCAAATGCGTCCACATTCCATAGGCCCTCACATGGCTAAGATAGGCTAAGCCGCTGGCAGCCTCTTTCATCATCTTTCATCCACTTTCCCCAAAATTTTCAATTTGATCTCAATTTATTTTATTGTTTGTCCATGTTTATCCATGTTTATCCCGCGGGTTCACTAAGGTTTGAGCAAGTTTGGTGCCTGCGCAGTAGTGTAGACCTGGCAGCCAGCCCCGGCGATCCCGTGGGACAACAATGGTGACAACGGCGCCGAATAAGCAATGGTGGCAAGGTGGCAAGCAAGGTGGCCTGGGAAACACCTGGGAAACACCATGATGTTCATAAATGTTCATAAATGTTCGGAAACACCTGGGAAATACCAATGATACCATGACAGAAATGTTCAATAAATTTTCATAAATGTTCATTGTGGATCAAGTTTCCAACGCTCTGTCCTGGCAAAGGTGGTTTTGGAAAAAGCACTTGCTACTTGCAAATTGGGTTCACCATTTCACTATTCGGCGATTTCATTTCCGATGACAAAATATAGGGGCCCGTGCGATTTTTGGCAAACCCTTGCCTGAGAGAAGATAGCACCCAATCACTTACTTGATGGGCGTTCCCAAAATTACAACTGGCTTTGAATAACATTGAATAACATCAATCATCCGATAATCATCCCAGTCACACTGCACTTTCTCAAGAAGCCAATGCGGTGTGATCAGACTTCAGACATCTCGGGCTGCTAATCATGCTATGCTGCTATGCTCCTGTTCCAGGAGCTGACAGATGCTTTGAATATCTTGAATTCGAGGAAAAATCTCAGCCTTCCGCAGCTTCCTGTCACAAGTACGCCAGGCTTTGAATGGTTTGTCTGCGTTTGACTCATTGATACTCATTGTTTCGGCCCTCAACCTGCTAACTATATAGACATATCTCTATGCATACATCTACCATACACCCTTTGAACATCTTTGAACCAACTTAGCTCACCAACAAGCACCACCTTGCAGCTAAACATGTCAAAATGATGTCCGTACCTTGCGGAGGCTTTCCAAAGAGTCAGGCTCCACAGGATATGTGGGTAGTTCTGGCCACCAAACGCCGTTTCCATCGTAGGGGTTGTGGTAGAACCAACCTCCCCACTGGACAAGTTGCAGAGCTGCTTCGGCAGGGGCTGTGGCAGCTGTGATTGGCCAGGGTCAGGTCCACTTGTGACATGATTCCTGAACATTTTTGGTATGAAATATCATTGATATATGATATATGTAATTGATATATCATTGACTACTGTTGTGATTTGATGTGATTTGCATTTTGCATAGGGGTGAAAAAACCAGGGAAGAACCAGCAACCTCTTGAGAGACCTGCCTCCATCCTCTGCCTGGAAGAGGCGCCAGCCAGCACAGACTGCTGCGTCCTGCGAAGGAACCTCCCATTGGGTTAAGCCTGACCGCGCCATGCCGCACAATGCCACAAACATCCACAAATCATCCATCAGATTTCCTAACTGGCCCACACCCAGCCAAGATCGCAACGGGAATGCCTGAAACAAGATTGTGGTAGTAGACAATGCCTTCTTCCGTGGCAAGAGCCTAACCAGTCCACCCATTGCTGGCATGGGCTCTGAGAGGCTCTGAGTCATTTTGAATACAGTCCTAACTTACTCTAAGACATCGGGTCTCACATCGTCTCGCACAAGCTTGCAATTTGCCTCCCAACCATGCGGCAGGCGCTGCTCCGAAGTCATTTGGCCAAGGTCCTGGGAAATCAGTCAGAATTTCACATGCATTGCAAAGACTACAAAACATCAGAAGATTTAACACCCAGTCGCTGCCATTCTCTGCCCTATTATCTTCAAATTGCACCACATTGGCATTCAAAAAATCGCTGGAAATGTTCGTACACTGTTTTATCCAAGTGGATGCAATATCGACTCACGGCCTCATTTTTGCAGACTATATATATATATATGTATGTATGTATGCATGCATGCATGCATGCATGTATCTATCTATCTATCTATCTATCTATCTATGTATCTATGTATCTATCTATGTATCTATCTATGTATCTATGTATCTATCTATGTATCTATCTATGTATCTATGTATCTATCTATGTATCTATGTATCTATGTATGTATCTATCTATCTATGGATGGATGGATGTATGCATGTATGCATGTATGCATGTATGCATGTATGCATGTATGCATGTATGGATGTATGGATGTATGGATTTGTATGTATGTATATATGTGTGTGTGTATGTGTATGTCTATGTATATGTATATGTGTATATGTCAATATATATATATATATATGTATGTATGCAGGTAGGTAGGTATGTATGTATGTGTATGTATGTGTATGTGTATGTATGTGTATGTATATGTATATGTATATGTATGTGTATGTGTATGTGTTTGTATATGTATATGTATATGTATATGTATACGTATATGTATATGTATATGTATACGTATACGTATATGTATATGTATATGTATATGTATATGTGTGTGTGTATGTCTGTATGTCTGTATGTCTGTATGTCTGTATGTATGTGTGTGTGTGTGCGTGTGTCTGTGCCTTTATTGCTTTATGTAAGTATTTCAATATGTTTCAGCCTTCAGCTGTTCAACATAAAGTGGATAAGATATGATAAGATTGCATTACTTGCCTCTTCACCCATGAGCGCCAGCTCGTAAAGGTCAGGATCTGCTCTTTGAAGCTGCTGCAGGCTCTGGCTGATGCGTTTCTGCGCTGCCTCACAGGGCACCACTGCGTTGTAGGGCATCCGCTACATGGCACGGCACCAAACATGGCCACCGTTGCATCACCAAGACAGGACAGTCACTTCTGCACTCTACCTCGAGCTGTAGAAGCACACCAGCAGAGAGGTCCTGAACAGCTGTAGAGGAACAAGTGCAAACGTGAAAAATCAACATGCAGTCAATGGCAGCCAATGGATGTCAATGGCAGTCATTTGTAGTGCGCCTTGACCTTCTGCGGCCCTTCATTTGATGGATCCCAGAAGCTAGTTGCCTGCGATAGAAGGTAGAAAAGGCGAACACAAATCAATTTGAAAACATTTCAAAAAAATGAAGAAATATAGAGTACATGAGGTCTTCTACAGCAAATGTCTTCCGGTGTTCGCCCCACAGAAATCCGTTGCCTCCTGCCAGGCCACCTCGACCGAATTTAGAGCCCCCCGAAGTTCCTGCATGTCCTGGCGCCTGCGCAGCAAAAAAAAATGTTGCTGACTCCAACCCATTGTAGTCGTTAAATCAACTGGATATTCTAGGTCTTTCTTGGTTTGTCACCACTGGTTTAAGACATGAACCGACCAGGGACTTCATTTGAAAAGAAAAGCGATGCGGTGATGATGCTCGTGCATCTTCTGGGACGCTGCTTTCCAAAACTGTCCCGTCCAAGCCATGCATTTAGGTATGCATGTGCGAATAAATGCGCGTGTAATTCGTGTAATGTACATAAATCTTACATAATATATATATATATGTATACATATATATATATTACATGCAATAATTATAATATAAATACTATATACTATAATATTATATAATATGATTATATATATATACACACATGGGTGGGCCAATCATCTAGAGAATCCTGACGAACAAATGCCACGCCTTGGCGCAGCAGCGATCGAATAAATATCCTCCAGCTCCGGCGACAAGCCACGAGCCATGAGATCAGCCCGGGCGCGGGCGACATCCAAAAGACTCCTGAGCTGGGCGACAGTGGCACTACAGGGGCAAGAAATTACTAAAATCTGCTTGGGATTGTTTGAATCATAGACTGATTATGTTTTTGCGCGGACTTCCAGACTGTGGATGATACAATGTGTGACTGCAAGTATGGTTCATCATGGTGGAAAGATTTGGAAGGTAGATCCGCTACAGTATGGTATGTGATGTGAATGTTGGGCTTCAAGTAAATGTCGGACTCTTCAAAGCTTACAAGGTGCACTTCCAAGCCCACCATTACTTGCCAAAAATGTCACGTTGAAGTTATACGTTCATGATCGCCGGGGTCGCCCAAAAGCAGCCTTGAAAACAGACCCCAAATGTCATAAATTTCCCAGCACATTACATCACTTTCCCAACTTCCCCCCACTATAAACTATCCATTGATCTCAAATCGAGAGAAGGTTCGCCACGCAGCTTGCAATTTTTGTCCCAGCTTGATCCAGGTGCTGGAGCTCCAAACGCGAATGCTGCTGCAAGGCTTCAAAGGCCTGGCATCCAAATCGAGTCTTGACATGGCATGGCACGGACTAGCAACGCACTTCCAATGTTCAATATGTATCCATATGTTCAGCTAAGTAAGCACTTAGCAACCATTGGCCGTATGGGAAATGTAGAAAATCAGGACGATCCGTGAAAATAATTGAACCATATTGAACCTCTGCAATCTACTGGAGAAGGGATAACCCTCGAAGCTTCGCTTGCGGTTTCTGCCTCGGCGTCAAGCTTCTGCTGCTGCTGTTGCAATTCATGACGCTTCTGCATGAGGCCTTCTGCTCCAGCCTCAAGCACCGCCGGCTCTGGAAAACCCAAAGGATCGAATATAGGATCGAACATGATCGAACTAAAATGAACCTAAGTCGTCCAATGTTCCAATGTTTCACAAAGTATTACAAAGTTCAATTTTGCAGTTGTTTCAGTGATTTTAGCGTCGATGCAAAATCGAGAAGGCGTGCCAGCTGCAGATAAAGACACAGATTGGAACTGCTTCGCAAGCGTCTTTAAACGCTCTGTGGTGCGACGCAGCGCTCCCTGTATCTCGCCTGAAAATAAACATAGGCACTTGCAGTGCGTCACCATTTTTCAACTCAGAATAATTCAGATACCTCTCTCTCTCTATCGAGATACAGTAATTCAAGGCCTGCCTTCTGTCATGCTGGCAGCCTTTGGCGCCAGCACCTCCAGGATGTTGGCACTTGGCATTGGGACGAATGTCAGCGTTTCATAGTGGAACTCAAATCACGGGGGCACACGGTGCACCACCGCACAATGCTTCCAGAACACATGGCCTTGTAGAACTTCACTGGCCGGAGATCCTGCACACCAAGGGCGTGTAAGGCCAAGGCATGCAAAATGGATGGCTTGACATGATCAAATTGGACCCATTTTGATCGGCAGGATCTCAGCACAATAGGATCCGCAAGGAGCGCAATGACATCCACCCTTGTCCTGCAGCTCTTTTTCCAATTCCTCCGTCTTCTGGCGGTGCTGTGCCGCCCACTGCTCCCTCTGCTGTAGCAAAGCCATACGGTCCTGCCGCTCCTGCAGAGGAACGACATTGCAGCTCTCGTTGCATCACTCGGCAGCTGATGCACGATGCAACATCTCCTTCCCCAGCTGCTGGGACGTCTCCTCAAGCTCTTGTAGCAGCAGGCGTCTCTGCTCCTTCCAAACTGGAGGGCTTCACCGGTGGTTCAGCATGCAGGACGGGTGCCATGGGAAAACGTGACTATGGTGTGGAAACCAGCACGCTCACTAAATTCAACATGGAGAAGCCCCCATGCAGTACCGGTAAGTTTTGATAAATACATCTGAATTTTGCCTGTCGCATATTCCTGTGAACAATCCTGAACATCTATGTATATGCATATTTGTGTGTGTGCGTGTGCGCGTGCGCGCGTGCGCGCGGCGTGTGCACGTGGGCGTGGGCGTGGGCGTGTGCGTGGGCGTGTGCGTGGGCGTGGGCATCTGCGTGTGCGTGTGCGTGGGGGGGTGGGGGTGTGGGTGTGTGGGTGTGGGGGAACCCAACCCCTTCGGAAAGGATTGTTTAGCGAGCATGTTCGAAACGATTCCTTCTCCAGTGAGGCGCGGATATGTTGTCTGTAATCTTCTAAATCCCAATTCAGTATTTCTGCCATTGCCAATCTTCGCTCCTCCAAGTCGAGAATCTGCTTTTCTGCATCAACCTGCAAAGGCGGCTGCAAGGTCATGTTCTGAACCAGGCGTAGTGTTTGACAACGTGTTGGATTGCCTGCTTTGGGTTGTTCTCTGCATCTCGTGCGGCTTGCTTCGGTGCCTTGATTGTGCAAGTACACCCAGTGTATCAGAGTTACGTACTGAGATGCACTGTGCTATCTGATCGACCCTAATGCCTTTGGCGCACATGCCCAATTTCTTGCCTTTGATTGGCCAAGATTCTTCAAGTCTGGCGTCACGTTCTTGGAGGATCGCCTTTTCAAGACCAGGCAAAACCCAAGACCCACTGCTAACATCTGCCAACTTGCCCTTGCACTACACCGATCTATTTTTTTCTCCAAACGCCCAGGGAGAAGATGGGAGAAGCACCAATGCCTCACGGCGCTCATCTGCTGATTGAGCTCGCTTTTGGGCAGCCGATTCCACATCTGCGAGGCTTTGCTGCGCCTGAGGCAGACTGGATACAGCATAGCGCTTAAAAAATCGCACATGCTTGGCAAGCATCAAACCTTCAGCATTGCCTGGCCTTCCGCAAGGTCTGGTGCCTTTCCTCTCTGAGGCTTTTCAGTCTGCTTGCAGCCTGGGCCCACCAAAATTACGCAAGGAGGAGACATGGTCTCTTAGAAAGGCCAATCAAGTCCAGGTAATCGCTCCACCACCACAATCAAGTCAAACACAAACTGGGAAGAGTTTGTAGTGGGATCAATTAGAGTTTAGCATAGTTTAGCCATTTGAAGCCTGGCCGTGCTTCCTTGCTATGAGGAAAAATCGAATGACCGTACAACAAAGAACACTAGAGTCACTAGAGATAATCCGATATGCATTTTTCCTCATGAATTAATAGATTCTTGTACACGCATGTGTGTGCATATGTCTTTGATTGTGTTTGCATTATAGATATATAAACCGCGCAATTACGCCAATGGGCCATTACACATGCCCTGCCACGAACTTGGCACAACCTCATACAGTATCTCCTCGCCTCATCCAAAGAGACACGAAAAGCTAGGTAGTTCCGGACTGCATCTGCGGACGATCGGCAGCGCTCCTACCCAACAACACTCCCCAACGTAACGGCCACACTATGGAATGAATTAAAACGGATTTCATTGCCCAGGTGCGTGCATGCATGGAGTGAAACAACTAACACAAACAGCGCAAATCTCTCTGGATATCTCTGGATCCTTTTATTGAGTTGCAGCACGAATCAAAGCCTCGCACGACTCGCACGGCATCATTTTAGGGGATCTGGGCTTTACCATTGTGTCCTGAGAGGGTACAAGTAAATATGTAGATGGTTTGACCATGACTCTAGATTCTAGATCTATTCTCCCATGCTTCCAGCAGTCGTATATTGATGTATATTGTAAGGCATCCTGCCATGCTCAATCTCCCAGAAAACAAAGCCCTCCTAACAACCCTTCCTCTGCAGCTGCGGGCGTAGTTGGCGCTGGCACGCGTGCTTGCGGCGAAATGCTATCTCTTGAACAAAACTGTTTTCTGCTGGACATTCAGCATGGATCAAAATATGTCCAAACATCATGACTGGCGTGCTCTTTAATCTCTTCAATCTCTTTAAGACTACAGCCTGAGCGCTTCATTGTTCGTCTACATGTGAAATCCATGACATTCGAGCGCCGTGCATCGCTGTGCTATGCCATGCTGTGGTACAGCATTCCATAGCATCCCACGGTTTCCACCAAAGTCACCTGGCTGATCCCGAAGTTGTGCTCTCAATTGCTCCGCACGTTGCGCACTCAGAGTCCGCTGGCTCCGCAATTGCTCCGACTGCCCATCAGCCTCTCCGCGGCAGACGTCAACTGACATGGCAATGCGCGGGGATAGGACGTGACCAAGGGACCTATGGATACCTATAGATAACCTACTTGATATTACTTGATCCTACTTGTATGAAGCAATCAATTGGAAGCTAAGCTGGACAGGCTGGACAGGCTGGACAGGCTGGACAGCTGCACACAGAGTTGCACAGAAAAATCAAAGTGCAGAGAGCAACTTAAGTTGGATCAGCTTGGATAGCTTGGACCAAAGTTGGCGCCTTCAGCGACATTGCCACCTGTTGCGCCCATTGATGACTCTCGTAGGGCCTCGAGGCTTGAAAGGAGTGCCCTGAATCCTACCTGTCTTCAAACCCTTGGTGCCATGGTCAGGACAAGAATAGCTGGCAAATGGATGTTCATCCCCCCAAATGTGATTTGAATGGTTTTTCATGGTTTTGGATGCATTTGAATGGTTTTGAATGGTGTCTTAACCCATCCTCACCTTTGACAACGCCTAATGTTGGCTGCCTAATAGTAATTACCCCCCCTATTTTTTTTTTAAGGGGGGGTCAACCTTCATCTAAAATGTTTGGGAATCTATAGCTGGGATCACCTGAGAAGGGGGGAACGAAAGCCAGCATCCCATCTACCCCTATTTTCCACCATACTTTTCACCCAGAGACTCTTCAATACATTTCACCCATATACTTTTCACCCTTAGATTTTTCACCCAGAAACTCTTCTTGCACAGACTTTTGACCCATATACTTTTCACAAAGGGACTCTTCACCCAATTTTTTTTCTTGCACATACTTTTCGCCCATATACTTTTCACCCAGAGATTCTTCACCCAGAAACTCTTCTTGCACAGACTTTTCACCCAGAGACTCTTCACCCAGAAACTCTTCTTGCACATACTTTTCACCCATATATACTTTTTACCCAGAGACTTCACCCAGAAACTCTTCTTGCACATACTTTTCACCCAGATACTTTTCACCCAGAGAACAAAAATATGATTTCTCAGTATTTGAAGTTAGGTCAATCGGCGAGGCAGCAAAGGACCATAAGAATGCACTAAATCTTGAGCGAATAAGGTATGCTGCCCATCTTGCTAAAAAGTACCATCATGGAACTTCTGCACATCACATGGTGTTAATCAAAACGGCCATTTTTCCATTGCTTTTCCAATGTTTCACGCGTGCTTTACGTGACTTGGCATCATTTTACCCTCTCCTCATTGTTTCCACCGTTGTAATCAATTTTCCAAGCGTTCTACTCAAATTTGCCATTGCTTTCCCATTCTTTTCCCATTGTTTTACGTCATATTCCCTCATTTGTTCATTGTTTATCCCAAATTTCAGACATATGGCATGAAGATTGCATTGCTTACAAAATTTGGGCAAAAACTGAACTTCTGCACATCACATGTGTGTCATCTCCTCATATCGAAACTGCAATTTTTCCATTGCTTTTCCATTACGCGATACAGGACCATAAGAATGCACTAAATCTTGAGCAAATAAGGTATGCTGCCCATCTTGCTAAAAAGTACCATCATGGAACTTCTGCACATCACATGGTGTTAATCAAAACGGCCATTTTTCCATTGCTTTTCCAATGTTTCACGCGTGCTTTACGTGACTTGGCATCATTTTACCCTCTCCTCATTGTTTCCACCGTTGTAATCAATTTTCCAAGCGTTCTACTCAAATTTGCCATTGCTTTCCCATTCTTTTCCCATTGTTCATTGTTTATCCCAAATTTCAGAATGAAGATTGCATTGCTTACAAAATTTGGGCAAAAACTGAACTTCTGCACATCACATGTGTGTCATCTCCTCATATCGAAACTGCAATTTTTCCATTGCTTTTCCATTACGCGATAATGGTCCCACATCGGAGCCTCAATTTTACTTGGCATCATTTTACCCTCTCCCTATTCTTTCCACCGTTTTTCCTCGCGTATCAATTTTCCAAGCGTTCTACTCAAATTTTCCATTGTTTTCCCATTTTTCCCATTGTTTTATATCATAGTCTCTCATTTTTTCCATTGTTTTTCTCATCATTTTCCCCTCCTTTCCCATTTTTTTCCCATTGTTTTATGTCATATTCCCTCATTTTTCCATTGTTTTTCTCATCATTTTCCATCATTTTCCCCTCCTTTCCCATTTTTTCCCATTGTTTTATATCATATTCCCTCATTTTTTCCATTGTTTTTCTCATCATTTTCCCCTCCATTGCAATCTCCCCAAGTCCACCTCGGAGGGCGGACCAGGGGGGAATCGATACCCCACCGTCACCCAATTGCCACCTGGTACATAACCCTAAAAAACTTTACCTGTGGCCACCTTTTTTACCACCTAATTTCCCGATTTTTGGCCAGTTGGGGGCGCTCTGCCCCCAGACCCCCTTAACTCACTTTGTTCGCAAAAAGAACTTCGCCTAGCCTAGCGGCTGGCTTTCGTGTTCCCATTGTTTTACGTCATATTCCCTCATTTGTTCATTGTTTATTATGGCATGAAGATTGCATTGCTTACAAAATTGTGGCAAAAACTGAACTTCTGCACATCACATGTGTGTCATCTCTTCTTGGATACCACAACAAACTAAAAGAATGAGATTTATAATAGATGGTCAAAAATATGATTTCTCAGTATTTGAAGTTAGGTCAATCGGCGAGGCAGCAAAGGACCATAAGAATGCACTAAATCTTGAGCGAATAAGGTATGCTGCCCATCTTGCTAAAAAGTACCATCATGGAACTTCTGCACATCACATGGTGTTAATCAAAACGGCCATGTTTCCATTGCTTTTCCAATGTTTCACGCGTGCTTTACGTGACTTGGCATCATTTTACCCTCTCCTCATTGTTTCCACCGTTGCAATCAATTTTCCAAGCGTTCTACTCAAATTTGCCATTGCTTTCCCATTCTTTTCCCATTGTTTTACGTCATATTCCCTCATTTGTTCATTGTTTATCCCAAATTTCAGACATATGGCATGAAGATTGCATTGCTTACAAAATTTGGGCAAAAACTGAACTTCTGCACATCACATGTGTGTCATCTCCTCATATCGAAACTGCAATTTTTCCATTGCTTTTCCATTACGCGATACAGGACCATAAGAATGCACTAAATCTTGAGCGAATAAGGTATGCTGCCCATCTTGCTAAAAAGTACCATCATGGAACTTCTGCACATCACATGGTGTTAATCAAAACGGCCATTTTTCCATTGCTTTTCCAATGTTTCACGCGTGCTTTACGTGACTTGGCATCATTTTACCCTCTCCTCATTGTTTCCACCGTTGTAATCAATTTTCCAAGCGTTCTACTCAAATTTGCCATTGCTTTCCCATTCTTTTCCCATTGTTCATTGTTTATCCCAAATTTCAGAATGAAGATTGCATTGCTTACAAAATTTGGGCAAAAACTGAACTTCTGCACATCACATGACATGTGTGTCATCTCCTCATATCGAAACTGCAATTTTTCCATTGCTTTTCCATTACGCGATAATGGTCCCACATCGGAGCCTCAATTTTACTTGGCATCATTTTACCCTCTCCCTATTCTTTCCACCGTTTTTCCTCGCGTATCAATTTTCCAAGCGTTCTACTCAAATTTTCCATTGCTTTCCCATTTTTCCCATTGTTTTATATCATAGTCTCTCATTTTTTCCATTGTTTTTCTCATCATTTTCCCCTCCTTTCCCATTTTTTTCCCATTGTTTTATGTCATATTCCCTCATTTTTCCATTGTTTTTCTCATCATTTTCCATCATGTTCCCCTCCTTTCCCATTTTTTCCCATTGTTTTATATCATATTCCCTCATTTTTTCCATTGTTCCCCACATCTTTGTGTGGGGTTCTTGTTTTTGATTCTGTATCCCGGGCTTCTCCTCCTCCTCCCGCCGCCTCCGTAACAAAACACACACAAACTTAACATACAATAATTTCACACACACAAACTTAACACACACAAACTTAACATACAATAGTTTCACACACAAACTTAACACACACAAACTTAACATACAATAATTTCACACACACACACAAACTTAACACACACAAACTTAACAGACAATAACTTCACACACACAAACTTAACATACAATAATTTCACACACACAAACTTAACATACACAAACTTACACACACAACTAATACCAACTAACATCAATACACACACACAAACTTAACATACAAAATTAATTTACAACACACCAACTTAACTCACAAACTAACAGACAATCACTCACACACACACACAAACGCCACTTTGCGTGGCAGGCGTGGCACAACCTGACATCCACCGTCGTTTCACGTGGCAGGCGTGGCACAAACTCACATCTACCGTCGTTTTGCGTGGCAGGCGTGGGACAGATGGCACTGGGTGGCGCCCTTGGGCCGGGATTGGGCGCCTGTGACGCCGCGCACTTTGCGTGGCAGGCGTGGCACAACCTGACATCCACCTTCGTTTCACGTGGCAGGCGTGGCACAAACTCACATCCACCGTCGTTTTGCGTGGCAGGCGTGGGACAGATGGCACTGGGTGGCGCGCTTGGGCCGGCTTGGGCGCCTGTGACGCCGCGGCACTTTGCGTGGCAGGCGTGGCACAACCTGACATCCACCGTCGTTTCACGTGGCAGGCGTGGCACAAAGTCACATCTACCGTCGTTTTGCGTGGCAGGCATGGCACAGATGGCACTGGGTGGCGCCCTTGGGCCGGGATTGGGCGCCTGTGACGCCGCGCCACTTTGCGTGGCAGGCGTGGCACAACCTGACACCCACCGTCGTTTCACGTGGCAGGCGTGGCACAAAGTCACATCTACCGTCGTTTTGCGTGGCAGGCGTGGGACAGATGGCACTGGGTGGCGCCCTTGGGCCGGGCTTGGGCGCCTGTGACGCCGCGCCACTTTGCGTGGCAGGCGTGGCACAACCTGACATCCACCGTCGTTTCACGTGGCAGGCGAGGCACAAAGTCACATCTACCGTCGTTTTGCGTGGCAGGCGTGGGACAGATGGCACTGGGTGGCGCCCTTGGGCCGGGATTGGGCGCCTGTGACGCCGCGCCACTTTGCGTGGCAGGCGTGGCACAACCTGACATCCACCGTTGTTTCACGTGGCAGGCGTGGCACAAACTCAGGCTTCTCCTCCTCCCGCCGCCTCCGTAACAACACACACACAAACAACACACACACAAACTTAACATACAATAATTTCACACACACAAACTTAACACACACAAACTTAACACACACAAACTTAACAGACAATAACTTCACACACACAAACTTAACATACAATAATTTCACACACACAAACTTAACATACACAAACTTAACACACACAAACTTAACACACACAAACTTAACAGACAATAACTTCACACACACAAACTTAACATACAATAATTTCACACACACAAACTTAACATACAATAATTTCACACACACAAACTTAACATACACAAACTTAACAGACAATCACTTCACACACACACACACAAACGCCACTTTGCGTGGCAGGCGTGGCACAACCTGACATCCACCGTCGTTTCACGTGGCAGGCGTGGCACAAACTCACATCTACCGTCGTTTTGCGTGGCAGGCGTGGGACAGATGGCACTGGGTGGCGCCCTTGGGCCGGGATTGGGCGCCTGTGACGCCGCGCCACTTTGCGTGGCAGGCGTGGCACAACCTGACATCCACCGTCGTTTCACGTGGCAGGCGTGGCACAAAGTCACATCTACCGTCGTTTTGCGTGGCAGGCGTGGGACAGCTGACACTGGGTGGCGCCCTTGGGCCGGGATTGGGCGCCTGTGACGCCACGCCACTTTGCGTGGCAGGCGTGGCACAACCTGACATCCACCGTCGTTTCACGTGGCAGGCGTGGCACAAAGTCACATCTACCGTCGTTTTGCGTGGCAGGCGTGGGACAGATGGCACTGGGTGGCGCCCTTGGGCCGGGATTGGGCACCTGTGACGCCGCGCCACTTTGCGTGGCAGGCGTGGCACAACCTGACATCCACCGTCGTTTCACGTGGCAGGCGTGGCACAAAGTCACATCTACCGTCGTTTCGTTTTGCGTGGCAGGCATGGCACACACACACACTAAGGCTCATCTAGTGGAAGCTTTAATTGCAAAAACGTAGAAGCAAACAGACATAAACAAAACCCAACACTGAACAAACTCTAAAATCTGAAAACTTCCAAAACAAGCAAAACAAATCTGCAAACATGGAGTCACTTCAAATCTGCAAACATTTGCGGCTGCGCCCGAAAGAGTGCAGAACATTACTTTGGTCAGCAGAAGTCAACTGAGCACACCATCGCTTTGATAACACAGCCTGGTGGAACTCGTAGAAAGCGGAGCAACTTACTCACAAACAACCTACTCACAAACAACTTACATACATACATACATACCTACCTACCTACCTACCGACCTACATACATACATACATACATACATACATTCATTCATACATACATACATACCTACATACCTACCATTTTACCTTCTCGATCTTTCACCATCTCCTTTGTCTTTCTTTGCTTCCCTGTCCCCGCTAAAACCATTGAAGCTCATTTTAGGGAGAAGTTGACTTGTGGGGTTATCCGGTCCTTTAATTTTTCTCATCATTTTCCCCTCCATTGCAATCTCCCCAAGTCCACCTCGGAGGGCGGACCAGGGGGGAATCGATACCCCACCGTCACCCAATTGCCACCTGGTACATAACCCTAAAAAACTTTACCTGTGGCCACCTTTTTTACCACCTAATTTCCCGATTTTTGGCCAGTTCAGGGCGCTCTGCCCCCAGACCCCCTTAACTCACTTTGTTCGCAAAAAGAACTTCGCCTAGCCTAGCGGCTGGCTTTCGTGATGATATGTATCTGATAGATTCTCCATGTCCAGCAGTGCCCACTGCGCGCAGAAGTTGGTGAAGAGATTGGCGAAGAGTTGGCAAGGCGGAAGTGGACATGGAAGTGGGGGCAGAGGTGGTGGAGGCGAAGGAGGAGGACGAGGAGGAGGAGGAGAAGAAGGAGAAGAAGAAGGAGAAGGAGGACAACAAAATTGGAGTTGCGGAAAAAAGTTTCCACTATTGCCATGCCTGGTGCAGGTTTGTTATTGCTATTCTGGGGCTTGCAAAGGGGGTACCCTTTGTGGACTTGTTTTCTTGCTTTTTTTAATAAGGGTTTTATAAGGAAATCAGCTGTTTGGTAATTGGATCAGATTTCTGGAATCTAAGCTTTTGCTAATCAAAAGTGAAGGCTGCTTTGAAAAGGATTTGCTTTACTTGACTCTTTTGGCAATACTAAAAGTAAATGGAGCTAATTGACTTTTAGTACTGGAGAAAAAATTGGAGTTGGGAAAAAAGTTTCCACTATTGCCATGTTGGGTCCACTATTGGCCATGCCCTCTGGACAAGGTCTGATCATGACTCTTTTGGCAATACTAAAAGTAAATGGAACTAATTGACTTTTAAAAAACTTTTAGTATTGGAGAAAAAACTGGAGTTGCCGAAAAATGTTTCTACTATTGACAAGGTATCACTATTGGTCAGACAACATTACTTCCACAGCCTGATGGGAATTCATTCTGAAATTAGTTGACGCACTATTATACAGTATGCAGTCTGAACAAAAGGTTCTCAAGACTGAAAATCTGTGAAACAAATGACACGAAGTTGGACGACTCTTTCCTTGTCTGAAATGCGACCAGGAGCACCTCGCGTCCGCAAGCAGCTGCGGCAGCCGCAACAAAAGCCCCTCACAGCCAGGCAGTGTGGATGCCTCGAGCAGAATTATGATCATGGAATCATGTACTATCAAGTAGCACTCTTCATGAGACTTGCGCCAAGTCACACAACAAAAACCAGAACCCAGGAATGACGCTAAGACGCTGCATTTTGTCATTACTGTCTCTCTCTCTCTCTCTGTTTGTTCGTCCCGCTTCTGGCATAAATCTCAGCCTTTGAATACAAAGAGGGTGTCGCAAGATGCAACTGCTAGGAGGTTGTTCCCTATGGCCGGACTAGCAGAACCGGAAAAAGCGGCTTTGGCATCAAAGGAGGAAACTTCGTCATTGCCAACAACTCGACCATCTCCATCCGCATCCCTCAAAGCAAACATGGGCCCATTCTCATTGCCCACAAAAACGGTTCCATCAGAACTGATGCTTGGAGCACTCCAACCATTTGGAAGACAAGCAGGGCGCACGCCGCTGGTGGTTCTATCTACCATTCCTTCAAAATCTCCTGCTTGGAGAGGTCCTGTCTGTTTAGGCCCATGGAACACCCAACGAAGGCCACCAGTGTTGGCATCGTAAGCCTGGACCTCACAAGTTGCTCCTTGCATGACTTGTTTGCAAATTGGCAAGATCACGGACAAGCCGCTCCAGCCTTGGACTTTGCCAATGGCAGGGGCATTGTTCGGTGGCCGCGGTGTGGTTATTTTCCATTTCAATGTACCATTGAGATCGTAGGCGCTCAGTGTTCCAGGGCTGTGTTCGGAATGGAACATCAACTGTTTTGGAGGGTTGTTGTTGTTCACCGCGTAGACCTTGGTCTGCCAAAGGAAAGCATGCAGCATGCTACAACTAGGGCCCTCTTATATAATCTCATATAGTGCAGCCCCAGCTCCCACCAAAACTTGGAACTGGGAGGCAGTCAGAGCAGCAACTCGTAAACAAAACCATTTTGCCCCGCATTTCTTCCATATCTTCCCGATGCTTTGTATGCTTTTGGAATGAGTTATAATATAATTTCCCTAGGCTATCGGCAGGTATTAATTAAAATATTTAAAATGGGAAAAGCTGATTCAATCGGGCAGCAAGCATTCATTGCCCGTTCTGCCGCCAGCCGTTCAAACTCCAGCGTATCCGACGTATCCTATGCCCAATCGATATATATATATAATATTGTGTGTGTGTGAATTTATAATTACATGCACACACACATATATATATATACATATTATATATATACACATATTATATATATACATATAACATGCTTTCTGGAGGTTGCATATCGGGCTATAGACAAAACGAAGAAATTCATCGCACAGAACGCAGTAAGAATGTGAGGGTGCGCCCCTTAACATGGCACTGTACCCCGTTGTAGCCACCAAACTCATTTGGAGCAACCTATGCGTGCTAGAACTGAACTCATGTGCAAGCATAATTAGAAGATATTGCAAGCAGAATGCCAGTAGGATATTCTAATGCCATCCCGTGCCACCACATGTCTATATTAGAATGTAGACTATACATATGCATATATATATATACATATGTCAATAGATGTTATATTGTTTTAAATAAAATGTCCACTACGCCACCGATTACCCCGTCAAAAAGTTAAAATGTAGCCGTTCGAATGGAAGGCACCATGCCATTGCCCAGTGCAGCTCCTCCATCTGTCCATGTACCTGGCTTGCCACCGGCTTTCCAAAGAAGTTTGCCTTGCAAACTCAGACGATAAACTCTGCCAGTCATGTCTTGAAAGACGAAGGTGTCCTGGGGCGAAGGATAGCTAATGTGCTTGAAAACCTGAAACCTGGGAAGCTGTAAATTGGCTAATAGGTTGCAATTGCTCAAATTCAGTCCAAGATTCGCGATCCGGAAACAATGGCAAAAAGTTCCAGACTGGAGCATCAGGCTCGTAGGTCCACAGAATCTGCCCATCACTCGCATTGAGGGCTTTCACCATGTGGTTTGCGGGCCCCATCGGAGAAGGATCGCGCCAACCAGCTGCTGTGAAAACAACTCCCTCATGCACCATGGTAAAACCATTGTCTTCTCCGATGGGCATCGACAAATTGGAATGCCATAGCAGTTTGCCTGTGCTCATGCTCAATGCACGCACACCACCGAGTGTGTCACTGGCAAAAATGGATCCTTGATAAATGGCAGGTGCGTTCATAAGGATGGCTGGCAGGGTGTGGTGCTCCCAAAGCAACTGTCCATCTACGTCAAACTTGCGCAAACCATCCGCTGCGGAGAGGTAGACATTCAGCTGATGATCAAGAACAGTCCCCCATGTCAACGTATGAAAACGTCCTTTAGGATGATGCCAAGACCAACTCAGAGTCTCACTTAGATTGAAAGGGCCATTGGCTTCTGCGACGGCAAAGTTGGGGAAATTCCCTCGACCGGATTGCCAAGCATACTTTTCTGCTCTGCGAGCCTGGGCAAAAGACTGTAAGAGGTTGCCGCCACTTCTGTCACATTCATCATCGAAACTCGCTACGGCTGATACGGCCACAATCACTGCACCTATTGTGGCTCGGCATGGTATCCGCATCGGGTGATTTTAAATGGATGCAACAAGCCGGAGGGTTTCAGCTTGAGGCTTAAAAGTCAAACATGTCAAAAGTCAAACCTGCCGACTCAAAACATGCAGGCTTATAATCCGGACAGGGTCATGTGGCGCGATACTTTCAGTCAGAGCTTGGCACCGGTTTGGTCTGACATATACGACAGTCATACAGTGAGCATTTGAAAGTATGCGCTGCGAGGCTGTCCCCTACCTGGTCCTACCTCTTTCACCCATGCCTCTACCTCGCATCTTGTTGATGCAGAAATGTCAAAAACATCCTATATACCTCTGCCATCCTCTGCCTACATCTTCCTACATCTCCCTACATCTCCCTACATGCCAAAAGTATGACTCTAGGCACCACCAGAAAACCATGACTGGAACACATGACATAAAACTCACCAAATATGCTAGAAACAGCCTTGAAGCCAGAATCTGTTTGCTCTCAGCAAGAACTATTTGGCAACAACCCATAGTCGATGCAGCAACAACTCTCCCAGTGCCTGCGCAAACGCTTGCCACACCTTGCATTGCTCCAAGCTGGGCTTTGTTGCGCAGCTTCGGCCAGTTGCCAATCCTGCGCAAGGTACGCCATAGCATCAATTTCCGAACAAAGAAACCAGTCAAATGATTGCTGGACTCAAAACAATTTGAGTCCAAAGGGCTGGCGAACGGAAGCTAAGCAGGGGAAGATGGGAGCCAGTAGTCCTAAGCGAGATGCGAACGGGAAGATGGGTGGGGTGGAGTAAGAGAGGTGGAGTAAGAAAGGTGGAGTAAGAGACGGGGGGAAGGGGGTTCGTGTGAAAAAGTCACGAGTTGGCTACTACAGTACCTCTCAGATCACGTCCTGTCGCGGCTGTTTGCAAACACTGCTCATAAGCCTGAACTCAAAGCTACTGAGAAAGGACCAAAGGTTTACATGGAGCAATTATAATAGCTGCCCAGCTTCTCAACTCCACTAAACATTCCTGGTTTTTCTGGCGTACTGTACTGTGCCCAAGTCAAGGCCACAAACACGGGTTGAAATATCCAATCCAGGCAGCTTTGCTGGCAAGAAAGGCTGCACGGTAGGTCATCGGAGCGCCATTCGGATTTTCCTGAGCCATGATGAGCATGATGCACAGTACAGTACTCTATTGACCTGCATGCCTGTGCTGCCTGTGCTGCCTGTGCCTGTGCACTCTGAAGTCGGTGTGAACAGTGGCGGAGATGGTCCAGGTGGTCATTCATGTCCATGGGGCCCATGGGGAGTCCGAGGCTCGTAGCGCGGAGTATCATCAGTGGCGGCCAGCAGTTTGCTCCATTCCTCAACCACGTCCAAACACAACTTGGCATCCGTTCATATCAGTCTGCAGCACGGGCAATATGTCACTGCCATGCCGCACTCCCTTTCTCTCTCTATCTGATCTATCTGCATGGCTGTCCCGCAGTTTGAAGGTGGCATATTCTGCATGAAGATAAGCAGCTCCACGAAGATGAATAAAATGATTTTTTGAAGACTGCAGAAGAATAGTATGATTCAGCACAAAGAAAGCATTTAGTGGTCGAGTTTCGGTGAGCGCCACCTCTAGAGACTCTGGTGTGCTTGACCTTCAGCGGCAGTGAAAGGATGTTTGTGGCAGGGATGACTAACCACCAATCACTATAGTATAAGCTGTATCCATATGATGCAATATATATATATATACATACATATATATTATGATTATATATATATATGTGTGTGTGTGCGTGTGTAATAGGTGGAGAAGCAACATCACTCAGAATTCTGTGCTGATGACAAAATACGGGCGGGGATTCTTCACAATCGTCTTCAAATCTGATTTGGACACCTGAAGCCCCTCATTTCCCACCCTTTCGTGCACTTAATCAGCGGCACATGTGTGCATCATAGCCTGCCTTAGCATAATATCGATTAATATGGCACAGCATGGCACAGCATGGCACAGCATAGGTGCGTGGATAGAAAAACTACAGTAAATCTCCAAGCAGATCGTCTGAAAAATGTCTGCTATCTCTTGGTCGCATCCGGCTGGGTTTCCCAACGCTCGGCTCTCCAAATCAGCCTTGAGACCATCAGCACTCAAGCCTTTGCTGAGTCGCGCCAAGGAAGTCCCGGCCTCCACAGAATTGCCAGCATATGAGAATACACAGCATATACAGTATATAAGACATGCAACTACTGTTCTGCATATACATATATATATATATTATTATTATATATTTAATTATTTATATATATATATACGTGTATATATATTGTATATCTATATCTATCTATATATATATATATCTGTCGGTGTGTGTTTGTGTGTGTGTGTGTCTCTGTGTCTGTCCGTATGTATATACTGTATATACTGTGCATATATATATATAAGGGAAACATGTTCACAGATATCAAGCAGACGCAAACAGAAACAAAATCAAACTATCATTACTGGCCATCAAGGGCCTGGTGGGCCATCCTGGAATCTGGTTGCATATTCCACGATGTCATGAATAGCGCTTGAAAATTCTGCGAGATAATACCAACTTCCGTTACATATATATATATATATATACATATAATATAATATATATATATATATAGTTATTTTGAGTTATTTTAGCTTCTGCCCGCCACAGCTGGGGTGAAGCTCCCACAGAAGTGCAAAAGGAGTGCTTTCACCTTCAATTTTCCTGGAATGCTTTTCTCTACTGCCATGCACATTCATAGTGCTCTCAATCTCTCTCTCTCTGGGCAAAGTACTGAAATGATTCTGCATGATTCTGCTATATTGGACAAAACTAAGTAGTGACTAATTTCAACACGTGTTGCTCTCTCCGAGATGGTTCAAGGGTGCCTTCTGTGCCGCACCGCTAAGCCAGCGAGCAGCCTCCACAAGAAGGCACAAAGGCATTGATTTGAGTTTTGGGATTCCCCACAATTCCGTCCACTTTGGAGCTTTTCTGAATCAAGGCAGCACTTGATGATCTCTGACCTCTGATATTCACAAATCAACAAATCGCAAACTCCATCTTTTTGACCCTACTGCTCTGATCTTATGCCCAGCTTGGCCGCAGCATAAGCCTATGGATGGGTTCTCAAAGACTTGGGTGAACCTAAATAAAATTTCCGGGCACGCGCCCAAAAAGAATGCGAGATGGTCCGCCGTCTAATGAGGTGAGGCTGAGACAAGGGCCTCTGAGCAACGCAAATCTTTGTCCCAAAACTTCTTGTCAAACCATGATAGGCTAATAGGTCAGTCCTAAAAACATGAATGATCACGATGCATTATTCTTTGTGTGCCACATACTTGGCATGTCTGCACGCTTATGAAGTTGCGCTGAGGAAACCGCAGGACAGGCGGCTAGCGAGAATGATGCTCACATCGGAACTGGATGACAAAGAATGATAAGTGATCTTATTTTTTCTTACCCAACAGTCTGCCATATGCCGTTCTTATATCATGCATTCTCATACAGTGTCATACTATCTTGTGATAATTTAGTGACAATATCTGAAATCAATAGAAATGAGATGAATATCTCTGATATCTTTCGCGTCGGACTGATTGCTCTTCTGGACGCCGTCCACTCATTGCGGGCGAGCTGTTGGCGAGACTGACTCTCGGCTGGAGAAATCAATGGACAATTGGCTGCTGCAGGGCATCTCAGGTTCACACTGGCTCCCTTATTGGCCTTTTTGCTCCTTGGATCAAAAGTGTCTAATGTGGGTAAAACAAATATAAACCATCCCCCAAATCACCATTTTTATAGGTGGTATAAACTATTCCCAAATGGGAGCAAGTCGCCGCCGTCGGTCCTGCCAATGGTGGCTCCGCCAGTCTCTCGCCCCACTCTGGATGCGTCACCTCGGCCCGGCCACAGCATGCAGAGCCGAAAAACGCGCTGCAAATTGGGAAACACCCTGCATATTTCTAAAAATAGAAACATAAAATGTCATAAAGTTGACTTGCCTATCTTGCCTGATCTATTTTAGGTCTCTATATGTCGGAAGGACATATTCTATGTCTTAAAATTCTATTCGATCTGCCGCAACAGAAGACATCAGGCAGAATCGAAAAGGATCTTCCACATTGGTCAAACCCTTGCAAGACTCGAAAAAAGTTTGCGGGCAAGGCACTGTAAATGGACTTACCACCTAGCATCAAAAGGCACAGAAAAGAGATAGCACTATGAACATGTAACCAAAGGAAAAGCCTTACTTATCCTTCAGATGTAAAAAGGAAAATCAATTGAAAGTAAATTGATTTCAATTGAAAGCCTTACTTATCCTTTAGATTTCAAAAGGTCAATCAATTGAACGTAAATTGATTTCAATTGAAAGCCTTACTTATCCTTTTAGATTTCAAAAGGAAAATCAATTGAAAGTAAATTGATTTCAATTGAAAGCCTTACTTATCCTTCAGATTTCAAAAGGTCAATCAATTGAAAGTGAATTGATTTCAATTGAAAGCCTTACTTATCCTTTTAGATTTCAAAAGGAAAATCAATTGAAAGTAAATTGATTTCAATTGAAAGCCTTACTTATCCTTCAGATTTCAAAAGGTCAATCAATTGAAAGTGAATTGATTTCAATTGAAAGCCTTACTTATCCTTTTAGATTTCAAAAGGAAAATCAATTGAAAGTAAATTGGTTTCAATTGAAAGCCTTACTTATCCTTTTAGATTTCAAAAGGAAAATCAATTGAAAGTAAATTGATTTCAATTGAAAGCCTTACTTATCCTTCAGATTTCAAAAGATCAATCAATTGAAAGTGTATTGATTTCAATTGAAAGCCTTACTTATCCTTTTAGATTTCAAAAGGAAAATCAATTGAAAGTAAATTGATTTCAATTGAAAGCCTTACTTATCCTTTTAGATTTCAAAAGGAAAATCAATTGAAAGTGAATTGATATCAATTGAAAGCCTTACTTATCCTTTTAGATTTCAAAAGGAAAATCAATTGAAAGTAAATTGATTTCAATTGAAAGCCTTACTTATCCTTCAGATTTCAAAAGGTCAATCAATTGAAAGAGAATTGATTTCAATTGAAAGCCTTACTTATCCGTTTAGATTTCAAAAGGAAAATCAATTGAAAGTAAATTGATTTCAATTGAAAGCCTTACTTATCCTTTTAGATTTCAAAAGGAAAATCAATTGAAAGTAAATGATTTCAATTGAAAGCCTTACTTATCCTTTTAGATTTCAAAAGGAAAATCAATTGAAAGTAAATTGATTTCAATTTGAAGCCTTACTTATCCTTCAGATTTCAAAAGGTCAATCAATTGAAAGAGAATTGATTTCAATTGAAAGCCTTTCTTATCCTTTTAGATTTCAAAAGGAAAATCAATTGAAAGTAAATTGATTTCAATTGAAAGCCTTACTTATCCTTTTAGATTTCAAAAGGAAAATCAATTGAAAGTAAATTGATTTCAATTGAAAGCCTTACTTATCCTTTTAGATTTCAAAAGGAAAATCAATTGAAAGTAAATTGATTTCAATTGAAAGCCTTACTTATCCTTTTAGATTTCAAAAGGAAAATCAATTGAAAGTAAATTGATTTCAATTGAAAGCCTTACTTATCCTTTTAGATTTCAAAAGGAAAATCAATTGAAAGTAAATTGATTTCAATTCAAAGCCTTACTTATCCTTCAGATTTCAAAAGGTCAATCAATTGAAAGAGAATTGATTTCAATTGAAAGCCTTACTTATCCTTTTAGATTTCAAAAGGAAAATCAATTGAAAGTAAATTGATTTCAATTGAAAGCCTTACTTATCCTTTTAGATTTCAAAAGGAAAATCAATTGAAAGTAAATTGGTTTCAATTGAAAGCCTTACTTATCCTTTTAGATTTCAAAAGGAAAATCAATTGAAAGTAAATTGATTTCAATTCAAAGCCTTACTCCTTCAGATTTCAAAAGGTCAATCAATTGAAAGTGAATTGATTTCAATTGAAAGCCTTACTTATCCGTTTAGATTTCAAAAGGAAAATCAATTGAAAGTAAATTGATTTCAATTGAAAGCCTTACTTATCCTTCAGATTTCAAAAGGTCAATCAATTGAAAGAGAATTGATTTCAATTGAAAGCCTTACTTATCCGTTTAGATTTCAAAAGGAAAATCAATTGAAAGTGAATTGATTTCAATTGAAAGCCTTACTTATCCTTTTAGATTTCAAAAGGAAAATCAATTGAAAGTAAATTGATTTCAATTGAAAGCCTTACCTATCCTTCAGATTTCAAAAGGGCAATCAATTGAACGTAAATTGATTTCAATTGAAAGCCTTACTTATCCTTTTAGATTTCAAAAGGAAAATCAATTGAAAGTAAATTGATTTCAATTGAAAGCCTTACTTATCCTTCAGATTTCAAAAGGTCAATCAATTGAAAGAGAATTGATTTCAATTGAAAGCCTTACTTATCCTTTTAGATTTCAAAAGGAAAATCAATTGAAAGTAAATTGATTTCAATTGAAAGCCTTACTTATCCTTTTAGATTTCAAAAGGAAAATCAATTGAAAGTAAATTGATTTCAATTGAAAGCCTTACTTATCCTTTTAGATTTCAAAAGGAAAATCAATTGAAAGTAAATTGATTTCAATTGAAAGCCTTACTTATCCTTTTAGATTTCAAAAGGAAAATCAATTGAAAGTAAATGATTTCAATTGAAAGCCTTACTTATCCTTTTAGATTTCAAAAGGAAAATCAATTGAAAGTAAATTGATTTCAATTTGAAGCCTTACTTATCCTTCAGATTTCAAAAGGTCAATCAATTGAAAGAGAATTGATTTCAATTGAAAGCCTTTCTTATCCTTTTAGATTTCAAAAGGAAAATCAATTGAAAGTAAATTGATTTCAATTGAAAGCCTTACTTGTCCTTTTAGATTTCAAAAAGAAAATCAATTGAAAGTAAATTGATTTCAATTGAAAGCCTTACTTATCCTTTTAGATTTCAAAAGGAAAATCAATTGAAAGTAAATTGATTTCAATTGAAAGCCTTACTCCTTCAGATTTAAAAAGGAAAATAAATTGGAAGCAAAATTGATTTCAATTGAAAGCCTTACTTATCCTTTTAGATTTCAAAAGGAAAATCTGATGAATTTCATTCTTGGTTTTGCTCATTATTTGGGGGTGACAACTTTCTCATGGAGTCCAGCTGAGATGCCGGGCGCGCTGCCAGGCCGCGACCAGGCTGTCTGGCATGGCTAGACCAGGTCATGACAGGTCATGGCGACCAGGTCTATGTCTATGCCTCCAGGACGATATATTAGTGTATATATATGTGTGTATACAATTATATACACACATTATTATTGTTACTATTATTGTTGTTGTGATGATTATTTTTTAAATTAATATTATTATATGTCATAATCTTATTATTGTTATACACATATTATTATCATTATTATTACTATTATTATTATGTTATCGTGATGGATCACCTTTGGGCGTTCTGTGAAGTGTCATGTCAAACCAACTGAGACCTGCGGCCAAGATGCTCTAATTAAAACAACTGCTACACTGTTTGGAGCCGTGATCATTGTATGCCTTGGATAGCTTGTGAGTGTCAGATTCAGCTAAGCTCATGGAGTTCACATAACATCCAGCACTCTTGCTTGTTTCAGCCGGCCCCATGACACACGCCTCGGGCCTTGAGCTCCAAAAAGGCTGCAGGTCGCAAGTTGGCCAATTAAAAAATGTCAAGACTATCTGCAGGTCTTTGTTCATGGTTCAGTCTCTTTGATCCACCCACCATACTGCAAGTTTGAAGTCACCTGCCAACATTCTCTGCAGTGCCGCTGCTAGTCAAGCCTTGACCGCAAAGAATTCACGGTGCCAAGTGCTACTAGAAGCACTCGGCTCCTGACTCATGCACTTAGAAGCCTCGGAATGTCTGAGAATAGATGCCCCAAAGAATCGCTTCAGTCTTGTACTCCCACATGGGGCACAGGCGGGTCTGATTTTCTGCGTCAGGAAGGTATGGAAAGAGCAGAACAAATCTATGGGAATCTGAAGTAAAGCAAAGAAGCGCCAAAAAATGCCAAGCTGCCTAGTCCCTCAAACAGGGACATCGCACTGCGGCTGCCATGGCAGGATATCCAAACCATTATCCAGGAGCACAGCTTGTCAATTCCCTGATGTTCCATGGTTTGAACATGTTTGACCGACTGTGCCACTGCTCAATCAAACGCGGCACCTCTGCGTTGGCGGTGTTCTGTGCGTGTCCATTTTATAAAATTGTGTCTTATCAAATTCCTTGTTATCATTCGCAATGGCCGTACTTGTCACTGACGTGAGCCCAGCAGCGACTGTTGTGGCATCTTCTCCCCGCACTTGATTCATGCAATCAATGCAATCCTTTACCGTACCCTATAAAATCCAATATCCTTTATCGATCACTATTGATTCAATGATTGATGTTCCGTTCTCCAGGTCACATGCGCAACATCATAGGACCACAATGGAACATGCTCGAGATGTACTGACTGGATCTTGATGATGGGCAATCAACGCCTTGCACTCGACTAAAATTGATCAGAAGTGCCGGGTATCAACGTTGAATCATTGCCCGAATGAGAAAGCAGCCTATAGGATCATCTAGGATCAATCCCCCTACATGGGACATCATGGGACAGTGTCACCTTGCCGAATCCGAGCACGATAGCGCAGCGTGACGGATCGCATCTCATAGGCACCTCAGATTTGTCATAGCTGCAGAAGTGCAACCGTAGGTCCATGAACCTTGATGCCGACTCCCACAGTATCCCACAGTACTCCAGCCCGCGAGGCCACATGTCACACTCACTCTCGACACTCTCGACACTCTCGACATCTCTCGACTCTCTATCCCTCAAACTCCCCATGAACCCACGAGGAGAATACGGTGATTCGTTGTAGCACAGCGCTGATGGCACGGAGCCTTGCCGGAACCTCATGGAGAGGGCAAAGCTCCACGAGGTCACCTGACAAGGCCACGTGAGCCCGTGAGTCATGTGAGATCCAAAGGGTCACAGTGGCAGCCATGGTGGCCATGGCCTTTCGCAATGTCGCCTGAAGAAAAGACACCGCTCTCCTTGCCGCTTTGATCTACACCTGCCGGAGCTGCAAATGCCGTACTCTTCAGGGATATGGCAGGATCAAGGTTGACCAAAGATGTCCAAAGGCTATAAAGGCTCCAAGAAACTGCTCTGGAGAGTCTGGCATGTTTGAGCTTGGCTCTTGTATCTGCGGGGTTCACTGGGTGCGCAACGAAATTCCAGCGGTTTGTAGCCACCGCGGACCGCCCGGACAAGCCTCCATTCCACGTAGGTTGGATCATTCATAGCCATGATTGGCATGGTGCTTTCACGCAAAAACAACAAGCGTCGAACACGACACGTTCTAAAGGCACAGAAAACACCGAGACAGCGAAGCGCGGCAATTAACCTGAGGCACTGTGTTATAATCTATTATCAATGCTCAACATTACTTGCCACATCTTGCCCCTTGGGCCGCCTTCCGTCTTCTTTTGAAATGCTTAGAATGTGACTTTGGGCCCTTCATGGACCTTCGATCCCCTTCGGTTTTCCATGCATCGGTCTACCTCTTAGAGCTGCGCATCATGGAAGATTCTCGGCCAGGCCGAATGAAACCCAGGCTGCCCAAGAACACATCCACCTAGCAGGCCATCGAAGATAATACTGCCTACGAGATCCTGCAAGTATGATGCACTGCAATGGTTGGTATTTGCCTTGATGCTTGTGCTATAGAGGCATCATTCAGAGCTTATATGATGACCACTTGAGGGTATTTGAAGAATTAACAAAGCTTAAGCGAAGCAACAGGGCAGATGGCAGAGATGGCGCAGGCAATCGCAGGCAGCAAGACAGAGCTGCAGCACATAGCCGCACTGATTACATCACGCCTCTGAAATTGTCCAAAGCACTGCCTCTCGTGGTAGCATAACTTCCTGAGCTGCGCACAGGACAATACAGCATCTGCAGGCATCGGCGTATTGAACCCGGCCCTTCCAAGCAGTTGTCAAGGATCTAAGATGATCATGATGATCTATGATGATCTAGGGATATCTATATAATTCTATATAAGGGGTCCTGCATGGGTCAGTGGAAGCAGCAAAAAGGATTCCACTACTGCTGAAGGCCGCATGGTTTGAGACACACATTCTACAGTACACACATTCTACTCATGTGTGATTCTGTTCTTATGATTGTCTGCTTGTGCAGGTTGGCTTGGGGGGTGGCTGGTGCGAGAGTGAAGAGATGTGAAAAGGCTATTCCACGCTTACTGTGAGCTCTTTGCACGCATAATATGCATTTGCGTATGCTTGTGAAATTGATGAGGCTTGCTGCTTAATCAAGCCAAGTTTCACTGTGCCTGTACGCCAAGAGGCGATCCTGGCGCAGTAGTACTAGTGGAGGCTCCTAAGGCAACATGTCATGTACCTATTTTTCACTACATTTCCACTAGGCAGGGTCTAGCTTCAAAATGTTTGAAGCTGTGAGAGCATCAACAGCGCAGCAACATCAGCACCGGGTTTCTTACCTTTCTGATCTTTCTTGCCGCTTTCCTGCCAAAAAAGACAGCAAGCTGAGCGTTCTTTCGCTACAAAGCTCTTTGTGCTGAGCCAGGTCACACCTTAGTTGCACTAGGTCCGCCTTCAATTATGATATCTGGCATTCGCACCGTTCATCACCTGAGTTCAACACTTGAAGCACTAGAGTCTCTCACTAGGGATCATTACATTCTTTAGATTGTAGATACAGTACGGTCATCGAACAGTGCCAGAGATCATTACTTAAAATCAAAGTTAAAGATTATTCAACTTCTTATTTCCTCTGAGTGCAGTTTCTTGAAAAGGCCCGCCCTCCTACGCACACGAATGCGACCTGCGTGGGCAGTCACCGCAGCCGTGAGGAAAGTTCCAAAAATGGTCCTCCTACTGGAACAGTAGAGCGCTGCAATTAATTCGTTGCAGCCTCTTTTGCTCACTGTTGCTCCGAAAGCTTTTTGAAACGTTGTGAAGCAAGCAAAATTGTAGCAGTGATGCGAACTTTGCTTGGAGCTGGCCGAAAGGCTAACGCGTGCGAAACCTGCGAGGATTTTCACAAGTGCCAGGCAGCAAGGGCAAACAAGGAAAACAATCACCTTTCGATGAAAAGTAATCCGAGAATTAACCAAATAACCCAAGGTTGCAAAACTGTTGCGAGAAATGTATCAAACATTATCAAACATATTTTCAGGAGCACCCAACGATGTAACAGCACCCCCCAACAAAAAGAAAATAGAAATCGAAATGATCCATCAGTCCATCACGGACACAAGGTGGGAATCGCAACATCAACGGTGCTCATAAAGCTACAGTTTAGGCAACTTGGGACAGATAGATAAAGCAGAATACAAGAGAACATACAGCGGAAAAAACACGCACTGACAGAGACATTCCCGGTGAGAAAATCAAGACCTGCTTCCTATTCAGCACAGAGTTGAGCGTTGAGCCTTTTCGAACAACTCTGGTCGGCGGAGGGGTGTCAATGATGACATTGGCCCTGTACCACGTTAACCGCCCTCTTCTTGGGGCAGACGCAAGTATGCTAATCTGAGCCAAATAAAACTGTGACAAGCGCAAGCACTTCTCATTTCTAGCACCTACACCGAAATAAGTCGGGCTAAGGCCCCCTCCAGAGAAAGAGTAATCCATACAACCGATTACAACCCTACATAGCTTGGGGGTAAACCATGTGATGTAGGCCATTGTCCCAAACACAGCCCGTGACCCATGCCCGGGAACAAGTCAGGGGCACCAGAAGCGCAAGCGGCTGCAGCAGCACTGGAAATCTGGCCAACCACAGCAACATCAGAAATCAGAAAAAGCGTGAAAGAGCACCTCTGATTGATTCCTGGTGCATTGCCTGTCCAAGTCTTAACCCAGATTGAGAATGGTTACTTGTATTGAAACAAGGTGCGGCAAATGTGGCAGAGTGTGGGCCCGCGACTGGCTTGAGCCTGAGGACCTCAAGACTTCAAACACACAGAATTAAAGCCTGATCGCAGTAAGCACGCGTGAGCTTACCCTTTTTGCTGGCCATCCCACATCATCCATGCCTCGGGCTTCGGTCCACAGAACATGCCCAGACTCCAACGTAAAATCATGCGGATTCTGCGGCTTTGTCTGGCTGAAGCTTTTCAGGCTTTGTATTCTGTTGCGTTCCCTCCCAATCTTTGTTGAGGCAATGATGAAATCAAAATGTCAGCAAAGACTGCCGATCTTCCTGGGGCATGTCTGGCCTCCTGAGTCGTCTTGCTGATGCTGGCCAGCCTCCAAAGGGAACTTTCAGCTTTTGAAGTATCATGAATTTATCATGATTTTTGTTGTGAAAAAGTGACCTCGATGCTTTCAGGGAAACGGGCCAATGTCAGGTATCTGGTTTGAACACGTTCGAACATCTTTGCCGGAAGGACAGAGGTTCTAATAGGCACTTTTTAGGTTCGAGTTTTTTCACACCTGTACCACCCGTGTCAGTGACAGGGGAAGCATGGAATTCTTGTCATTCCATGTCGTTCCATGTCATTCTGCACAATCGCTCCGTTTTCCAAATCTTGTCGACCAAACTCAGAGATCCTCCGCGTTGTCAGAACAGTCTGAGCTCCGCAGTCCTTCGCATCCTCTGCCGTGTCAATCGTTGGTCGATTCAGGTCCCAGGCCTGGATCTGAAAAACCCCGCAGATCGGGCAAGTCGCGGGCAGTTCCGTTCTTCGTCCGTGTGCCAGTGTGCTCCTCGGGGGTGGCCCTATCAAGATCAAGTCCAGCACACAGGCGTTATGGTAGGTCGTTCGTGATCGTTCATAGTTCATCATTCAGCCGGGATGGCACCAAGAACCTTGGCAGTGTGTGACAGGATGTAATGGCAAACTACAGTATGGCAATCTCAATAGCTTCACACAGCACATCTGGAGGCGTTGAAGTGGAGATTGTTTTCTCCAACAGTTTCCACCACTTGAACCTTCTACGCAGAACTATGCTTTTGTATGATTTTGTGCTCAGGAGCCTTGGGCTGAAAGAATCGTGGCTCAATGGCCCACCAATCTCTGGGCACACCCTCCTGCCAAGACGTGGGCCAAAGCCCCAAATGATCCAAATGTATTTCATATATCGAAAGCCATGGCATGGCCCTGACACAGGTCTCCTGTTCGAATAGGATATCATCATTCTTGTGTTCCAGCCAATCCTCCCGTGCATTGCAATCATTGCAGGGATGGGCCGAGGCGACCTAGGTCCTAGTCGTGGCAAACACTGCCAAGTCAAGGCTCATTTCACGCATTTCCTTTAAGGGAGATTTACAACACTTGCTTCTGCAGGCTGAGGGATATGGATCCGAATCCTACAAGTGCTCGAGAAGTTGGCTATGGACTATGGAGATGTGTGAAGGTTTCGCGTGGGCATATTGCGGCATTGCCAATGACATTTACATCCCCTTGTGAGCAGGGTATCTGTGACTGAGTTCATTCTTCCGGGTCTCTAACTGTCTGTGTGCAGGCAGATACGTGGATGTGTGCCGGAATCTATATGGCCTTCTTTTTGCGCAATGTTGTTCATTCCAAAGTCAGCCAATGTCAGCCATTTTCATTCATGTCCATTTCAGATTTCATGTCCCCTACCTTTCCAGGAATGCCAACGCAAACCCGCGCCAAGACAAAAGTGGTTCATCTCCAGCTGACCCGGATCCTGAACTTGCCGCATCTCACTAGGATAGTCCGCGGTGCGTGGAGGGTGATGGCATTGAACTGCATCGATGACCTGATACCACGCCATGTCGCACCGAGAATCTGGGGGATACCACTCTGCCAAGCTGCAGCTACAACATCCGTTGCACCACCAGCAGCTGGGTGAAAGCAGAAATCAATAAAGCAACCTGCAAATGGACAAGATAAACTTCAACAACCCTTCCAAATCGTGCTGATACATCATACACTGATACATATATTACAGATGTGTGTGGGCGTGCAAATAAAAATATCACTCAATATTTTTGTGTGCTAATGCCGACAAATGTGCCACTGATTGGCCCGCCCTGCTTCGAATCGTGAGAAAAACACTTCTCACGCAGCCTGTCCGCACTGCCCGCAAGCAAGGCTGGAAGCGTGGATCCAAAAGCATAGAGCTTTTCAGAATAGGAGCAGTGCCTCATTGGAGGCCCGCTTTGTACAATCCCCCGGTTTTAAAACAATTAATGTTGCACCCTGATTGGTGGCTAGGTTCACTATTGTGGCTAGAATTTTCCAAATTATTTTGAACCCATGTCTTGTTTGGAAGGTTCACTATTGAAGTGGCAAGAAATCTTGGGATACAATTGTTTGTCCAAAAAAATGTGCAAAAAAATGAACATATTTTTCTGAAAAAAAATGGTTTGTCTCCCTGTCCCAAGAGAATCAGACCGCTTATTAAACCCTTATTAAAGAATAGTTTTTCCACAAATTTCCAAGGCACTGGGCCATGAGAGGGTCCAGTTCACTTTAGTGGGTTTGTTCTCAAGGTTCACAATTGCAGCAAACTTTTGCAGAGCTGATCCTGGAGCCAAGAGAAAAAAGAAACGCCTTTTACACAAGCATTTGAGAAGTTCAAAGTCCAAGCCGTTCCCAAAAGAATCAGACCGCTTATTAAACCCTTATTAAAGAACAGTTTTTCCACAATGGGCCATGAGAGGGTCCATTTCACTTTAGTAGGTTTGTTCTCAAGGTTCACAATTGCGGCAAACCTTTCCAGAGCTGATCCTGAGTTCATCTTCCTCTGCCTCTTCCTCATCCTCTTCCTCTTCCTGTTTCTTTCAAGGAGACTAGGCCGGGACGAGGACGCGGCCGCGGGCGAGGGCGGAGGGCGCAGGAAGCGGACGAGGAAGAGGATAGAGGAAGAGGCAGAGGACGAGGCCGAGGCCGGCCGCGGGCCGCGGCAGCGTCCGGGCCGAGGCAGCGGCAGAGGACCGAGGAAGAGGAAGAGAAGGAAAAACAGGAAAAAGGAAACGGCAAAGGCAACGGGGGAAACGGCAAGTGAAGAGGACGAGGAAGAGGAAGGAGAAAGAGGAAGCGGACGAGGGCCGGCAGGGCAGGAGGAAGCGGAAGAGGCGGAGGATAAAGGAAAAGGAAAGGGAAAGAAAAGAGGGACCGGAAACGGCACAGGCATATGAAGATGAAGAGGAAGCGGACAGCGGAGGTTACGCGAAGGAAAGGACACACGAGGGAAAAGGAAAAGGAAAGGAAAGGGGCAAAGGAAAGAAAGCGGAAAAGAGCGAGCGAGCTATAGAGAGGGCGCTGGCGCGGGAGCTTTCTATTTCTCTCTCTCTTTCTCTTTCTCTTTCTCTTTCTCTTTCTCTTTCTCTTTCTCTTTCTCTTTCTCTTTCTCTTTCTCTTTCTCTTTCTCTCTTTCCCTTTTTCTTTTTCTTTCTCTTTCTCTTGTTACACTTTGAATTTTAAAAAAATAAGGTGGAAAAGGTAACGCAGTCAACATGCTGAATCCCACTCACCAGAAGGTACTACAAGTACTACAAGTATTACAGGTACAACAAGTACCACAAGTTCATCGGAAAAAAACAAGTTTGAATTAGATTTCAATTGTCACCCATTGAAATCCTTACTTAAATGCGGGATCATATTTTTTCTGGGGAGGATTTTTTTGGCACCCAACTTTAAAAAGGGATAAAAATTGTATTTTATAGTTATTGTTGAGGGGGGGGCCGTACACTAATCAGGACGAAACAGTAGCCAGCCACAAGGATACATAAGGACCCACTACGTACACAATTATAAACATCTTATATAATTTGGGGAACAAAAGCGATGAAAACACGCACATTACACGGGAATTACACAACCATGCATCTTTTGTTTCCCTTTGCTGGGAAGACTCACTGAGCTTGGCATCTTCACCACAATTCAAAAGATGTTCCAATACAAGATCACCCAGCATCCAGCAGATGCATGCAAACGCATCCAGGTCACATTCAACGAAATTGGTGTAGCGCAGTTTGCAACCTGCGGGGAAGTGGTTGGTGGAAAACATGGCGCAAAAAAAAAGTACCAACAGCTGGCGCATCGAAAGTGCAACTGCTGGTAACCGACCTGGTAACCTGCGCCAGTGCCTGGATGGTGTCCATCGAAAAAACGCCAAACACCATCGCTTTCCTGTCGGGAGCTGCACTGCGCAGGTCCAACATTTATTTCAACAGCAGTGGCATTGAAAGAAAGAGGCATCAAGAGATATGAGGAGGTACCTTGGCAAATAAACAAAATGCAATAAATCAAAGAAACCGACTAATCACGGTAAACCTGGAAAGATTCAAAGCCAGCAGTATTATATTAGTCAAATCTAGCGTTGGCAGCATTCGCGACGTGGCTAGACAAGTGACAAGCCGTGCAAGGCAAGCTCCCACCTTGTCAAAGGATGGACTGGCAAAAGCGATTTGACTGTGTTCCCGCCTTGGTTTGCTCTTCAGATTGTTCTTTTTTTAATCTATTCCCATTCATCAAATTCAAGCAGATGGGTTGAACGTCAAAATACGGACCCAACATGAACCACCAATGGCAAGGCAAACTGCTGAATGTGTTCAGGTTTCTGAAGACTGATCACGATTTCCAATGCTGGACGCTTTCATCAGACCACCCGGGCATGATGCCTACTGAAAACACATGACATGCCTTGTGCTTCATTGTGCAAACTGTGCCTTTTGTTCCTGCAAGTTTCATGCACGGAAAAAGGCATCTAAGTGCTAACATGTGCTGACCAGTTGGCAGCGTTTCGAACATCCGGCATATGCCGTTCGTTGGAAGACGAACGTCATCATCCACAACCCAAATGTAGTCCTCAGAGCTCCGCTAAAAGCATGTCGGAAAAGTACCTCCTCCCCATTCACCTCCACCTCCTCAAAATCATCCCCACCATCATTGCAGCCATCATCAACATCATCATCATCACCACCATCGCCACCATCGCCACCATCGCCATCATCACCATCATCATCATCATCACCATCATGACCATCACCATCAGCATCATCATCACCATCATCACCACCACCAAATCATCATAATCATCATCACCACCGTCATCACCGCCATCATCGCCATCATCATCAACATCATCATCATCATCATCATCATCCACCATCATAATCAGCAGCAGCATCATCAGCATCATCATCATCATCACCATCATCATCATCATCATCATCATCATAATCATCACCATCACCATCACCATCACCATCACCATCATCACCGCCACCATCATCATCTTATCATTATTATTCATCATCATCACTATCATCATCTTCATCACCATCACCGCAACCACCATCATCATCACCATCATCCTCCTCATCATCATCACCGCCGCCGCCATCATCATCATCATCACCACCATCACCACCATATTCATCTTCATCATCATCGTCATCATCATCATCATCATCATCATCCTCATCGCCATCACCATCACCATCACCATCATCATCATCATCATCATCATCGCCACCACCATCACCATCACCATCATCATCATCATCATCATCATCATCATCTCGATGATCAAGGGACCGACCCAATTTACGCAATTGCCGGCCAGTGCCCTGGACGATAACCTTTACCTTGATCCCAGCATCATATGTGGCAGCAACCTCAGCTGCTCCGCCTTGCAACTCCAACCAATAACGAAAGTTTGGCCACTTCCTCAGACAATACCAGGGCCATAGAAGCGATGCAGGTCAGAATCTGTGTTCCTGCTCGGATGATCCTGAAGCCAAGATTCCAAGTCAACATGCCGTTTGATTCTTTATTAAAACATGTAGTGCAAGACAAGGATCATCCCTTCATGCTGGAAGACTTGCATGCCTTCCAGGGTGATACAAATATTGATCTTCAGCAGAAAAGAATTATCTTGTGGCAAACCCATCTCTATAGCAGCTCGTCATACTAAGGTAAAACAGTTGTCACCAGGCCACTCACCACATGCTCGCAATCTTACATGCAATACTGCTGCTGCCTGCAACTTCTGCAGCCAATTCCTTCAACTTTTGCAGGACAGGTGAGTCAGGTTCCTTGTAAAACCTCAACTCAACAAGATTGAATGCATGCTTCACAGCCTTCAGACTCAAGTTTTACTCAAAAAATAGCATGCAAGGTTCAAAGTTCATAAGCAAAATTTGAGTCTTGTCCTCCCTTTCTTGCAGTTTGTTTCGCCGAAAACTGTGCCTTCGTTTATGTTTATGTTCGTTTGACAGAAGAACTAGAAGAACTTTGTAGATCTTTCTAGTAATCTCAGCACTCGACACCAGCGCCACATCAAAGTCCGCGGCTGATGGATCTTGCAGCCTCATGCTCTCCCGGACAGCACTTTCCGTCAAACGTAGCTCTGCAGCCACAGAAGAGTGTCCGTCAGAATAACTGCTGATTGCTGCCAACACGCCAGCTTTCCACAACTGGAAGGCATTGGTTTCCAACCTCAGCATCGCTCTGAACATGTCAAAAATAAAGCTTCGAAAATCGGTTGGTAAATCCTTCCATAATATGGATCGTCACCGAGCGATCACATCATCCAGAAGTGTTGAAAATTCATCAGTGATCAGCTACCAACACCTGGTCAGCTGGAGGCCATGACTTTTAAAAAACATTAAATGCCTCAGGATGTAACCGATGAGAACACGAGGCCCCGTGATGTCGCTCTTGCGGCCTTACTGTTCTCCACCTGTCACGTGGGAGGCAGCGATTTTGAACCTGCAAATGCCTGGAAATGTTTTTCACTACAATTGTTCGGTGTTGAAAAATGCTAAAAATAGTTGAAACATATCGAAACTTTAAGGTGGTGGTCTGCTGAGGAAATCTTCCCCGTTCCCTCAGGGAGGCATCCCGATCTGTCATCGAGTTTCTGACACCATTTTTTCCCATTCATCACTACGTCAGCAAAGCCCTTTGGTTCAAGTTCTCATGTCCAGGAAATGTGACGGAGCAGCGGGTGCAATTGTAGCTCGTTTGTGTACTAAAGCTAAAGTTTGCTTCCCGGTTTTGGCCTTTCCTCGCAAATTCTCTCCTGCCACAAACTCCAACTTCACGCCAGGGCTGGAAAAACTCTGGGCACCTTGGTGTCTAAAACCAGTGCAACCAATAACATCAATAACAGTATCAGCAAGGGTTCTCACCCGGGCCCTGTGGTGCAACATGAGTCTGAAGGCACCGTTCTCGTCCGCACGTAGCACTGTCTTCTCAGGTCCACTGCGCCAGCTGAGCTGCAATGACTCCTGGAATTTGTCTTCGATTCAAAGATCGACACTGACGACCGAAAATGCCAGAAAGCGCATGGTGATGAGGTGAGTGATAAGAGGTGATAAGCCAAGCACGGCGAGCTCCCAAGTTATGCAAGCCGCAAGCGACCTTTTTCAACCCACTTGCACAGGGCGATAGCACACGGCTCAAACGTCCAGGTGGAAACGAACATCAGGACTGGTTGTCGTCATGTTCCGCCATATCTCCTCAATGACCTGACATGGTCAGGATATGTTAAGATCACTTTACAGAACCATGGTCGTTGGATGTCGTTGGTACGATCTGAACTTAGATTTAGTTTCAATACACTTTGCATAGGGCATATGACTGCAACATGTCTTGCCCAGTTTCACTCCCTGTCCGCATCAGTGTGATGTTTTTGTGAACATTCACGTGTGCGGAGGCACCAAAATAAGGGATCCAGTCCTTCAATTGCGCTGAGGCCACTGCATCAGGTGGGTGTGAAGCGATCCAATGGTGTCGCAGGACAGTCTTTCGGTCCTTTCACATGTCAGAGTATAAGATCCAGAAATTAAAAGATCAAGAAATGTATATATACAGTAGTCAAAAGTTTCAAAAGATGTCCAAAAATGTCAAAGGCCCTTGCGAAAGTCTCTTCAAGCTTTGCAGGAGTAGCTGGTACTTGGAAATCTTTGAAACGGGGAGGACCTATTGCAATTAGTCCCACGCTGGCATCATGGCAATGCTTTGGCAGCAATGGTGCGGTCACTGGAAATGCGTGCCAAGGCTCTATCTCCCGCAATGTCTTGCGCGTCCATAGCTCCATGGCTTGAAGGGGCGTCGGCACCAGCACAAATTTCCTTAAAATCATGCGAGGGAATTGACAAGAAACAATCCACCAATATCCACCGATGATTCTCAGGGAAAAAAGTTGGCAATAGGCCAACTCGACCGCCTCAAGTCCCTCAAACTCTCTCTCTCTCTCAAGTTTGGGGAGTGGGTCATGCAGGAAAGCACTGCATCTGGGCGCCATGAGACAGCGTCGATTCCAAACATGTTCACCCAAAGCCCTGCGCGTCCCTTCACTGTAGCTCCACGCCGCAGGTAGCAAGCCATTGCCCCCAAGAACGTCCTGATCGTTGGAGCCTGCGGCCAAGCATGCTCACGTGGCACGTACTGATGTGATATCCATCGACACGGATCAACATGAATCAGCACATAGATCGGAGAAAAAACTACATCATCAGATATCATCAAATATCATCAGATATCATCAGCGTCCAAATGGCCAAATGGACCAAGAAATCGCTGCTATTAGCTGCTTCGATTCCGACGGCTTCAGCTATAGCAGCTATTCACTCCTCCGTGCGAGCAAAGACAGCATCTCGCAAGTCCATCCGCACCAAGTGCAAGCCATGGCGACGCAGCAGGTGAAGCCAAAAAGCGAAGTTGGCGCCTCCCAGCCGAATCATTGCACAATTATATATAATATATAATCAAAATAGACAATGATACCATATTCTATGCGATACATATAATATATGTATGTGATACATTAATGTGATGCGCATGAGAATCAAACAAACACGTTTCAGATATGAATTGCTATAAACTTAAGTCGCGCGTGATGAGATGTGGGCATGTGCCTCCAAAAACCCGAAACACACATCAACTGGAAAGCCAACCTCCCCAAGGCAGATGCTTCGTGTCGTGGGTAAGGCAGGCGTAGCGGAAGGGGAACGGCAAAGAGTCTCGGACCTCTACGACAACCGCACGAGGTTTCGTGTGGGCAAGCAATTCCTGAGATCCAAGAAATCGCCGAAGGTCTGAAGGAATTCTGAATGAAAGAAACTCGTGACTTGAACCTACTTGAACATACTTGAATCTGCATCTGACCCATCAGGGGGATGACATCTGACATCTGACCATCAAGGCCAGCAACTGTCACGGCTGCATGATGCTGCATGCAAGTGTCCTCTACCAAACGTCCATCCATGGTGTCCACATCAACCTGCAAGACCTGGTAGGCAGTAAGATGATGGACGATGAGGACTGCAAAAGCAAAAGGGCGGCATCCGGTTTCACTGCACACTCCACATGGCTGCACCTCCACGTCTTCCACATAGGAGCTGTAGTTTTTCAAAAGCTCAGCGATGTTGTGCGGCTGGGCCTCTTGGAAAAAGGGAGATCGTAGCAAGCAGCAAAGTGAGGCCTTGTTCACAAACCTGGTCCATATCAACTACGTTCAACTAGTGTATCAACTCATCAAGCTCCCAAACCTTGATGTTCAGAATCATGCGATGCGGTGCAGACCATTTTCTTTGGGCGTTTTCTATGAGCTTGGAGCTGACGTCAATAAACCTCGGTTCTGGTTCGGCGGTTGGAGATTGTTTTTTTGACTGGTTGGGCTAAAGGTTTCTCCAGCAGCGGACAAGCAGCAGGCCACCGGCTCCTTTCTCCAGCAGCGGGGAAGTTGGATCATGATTCATATCGCTGCAGCCAAGCACAATCATCCTGATGGTTGACATGGGCACGGTCCAGCGCAGGGAACGGTCACCCCGGGGCAAGTTTTCTTAGCCACGTTTTTTTATTCCATTGGCCCATGATGTTTTAGCCTCGATTTTTCTCTTAGCCACGAACGCAAACTTAGCTAAGGGTGCGTAAGGTTTTTACCCACGTACTGTTGCGTAATTCTCAAAGGCATTCTTTCACAGCGTCCAAGCCCGCCCGTTGTTTTTTTACTTCCTTTTCATTTTGTTACTTCCTTTTGTTTTTTTTACTTCCTTTTGTTTTTTTTACTTCCTTTTCATTTTTTGTTTCCTTTTGTGTTTTTACTTTTTTTTTACTTACTTCCTCTTGTTTTTTACTCCTTTTCTCGGTACAATATGATGATTTTTCGGTACCATAATGAAAAGGGAAGTGTCTCCCCGTGCAATTTGAAGATTTTCCGGTGCCGTTTATTAAAAAGGGAAGGGTCTCCCCCGGTACAAGTTGATGATTTTCCGGTACCGTTTGAGGAAAAGGGAAGGGTCTCCCGGTACAATTTGATGATTTCCCGGTACTGTTTGATGAAAAGGGAAGGGTCTCCCGGTGCAATTTATAGGATAGTGGCACCAAAAATGCTACTGAAAAGCGCGCAACAAACCATTGCAGAACTGCCTTTTGGTCTGGTGAGCTCACGGCTTTCTCTGGTGACCTCAAGCACCATCAATCTGGGCAGCCTCACTTAGGTGCAAATGACTTGAATGATGCCCGACACTTGAATTCTCGACTCCAGCGACGAGGGTCACACAGCTGCAGCTGGGAATCCTTGCGGCAAGACACACATGGCCCCCAACGTGAAAACCATGCTCAACACGTTGCGTGATCATTGCATGGGAAAGCTCTCCTCTATCACCTCCGGCGACGAACTGAGATCGATCTTCTGCACCGTGAGGATACATGGCCAAAACAACGTTGGATTGTCGGGACAGCGACATACAACATGGAAAAGAGACTCGTATACTTAAAACAACGCCTGCACACAATGATCGCTTCTATCCACGAATAGCAAGATTGACTGGAAAGAATCGAAAGTTTGGGGCAGCACTTCCGCACTACGTTGTCTAGGCAAGAGACCCCAAAGAGTATGGCATCAGTATGGGGCGGTGGGAATTCTATGTTTCCAATACGAGAAACAATAGCTACGGAACAAATATAGGATGTGCGAAAGGCGCAGCGGTTTTATTGGTCGCGATACTGTGGCGTAACCTCTGCGGCTGCGAGGAAGAAAGAGGCGGCGATGAAGACCATCTGCAACCATGCCGCCGATGCATCGAATGCTTTGGACGCGCAAGGAAGACAAGACAGGACAAGACAGGGGATCCCTGCCTCGGATGCATCGAATGCTGCAGGAAAGCAAGACTATGGAAAACAAGACAAAACTAGATGGAGAAAACACAGCACGCTACATCTCGCGCGCAGAGATCCCCACCTCGAACGCGTGGAGTGCCACACTTTGGGAATGCAGTTTGCCATTGCTTGAGAAGCACTTGATCCTAAAGTTACCAGTAGAATGCCGCAGGCCAGGATCGCGACCAACACTCTGCGCGAGTCTGCGCAATCGAAATACACTTGGACATGCGCAAGAAGCACTTTATGCGAGAATTTAGTGGTAAAATGGCGCGGGCCATTGACGCTTGATTTAACAGTGCACAAGAAACACTTTATGCGAGAACTTACAGGAAAAATGCCGCAGCCAAGAGTGGTGTGTGCCAGCCTACAGAATCGAAATGCACGGGGACATTGGAGCTTTCAGCACTTTGTGCCAAAATTCGCGAAAAAGTGCTGCAAAACCAGACCGGAGACCGCACCGTTCGCGAGCCCGCACAGGCGAAATGCACTTGGACATTGCGCAAGAAGCGCTCGAAGCGAGAACTTAAAGGAAAAATGCCGCAGACCAAGGCCAGGGAGCGCACTGGGTGCAAGCGTGCGCAAAAACCACTGGCCTTGGCCTACTGTGGCTTGAGATGACATTGAATTGTCTCATGACCGGGTGCCCCTGTGAAGGTGTAAGCAAGTTCACCGCTGATATCGCAGCAGTATTGCCAATGTCGAAGTTGCACCCAGAGACGGGCACAGAGCCGTAGCAGGAAAGTTCGGACTGTTCACCTATGTAAAGAGATGCACAGGTATCCGTGGAGGTATGGAGAAACCCTTAGCATCAGCAAACGAGCCAGAGTCGCGTGCCACCGTCCACTGCAATTGACGCTGTGGAAGGAGGATCCCAAATTCGTTATTCAATAACCATTTGCCATGGCTAAGTTGTGCCAGAACTGTGCGCGGCTTAGCTTGATGCTGAAGCCCTTGATTTAGACTTCACTAGTGCTTCTAAGGCCTCATTCAAATGTCATGTTCACATATGCGCGTTGAGATTTGGTTGGCCTGACCACATCAATAGCGAATCAAAGATTTTACCGAGAAATCGTCAAATTGTACCGGGGGACCCTTCCCTTTTCGGTTTCTCGGGACCGGGAAATCATCAAATTGTACCGGGAGACGCTTCCCTTTTGATCAAAACATGATGAATTATAACCAAAGAAGTTTGCTTTCAAAGTTTTAAAAAATATCTAAAATGATGTTCAAGGCTAAGGTGTTCATTGCTCGCGTGGCTAAAACCATTTACGTTGCTAAAAAACCTTTCAGGGCTAAAAAAAAATTGATGCTAAAAATCGGTCCCGTCACCCCGGTCGGAATATTTGGAAAGAAATGGCATTGAACATGATTGAACTGATTTGAACTCGAAGCTAATGGACACCAAATTCTGCCAAATCACTGCGAAACAAAAGCCATGGGTGAATTCTCTGCTCACAGCCAAGGCACGATTTTGGAGGCGCCTGAGGCCACAAAGCGGACCATGCATCTTGCACACCTGACATCGTCAAAATGTGCTGCCAAGAATCTTCACATGCGCACGCGCATGCACGCTGTTGTGGTGCGAAGCACATTTAGAAGTCAAAATGTGTAAAACACACCCACGTCGGACCACTTTTGGAGGTTGAGATGTCGAAAAAGTGCACGCCATTCTGGTGCGAAGCACATTTCCAAGTCAAAATGTGCAAAACACCTCATGTTCGGACCATTTCGGATCACTTTTGAAATTGAAATATCGAAAAAGTGCACGCCGTTGTGGCGGGAAGAACATTTCGAACTGAAAAGTATTATATACAAACTGAGGGTTTGGAGCACTTTTGGAAGTTGAGATGTTGAAAAAGTGCACCCCGTTGTGGCGCGAAGCACATTTCGAAGTCAAAATGCACAAAGCACACCAAGAGCACTTTTGGAAGTTGAGATGTTCAAAAAGTGTACGTCATTGTGGCGCGAAGCACATTTCGAAGTCAAAATGTACAAAACAACCTCAGCCTCGGAACATTTTTGGAAGCTCAGATGTCGAAAAAGTGCACGCCGTTGCGGCACGAAGCACATTTCGAAGTCAAAAGTGTTAAAAACTGACGGTCTCGGACCACTTTTGGACGTTCAGATGTGGCTTTGCGTGGCAGGCGCAAGGGATTCTGCATCTTTCCAAAAGTGACTAAAACGTGAGGGCTTTGTAGCATGTCCGAAAACGATGGCAGGCGTGGGCTTGAAGAGGATCTGGAAAGATGCATTTCGCGTGGCAGGCGCAGTACAAAAGACATGTTCATCAGAGATGTTAGGAGGTCAGGGCGCTGATTTCCTGAGAGGAGTTTGCATTTTGGAGCATCAGATCTTCAGGTTTGCTAAGCTGATTTTGTGTGACAGGTGCAGCACTTCGAATGACCTGGCATCACTTTTCGTGGCAGGCGCAATACTTTAGACAGATGGAATGGAAAAATCGCAAAACGCATTGGCACGACGCCAATGCTTTTTCCGTTTTTGAAAGAAGTCTCGCAGAATTATTCCGTTTTTTAATGTTGTCAACTTCGAAAATTGAGGAGGTCTGGCATAATTGGTTCGTTTTTGGCGTTGTCATGTTCAAAAACTGAGGAAATCTCGCAGAATTGCCGCGTTTTTTGATGTTGCCAAATTCAAAAGCTGAAGAAGTCTCGCAGAATAGCTTCGTTCTCAAGCTTGCAGAAAGACAGACAGACAGATAAACAAATAAACAGATAAACAAATAGAGAGGTAGATAGGTAGATAGACAGATAGATAGACAACTACAACTGCAACTACCACTACCACCCCTTCACTACTACTACAACTATGCAACTACCACTACACTACTACTACTGCTGCTGCTGCTACTATATACTACTACTACTTCTTCTACTACTACTACTTCTTCTACTACTGCTGCTACTACTACTACTACTCCTACTACTACTCCTCCTACTACTCCTACTACTACTCCTCCTCCTCCTACTACTACTACCCCACCACCACCACCACTACTACTACCACAGCTACAACTACAATTACAAGTACGCTACATTGCACTACATTACACTAATTACACTGCAGCACACTACAGCTACAACTACAACTACACTACATTACACAACACTACGCTACACTAATTACATTACACTATACTACACTATAACACACTACAGTACACAACGCTACAGTACCCTATGCTACACTAACACTACGCTAATTACACCATTCCACAACTAAAACTGCAACTGCACTACACTAAGTACACTGCACTACAACTACAACTCCACTACACTACACTACACTACAACTACAACTGCACTACACCACACTACATCCAGCAGTTGTGGGTGAGGTGACCACTGCAACCATTGCAACCACTCCAAAAAACACAACTCCAACCACCTTTCGGTCCATCAGTGGATTCGCTCTGCCCTCCGTGATTCACAACAACCAACATCAACCAACCTCTCCTATAGGTTTCCTATTTTTGAAACTTCTGCCACCGCCTTGTGCGGTACTACTGGTATATTCAGATCAAAGTGGGAGCAAATGCAATCAAAAGTCAAAGCAAAGCGTCTCTGGCCATGCCGTTGACACCAATTGAATGGCAGACAAGAAACTATGGATGCACACGTCTGGTGCGGCTTGCACAGCCATTTTGACAATCTCATCCGGATTCCCTGGATTTCCTGGATTCCATTCATCCTTATGGCAAGAAAGAGGAACTACGACAGCAAATCTGCTGCCCTTGTGACATGCTGAAATCGTTTGCAACTGAAAAGATCCCTAGCCTCTTAGTGAGCCATGCCGTCACTGACTTGACTACTCCACATCACGACTACCTAATTTTGTTGTGCACTTGCGTTGGAAGGGGCAAGCAGCGTCTGAGCCGAGACACAAGCCCAGCATATTGCAAAGACCTAGCGAGTGAGGCAGACTGGCAAACATCGGCAATTTCTGGTAACTTTTGACCCGAAGGATGCATCCTGAAGATGTCGCAATCAAAGTGTGAGAAGTTTCCACTTGAACCATTGATCATTTAAGCCCAAGCCCTCACACCTGCTCAACCATTCGCCCCAAACATCGGGCTTAGGGTGAAGCCGGCGAAATGGGTGCTGCATTACAATGAAAGGATCCTGGCCAGAACTTGACGTGAAATTTCAACCGTTTTGCCCGGGGCCCAACCAAAAAGCGACCCGCTACCTGCTTTGCCGTCATCACTTTCGAAAAACTGACGAAAGAATATAGCAAAAGTATATTCTACAAGCCAACATGAAAGTACCCAAGACACATGTTATACATATTATTTATATTATATGATATATATATATTATATTATATTATATTATATTATATTATATTATATTATATATATATATATGCGTGTGTGAGTGTGTGTGTGTGCGTACATTTCATGCTACACACAAATTTGAAATTTACGTATGTGTGTGGATGATTGTGGATGTATGTGTGCCATTGTGTGCATGTATTTAAAAATCACACCAAAAACAACAGATAAGTCGTTACACCAGACCCTTTTAGTGCATTCCCTCTTTGAAACCTCATCGCTCTGCAGCTGATGAGGGCACAATGGTTCTTCTTCTGCCCAGTAGCGCCCTATCCTCAGACGTTCATGCACTGACTCAGATGTTTGCGGAGGTCTGCAGGTCATGGAAAACATCTGCAGCTTGTAACGCGACCGCCGCGCCTTTTGTGCATCTTGTTCTAGCATCTACACTTAATTGCAAGTCAGAATCAAGAAGCCAACATACCCGTTGGGTGCCTGCCATCGCATCAAAACACGTCAAAACCGGATAGCGATACCTTGCAAGTAAACATAAGTAAACACAGTCCACAAATATCATCAAATACCAATATTGAATCATCTGCGGACGCCAGAAATTTTCTGACGGTTGCAATGCCTTGCTTCGGAAAACAGCATCCTAGGCCAGCTCCATCAGGCAACAGCCAACAGGACAGCAGATTGGGTTCATCTACGCTCATCTCACCGTCTTCAGGACTCTGGCTGTTTGGCCGTGAGATGCTACGACCACACTGGCAAACCAGTAACTAGCAGAACTAGCAGAACTTGCATAGGTCTCTCTGAGGGCCCTGTAGTCAGCCTAGAGACGAGCTTGGGTGACCTTCGAATCAAAGGCTCGTCATAAAACTTGCAAAGGTGATCGAATCCCGGTCCACAACGATTTACCTCGATGAGCTCAAAAGAAACTGAAATCTAGATTTATAATATACAATATACGGATCAACAGATCAATATGATATAGTCATTACGTAAACAATCCAAACACCCAACACACTACAAAGAATGGCAAAGCCCGCACAACTTTGCAAAATTGCGTACTCAAACTCCGACCCATGTCACGTGCGAAGGGAAGTGGGACTGGGAAGCTGTAAGAAAATATTGGCTGGAGCACCAGCGGTCCGTCCCCGGATATCGTCCCCGGATATCATCAAACCTTATGTCAAAACTCCATGGCAATTCCATAGCTCAATTTGGGTAATTAGTGGTAATCAATTATCATGGTGCCACACAGTACCCATCAAATCTTGCCACAAGGAACGCCTTATGCCCTTCAAAAAGGTGCAAGAAAGCCTATGCTCCTTTCAAAATTGAATGGGCCCAAGCCACTGTGCGGAGCATGTCAATCGAAAAACCGAGTTCCACGATATCTTCCTGAAATCTGGATGCAAATCACCGTCCAAAACTTCGGCCACAGTCAGAGCAGGTGAAAGCATGAGCTTGAACTTTGAACATGTTAAAAGATTTTAAAGGCATCCAAAACCTGTTTCAAACCACGGACCATCTTTTTCCCATCTGTTTCGACTGCATCCGTCCAGGCGCTGATGTTTGTTTGGCACAATGGTTTGCATGCTTGCAGGCTAGAATCTGTGATCCGAATCGCATTCGTCCAGCGGCAGGTATTGAAGTGAGGCTCTCGAAGCACCAGAAAAAAGTGCGCTGAGAACGCCCGTAAGGATGGAGTAATCTTGGTGACTCTAAGACTCTCAACACATATCTCAACATTTTACAACAATCTCAAGATCATGCTCGCTCCAAGTTTGATATTCCTCAAGTTCCAGCACAAAATTCAAGCTAAGGCACCAAATAAGGGTACACTTTCTCAGTCAGCTTGGGATAATCTTGGGCATCCACCAGCTTGGCATGCAACTGCAGCAGACACCGACTATGAGAGGGCAACGTCCTTTCCCATCCCCTTTAAGGCACGTGCCTGAATCCCACATCCTGACCTTTCCAACCTAATTATACATTGATATCACTGATGTCATGTCCATAATCCTGGTCTTGGCCCCTGCTATTCCATGCTGGTCCATCCTGCTCCTCCCCTGGTCGCAAATGTCCGAAAAGAAAACCATTGCAATTTGGGCAAGTGCCCCAAACAGCCGAACAGACCGGCAGCCCTTTAGATGGTAGATGATGGTAGGCTTATAGAAATTGTAGCAAGTCAAATCTCAAGTAGCCAATCCTAGCCCTGGCATTGGTGTGCATACACTGTCCACACAAGTTTATACCATTGCAATTCATTTGCAAGGCATTTGCACCATGATGATGTCAGCATCCATCTGCCTGTCGTTGCGACATACCATCCAGTATCCAGCCTCCCACAGCTGCTCATCGGCGAAGCAATGCACAGTCACCAGCAACGGCAGCCACGGCAAACGTTCGGCCCAAAGCATGTCCCATCACTTTGAGCTGCAGAACCTCTTCCGTGCACATGGCCCGGTATGCGACAGCAATCAATCCTGTCTCTCTGTGATTTGCTTCTGGTCAGTCTGGTCAGTCTTGCATATAGATGCGTCTAGCTTCCACACTCACCTGGTTTTAGCATGTTTTAGAACTAAAAAAGTTCAGAAAGTCTGCCATAGAATATCAGAAATTATCAGAATATCCCACGGTCTTCTGCCACATGTCACAATGTGCATATCCTGGAGCATTCCTTGAGCGATGGCAAGTCGATAAAAATGTGGCCCACTGCTGGGTAGGACGTGCAATGAAGGAACACTAAGGAACACGGAATACGCTGTGGCCCATGTCAAACATTGTCAAACCTCTTTAATTCCTGGCCAAGTCCATGCGTTTCATGCAGCAGTGGAATTGTGAAGCGATATTTGCATCGATCCCATGCAGAATTGAATGCAAACGTGGTCGTGTGATGGTCATTTGTCTTTTCACCGAACGCCCTCAGTGGCTTCAACATCGCTCGGCTGTGGCTGGTTTGCCAACTTTGCTCGAAAAGCCATCAGGGTTCGCCATTTCTCCTGTCAAGATCTCGATAGGATGGTGCAGTGGTGTGAAAGATGTGCATTGGGCTTGACAAATTGATTGGGAATGCGCAATGATTGTGCATGATATGCGATATGCGAAGCATGGGGAGGAACAATTCACTACCGATTTGCGGATGTGCATCCAGAATCTCCCAAATTGACATCCAGACACCACATCCATTCATCACATCTTCATGCAGCCGTCAGACCGTCAGTGTGTGCGGCTAGTTAGGGTTTGTCCCCCCATCTGCCCCTTCTGTGCCATTGGTCCTCGTCGTCTGGATATTGCTCCACCAAATCCTCATCCACTCGAAGCCATTCACCTCCGCAGAAAACTGAGCAAATACACATCCTTCGGTTGCTGGCCCAGGTCGTGCTGGGCGTATCTGTATGCGATGTTTATCTACACAATCAACATCTATCAGCCATTGACCCCGGTATTGGTTGAAATTGTTTGAAAGAACATGAGAAGGTCAAGTCTCACAGTCTGACATCAGCCTGTCTCCAAGCGCACCATGCGTGGCCCATCTGTTGGCAGAGGTGTGCTGGAGGTGCTGAAGCGGCCAGACAAAAGAGCCTGGAACAAGCTCTTGGAAAAGATGCGGGTGTGCAGCAGCTCGCTGAACAAGAAAAGGGGCAGAGTTGCGAACAAGCATTCATGCTGTCATATCTGTCATAGCATGGTAAACCATGTATGAATCACGCTATGACAGTAGCTTTGGATATGTCCCATCCCTCCTGTCCTCTGTGGTGCCACCCAGGCGGCCAAGCATACCCTTTTTTGCACGTCGTCGTTCATCAGCTTGCCGTGTTTCTCGAAGGCTTTCCTTGGAGTCATGGCCAAGAGTGGCAGGCCCTGGTCGCGGAAAAGATTGTTATACAGGAGGGGCCTTGAAGACTCCATGAGACTTGAGATGTGCGGTGGTGGACTGATCATCTGCAAGCCAGCAACGCCAGCTAATAATTCCAGCAAGGGATCAAGCAACAAGGAGAATGAAGGCCGCTCCGCCACATCCCACCGCATACACTGATCCGCGACCTGCGACATCCCGCGACACAATCTGGGGCGACTAGTCTAATTAAGCAATGGCAGCTCTCTTGCTCTCATCATCTATGTTCCCTATGTGACATTTGGCAACATCTGGCAACATTGTTGAGCCTCGTGAAGAAAGACACGGCCCGCAGACGCACTGGGTGCAGCAGCAGTACGGAGCTGGTGTCGACCATATCCAACGGTTGCAATTATCCTCAGGATTGAACCAACTGACTGAGCGTGAGCCGGCTGATGAGTAACCTTTCGACATGGGCTGAATGATGACCGCATTGCCTCAAATGCTGACTTTCACAACCTCGCAGGTCGTTTGTCGCACAAGGCTCTGGGCGATGGAAAATTCACCATATGGCACCGCCCTGAAGAGCATCTCCCACAAGATGAGCCCAAACCTGAGTCCACGAGCGAAGTTTCCTGCAATTCCGATGCTGGCTTTCCCATGCTGTCCACCGTGCTGTTGATACCGTTCAATTCCTACCTTTCAAGAACGCTGCACTAGGTTGGCATTTCAATAATAAGTAACATGTTGCAACACGTTGTAATCTTGTGTAACTACTGTGTAATTCCATGCGTCAAATGTTAGACCTGCACCGAGCTACGAGTGAACGTCCGATGCTTGTCTGGGCCGATGTCCACGCAGCAATTCTGGAGCCATCCAATTCACGGGACCTTGTCCATTGCCCGGGATAAATGTCTAGAAGCATAGAGAAAAAATGCCATGAGATATCTTTGATTTTGTTTTTACATCTTTGGGGGTTGTATTGCAAGAGATTTCCTGACAGTCCTTGAGGTGATCATTCAACATTTGGCTCAACCGTCACTTGCGGCAGTAAGATTCGATCACTTGCGGCAGTGAGATTTTCCATCACTTGCGGCAGTAAGAATCAATCTCTTGCGGCAGTAAGACTCTTGTAAGACGATTCAAAACCAATCACTTGCGGCAGTAAGATTCCGGAACGTTCATGTTACTGCTGGGGTGGGGTGGGGTGGGGTGGGATAATAACGGTCCTGTTCCTGTACACATACAGGCACCGCAACAGGCACTGCTCTTTCATCATCAGCTATGCTGGGGGGTGGGGTGGGGTGGGGTGGGATGGGTGGGGGGGGGTGGGATGTGGGGTGGGGGGGGTGGGGGGGGTGGGGTGGGGTGGGGATGATGATGATGGGGTGGTGGTGATGATGATGATGATGATGATGATGATGATGATGATGAAGCTGATGATGATGATGATGAGGAGGAGGAGAAGAAGAAGGCTAATGATGATGTGCTAGGTATGTAAGTAAAGTTTCCACTCTAATCCCTGCCATGGAGATACACGGATCACTACGCTCGCTCAACAGCTACAAGTCTAGTCGCGGTCGCGCCGTTCTATGTAAATCCTAACGTGAAGCTATTGCCACAGTATCTAACATAGACCCGGGCAAGCCGGCGGCGGAAGTTTCCCAAACATAAATGACCTATAGTTCAAAGACACCCTGTCCCGACCGTGTCCTTCCCTCGACAACCGTTTGATTTTTTCAGCGAGAGACGAAGCAAAGTCTTCACACTCCACACTGCACACTGCACTCTTCGCACTCCGAACTTGAAACTTCACACTCCACACTTCACACTTCGCACTTCACAGTCCACACTTCACACTTCTCACTTCCCACTGCTTCCTTCACACTCCAAACCTCACAATTCGCACACAGCGGCGGCGGGAACATGCACAATTCGCACACAGCCTGGCAGACCTGAAACTACACATGCACTGCCTCAGGCTATACAAAACGAGCTTTCAAAACCGGATCTCGATGCCAAAACGCAAAAATTGCATTTGCCAAGCTTTGGTGTTTGCAAGCAGCCAAAATCTGAAAAAAAAACATTTCACACTTCACACTCCACACTTCACACTTCTCACTTCTCACTGCTTCCTTCACACTCCAAACCTCACACTTCACACTTCACACTTCACACTGCGCTCTTCGCACTCCAAACTTAAACTTCACACTCCGCACTTCACACTTCTCACTTCCCACTGCTTCCTTCACACTGCACACTTCACACTGCACTCTTCACGCCCCACACTTCACACTGCTCTAAACCTACGTGCAACAAAAAAACACTAGCTCCAAAATGGAGAAAATCTGCTAACAAATCCATTTCGCAGCCTTCATGCAGCCAGTCCAAGACGATGTAAGAGATCCAGCTGCAAAAGACATTACGCATGCAGCCAAAGCAAGAAGCAACCTTGACGCAGCCATTCCAATGCGATCTGCGGAGACTGAGTTGCAAAACACAAGAGAACTACGCGCAATGGCATCGGAAATTGTAGCTCCAAAACCGGAGGATCTCGACGCCAGAGCGAAAACTAGACGACGGATGGCCCGAGAGCGTAGAGGAGCAGGGTCTTCTCTTGTTAGTATGGAGACACAATTTTACAAACAATATATGAAAGATGTGTTATAGGCAGTCGAGAAGAGAAGTAGCAAGACAAAATAGTGAGAAGTGCAAGACAATAGTTTGCACCGCAAACACTTTTACACACAGACGCTTTTACACACAAAAGTTTTTACACACAGAAGCTTTTACACACAGAAGCTTTTACACAAACACTTTTACACAAACACTTTTACACACAGAAGCTTTTACATACAAACACTTTTACACACAGATGCTTTTACACACAAACGCTTTGACACACAGACGCTTTTTACACACGGACGCTTTTTACACACAGACGCTTTTTACGCACAGACGCCTTCACACACAAACACATTTACACACAGAGGCTTTTACACACAAACACTTTTACACAAACACTTTTACACACAAACACTTTTACACACAGACGCTTTTACACACAGACGCTTTGACACACAGACGCTTTTACACACAGAGACTTTTACACACAGACGCTTTTTACACACAGGCGCTTTTACACACAGACAAGAACGGCACAAGTAAAATCCCAATTTTACCTCAGTTTTTGCCGATCGACCCTCATTTCGTGCGAAAGGGTTGCTTTAGCACAAGTAAAATCGCAATTTTACCTCAGTTTTTGCCGATCGACCCTCATTTCGTGCGAAAGGGTTGCTCCGGCACAAGTAAAATCGCAATTTTACCTCAGTTTTTGCCGATCGACCCTCATTTCGTGCGAAAGGGTTGCTCCGGGACAAGTCAAATCGCAATTTTACCTCAGTTTTTGCCGATCGACCCTCATTTCGTGCGAAAGGGTTGACGTTTCGTGACTCGCCGCCGGCACCACCCTCGGCCTTAAGAGAGAAAGATAAAAAGAAGGCGTGAGAGAGAAGGTGAGCAGGTGTGAAGATAAGAAGATGTGAAGATGAGCAGATGTGAAGATGAGCAGATGTGAAGATGAGCAGATGTGAAGATGAGCAGATGTGAAGATGAGCAGATGTGAAGATGAGATGAGCAGATGTGAAGATGAGCAGATGTGTGAAGATGTGAGAGAAGATGTGAAGATGAGCAGATGTGAAGATGAGCAGATGTGAAGATGATGTGAAGATGAGCAGATGTGAAGATGAGCAGATGTGATGAGATGAAGATGTGAAGATGAGCAGATGTGAAGATGTGAAGCAGATGTGAAGATGAGCAGATGTGAAGATGAGCAGATGTGAAGATGAGAAGATGTGTGAAGATGAGCAGATGTGAAGATGAGCAGATGTGAAGATGAGCAGGTGTGAAGATAAGAAGATGTGAAGATGAGCAGATGTGAAGATGAGAGGATGTGAAGATGAGAGGATGTGAAGATGAGCAGATGTGAAGATGAGAGGATGTGAAGATGAGATGTGAAGATGAGAAGATGTTTTACACACCCCCACTATTGGAAGAACCCTGCGCTCAGACGCTCTCGGGAAAAAGACGATTTTGAAGCACTTTTTAAAAGGATTTTTAGAAGGAAAATCACTAGCGCCAAAATGGAGAAAATCTGCTGACAAATCACTGTCGCAGCCTTCATGCAGCCACTCCAATACGATTTACGAAGTCCAGCTGCAAAAGACAATAGTATTACGCATGCAGCCACAGCATGAAGCAACCTTGACACAGCCATTACAATGCGATCTGCGGAGACTGAGTTGCAAAACACAATAGAACTACGCGCAACGGCGTCGGAAATTGTAGCTCCAAAACCGGATCTCGACGCCAGAGCGAAAAAAAGACGATTTTGAAGCACTTTTTAAAAGGATTTTTAGAAGGAAAATCACTAGCGCCAAAAACGCATTTCGTGCGAGACTTCCTTCAAAAACTCCATCGGCAACTCATCCACCAGCACCACTTGCAATCCCATTTACATTGCGGGAACGATCCTACAGTTGCAAATCACAATGGAATTCTGTCGACCGCACATGCACGAAAAACACTTGAAACCCCATTTACAATGCGGAACCGATCCGAGAATGATCCGACCATGGTCCGAGAATGATCCGACCACACACGAGACCGTCTCGCACCCGTCGCACCGCAGAAGTAGATCATCGACGTTCGGGGACGCACTTTGTCTAGAAAAACACAGGGTTTCGTGCATCTGCTATCTCTCAAAAACGCAGTTCGTGCGAGACTTCCTTCAAAACTCCATCGGCAACTCATCCACCAGCACCACTTGCAATCCCATTTACATTGCGGGAACGATCCTACAGTTGCAAATCACAATGGAATTCTGTCGACCGCACATGCACGAAAAACACTTGCAACCCCATTTACAATGCGGAACCGATCCGAGAATGATCCGACCATGGTCCGAGAATGATCCGACCACACACGAGACCGTCTCGCACCCGTCGCACCGCAGAGGTAGATCATCGACGTTCGGGGACGCACTTTGTCTGGAAAAACACAGGGTTTCGTGCATCTGCTATCTCTCAAAAACGCAGTTCGTGCGAGACTTCCTTCAAAACTCCATCGGCAACTCATCCACCAGCACCACTTGCAATCCCATTTACATTGCGGGAACAATTTCTTTGACTAACTCGTTCCCTAACGAACTCTTTCTTTGCTAACTCTTTCTTTGCTCTTTCTTTGACTAACTCTTTCTTTGCTAACTCTTTCTTTGACTACCTCACATATCCTGACTAACTCTTTCTTTGACTAACTCTTTCCCTCACTAACTCTTTCTTTGACTAACTCTTTCCCTGACTAACTGTTTCTTTGACTGACTCTTTCTTTGACTAACTCTTTCTTTGCTAACTCTTTCTTTGACTAACTCTTTCCCTCACTAACTCTTTCTTGGACTAACTCTTTTTCTTTGCTAACTCTTTCTTTGACTAACTCTTTCCCTGACTAACTGTTTCTTTGACTGACTCTTTCTTTGACTAACTCTTTTTCTTTGCTAACTCTTTCTTTGACTAACTCTTTCTTTGACTAACTCTTTCTTTGCTAACTCTTTCTTTGACTAACTCTTTCTTTGACTGACTCTTTCTTTGACTAACTCTTTCTTTGCTAACTCTTTCTTTGACTAACTCTTTCCCTGACTAACTGTTTCTTTGCTAACTCTTTCTTTGACTAACTCTTTCCCTCACTAACTCTTTCTTTGACTAACTCTTTCCCTGACTAACTGTTTCTTTGCTAACTCTTTCTTTGACTAACTCTTTCCCTCACTAACTCTTCTTTGACTAACTCTTTCTTTGACTAACTCTTTCTTTGACGAACTCTTTCTTTGCCAACTCTTTCTTTAACTAACTCTTCTTTGACTAACTCTTTCTTTGACTAACTCTTTCCCTTTGACTACCTCATATATCCTGACTAACTCTTTCTTTGACTAACTCTTTCCCTCACTAACTCTTTCTTTAACTAACTCTTTCCCTGACGAACTCTTTCTTTGCTAACTCTTTCTGTGACTAACTCTTTCCCTCATTAACTCTTTCTTTGACTAACTCTTTCCCTGACTAACTGTGTCTTTGCTAACTCTTTCTTTGACTAACTCTTTCCCTCACTAACTCTTTCTTTGACTAACTCTTCTTTGACTAACTCTTTCTTTGACTAACTCTTTCCCTGACGAACTTTTTCTTTGCTAACTCTTTCTTTGACTAACTCTTTCCCTGACATTCTAAAAGTCCGTAACACGGAAGTTTCTCCCCCTAAACTTCCTTTGATAACCAATATATCAACCGTAGCGTTATATATACCCAACTGCAAAACGAAAAGACATGAAAAACACCGCCGAGCTGAAATTCCACCTGGATAAAAGTCGGTCTTTCTTTCTCCTTTCATTCATTCTCTCTGGGTTGGATTCACACCAAATGCTATCAAAAGCCATGTGTTTTACCTAACCGAGTCGAATAGCGCCCTAAAAACTTGCTCCAACCCTCTTTGTTGGATCCCTTTCAAAGGATACAGACATGATCTAAACTTCAATCAAGACATCAATGAAAACAATGAAATCCTGTATAACAGAAAGCACTCAACATAAACCTTCTGTACATCAGCGTTGCAATGGTTCCAGTCAATGTTTAGAAATCACATGGATAGAAGACAAGTATGTGCGCAAGTGCTGCAAAGCAGCTTACTGCCACAAGCGATTGGTTTTTTATACCTTCGCATCAATCACGCCCACTTACCGCCACAAGCGACAGATTTTTACCGCCACAAGCGATTGAAAAGAAGCAACCGCGATCTTACCGCCACAAGCGATTAGGCCTTGAAATGCTGCACCTGCCACGCAAAAACAGCAATCACCCGCGGCAGTAAAAAAAAATCACTTGTGGCAGTCAAAATGAATGTAAAAATGAACGTTTTTACTGCCACAAGCGATTGGGGCATCTTACCGCCACAAGCGAAGTACAAGCCCAACATTTGGAGACCTGATGCAAATCGAGCTGCAAATGGCATACTTTTTCACCACTTCCTCAACGCCCAAAGCGCAGCGCTTGGCTTGAGCGCCGCGGACCTGCCAGGGAACACATTGAGGCAAACCTGGTTCAATCTACAGCATCACACTCGCAGTGCCCAAACACAAAATGATACACACTTTGTATCACTTTGTGACATTGCATGCCATTCCCTGACCATACATACATCACTATGTCAATCATCGTCGGATGTCAAGATCTCGATCCCCAGATACCCCGAGCCTTGAGGCATCTTTGCCAGCCCCATCGCCACCATGAGACGCCAAGGCCACAGAGTCGGGCATGACAGCCACCAGCTGGCAGGGCTGTACCAGCAATAGAAGTGATGGTATGCTATTGTGTGATGTCGTATGGTATGATGTGTGCGTGTGTGCGTGTGTGCGCGTGCATGGTTATATGGATTTTGTTTGTTATTGGCATACTGACTGTGGGCATACTGACTGTGTATGAACGTAAGTACCATGTAGGTATAGAATTGCATATATGTACATAATTTGGAAGGTTGGAAGGAGCTACGACGCTTCTTTGATGGCATAGGTCACAGATGATCACTGCCGGGATAGCAGATTCAACTCAAGATACCACAGGTGGACCTGCCTGCTTGCAAGACTTCGACATTCACAGAACACAGAGCACCGTGTGCCAGTCCGCGCGTGCACAAAGCGGCCATGCCCTCACAAATGCCCAAACTGATCTGCAGCTCAGTCCTTGCGCTAAACACAGGATGGGTTCCCAAGGCCATCATAGGCTAACTGCAAGACTCGCAAGACGATATGCTTCCCACATTACCACAAACAACCTCACATTCAATGTTCGTCATCTGAAAACAATTATCAAATCGAAGGAAGTTTAGAAGTCAAACGTCCGACAATATGGACAGATGAAAAGCAGAGATGGGAAGAATCAGAGAAGAGAAGCGAAGAAGAAAGAAGATCACAAAAGAGAAAGTCTCAGAAGAAAGAAGATTCAGGTGCGCGAAAAGGTAGGCAAGTCGCGAAACACTGCGTTTTTCCAATGATTTGTGGCTCCGGAGAGTCGAAAAGTAGGCTCGCTAAAGCGGCGGGTGCGGAGCCAGCTGGCCAGATGAGAGATGAAAAATTGCACGCCATTGTGGCGCGAAGCACATTTCGAAGTCAAAATGTTAAAAACACGACATGTTCGGAGCACTTTTGGAAGTTGAGATGTCGAAAAAGAGCCCGCCGTTGTGGCGCGAAGCGCATTTGCAAGTGAAAAAGCTAAAAACACCTCACGTTCGAAACACCTTTGGCAGTTGAGATGTCGAAAAAGTGCACGCCGTTGTGGCGCGAAGCACATGTCGAAGTCAAAATGTACAAAACACACCATGTTCGGACCACTTTTGGAAGTTGATGTTGAAAAAGTGCACGCAGTTGTGGCGCGAAGCAGATTTCGAAGTCAAAATGTGAAAAACACCACATGCCCGGACCACTTTTGGACGTTCAGATGTCGCTTCGCGTGGCAGGTGCACGGGATTGAGGGCATTGTAGCATTTCCAAAAACGATGGCAGGCGTGGGACATTTGAAGAGGATCTGCAAAGATGCATTTTCCGTGGCAGGCGCAGTACAAGAGAAGTGTTCATCAGAGATGTTAGGAGGTCAGGGCGCTGATTTCCTGAGAGGGGTTGCATTTTGGAGCATCAGATCTTCAGGTTTGCTAAAATGATTTTGCGTGACAGGTGCAAAACTTCGTATGACCTGGCATCACTTTTTCGTGTCAGGCGCAGTACTTTAGACAGGTGGAGTGGAAAAATCGTAAAACGCATTGGTACGAGGCCGTCAGCTCTGCACTCAACTTTCCGTTTTTGAAGGAAGTCTCGCAGAATTGTTTCGTTTTTGATGTTTTCAACTTCGAAAAATGAGGAAGTCTCGCAGAATTGTTTCGTTTGGATGGTGTCAAGTTCCAAAATTGAGGAAGTCTCGCAGACTTGCTTTGTTTTGGATGTTGTCAAGTTCCAAAATTGAGGAAGTGTCGCAAAATAGCTGCGCTTTCAAGCTTGCAGATAGACAGACAGACAGACAGACAGACAAACAGATAGATAAATCGATAGATCGATCGATAGATAGATAGATATAGATAAATAAGTAGATAGATAAATAGACAGATCGATTAGGTAGATAGACAGACAGTTACAACTACAACTACTACAACGACAACAACAACAACAACTACTACTACTACTACGACGACTACTACGACTACGACTACGACTACGACTACGACTACGATTACGACGACGACGACGACGACTACTATGACGACGACGACTACGACTACTACGACGACGACGACGACGGCGACGGCGACTGCGACGGCGACGGCGACGGCGACGGCGACGGCGACGACGACGACTACTACTACTAAAACCAAATCTACAATTCCAATGAAAACTACACTACGTAACACTGCACCACACTAATTACACTGCAGCACTCAGCACACTACAGCTAAAAATATACATGCAACTACAACTACTACACTACTGTACTACATTACACAGCACTACACGACACTATGCTACACTAATTGCATTATATTCCACTACATCTACAACTGCAACTACAATTGCAACAACCACTACTTTGCACTACGCTACACTACACTAATTACAATACACTACAACTACAACTACATTACTCTACACTACACTACACTAGACTAGACTACACTATACCACACTACAGTACACAACACTACAGTACACTACAATACACTACAATATACTAGTTACTACACCAAATAACACCACACCACAACTACAACTGCAACGTCAACTGCGACTGCACTACACTAATTACATCACATTAGAACTACAGCTTAGAACTACAACTCCACTACACGACACTACAACTACAACTACAACTGCACTACACCACACTGAGGTGACCACTGCAACCATTGCAACCACTTCAAAAAACACAACTCCAACCACCTTTCGGTCCATCAGTGGATTCGCTCTGCCATCCGTGATTCACAACAACAAACCTCTCCTATAGGTTTCCTATTTTTGAAACTTCTGCCACCGCCTACTGGTAGGTACTATGATAGACGATGATGGATATCAACAGTATCTGATAGCAACGTGCCAAGCCAAGAGCTCCTGAAGTCCAATGGCTGTCTGCTGCCGTCGGAGAAGCTTGCATGGATCAGCTCAAACAGCCTTACATCTCTGAGCACTATCGCCCATTCAGGGAATCTAGTACTACGTATGTATGTATTTGTGTTTATTTATGTATATATTAATTTAAAAAGTATTATGATCATTGTTGTTATTATTATTGCTATTACTGTTATCATTATCACTGTACTTTTTGTTATTCTGATGGTTCTTATTATCATCATTCTTTTTGGTTATTCTGAGTATTGTTATTACTATCATTACTACTATTTTGATTAATGTTATTATTATGATTACTATTATTATTATTGTTATTATTATTGCTGTTATTGTTTTTATCATTGCTATTCTTGTGATGATTGTTTTTGCCATTACTATTATTCCTATTATTATTACCATTGTTATATATTGAGAACTAATGAGAACCAAAAAATGAGGAGGGCAAAGAATGGCGAAGAATGGCAAAGAATGGCAAAGAAACTATCCTGAAGGAGGAAAATCCTCTGGAAATCCTCGTGTTTTGGCCAAGAAACAGTTTTCCGTTTCTGCCAGGTTCGGAGATCATGTTCCTTGCCACGCAGCATGGCACGCCAGTGTATGTCAGCATGCATTGGGGATAAGATCTGATGAGATTTGATCAGCGACGTTGATGAAATGTGATGAAATGTGATGAAATGTGATGAAATGTGATGAAATGTGATAAGAACTATAACTATGTAAAATACTAAAACAATCTAAAACAGTTCCAGAACGTTCAAGGCCAACACTTCAGCAACTTCACAGCTGAGTCATCCCAGTTGTCCAAGTCATCCGAGGCTCAGCTGCGCCGCTGCCCCTTCTGGCGTAAGTGTGATGCCCAACAAAGGTCGGAGGTTTGGATGCCGCAGAGTAGCAAGAATCTCAAGGTCATGGACCTTGGAAAATCTTGGAATCCAGGAACATTGGGGTGAGGCTGAGACTGAGAAGCAGGGGACAATCCAGTAAAGGATGGACATGTAAGGACCAGAAAAGCATCGAAGTGCACATGCTCTACACAAATGAAAGAACTCGCAGGCCAGAAGCTTGAAGAATGCCAGTGCATTTACAGTATATCAATCGATATCAATGATATAGTTGATTGCAAATGGTCCCACAGGAATCAAATTGTGTTGGACGGGATTAAGGGGAGAAAAAACATACATGTTGCAGTCATTTTGCTTATTTTGCCAACTAAATAGCTGAATCCTACTATCTGCTTTGCACTTGCTGTCTTCAAACTTGCAGTTCGTTCAGGTTCTGTTTGACCGAGCTTCCCAATCCTTTGCTGCCGCAAACCGCACAGCACCACTACCAGGAGCTCCTGCTTGAAGCAGCTGGCGAATACAAAGTACAAAGGGGTCATCTCATGTCACAGTTGCTCTGATGGTCCAGTTGAAGATGATCTTTGTGTTTATGAACCAATCTTTGAATCCCCTTGACCCATGCCATGCGTCTGAAGAAACGAGAGAACAAGTCGAAATAAGTTGGGCACTTCCACAAAGGTGCTCCTACGTGTGCAAAGGGCAACTGCACAGGCATCGGCAAGAGCTCTACAGTGAGGCCCTTCCTGCCCAACAGGGAGCACCCAAAATGATCGGTGGACATGAAGGAACCGAAGGAACTCAAGTCTGGAAGGGTTAAATTAGTTAAATGATTTGTGCACGACTTGCCGCCAAGGATCCATTCTCCCAGCCGCTGTCCGTGCATTGTGAGCTCCTGGACGTTTAGTTCATTGAAGGGACAGGAGCGGGAAAACCCACATGACCTTCCGGATGACTTGGCAGAGCTGCTTCGTGCTGGCGCAGAACATCTTGCAAAAACTCATCTAAGCACGTCGTCCAACAGGGAAACTGATCTTGGGTTACGAAGCAAACATCAAAGAATCCCAGAAACCAATGAACAAGCACATCCGTATTGGGGAAACGCGGGAAACACCCATCTTGGAATTTGGAATACGTGCAATGTATCCTGTCAGTTAAATGTAGTGTAAAATGCGAATGCGACTCATGCCCAGCCCTCTGAATGACCCGAGCTCCGCAAGAGGCACCAAGCGCTGCTTCACAGCGGGAAAAACCACTTGCAGCTGCTCCCAGCAGCCTATTGGTGGCAATACATCTTGACCTTGGAACATGAAACAAAATAATTTAATACAAAATATATAAATATGAAGAATTAACAGAGAAACACCAAGGAAATGAGGCAAGCAAACGAAGCAAATTTGCCTTCCTGTTTGCTTCCAGTAGTTGGGCCCGCTGCTTGAACATGCGTCCAAAAAAGGTGGTGAAAGATGCTGACAGTTTGCAAATTACAAAGGCTGGAATAACAACTTAACAGATGGAAAAACCGAATAACCAGAATAACTGAAATAACCATGGGAACGCCACTGCCCAAATCCACTCCTTTCGCCGCGGCACAGGCATCGACCAAGGCTTGGTGAGCGGCCTCCAGTGTTGACTTCCAGGCTGTTAGCTCTGATCTGCTGCTGCTCACCTGCGCAGAAGCATACATAGACATAGAGAGAGAGAGAGAGAAAAAAAAAAATATATATATATATACATTATATATATATACATTATATATATATACATTATATATATAATATGTGATTATATATGTGCGTGTGTGTGTTTGTGTGTGGCGGTTGATCTAATTCCATTAAATTCCTTTATCTGCAAACGGCCATTCATCGCGAATAAAGAGATTACTTTCGCCAATCTTTCGCGAACCCCACGTCACGTTTATCTTTCGCGTGGGTCTCATGTTAAAATAGTTCACTAAATCTTTGCCCCCCCCAAAAAAAAATCTGTCGCGAATTCAGAGGAAAAAAACTTCGCGGGGTCTCATGTTGGAACTCTGGCAGCCTTTGTAATGGACATATCGACAGTCATTCGTTTATAAATATATATATATAATGTGGGACGCCGATTAGTGCCAAGATTCACAATTGTGACAAGTTCTCCCAAAATAATTCTGGGTGAGTGGAGTGTTGGGGTGGTACGGTATTGTGGCATTTTTTTTCTGATGCCAATTTTTTTGTTCAGCATTTGTTTAATCTATGTCTTTCACTTTTGGATTTTTTGATTTTATTCAAAATGATTAATTAATTATTTAATCAATGCTTGCAACATGTTTTTGAACATAGAAAAAAAATATAGGATGCCTTATTGAAACTTTAAAAAAAAAACAGCACCCAAGCAATTTTTTAAGGGGGTAGTCCATGAGCAACCCTGATCTTCAATAGCATGTTTGTTGTAGGGGTCCTCTATTGTGTCCAGTTTTTTTTTTGAAGTGATTTTTTCCAGAATCCTTCTTTCCTTTCCTTTGCTATAGCTGTTGTCTCTTACTTAGTTCAATTCTCCTGGCATCCTCTCCTTGATTTCTACGGTATTTCTATGGGATTTCTAAAATGTTTCTATGGAATTTCTATGGTGTTTCTATGATATTCTATGGTGTTTCTAAAGGTGTGTCTATGGTAGTTCTATGGGATTCCTATGGGGATTCAAAAGGATGTCTATGGGATTTCAATTGGGTTTCTATGGGATGTCTATGATATTTCTATTGGATTGCTTTGGCGTTTCCATGATATTTCTTTTTGATTTCCATGATATTTCTATGGGATTTCTATTGGATTCCTGTGTGGTTTCTATGGGGTTTCCATGGCGGTTCTTCTTGGAATTTTTATGAGATTTCAAAGGGATGTCTATGGGATTTCTATTGGATTTCAATCAGGTTTCTATGGGATCTCTATGGAATTTCTATGATTTTTCTATGGTATTTCTCTGGGATTTCTGTGGGATTTCCAATGGGAGTTCCATGATGTTTCTATGATATTTCTATGGAATTACTATGGGATATCTGAGGGAATTGTATGGGAATTCTATGGATTCTTATGTGATTCTTATGGGATTTCTTTGTGGTTCCTATGCTATGTCTATGATCTTTCTATGGGATTTCTGTGGGAGTCCTATGGGATTTCTATGATAAATCAATTGAACATAAATTCAAACTAAATTGAAATCAATTGAAAATCAATTAAAAGTAAGTTGAAATCAATTGAAAATCAATTGAACGTAAATTGAAATCAATTTAAAATAAATTGAAAGTAAATTGAAATCAATTGAAAGTAAATTGAGATCAATTAAAAGTAATTTTAAATCAGTTGAAAGTAAACTGAAATCAATTGAAAGTAAATTGAAATCAGTTGAAAGCAATTGAAATTAGATTGAAAATCAATTGAAATCAATTGAAAATCAATTGAAATAAATTGAAAGTGAATTGAAATAAATTGAAAGTAAATTGAAATCCATTGAAAATCAATTGAAAATCAATTGAAAATCAATTGAAATCAATTGAAAATCAATTGAATTCAATTGAAAATCAATTGAATTCAATTGAAAATCAATTGAAATCAATTGATCCAATTTTATTGAGTACCTGGTCCCTAAAAATTTCCACCCTAAGTGGATCCAATAATTGTTTGGGGGGGCCCGACACTAATCAGCATCCGACTATATATATATCTCTCTCTCTCTGTATGTGGAGTTAGTTAGATACGCACAGATGTATACTGCATTAAAAAAAAAAAACGGAGACGCATACATGTGTGCTGCATTTCTTTCAAAAAAATGTGCTATCGTACTTTTATACACGTTTATGACCCAAACCTTACACAGATACATGTTTATTCAGGTCCAGGTCTTGCAGCACGATATGGCAAAGCAACTTGGATACAAAATGGTCGAATCACGTAAAGCTCTGTGGCTTGGCAGCGAAATCATGAGAAGTCCAATGACTTCAAACACTGCGTCTGATCGCGAAAATATACAGTAATTAGTAAGATGTACAGTAGTAGGAATATAACTTCATGAGTTGACCCCGAGTGAAAATTAAATTGAAGATCATCAGCAATGGCGCTCTTATAAATTGAGAGAGAGAGAGAGAGCGAGAGTGAGTGAGTGAGATAGTTTGTATATTATTGTGCATATTAAATGCGTACGTTTCTGAATCTTCATACATAATATACTCTTTAAAACCATCTACTACGACATCATGTCTTCATCAACAATAACACCGAAACGTCCAGCCTGTCCACCCTGCACAAGGTCCTCCGGCTGAGCCTGCCATCAAACACATGTTCACACATCATCTTCGATTTCCCTGTCACCCGGTCGGCGGTTTGTGGAGCTTTAAAGGCCATTCTCGTGGCTCATTGCAGGTGGCATGGTGGCACCTGCAACAACTGTGCACCACCAGAGGGGGCCATGGCCCTCTCTGGTGCTTCTTCTAAGCCCAGTCCATGCAGCCAAGTGCGGACCTGCTTCCGGCTGGGAGATTGACAACGAAATGATGCGGATACCCGTCTGGAATCATCTGGACATGTGTGGACAGCCAATGACAATCAAAAGTGGACAGCCAATGACAATCAAAAGGGCAATGCACCAGGCCTCTGATGGTTGCCACTCTGCAGGGTTTCCGCCCAGCAAGGTTTGTGTGTCGCTTAAGACTCTCACCGCCTCAAGATTTCAGGCAAGCTGTTTAGTTTTATCGAAATTGTCTGCCCCTCATGGATCTCACGGCATGCAGTTTCTCATGAGACAAACAAGATCCTGTCCTACAGCATGGGAAGGAAGCAGCCAAGCATCCATTTCCTCTGGCTCGGGAAACTCCAACTCCACCCCATGCACTAGCAACCCATCCTGACACAACACAGTGATTGCAAAGGCACTGCACAAACTTCAGTTCGTGGTTTCATGTTGGTGTCATTTTCTCTCATCATGTCGTTTCCCCATGTTTCTCCTAACATAACTAACTCGGCCCAGAATGGCTCAGCAATGACCGGTGCCTCCCAGGAGCCAAAGAGGCCACCGCCCTCGCGGACCATCAAGCGGCCGCTGCCACTGCGCTGTCCACTCCGGAACTCGCCCTGACATGGTCTGTGTCGGTGTTCGATCTGTGTTCTTTATCTTCTTTTCAGGTGAACATATACAGTACGTTTTGTTTGGTTTATTTATACGTATATTTATTTGTGCATTTGTTTGATTTATTTGTTTGCATGTGCATCTTTATGCAGCATTGAACTATGACCCTATAACATCGTATAACCGTACGTATAACCATTGTAATCATATAACAATATACCATATGCAATTCTCCAACATGTCTTCACATGCAGCCTTTGGACATCTGGACTGCTGTGCTATAGATTATAGTACCCACTGGCAGAAGCACCTCGTAAACAAGGACTCCCTGGTCTGGTGCCCAATGCGCCAAAACGCCATGGCCATGCATCTGGTCGAAGTACCATTGACCCTGCGTGAAGCCCAAAAATCTCAAAATTTAGGCATCCTTGTCATCTGTGAGCATATCCGACAGCATTTGAACCATCAATCTTGCCTCGTAGGCATCCCCGTTCTCAAAGAAAAACGAGCCCCAGCCCTGCTTGCGGTCTTCCACGAATTCGCCCTCATAGCCTGTGGTGCCACAACATGCCACAACATACCGCGTGCAGTACAAGATGCAGTCAAACGTGAAATGTGGCAAGATTGAGACATTCACGCCCTCCGCCACTGTAGGTGTACACGCCGTACCCGTGGCGCAAGCACTGCGCAGGTGTGGGTCCGATTGCCTTCAGGATCGAACTCAGCAGTGAAATCCATGCTCTGAGCTGAGTCCAATGGTGTTCCAACTTTCTGAACACACCACATGCTGATCATCTGGGCAAGCTGAAAGATGCTGAAAGGATCCGGAATGATAGTGGCTAAGTATGGCTAAGTGCATAGCTTCTCCCTCGTACGTGTCCCCATTTGCATAGGACACCTTCCATGGTCTTGACCTGAAGAAAGGCAAGGAGCCAACCCGACAATTGCATGATTCCTATTGATTCTTATTGATTCTTCACATGCTTTGCTCATATAGCACCAAGGCCACGACCCTTTCTCCTTCGAGGTCTGCAAACCTTTGCCTGGCAGAATCTGAGCTCGGAAGGTAGTGAAGGTGCATGTCTTGGGCTCAGTGTTGATCTGTTTTGGATGTAGGATGCAGGTACTGTCAGGCGCCGTATTTGGCGGGCAGAAAATATATCAAATATAGCGCGCGCAGAAAATTGGCGGGGTGTTTCATCATTTGCATATTTTGGCTGTGCAAATCGTCAACCTGCCTGCATCCCTCTTTGCCAAATCCTTGACATCAGTTGGGACAGATGAAGACTATCAAAGAGGATCAAAGAGATACAAAGAAGGCTTGGAATTTAAGCGACAGAATTCTCCGTGCAAGATCTTCCAGTGGATTACCACAGTCCCTCGATAGTCCCAGCGACAAAGCACTTTCTCTCCAGACTGAGCATGGCCGGCGGCACGAATCCATGGCTGGATCTGCGGAGATCATGTGCAACAAGATGCAACAAGATGCAACAAGATGCAAAAAGCACAATAATCTATATAATATATATATATATATTATATATATAACCAATTGCAGCTGGGTATGTTCTGCCTCAGCCTTGCGACTCCAAGGGGTAAAGGTGGCTTTCAGGGAAGTGTTGAACCACTTTTTCGACCTTCTAAGTAGGGAACAACTTCGGGGGTTGCAGATTGGTTGTGCTTGGACACGCGTTCTGCATCCAGCGATTCAAGCTCAGGGCCATTCCTGTTGAGCCTTTGACATCTCTCGCGGGGTCACTTCTTCTTTGAAAAGCACAAATTTGGCCATCCAAGGTGACAGCACAGGGGACCAGAAGAATGAAAGTCTGAATCACCATGAAAAACGGAAAAAACGGAACGCTGTTTTCGGAGCTACTGATGCCAAGTGGGAGGCCATATCTCTCACCTCAAAGAGGCACAAAGAGGCACTGGCACACCATGGTTGGAACCTCCAACATGCTGCAATGTTGCAGTTGCCCAGGGTACTGAATCTGTCTGGTTGCCTGAATTCATGTCGATTGGTTTGAAGTTTGGATGTTTCCTGTCGATCCTGTAGGATATGTAGGATATGTAGGACCCGCTTAGCTTCCAGCCGTTTCTAACGCGTCACGGCAGTGGATTTGGAGCTCACCTAGCCGCTCCTTGCACTGGACCTCTTGCGCCCCAGGTCCTCCGGACAATCAGAAAAAGTTTGTGTATTGTATGAACCGCCTTTCAATACCTTTCAAGAGCCTTCAATCAATGGCGAAAAGAACGGTATGCATGGAGGGTACAAGGCAAGAGCCGCCACATGCTGCTATCCATCGCTATGCATAAATAAGCCCCATTCATTCCTGATAAGATTCTCATTGCAGCTGATGTGCGCATGCAGGCAGGCCCATCTGTAGGTGGTGAAGTCGCTCTGATGGCTTTCGCAGCTTCCGAGCCCCACGCAGATGCGACTACTTCCCGCAGAACCTCAGCAGTGGGCTTGCAGAAAAAGTGCACACTGTGATCACTGTGTTCGACAGCATGTTCCAAGATGTCCCATGGGATGTCCCAAGGGATGCTATGTGGCGTTTGATTTTGAGACATTTTGAGACCATTTGACCTGTCCACTCAGCAGTTCGGCAGTCACTCGCAGTCACTGCCACAAGAGGATCTTACTCCATCGCTTCGTGATGAATTTGTGACGCTTGCAACTTGCAAGTGATAAAGTTAAGTAATTGTGGTCTGAGTCTGCCGCCTCTGCAGCACTGTCAGATACATACAGTGACTTGCAAGCTACCAGTACCGTAGCTTGCTGCACTGCGCTAAAGCCACAAAAGAGTAGAAACGTAAAAATGCCACGAAAAGTAAGTTACTGTACGCCTGTCGAATATATTAAACACCCCCCGGAAACCATGGTTTAAGTGTACTAGTAGTAGGTGGTTTACACATGTTTACACGTATTTAGGACCATTTAAGGGTGTTTAATATTAGGGGAATGGGTTTATACAATATTATACAATGCTAGACATTCATTGCTGCATCATGAATCTACAGCAGAGGCACTTGGGCAACTTCCTCTGGAAGGGGGCGCACCTGTGGTAGCTCAGATCCACCATCTGAACGAAAGGGTACTGAATCAGTACTGACACCCAGTGAACAACCGAATCCTTTATACAGAGTAAACATAAATAAACATAATTTGACAATTTTTGAGAATTTTTGAGATATATATATATATAAGGATTTCAAGATATTTCATGTTTCAGCAAGCTGGCCTCAGTGCTAACAATGAAGCGTTGCCCTGGCGTTGCTTTTGCCGCTGCCAAGTGCGCTGCAGCAACATCGCGAACATCCGAAATCAGGAGGCTTCTCACCTTCTGCTCCTTAGTTCAGCCAGTCTGAACAATCACGTTGCAAGATACCCATGGGTTTTGATGAATGTTTGATGGATTTTGTGGATCCGCGGGTCTACGATTCTCATCGATTCTCAGTGCCCAACCCCACGCATCCACGAAAGGACCATGCCTTGGCACGTTGGCACTGCCAGCGACTGGCACTGGACATGGCACCAGAACGACACCAGAAATTGGCACCACCAAGATATGCCAAGCTATCCCAAGTCCAGCCGACTCTGAGGCTGCCGACTCACCGAAAAGCCAGAGCCATCACTGGGCCCCCGCTCGGGGCCGAGGATAAACGATGGACAAAGCGACCTCCAAGTGCTGAGCAAAATCGGCAGAACAATTTGAGACTTTTGCTGGGGAGAACCAATTGAAAGAGCAATCGAAAGAGACCAAAAGAGCCGAAAAACTTGCTGAATGATTTGAATTAGTTTCAAACTGACTTATGACATCAGCAGGACCCCCGCCATCTGCCATCTCAAATCATTCCATACTAGGAGCTGGACACAAAGCCCACCTTTAGCTCGTCAGCTAGAGCTTTGGCCTTAGACGCGGAGATTTCTGGTGAACCGAAGCTGCTGCATAATTGTCCATGACCTCTTTTGCTCTGTGATGCGGGCGCGAAGTTCCGATTCAACCTTACCTCGGCACATGGGCTTTGAGTGGCTGCTTCGTGTCCGAGACAGCTTCGGACAGTATGAACCCTTCAAACCTAGACTCACTGACACTACCATACACGAAGTCTTGAGTCAAACCACAACGTCAGCTCCGACTCGAATATCTTTATATAAATTGCACACTATGCAAAAGGCCCCTCAACCCTTGCGCCGTCAATTTCTCTGTCTTATTCTGTCTTCATTCTAAGCATTTTGTTTCAGAACCATCCAGCCGAGTTGCTATACTGATAAGCCTCGCCCCAGCCATTTTCGGGGCGGGACTGCCGGTTCCAGTCCTGAAGATTCAAGATATTTAAGGTGGTCAGGCCCTGATGACTTACGAGTACGTTGCAAAAAAAATTGCAATCAACTAATTACCAAGAAAAGTGCCTCCGTTTCAAAACCATTTTAACTGATGGTTTTTGTTTTTGCCGAGCTCCTCCTCATCAAAGCAGCTCCGTCCATCACGGGGCACCTGTCCTGGACCGCGCACGGCAGCCTCAAGAGCCACATGCCCCAGTCAACCGAAAAAACGGAAGAAAATCAACGGGAAAAAGAAGGATCCAGAGATGCTCAAGATCAAATATTATGGGTGCAGCCTTGTTAGGGTAAATTCGCAACGAGCTGCAGGATCACGGAAGAGTATTCTGTGCACCCAATCCCCGCAAGGCTCGACTCCCTTTCACATTCCTCAACGATTCTATGCATTTCTATGCCGGGTACCTTGCGACAAAAAAAAAGTATACGAGTGGAAATTTGACGCTGGCCAATGGCCTTGGGCAAATCGAACCTCTCCTATCCAAGTTGATTCTACGCAGTCGTGCAAAATCTTCAAGGGGCACCCATGGTCACCACATCCCTACAGTTTGTTGAACAGTACCCTTCGCCACTTACCCTGGCACATCCAGCGCTTGCTGCTGCCCATTAGTTGAAGCTTGAGTTCATGCAGCGATGGTCTAGGTATGTCTAGGCCTACACAAGCAAACAGCCATACATAGAAGGTGGTAGCTGCAAGTGCGCAAAAGGATGCAAAACGGCCGTGAAAAATTTCGAATGATTTCGAAGCGTCTGGCGTGGCCCGGCTTTATTCAAAACAAAATCGCTGTGTCTCAGACGACGGAACAGGCCAGTTTAAGGCAGCAGGCACCTGCCCTAAGGCACAAAATGCCACAAGCATCTGGTTCAACTAAATATACGCAGCATGTTCTTTGGGCATCTTTGGGCTGTTGTGATGTCAATTACTTCTGTGGCACCGGCCATGGAGGATGTGTAAATCACCAACGGCTTCGATGGTGATGCCGCAGCTGCGCGAATAATCGCCTGAGCGAAGCTCCCCTTTGGAGTCTGAAACTCGTCAGATCCTCCCTTCTTTGGTCAAAACATGTCAAAACTGCCATCCGTTGCCATCCGACAACTTCAATCAACTAGCATGACCCAGCCACCAGGGCCACCAGGAATCCATTCTCACATATTCTGACATATTCTGACGTATATACTCTGACCATCTTTATCTGTGCTCCTCTCTTCTTAGCTCGTGTGCTCCGGTAAGGTCCTTTCTTTCTCTGCTGTGCTCTGGGATTGATACCTGCAGTGCGACCTTTTTGATCGAAACTACATGGCAAGTGGGAACGGAACCATCTGCTGATGGCTGGCTAAAAAACATGCCAAATTCGGAAGCAATGACATTCAGGTGCACAAATGTGGGAAGCCCATTCATGCAAGGCTCATGGTTCATGCATGGCTACACTAAGTGCCTTTAGCGGGCACTGACATCGGGGGAGATTTTCCAAATACTTGCCGTTGTGGGCGAGTGCCGCCACACTCAGAGTGCCCCCAAGTAATGGCAGTTCCGTCTGAAAGAAGTGCTGCGAAGGCATACGATGTCGCTTGAATTTGCTTCACCCCTTGGAGCTGATCTTTGACTCTTCTACTATCACCACCACCATCCGGATCTCCCCAGGTAACAACCGTTTCATCCGCAAGGATGGCAGCAAATGCTGTGCGAGTGGCCTGTATCTGCTGCACTCCTTTGAGCTGACTTTGGACATAGCTGGAGTCTCCACCGTATGAAGGAGCACCCCATGAAATCACAGAACCATCGCTTCGAATTGCAGCAAAAGCAGCGCAACCAGCTTGAATTTGTGTCACATTTCTGAGTAGGTGGCTGAAGTTGCTGCAGTCACCGCCACGGGACTGATCACCCCAGGCAACAACCGAACCATTGGCCAGAATGGCAGCAAATGCACCAAAAGATGCTTGAATCTGCTTTACATTCTTGAGCTGTGTTTGCACTGAGCTACTGTCCCCACCACAATGCTGATCACCCCAGGCAACGACTTCACCGTCAGCTCGAATCGCGGCAAAAGCCCTTCGTGAGGCTTGAATTTGGCAAACATGTTTGAGCTCTCCTTGGATTTCCTGGCTGTCCCCACCATACTGTGGATGGCCCCAGGTAACTACTGTCCCGTCACCACTAAGAGCTGCGAAAGCGCTACTGGTGGCTTGAATTTCCTTGATGTTCCTGAGTTGATCCTGAACTCCAAGATTGTCACCACCATGGCGGGGGTCACCCCAACAAACAACTGAGCCAACTCCATCTTCCAAGATTGCTGCAAATGCAGCCTTTGATGCCTGGATTGCCTTCACATTTCGGAGTTGTGCCCTCACTCCACTGCTATCGCCTCCGGCCACACGATCTCCCCAAGTCACCACTTCTCGCTGGATGCCCACAATGGCGGCAAAAGAAAAAGACGTAGCCTGAATTTCCTGCACATCCTGCAAATGCTCCTGGACTTCACCACTGTTGCCTCCATATCTGAGATCACCCCAAGTAGCAACACTTCCATCTGCAACGATGGCAGCAAATGCATGATCAGTAGCATGGACTTCAATCACCTTTGTCAGATTCCGGATTTGTTGGCTTTGACCACCATCTTTCGGATGGCCGCGTGTGACAACACCACCTAAATACCACAAGGCAAAGGCCCTGTCTGTGGCAGCCAGCTTCATTTGTCGTGCAACTGCGCTCAGGGTCTCACCATCATGAAGCCCTGCTGCGGAAAGATGAAGATCTGGGTCTAAGACATGGCCATCCATGGACACCAAGGTTAGACAGCCTTGACCCAAAGACTCCTCAGCAACGGCCTTGAGGTCACCAACCGTGGAGTCTATGGAAATCGACACTTCGGTGTCGCGACCGCTCAGCAAAAGTACTGTGACGGTCAAGCTACTCATCGAACGGGGTTCCAAGCCAGACCAAGTTTCCATCGCCTTGCCCTTCTTTGGGACTAGCGCGACTAGCACTAGGTCACTAGGTGGAGCTGAATTAAAATATGAGTAGCTGTGACACCGCTTCTTGTTCCAAAATGGCTCTAAATGCGCCATAAAGCAGGGATGAATGGGAATGGCGCGATGACATCGGTGAACTCAGAAAGCAACAAGAAAAAACACAAGGTTAGCAGGCTTTGCTCTACATGCATAGCTTTGGATCCATGCTCTCATCAATAGGAAAAAAGAATGGGACATGCCAACATACAAACCGACACATTCGCAGGATGTAGTGCACACATTGAGCCGAACTCCAGCCTCTGCCATCGCAATGTTTGGTTGCACCATTTCCTCCATGGGCTTCTGGCAGCGCCGGAAGATGCCCCCAGCATGGAAGACAACGGAAGGCCTCAAAATCATCCGAAAATCGTCCGCTTATTCTGCCACTGGTGAAATCTGGGGAAGCAAATCCCACCTGAGTCTCTTGATTGCTTCAGTCAAAGCATCCTCGTCCATCAGGTCCAACCTCCAGTTGCAAAACAATGCATGCACATGTTACGCGTGTTCATGACATGAAGGCCCAAAGAGTGGAAAAGGAAAAAGATGTCTTAACGTGGGACAGTAGGCTAGCATGAACCGAGTTAAGAAGTTAAGACCTTACTTATAGCATCTTATAGCCACAAGTAAAGATCGTCAGTTACAGACTGCCCTTCAAACGGTTGGCATGGGGTCAGCTGCCTACCGAGCAGCGAAAGAAGTTCCAAGTCTCCCAAAGATCCGGCACTTCGAGCAAGCTCCACCAAGGCAGAGGAACGCTCTGCGGAAGCCTGGTCATGGAGCGTCGCTGAGTCTTCGCACTAGGAAGGGCTTCAAGTGTCAGTAAACCTGAAAAAACAGAAAATAATAGAGTATGATGAAAGAAATAAAGCTGCCCATGAAATGTCATGGAAGATTAACTGTGGTGGAAACTGAACTGCAGTGGTGTTAATGCGCTGTAATTCGGTGAACATGTTGACAAACAGTGGCAGCAGGATGGCAGGGAGCAATTTTCATTCCAAATAATTCCAAATATTCCAATATTCAAATGCATTGGACATTTTGGATCACCAGCACAGGTCGCAGATCTGACTCTTTGATGGTTGTCCACTTTCCATCACTTTTCGTGCATCAGCATCACTGGCGTTTCAAATCGGTCGACCATCAGTTGTTGTTTCAGTCTCAGAAGCCTCACAAACATCTTCGGGCCACCGTCGGCACTCAAATTACACCACTATTCTTTACACTTGGTCCAGTTTCAAGCTTGCATCGAGCAGTGAGAAGTGCAATGTCGGCATGATTTCCAGAGAGAAACTTGCGAGGACGCAGTTGGCCGAAGAGTCAATGGGGCTAAGATGGATCCCAAGAGTTCATACTTGGTCCACTTTCTTGCGTTGTTGGAATAGCTGTGTCTCCAGTGGCACTTCTTCCCACTCAGTTGTCCACAAAGCCTGCTCTGCACCGCAGGGGGCTGTGATGATAGGTATCCTGTGTGATGGCGAGGTATCCAAACACAACGCGGGGAAGCGTTCACGGCCACTGTCTGCCCAGTGTGGTCGCTTGCGAAGGGCAACGCGGCTGTTTCCCAGTCTCTGAGTCTCAAAGTGCTGCGTCAAGTCATCGGGCCAACAACTTGTGAGAACTGGGTGCTGGAAATCAGATGCGGCTAAACACCACAAATCTCCGCGCAGCTTCATGGCAATGGCGTTTTCCTGATGCATCCAGCGTTGGGAACATTTGCCCATGGCAAGAAAGAAGGCTTCATCTCCATTCACATTAACAGGATGTTCCAAGTCGGCAGATAGACACTTGCCAGAGGCCGACTGTAAAATAAAAGAATCACCATGTGAACGCTTGAGAAACACTTGACCCTGATCTTCTTGGGATGACTTACCAGGCAAGTTCGCGCATGGCTGCAGCACTACTTCCGGCTCTTCCAGCTTCCCTTCGCTCAAACATCTCAAATGAGAGTCTCCGTCGTCTGCATCCCCAAAAGGCCAGCACAGAGGCCCACCTTCCTCTGCAATGAAGACCTGGTTCGGGAGTCGCTCTTCTGGTGGATGGCAAGGATACAGAGATATGCCAGTCCCTTGGGCAGCATCCAAACATTGATCATCCACCTGCAGCTGCTTTCGGCCCTCACTATCTCCAATTACCTCCAGTGCAGCAGCTGAGGCGCATGACCCCCATTCAACAGCAGCCAGTCCGGCCTGTCCAGCCTGCGACTTGCTCACGAGGCAAAGCCCCGAGCTGGTGACTGCTCGGAAGATGCCCGGGCTCAGCAGCTCCAATGTTGATGTACGATTTGCCCGGGTGATATCCAGCAAGGCAACGAACCTTGAGAACGTGCCAGAATTCAAGCAGTACTGCTCATCTTTGAGAGCCGGAGCTGTTATCATGGCTTCTCCTGATTCTGTGATGGCCAACCCAAAACTTTGGTATGGGGAACTTCCAAAATAGGAGCAGTCTACAGCCTGAACATCGCCGCCATACCAGGAAAGACAATAATTGTAGTTCCACAATTTTAAGCCACTGCAGCACTGCAAGTCTTCCCTTGACAGCGAATTGGACCTGTGCCAAATCTGGCCTTCGCAGTCTGCAATACAGTCGTGCAAGTAAAGTTTTTTGGTGTACAAATCCAATGTCAGGCACTTTCCATTCATGTCCTTCAAGTGGAAGACTGAGCTTGGCAGCATGCCTGTCCCCACAAACAAATCTTCAAATCGCAACAAATAGTCCTGGAAAGTGCCGCATTGCAGTCGGCCTTTAATATCATCAAAGTTGGCAAGGCTCCCAGTTTCGATGTCTTGAAATTCTTGGAAACTCTGCACTTTCTGCACCCATGGCCCCATCCAAGCTCTTGCAGCCCGCAACCGGTTCCTCAAGACGTCACCTTCTGGGATTGCATAGTGCAGCATCGTTTTAGGATTGCCTGGTTCCCGCCACATATGCCTGAGATCAAGAGATGGCAAGAGTCTGTGCCTCTTTAGAGACCTACCGCGAAGACACCGCACTCTGACTCTTTAGATGTTCAGCTTTCCATAGTGTGGTACTGGTAATCTAGTAGATGTCACAGGATGGCCCTCCATGGAATCGATCTATGCACAATATTTTGCCCACTTTCATATCTTCATCTTGAAGACAAATTAGATCGATGAGCTCCATATAGATCAACATAGATCAACATAGATTCTAGATCAATGATGTTCAATGGAGATCGATGAAGATCAATGTATATCAATGTAGGTCGATGTAGATCAATGTAATTAGATCATTGAAGATCAATGTAGATCAATGTAGATCATTGAAGATCAATGTAGATCAATGTAGATCATTGAAGATCAATGTAGATCGATGAAGATCAGTGAAGATCAATGTAGATCAATCATTGAAGATTAAGATCAATGTCACCCTGCTTTCATACGATCTGCTTCATAAATGGGGGGGTGCTAGGAATGGGTTGAGGAATTCAACACGCTCTATGTCTCTCTATGTGTGGCATTCTGTTTGGAATATGAGGGCTCCAGGTGCAAGCGTGGAACGCTACTCTGGAACCTTCTGCATAGACAATCTCGCCACCACAGAGCCAGGTTCGTAAGGACTGATCAATGTTTTCGCCGCCCCAGGACCGCATGGATGGATCATAGCCTGTCAAGCAGCCATTGGCTGCATTGGCTGATTCACAGAAGTTGGGGATGGTGGGATGATCGACCCTATCAGACCCTTTCAGACCCTATCTATCCACCAGTTCTGGAATTGTGGGAAGTCTGGCACCAATCCCGCTCAATTCTGACGTGCGACCACCACTCTCGTGCCACCACTTGCGAGAGATTGCCAAAAGCCCACCACTGAGGATGGGAACCTCAGGTCCTGGTAGCTCATTGCACCAAAAGAAATCCACAGACCAAGTGATGCACATCTTCTTGCCGCCTTCATGCGGAGACACCTCCTGCAAGATCATCAAGTTGGCTTGCTGAACGATCCAAAGACTCTCTAGTTTCGATTTCCGTTACAGTACATTATAATACATTATATATAGTCCAAGTCGTGGCACTTGGGAACAATTGCGAACAATTGTAGGTACAAAGTTGTTGAGACAATATGAACTTATATGAACTTATCAGTCATTTCATCTACCGATGTGTTTGGAGTCTTGTCGTGTAGTACCGTACCCTATTCACCTATTCTACCCCGTCATGTTAATGACCCTGCTTACAAATCTTACAATTGAAATGAGAATTGCAATTTTCGACTTCGTCCGTCATATTATAAACTCCCCTTGTTAAAGAAAGTTAGCGCAATAGACTGCGGGGTTCTGAACACAAGGAGTGCGGAATTTTGCATCTTGTTCATTATGATTTCATCTTCTAGTCTATCTTCTGCATCTCTTTCGTTTCTGTTGTTGATTCCTTCCGTTTCCGTGCCTTTTCTTCCAAACTTGTCTTCCTATCAAGAGTGCACGTGCTTCGAAGTCTCATATTGTTTGTTCCCCACATCTTTGTGTGGGGTTCTTGTTTTTGATTCTGTATCCCGGGCTCCTCCTCCGCCTTCTCCTCCTCCGCCCTCCTCCACACTTTGTCCACACACACTTTATCAACAAACACTTTGTCCAAAACACTTTGTCCACACACACTTTGTCACCACACACTTTGTCCACACACGCTTTATCAACATACACTCTTTGTCCACACACACTTTGTCACCACACACTTTGTCCACAAACACTTTGTCCACAAACACTTTGTCCACACACGCTTTATCAACATACACTTTGTCACCACAACACACACACAACACACACGCACACACACACACACACCAACAGACACAACACACAACAACACACACACAACACGCACACACACACACACACCAACAGACACAACACACAACAACACACACACAACACGCACACACACACACACCAACAGACACAACACACAACAACACACACACACAACAACACAACAACACAACAACACACACACACGCGCAAAAGACACTTGGTGACATTCACACACACACAACAACACACACAACACACACACAACACACACACACAACACACACACACACAAAAAAAAAACACACTTGGTGACATCCGTGGCAGGCGTGGCACTTGGTGACATCCACCTTTGTTTTACGTGGCAGGCGTGGCACAAAACTCGCATCCACCGTCGTTTTGCGTGGCAGGCGTGGCACTCATGGTACTGTGTGGCGCGCTTGGGGCACTAACTCACATCTACCGTCGTTTTGCGTGGCAGGCGTGGCACTCATGGCACTGGGTGGCGCGCTTGGACTGGCTTGGGCGCCTGTGACGCCGGCGTGGCACAAACTCACATCTACCTTCGTTTCACGTGGCAGGCGTCGCACTCATGGCACTGGGTGGCGCGCTTGGACTGGCTTGGGCGCCTGTGACGCCGCGGCACTTTGCGTGGCAGGCGTGGCACAACCTGACATCCACCTTCGTTTCACGTGGCAGGCGTGGCACAAACTCACATCTACCTTCGTTTCACGTGGCAGGCGTGCCACTGATGGTACTGGGTGGCGCCCTTGGGCCGGGATTTGGCGCCGGGGCGCCGCGCCGCGTGGCAGGCGTGGCACAATCTGACGTGGCAGGTGTGGCAGGCAACCTGACATCCACCTTCGTTTCACGTGGCAGGCGTGGCACAAACTCACATCTACTGTCGTTTTGCGTGGCAGGCGAGCCACTGATGGTACTGGGTGGCGCCCTTGGGCCGGGATTTGGCGCCGGGGCGCCGCGCCACTTTGCGTGGCAGGCGTGGCACAATCTGACATCCACCTTCGTTTCACGTGGCAGGCATGGCACAATCTCACATCTACCGTCGTTTTGCGTGGCAGGCGTGCCACTTATGGTACTGGGTGGCGCCCTTGGGCCGGGATTTGGCGCCGGGGCGCCGCGGCACTTTGCGTGGCAGGCGTGGCACAACCTGACATCCACCTTCGTTTCACGTGGCAGGCGTGGCACTCATGGCACTGGTGTGGATGGTACTGGGTGGCGCCCTTGGGCCGGGATTTGGCGCCGGGGCGCCGCGGCACTTTGCGTGGCAGGCGTGGCACAACCTGACATCCACCTTCGTTTCACGTGGCAGGCGTGGCACAAACTCACATCTACCGTCGTTTTGCGTGGCAGGCGTGCCACTGATGGTACTGGGTGGCGCCCTTGGGCCGGGATTTGGCGCCGGGGCGCCGCGCCACTTTGCGTGGCAGGCGTGGCACAATCTGACATCCACCTTCGTTTCACGTGGCAGGCGTGGCACAATCTCACATCTACCGTCGTTTTGCGTGGCAGGCGTGCCACTTATGGTACTGGGTGGCGCCCTTGGGCCGGGATTTGGCGCCGGGGCGCCGCGCCGCACTTTGCGTGGCAGGCGTGGCACAACCTGACATCCACCTTCGTTTCACGTGGCAGGCGTGGGAAGACATGAATGACGACGGCCACGTGATGTTTTCTTGGCTGCCAGACTCATTGTTGACCCAATGTGGGAAGACTGGGGTCGCGACGGCCAAATCAAAACCATTCGTGACACGCTTAGACTCGGCCCCACTGCGGGACAAAGTGCTACAGGTCTTGTCAGGATTTTGATCACACAAAAAGGAGATAAAAGGAGACAATTCGTGCAAGAGACTGAATTGTCTCGTTTCTGCGCATCTTGCTTTGATAGCTAGCTCCATATACGCGTCCTGTCCTTTTGCGGCTAGGTACTTTTGCGCTCTGTTGCTGTCGATGCCAACAACTGCAGGCTGCGCTGTGGATCTCTACCAAAGAACTATTTTATTTTGTGCTTTCGTCATCTTGATCCTTTTTCTGTGCTGCCAGGTGTTGCTTGGACCGCAGAAAGATTTTTTGTCTCGAACTTTTCTTTGACGGGCGGTTTCTGTGATGATGCGGTTCCTCTGATGTGGCCTGGCGGTGCTTCTGCTGTAAGTGTTGCGGCAGAGTTGCTGGCAGGCCCCATGTGGGGAGGTAGGGAGGGTGGGCCAGGCTGCCCGAGCGGGCAGCCTGGAAAAAGACCGACCAGGTCAAGACTACGACGCAACGCTATTACCCAACAGACAGCATGCTGAACCACTCAACATGCAACCGCTTTTTTTTTTCAGCCTCGACGGTCTGCGCGGCGCAGCCCTGGGTCCGCGAGCGGGTTGGGCCGGGTCGCGCGGGTTAGAGCTGACGTGCGTGAGCAGTGCAGAATCAATTCTGCCACCGAATCTTCAGGAACAGTTACAGATACAGCATCAGTTCGACCTTGCGAGTCAGTTCCCAGCGTCTGTGGCTGGACGGTCCAGGCAGAGACCCTGGGTTTCCTGTGTTTGCTCTGCGTCAAGGTTTGATGCAATCGAGGCACGTGGATGGAGGATTTTTCTGGATTTTTCACTGCAGACCGGATGCAGACTCTTGCGGTATAACAGCTGTCGGAGCACTGGAAAGCATGCATGCAGTCTGCCAGAATGGTATCACTACAGGCAGACTGGATGGAGACTGTTTCTGGATTTTCATCTACTCCTTTTTGGTCTCGGACGTACTTACAAACTGAGAGTTGAGAACAAAGACATCGATTGACGCGCCGTGCGAAGATACATTTGATGCTAAGTCCTCCTGCCGTAACTGCTGAATGCTTTTGGCAACCACAATGCCACCGTTATTCAGCAGTTGCGCCAGGACAAACACTATATGCTCCTGAACACGATGCAAATGTGATCGAAAGAAAAGATGGCGTTCGTCCCAGCTCAGAACAGGTTCTGTGCAAACAGTTGCAGCTACTTGTATGTCACTTGCTGTTTCTGCAGTGTCCATGGACAGCTGTTTTGTTGCAATTTCAGCGTGATCGCAACTTCTGATACTACCTGCCAGGTACTGACCTCATCGCGTACATGGTCCACGCCGACACCCGCACTCACACACACACACAGACACACACACACACACATACACACACACACGCACACACACACAGATAAACACACACACACAGACAAACACAAACACACACACACACACGCACACATACACGCCCACGCACACACACACACACACCCACACACACACACACATCATCCAAACGCCAGTCGTGGGCCGTCCGTTTTCGTGATGGTCTGCGCTGTACGTTTGCGGACACATAATCAATGGTCACGCATCGATTGCCCTTCGCCGCACTTCCTGGCGTGGGGCATCTTTGATCGTGGCCGCACACCACACACACATACTCGCACACACACACACACGCACACCCACACACCTCACCCACAAACACAACTCATCCGTACACAACTTACTCACACATACTCGTCCACACATAACTTACTCCACACCAATCCTTCACCATCTCTTTTCTCTTTCTTGCTTACCCCATGCCGTCTTTGCCTTTCTTTTGTTGCTTGTTGGAAGAAGTTGACTTGTGGGGTTATCCGGTCCTTTAATTTTTGAAATGTGTTGTTTTGCCTTTCTTGTGCTGTTCTAGTTCGTGCTCGTGTTTCCACTCTGACAATGTGTCCATGGCTTAGTTTCCAAAGAGCTTAATCTCCTCCCAAGTGTCTGGGTTGAGGCCAGTGATCAGGGGTACAGCAATGCGGCGCGGGTTTGCCCGCAGCTCTGACAGAAGTGGAAGCGTCCAATTTGGCATGGGCCGCACATGGCAGTCAAGGAAAATGATCGCCTGGTAGGTACTGGGTGAAGGGGAACCAGCCTTTCAATAAAGGTGTTTAACCATTCAAACCCCAGTCAGATCAGTGCTTTCTTTTGGGCCTCGAACCCTTTCACATTGACAGCAAAAAACGAGTTCTTTGCCTATGACGCAATGACAAAAAAGGTTAACACAATGGGACAGCAACTGGGACTGGGAAAGTGGTGAAGCAACTTTTGTGCGGCCAGGAGGCATCACCCTTTGCTGCGTCGGCACCACGCTTCTTTGAGCGGATAAGCCCAGCAGCAGGAACTTGGCGAATGATGCGGAGCTGGCTCGAGAGGAAGCCCTTCCGACTGACCTGCGAGGTCACCTTAGCACCCAGCAACACGGGCAAGTGCTGCACTTGGGATAAGGCGGGAGTGCGTCAGCTAATTATTGGGTGTGAAATGGAGTAATCACAAGTTGTTGCCTTGGTACTCTTCCTAGCTTCAAGCTACAACTACAACTCTGCTTCGTCTAAGCAAACTCATCCAAGCTATCGCCTATCACAACTTAAGATCGATTGATGATGTATATAATAATAATGATAAAAATAAAAAGCGGCAACTAACATATTGTACACCACATTTCTTCACACCTATTGCAACGCCGCCATTGCAATACTTTCTAGCATTGGCTGCATGTCTGCATGTCCTTTGAAGATTTTGAAGTGCTCACCATGTCACAGGCGGCCAGCTCGCATCATCAACGATGATGATCTCCAGGAGCTCTTCTTTGGGCGTCGCTTGCCGAATGGACTCGACTGTGCGCTCCACGAAGCTCTCATTGGCACACGGCAACACTACAGAGATCGTGTGAATCGAGGAGCTGGCAGCGGTATCCCATAAAGTGTCAATGGGAGTCTCAAGATTGGTCATGAGAGTGCAGAAAAATGCCAGTACAGTAATCGCATAGCTCAGGAACAGGCGAAACAGAAAGGGCATGGAGTGACAGCGTAGCTTCATTGCAAGAAGCTCCAAAAGGGTCCAAAGGCAGGTAACGGCTGCCCACGTGCAAAAAAACGAACTGATTGCTCCTGGCCATCCGAGAAAGAGGGCAATACCAGAAAGAGAGTACAGCAATACTCGACAGGCAAATTTGGCCGACATTAGAGGCTTGGGCCTTGGGCCTAAACAGCGCACCTTATGGCATTGCACAAGTTTGCCCACATGGTGTCACTGACGGTTGAGAACTGTCCTAGCAAGACTGATCTTGCCACGTCATCCATGTCTCACAGGCCTGTCGAACCACCGCTGTCACTCGCCAGTTTTCTGCGAGGAGTTGTGCGCAAAGCTCCCGGCCCAAATATCCAGCAGCTCCTTTTGACTCCAATGTCAAAGGCCCAAAAATGGAGCAATTTATACAGTATATTACAGTATTATACACGCATCAATGAAAATATCACTAAACCGGAACAAAGGTTGACTTCCAAGACGCGACGTCAATAGATATCAGCACAGGGTAAGAGCGTATGTAGAAGTGCTGCTTGACAAGTGTTGTACATGCCTCTGCCCCAGCTTGAAGCTCCTGTCACCACTGCATGACGCTGCCTGATGGGTCGAAGCATCACGGCAGAAAATGCACTGGCCACCAGGTGTGGAATTTGCTAGTTCCGTGCTACGTCACCGCAACTTCGCTTTTACTTTTTCGTGATGCCCTTGTCTGCAGATGTCTGCAGTGTGTAGTGTTGCTGTCATGTGCTAAGCGAATCTTTGGACATCTGAAAACAATTGGTCAAGGCTCTTCTCTGCTACTTGCCCCGGCTGGCTGAAGAGCAAAGCCCCAAAAGGACATAGCAACCTGAGCAATCTGAGCACAACGAGATGGACAGAAGCCTTTCTTTGATTTTCTGGTTGTTTTGAGCACTCTGTCCACACATCTCTATATATATATAGTGCGTCATGGATATAATGATGCGATATTAAATGTACAACTATGTTACCTTTTTATGCCTTTGCAAACAATGTGCCGATTTGGTATGGATCATTCATGACCAGGGGCGTCTGTATATGTGCATATGTGTGTATCTACGTACTGTGCGCATATTGAGAAAACATATGTACAGTAATGCATACGTACCATTGTGTGAGCTTTACTTCTGTGTGTGTGTGGGCATCTGTGCACATATGTGTATGTGAGCATTTAAAAACCTATGTATGTATGTATGTATGCATGCATGCATGCATGTATGTATGTATGTGTGTGTATGTGTGTGTATGTGTGTGTATGTATGTATATGTATGTATATGTATATGTATGTATATGTATGTATATGTATGTATATGTATGTATATGTATGTATATGTATGTATATGTATGCGTATGTATGTATATGTATATGTATATATATATATATTGTGTGTGCATACATGCACCATGTATGTATTATGTTTTTACTATATTTTATTACGATCAATATGCAGATACATCTCCGTGTGTATGCGTCTGCTTTGTGAGGGTGTTTGTAGACGTCATGTTCCCGGAAAGTTTGCAAATCCACGGGGATCAAGACTATATAATATAAGTTTTGAAGCCACAGAGCGCGCAAGACTTGGGTTCACAAGAAACTGCCAGGGACAATGAAGCTGCAGCAAGTACCCTTGTTTATCTTGTTTGTCTGCCAAATGACAGCAACCAGCTGCAGCTACCTCGCCGCGCCATGGTTCTGATGCTGGATCTTGTCACTAGACATAGCAAGCACATGTGGCAAGTGCCTTGAACTGAATCCAACCCTGACCTTTCTGAAGGCCGTCCTGGATCTATCCCATCTTTCCCAGGTTGAAAGACATCTTAATAGTCTTAATAAACCCTTGAGCAATATCCATCAATATCCCAGTATCCTCAACTCCTCGACATAGAAAATCTGTCTGCATTCCTTTGCAATTTCTGGGTCCCTTCGATTTGATCTATGTCTGTCCAATTTGAGCCTTGTCAGGTAAATGAGTCCGGCTTTTGAAGACATCGCGTTGACAAGGCTGGGTTGACTAGACCAAAACCACGACTTTACTCTTCAAGCTTTGCATGAAATTATCCCATGGTACCTGCTCTGTGCTGTATCTGGTTGTTTTCACATCACATCTGTTGAATATGGCATCAGCTCGCCATACAGCAGCGACTCTAGCAAGTCCCCCAGCTCCTCACCCTCTAGTTGCCAGAAGCCGTGCCCATCACTACCACCAAAGGCAAACTGGGAGCCATGTCTGAAATGGCCGTCCTCGCAGGACAGAAACTTCACTTTGAAACACCATAGATATCTGAATCCTCCAGCTCCGCAACACCATGCACTGGCACTGCCTCGTAGAAGAGCAAGTGGTCGCAAAAATTCTTGTGCACCTTGATACGAGTGAAGCACTTTATGCCTCCCATGTTCTCCGATCCCACCTTTGAGGCAAACTTTTATATACTATGTTATACTATGTTATACTATGTTATACTATGTTACTATATTGTGTCGGCTGGCTGGCGAATTCATCCATTCGCACCCAAGACATCAAAAAGGAAAAAGCAGGTCTATTCTCATGTTTCTTTTTCCTCTTCTTTGAATCTCTCCTATCTTTCTCCGTATTTCTTATTTGCCTGCTTACTTGAAATGATTTCTGTACGAAAATCATCTATCTTGCGCATGCTCGGCATGCGAAGAACGGGGCCGAAACACGTGTTAAACCAGCTTGCATTCTCGGGGTCTTTACGGGCGGAAATGCTCAGAATCTTTACCCACCACATCAGATCGTCCAAGTTGCGATGAAGTATACGGACCTAGGTTTGTGGCTCATGTCCTCAGGCTTTGCACAGGACGAAGTGCTGCAAATGCTTCCGGGAATTCTTTCATGGACACTGGTACTGCACAAGAATTGATTCAACAACTGCTACAATTCAAATCATTTGGGATGATAGATTACAGTCTGGTTATTGTGTCAAGTGTCGATCGGTGTTATGTTCTTTCGTGAGCCCCTGCATGTTTGCGCTCCTCGTTGTTTGCGGTAGTGCGCGCATGACGAGACAGGATTCCAGCAGTAGCTCGCCTGAATGCAGATGCGGAAGGATCTTGGAAGATTGTTGAAGAGAAGGATTCGGGCAAAGCAGCACCCGTTTCAATCTTACACGGCTTGTGTTGCAACATATTGCAAAGCTTCAATTATTGTCAAGTGGACAAGCACACACTCTGAGCAGATGAAAGCAGATTCTTTTGCAGGCAAAAGGATGTCCGTTTGACGTAATCATGTTTCCTTTGGAAAGACATGAGTTGCAGTGCCAAATGTCTTTAGTCGTTGCATAGGTCTACAACGAGGCAACCTGTGCGAGAGCCTTCTAATTTCTTGAAGGATCCTGATGGGAAAAAAACGCGTTGCATCTACACCTCATTTCGCATCTCAGAAGCGGCCTCAAGGACCTCAAGGACCTCAAGGACCTCAAGGACCTCAAGGACCTCAAGGACCTCAAGGACCTCAAGGACCTCAATACTTCAGCACAGTGAGGGAGAACTTGGAATCCTTTTGGACGCCTTGGATGGCTGCGAGCAGGTCCTCACCAAGATGCTGGGTGCCATTCACCTCAATGATTCGATCATTCTCACCCACGGCATCGCCTGAGTGCGTTGTGTTCCATGTTGAGACAAGGCCTTTGCCGACCTCTCCCACCACTGCACCAAATGATGCAGATCCGAAGTTCAATTTTAGACCCAAACTGGTCGTCTTGGACAAAGACAGCTCGACCTTCCTAGGCCGCAACACTGTCAGAGCCACGTCGCCCTCAACCTTCTCATCAGCCATCATCTCAGAAGCATCATTGCTCTTCACACCATTGATGGATGTGATGACGTCAAAAAGTTTGAGGGCAGTGCCTGGGTGAAGCTCGTTGAAGACATGGACCGCACCCGTCTTTGAGACTTCCTTGATCATTGGTCCAAGTTCGCAAGCATGGTCAAGCTCCAAGCCAAGACTCGAGAAGCCCTTCACCGGGACAACTACGGAAAAGGAACCAAAGGCAGGAGCGGGCGGTGCGTCTTTCTCCACCTTTTTCTGTATTTCTGCGGGGGCAGTCTCGATGGCTTTTTCAACAAGCTTTGCTTCAGCAGTGTCCAGGACAGAACGCTGCTGGATCTCTGGAATCTCTGGTACCTTCTCCCCCTCTTCACTAGCCACGCAACAGCAAAGCATGCCAGGCGAAGGCTGGTAAAATTCTGGCTTGTAAGGTACGCTCTGGAGCAAAAAGGCTGCATGGAATGTGTTCAATTTGTTCAAACACTGAGCAGGCCATGAAAAATGCGAACTTCAATCGTTGCTCAACCACCGAGATGTTTGTGCGATCACTAGAAGGCATGAAGGTATGTTGCACCCCAGCCTCCTTGGCGGAATTGAATGCCGCACTGCCTCAAACGTTTAAACGGCACACACGCGCACACACAAATATATTATGTAGACATGGCATTTTCAACATATTATATATATATATATATATTTTATATATATATATAGTGTGCGTGTGTGCGCGCGTGTGTGTGTGTGTGCGTGTGTGTTAGTATATATTATTTTATTATTCAAAAATTACCATACAAGAAGACTGATGGAATCTGTCCGACAGCTGCGACTAAGGGACTGCAAGGCAAGCGGTAGCACCTTGCATGGCAGGGAAAGCTCAGGAATTTGCAATAATTTGATGGCAACCAGTCCGCATCGCCTTGACTGTCAGTTTATGTACTTTGTCTGGGTCCGTGTTTGCATTGGCTACTCTCCAGATAGAAAACGTTGAGCAATCGCAATCCCAGTTATTAGCTGAAAGTCCTGAAGTATCACCTCTTACAGCTAGGCGACACTAAGGATGTTGAGCGCTCCTGACATCTACTTAGTCTACTTTTCATAGTATCGCTTTTGTCTCCATCCATCGCTTCTCCGGTGATCCAGTTGGACCGAGTTGGACCGAGTTGGACCATCTGGAGCTGAGGCACCAGAGGCAAAGCTCATCCACTCACCGCTGTGCGTCCGATGAACCGCACTTTGCCCTTAGCTTCGAACCCGAGAACTGCAGAGGTTGAACTGTGAACTGGCTTCCACTTAGAGGTCGAGAGAATAATTGTATCTCACATTGTCTCACCTTACCTTTGGCTTTTGGATTCCCCTAAATCATCCAAACATGTGCTCATGGACGTGTTGTCTGGAGTGTTTTCGTGCCCGCCCGCCCGCCCCACACCCAGACTGCAGGCTGTTTTGCAACAAACCACCTTTCGCAGAAGATGTGCAAGGTGAAAAATGTGGAAAAAATGGAGTCAGCTCTGCAGCTGCGCGTCTAACTTCTGCATGCGGCAGGACCAAAGGGCAGAGACGAGTCGACAACATTACTACTTGAGCCACACCAAAATGTCACAGGCGGCAGCTGGGTCAGCAGCTCTAGTGGGCTAACTGGACGTTCCCATGATACAGCTGTGCTAGTGATAGCACGCAATGTGGTGCAAGCCACATGCTTGGACCGAGAACCTCCACACTTTACCCAAACTGTTTGCCTGCCAACTGGAATGAACACTAGTGATCACCTGCGGCCCTGTTGTCCTGCTTGACAACTCGGCTACCCGCCTCCGCTTCCTGGCCTCATCTCTCCGTCCATCACCTTGCTCCCAAAGGCAATTTCCATCCACTTTCCAAGGCTTCACTTTGCAAAAGCTCCCAATGACAAGCAAAACTCACTTCCAACTTGAAGGCAAAACCCATCAAAACTCACTAGCAGTCCATACAGTGAAAGAAGGATGCTGAAAAAACTGGCAGCGATGCTAATAATTTTCACATACTTTCACTTCCTAGGCCATGTCAGTGTCAAGATATGTCAAGGTGACAGGGCAAACGAATCAATGAAGGATGTCACTGTTGCAGCTGCACCTGTGCTTGAAGGCACCTTCGTCAGGTCCACGCGAATCTTACAAGGCACGAGGCAGCCGCACTTGTAACAACGTTTAGGCGAGGACATGCTGATGTCACATGAATGGTTGATGCCAACTTTGTGTGCGAGATGCTGTGCGTCACTACATTTGTAATTCCTTTCATGCCAATCAACGTTGAGCACCTGCGTTTACTTTCTTGGTCCTTCAGTTACAAAGTGTTGCAGTCAACGATGGTAGCTGGCGTGTGATGTGGCACCAAGGCTCCCAGCCCATGGGCCCTCCATCGACACCTACAGTGCGACAGTCAGCACACACACACACAATGTTCACTACCGGCTGGGTTCCAGGCACAAAAAATGGGATCACCACGCGCCAGACCACTCACGATCTGAGCCTCAAGTGCGGAGCCCAGGGTCAATGCGCCAAAACATAGTATGTGACATACAGTATGTGTAAGTTAGTGTAGGTGTCAATTTTGAATATGATAAGTTTCATATATTTTCATAGGAATGTCAGTTATGTGTGTCACCATGAAATCGTGCACGAGTGAGAATCCATAGGACATCATAGGACAAAGTTCAGGATCTTTCATGGGCAGCTTAAAGATGCGCTACCTCCACGGATGGTTTTCTTCTGATCGCAACCCATTTGTAGACGACCATCCACCTTGGCTCAATCGATGCCACGTCACGTGCGTGGAAAGAAAAGCTGACAAATTGAATGAAGACCAGATTCGCCAAAGAAAGACAAGGTTGGTCAAAAAAGGCAGGGGCCCAGGCCAAGCCATCTCAGAGTTGTTGGATACAAGATTGGTTCCTGCAGTGGCGCATGTTGAGGCATGATAATCGCCAAACCCGATTCGAGCAAGAGTGAACTGAAGAAAGGAACTAGAATCCTCAACCTCTGGCCGCTGGGCCCACATAGATAGATTAAAGAATTAAGAGGGTATGTTGATGCATAGCCCATCATAGCCCAATGTTCAATGCGAAAACCGGCCCGGTCATGCTTAGTGCATGCCCTGAAATGCCTGTCGTTGCTCTTCACTTCAGGTCGTTGCATACAGTGCTGTTTGGCATCGACGGGAGATTTGGTGAACCCTGGCCAATAGATGCCAATAGATGCTAATAGTCCAGAAATATCGAGAGTTGTATGGAAAATGTCGAAACCTGTCGAAATCTTCTATGTTTTCTGTTTTCTGCTTGCCAAACAAGTGCAATGTGCATGGTAAAAGGCAGCATCAATGCCAGGGCTGCCGAACTACCCACCAGGTGCTGCCACTGGCGAACATAGTGTTCCTGAGGCACGTTTGACCACTGAAAGAGTCCCGTTGCCAAAGCCTAATGTGCTGAACCTCCGCAGCAAGGAACCTAAAATCCAACAAATACAATACAACTACCATCAACACGCACTATTAAACAAAAAAACAGTTTATATATATATACTAAGATGTGGTCTGAACACGCATTTCTCTAAATTAAGACTTCTCATTTACTGCATTTCAATTTCTTACCGCTGGATCCATTGTTCTTCAGTGCCAACGTTTCATTTGCATTCGTCCGTGAACAGTGTAGGTTGCCACCAAGATCACTTTTCCACTCATGTTCGCGTGTGTTCTTCCAGACAAGAATTTTACGCTTGCCAGAGAATCGAGTTCAAGAATTTAAGGCAGCTTTCAGCAGAGCAACACTTGTGCCATTCTCTTTCAACACCCATTTGAAAGGAAAATGCTAAAGAACACGTTCCAGTCAAACACTGTGATGTGTGCATGTATGTGTGTGTGTGTTTGTGTGTGCGTCTTTGCTTGCAGCGCTTTATCCTGTGGCATGTGTTTGGTCATGTTTGGTCCATCCCTTTCGCAACTCTGGCGAGACATAGAGCAACCTTTGATATCCTTCACCGCAATGGCATCCGCATCTTTTGTGCGACCTGACCAAATCTATCACACCTAGCTGCCCAGAGGCTCGGCCACCAAACTGCGCATCTCAAACATGACGGTGCTGGCTGGAGCCGCATCTCAAGCCACACTCGGTGCAGCAGTTGCATGGCCGCGGCCTTCTCGGCTACATACTCTCTGTGCGAAATTGCAACTCCAAAGCCCAATTATTGACTCAAAAAAACCTAAACATAGATGGAAAATCATAAATCAAAGATGAAAAAATGATACCGTCCGTGTGATGGATAATTACTTCTTCGCGAAAGCGATGCCCATGGCTTTGAATGCAATGATGATCACATGCTTGACTTCTTGTTTCTTGAACTTTTGGTTGCTTGTGGAAAATACCCACCACACATTGCCCTTGCTCACTCTCCAGTAGGTTGTACCTTTCTTCTTGACATCTGCCCCGCGTTTGGCTGCAAACTTCACAAAGTCATTTGATGTCTCCAGTCGATGCAGCTCAGATGAGAAAGTCAAACCTTCCATCTCTGCCGATGCCTCTCGTTCGGCTGCTAGGCGCTTCAACTCACGCTTCATGCAGCCTTCATTCTCGAAGCTCTGGCCATAAATGCCACCAATCACGCTGCAGGCTGGGCGCCTGGCATGCGCAGATTGTGGCAAGGGTCTTGGCTCCCTGGTCCACCTCCCAGTGAAGACTTGAAGATGTGTGATCCAAAGGGCGAAGTACGAAAGAGTCAGGAAGACAATAATTGGTCTGAAGAATCTCTCACAGGACATCTTGGCCTTCAAGCACTTCTGGCTGAAGACACCAGCACACCAAACTACGGGCTACAAAGCTAGACAAACTGCACAAAGGCAGAATCAAATTTGAGAAAAAGAAGAAGCTTGAGCAAAGGGAAAGTAGTGATCACCTCTTCTGCAAGCGGTGTGAGTCTTCGGGTCCCGGTTGCTAGGCAATAGGACAATACAGCACCTGCAAGCTAAGATAGCTGAGGCTGCCACATCTTGCTCGATGTCAAACCTCGTTGGCGGCAAAGAGCACTCTTTCCATTGGCATTGGGCATAAAAGAAGGATCCAAGTAAAGAACGCTCTTCCAAGGCGTGGGCTCATCGCAACGGCCTGGTTCCTCCTCAAAGCTTTGGGAAGCGAGCGTGGCATGTGCCTGGCAGAACAGGTTTCAACCTCCAGAAACTGTCCAAAGAACGCATTGGGGAGATTCAACGGGTAGCCTATGGGGAATTCATGTGGCGGCAGTGGTTGCTATTGCGTCCTTGCGATTCAGGGGGCTGCCAGGGCCATGAGTTTTGAATGTAGAGCCACTGAACCAAACAGCATATGAACCATTGGCATATTATATATATATACATAATATGAATATACGTGTGTATATATATATATATTTATTTATTTATATACATATGTATATATATATGTGTGTGTGTTAATTATATACATGTATATATATATAAATATACATAATTAGCGTAGAGAAAGCCGCCCCAACTGGAACAAGTCTGAACACGTGTGAACAGGTGCAGCTTTTCTCGCAGCTCAAACAGATTGTTCCATCACGACAGGTGGTCGAGGCCCATCCTTTGGCCACAGGGTTGCAGAAGTCGCTGGAAGATCTTCCTGCTGGTCCTGGCAGTTGATGTTCCCAACCCACGTGCCACGATGGCCACAGCGTAATGTGTTGGAGCTTGGGGGTCGTTCATCTGAACACTTCACCTCACATTTCAGGCCTTCGCCTTCTCCAACACACAGTGAAATGGTGTTTGGTGCAGAGTGTGGGCCACAAGGAGCTGGAGGATGCGTATTGTACCGCCATAGCATGCTTGAATCGTGCGAAACCAAGTTCGCTCTGGCTGCGAAGCCGGTCTTCTTTCGCTTTTCAAAAGGGTAGCCCCAGCCTTCAAAGGCATCATGCAATGGGGCCTTGTACTCACGATTCTTCACTTCCTTCACAGAGGGCTCAAAGCAAGGCAGAAACTAGAGCCACACCCCTGATTCAAAGCTGCAAAACGAGAAAAGTTTGAAAAGCGGCAAGAAAATCAATACAGGAGCAACATGGAGCAACATGAAGCAACCAAGCATCTGGAGCCAACCAAATGTACTCTTGCACGACACGTGGATCCAGAAATGGGTATCTGGCCTCAACTCCATGGGCTCCAGCAACATGCTCCTCTTTATGTAAGTAGTCTCGCTGCGTCGACAGGAAAAACTCTGCCCAGGGAAAGATGGTTGAAAGATTGTCAGGGAATAGGCCGCCAAAGGATGACTGGGGGCACCACTTCTCGCCTGCAAAGCCGTAGTCGCTCAAGATTTCCTTGTTTTGAGGCTTTTGCAGCTTGGATAGGCCAGCTCGACGTTGAACTCACTACAACCAAAGCTCTGCACATGTTTGCATGGAAAACAACGAAATACAATCTTCTAGAGAAAAAATGCAGGCTTAGCCACATCTGCGCCGGAACCAGAGAGGTAGCAAAGGGCTCCTCTGTCTCTGCTTAAACGGACGATGTAGCTGAGGCCAATAGCCTTGGAAACATCGTACCAAGCAAGCTAAGCTTAAACAAAATCCAATAAGCTGTATTCACACAGGGAAGGCACGTGGTTAACATCATCACAGTATCTCAAACCTGAAACAGGTGTTGGATACTTCACTTGGTTGCAGAGCTTGAATTCATATGTTTGCAACATTTAGAATATTTTAGAATGTAGACCATTGGGCGTGTCATGAAGATTACATAACAGTACGGTGTGCTTTTTTTTGTGCCCACATAGATGTGTCGAGGTGACTCGCTGAAGGATCCCAGCCAACGCAACGCTGTCATGTCCGAACAAAAGCAACAACAGGATAGAATCGGATACAACAAGCAATAGTAACCCCAAAAAAAATAAGCCCACAGAATATCCCCAACAGCAACAACTACTGTACATGAAAAATCAACAACTGTTTGTCGGACTGGTGTTTGCGAGCTGTTTGAGATAAACCGAGATAAACCTTTGATTGACCATCTGTCGGGAACAACATAAACTTTGCTTGGACACCTATGCCTCGACACCTTGCTTGCAAATCTGTTACTGGGAGCTTTGCTTGGAAACCCTTGCTTGGGAACCTTGCTTGGGAACCTGTTCTTGAAAACCTGTCCTGGAAACCAGTTCTTGGAAACCTGTCCTTGGAAACCTATTCCGGAAAACCTTGCTTAGAAACCTGTCTTGGGAACCTGTTCTTGGGAACCTTTGAGAATCTTTGGGAACCTGTTCCTGGGAACCTTTCGGAATCTTTCATCACTCAAGCAGCTGCCCAACATTTGGGGTCGAAGCCAGACGAGTTTGATGGCATATTTGAAGACAGGGGAAACCTCACACTTGGTTGTAGTATGGTTGCAGTCTTCAAACATGTTTGGGCAACCATTCACACAAATCTGGGATATTGACTGGCTAAGGATACCAAACATCCACCACATTGGAAATCTTTGGGAATCTTTGGGAACCTGTTCCTGGGAACCTTGCGTGGAAACCTTTGCGAACCTTGCTTGGGAACCTGGCTTGGAAACCTTGCTTGGGAACCTTACTGGGGAACCTAGCTTGGAAACCTGGCTTGGGAAATTGCTTAGAAACCTTGCTTGGGAACCTTTGGGAACTTGCTTGGGAACCCCTTCCTGGGAACCTGGGAGCTTTGGCAATCCGGATTTTCGCTGCTCCGACCTGCTCCGGAACCTTTATTACTATGTTGGAAGACCCCAAGCTTACGCTGTTGGGGAAAAATGTCGAGGTGCTGCGTAGTCGTCAAGCACGCTGGCCTGGCCAGTGAAATTCTTGCCCAGGTATGCGAATGGTTCTGCACGGTCCAACAGCCAAAGACGCTCTAGATCAAAGTCATCGTCATTCATCAAAACCACAGAGACCTCCGAAGTTGTCTTTGCAAACATCGCTCGGTCATGAAGCAGCTGCGGGATCTCTTCAGCTAGAAGCGCGAAAGCGTGATGTCTTACAGAATTGTGATGTAAAGAAGCGTGTATGGCCCCTGAATCGAAGCCAGAAGAAAGGCCAACAAAGAGGGGTCGGCCTGTTCCTTCTAGATCCTGCGTTCGTAATTTCACTGCACTGTTGAATGCCTTGATATAATCATCCGTTGAGTTTTTGAACTGGCGCATGTCAAATTCGAAAGCGGTCGTTTGCTTTGTAATGCGAAAGGTGTCCAGGCAAATTGTCAGAACCCGATTAGGTCCCACCATGTGCACTTCTTGGCTTCGAAAGCCCAATCGTATCAGCCCACTCTTGTAAGATGAAATTCCTACTTTCTGCTTTCTGCGAAGCAGCGCGTACCAGAGTGGCTTAGTGCCAAAGGGGTCCGTTGCAAAAACAGCCCTTCGGCTTTGGAAATCAAAGACTGCAATTGCAAACTCACCTTGCAACGCTAAGGGAAAAGATTCTCCTGCCGACTGATATGTTGGCAGAATGGCTTCACCATCAGAGGTGAAGGCTGGAAGGCCCCTACCTTCAGCCTCTCTGCTCAGCTGCCGCCAGTTGTAGATTTCTCCGTTGAAGAGAGCCAGGATTTGACCATCTGAGGAAACAAAGGGTTGTGGTCGGCGTTGACCTGTCATGTGTAGCAGGTTGTGAACAAAGTCAAAGCCATGCAACCTCATGTGCGTCGTCACATCAGGGCCCCGTGGCTGCAGAAAGAAGTTCACAAATGCCAAGTTTGTGATGAGCTGATTGGCGGCCAAAAACGAGCACATGGCGAAGGCAAAGGAATAGGCATTGAGTGAAGAGAAGCAGGTGGGTGACCCTGATATTTTTCCTGGATACAGTAGGTGTACAACCTTTATGTGTATATATATATATATAGTCTCAGGAAAAATGCTGTTGGACCCTAAGGGAAAAAAGAGGGTGCATGGTGTGAGTCAGAAAGTGTGCAAAATCATTTCAAAAAGTCAAACAAGGCCTCAAACAACAAGAAGTCGAAAAGTTGATTGTGCATGCCATGAATTTTGATTACCATGTCCTAAATTTCCTAAATATTGGCCTCCTGTGCTTGAGAGCAGCTAAAGCTACAAAACAGCTACAACTTCTGCAAATATATCTCCTGGTCGTGAAGGTCTGGCTAGTGTTGGACGTGGATAGGACACTTCGTTCACGTTCTCATGTGCTGAGCATAGAGCGTACGCTGACTTGGCTCATGAATGCTCGCAGTGCACACCCAAGGAATGGTTGCATTCTGTTTCGTGTGGAACTGCGCTGCTCCTTGTGCAATCCTTTTCTCCCCTGATCAGGAATCAAGCACTGCGCAAATGCAGCATGTTAAGGGAGAGATTCCCACAATGGACAGGGGGTCGGCCTTGAGTGTGGTCACAATATCGTCTATATTTCTGTACTTTGCTTTTTTGAGGGGATGTACAATATACACATGAGGAGAATGAAAACAATGGACCCGTCATACACATCTGACATGCATCTGCGCGGCAGTGTGTGTTTGCTTGTCAGACACTCATGGAAGTAGATTCTGACTGAAGAGGAGTCTTGACCTTCATTTCTGCCTGACGATGGAAACCTGCAGCCAAATCACAACTCACCAACAAAGTGTCAATGTCGATCAAACGAACCTATGATTCCGACATGTGCATATGCATGCGGTACAGTGTGTATATATACATATATATATAGTTTAGAGTGCATGCACCTAAGAATTGCAATATAGACAAGTATAAAATCTATAATTCCAATTATTAACCATTATTAACCATTATTAACCATTATGAATCATAGATTAACCATAGATTAACCATAGATATTCTTAGCTAAATATAGGAATTACATGTGGTCCTGTTTACGGCTATCGCTAGTCGCAGGAGTCGCACCGACGCCGAGCTCACGAGCTGTGCGACAGCGATCTGAGCCCACCTCTGTCCATACAATAGATCTTACATAGACATATTGAACATATACATATATGTATATTATATATATATATCTATATCTATCTATCTATCTATCTATCTATCTATCTAATTATATATGTCAAAAATATAGGCATATGCATGTGTAAGTATGATGAATATGTGTCTACATATAAATACTATATATATATTATAAACATATGTTTGCCATTCAAAACTGAAGTCAAACACACAGGTCTCCAGCAAAATCAGCAGTCTTTGAAGCCAGGATTCATTGCCAAGGTGCTCACTCAAGGATTTGGTGGTGGGTTGAACCTTACAAAAGAGCAGCTTAGCAGCTAACAAGTCACAAGAAGCCCAACGCGTCAAGTGAGACCCTCCTCGTTCCTCGGCATACTGAGGTGCCAACTCCTCGACTCCATGCCACTCAGCCATTTTGAATTTTACACCACCTCAGCTGCTGGCAGTGTGTCAAAACCAATAGTACCCCTGTAGTTCACATCAAAATAGCTGGGATTTATGGATGTTCATTCCCCTAAACATGGTATTAATAGGTATTGATCCATACCCAGCAGTGAAATCCAAATCCTTTAAGCCTTAAGGGCCTGAAGTCCTGATTCTGTCAGAGGGGCAAGAATGATCAAGAATGACAGGTGCTGCCAAGGGCACTGTGGATTAGCCTTCTGGCCAATGCTTCACCACATGCGACAGCTGGTGTCAACACACCGCCTGGATAAGGCAACTCCTGCCATCGAGAGTTTCTGACTGTGGGTCGGTGATTGCGTCTGGAGTTTGTGATCGAAACTGGGAACTCTTGACCAAAAGTCCCAACAGTCCCAACAGTGACAGCGCACCTGCCGGTCGAAGACAAGAGTCATTGCCTAAGATGTGGCGTGACCAAATTGCGGGACACAAATACTGATGGTTCTGAAGCATACATTATATAATGCATACAGTACGTATACATGCGCACTGTTTCCCAAGCAAAATTGTTGGGCCCTGGTCTTGACGCGGCACCGTCTCCACTGCAATTCGCGCTGTCTCGAAGTAGCCGTCGCGTCCAATGAAGTCGCACTTGATCTGGTGACACAGCGGAGCAACACTACAGTCGGTGAAATGTGCATCTAAGTATATACAAATGCACTGTACGTACGTGCATATATATATAATTATATGCATATAAATATAAATAAAACATAAACATATATGTATGTACTATCATCATGTCGTATCACATATTTCCCAAAAAGTAATTAATCACACGTGACGAGCAGTTGCATGGCTTGTGACACAGATTCTTGCAGCAGAGTTCCTGTCAACACAACCTAGATCAAAGCCTCATGGCCCTTGTCTGTCTGCGACCACAAGAACCAAGCACTCCAGGCATCATCCAACCTAAAGGAGGTGGAACCACATCCAAAAGGGACATAAAACTTTAGAAATCTTTAGAACTTCTGATCAAGAAGCGTGTTCTTTCTCCCGTTCTTTATCACGACGCTCCAAATTTATCTGACAAGTCATTGATAGCGGGCTATACGAGCTAGGAAATGTCTGCAAATGGCCCGTTGGATACTCTTAGGATCTCTTAGGCCCTCTGGCTCTTGGGTCACAGTGTGGGCTACTCATTCCCTCCTGCGAGACTCCCGCTCTTTTGATGACATGATGGAAGCTTGACCATTTCTTAACAGGAAGGTTAATCTTAGTTTCTCGGGTATCGGTTTCCCACGCATAACCTGCCAAAGTTGCAAGCATCGCAAGCCTGCTACTCCAAAAAATGGCTAAGGACTTCTTTGAAGCAGAGGGACTCTTCAAGTGGGGGGCCCTCGCCGGCTTTGTAATACACACCTGCACAAAAACTTCGGAAGCACAGTGGTCCCTCTTGATCCAGGAGGTACGGTAGATCGTTTCATGTTTATCTCTTCCCATCTCTTTCTTGGCTAAGCGGCTACAGTACTACAGGATGGTCAGAAAATCAGCTCATCCACTTGTGCTGCGGAGCTTGTGCCCAGCCTTTGGCCTCAAGGGCTTTTCTCTCGGCCTCGACACTGCCACCACCACCTCCACCACCGGCACCACCGCCGATGCCGCCACCGGCACCACCGCCACCGCCCTTTTGTTGCAGCAGCATTTCCTCATCTCCAGGCAAAGCAAGGGCTGAAGAATCAACCAACAACAGTGGTAACAGCAAGCTGAAGTATGCATATACGTATATATATATATTATATATATAATCAAGTACAGTATGTTATGAACAAATTGCCGGCCAAGTATCGGTTGGTAGCACTGAGAACTGCAGAAAGTTCAAACTCTTGCCGTATGGCTTTCCACCCATGTCGGCCAAGAGCATATTGGACCGCCGCACGATACGAGTATCAAAATATGAGTACCTGTAAGGGAGAAACCGTTACACAGATTAAATTGAAAGTGGAAATCAATTATCAGCGAACCATGATTTCTTGATGGATGACTTTCATAGGCAGTTGCAAAGACATCTGTTGCTGGCCACAAATGCAGGGAAGGGCACACATTAGGACCGCGCCAAATGCCCAAGTGTTTGTCTTCCTGCAGCACCCCATCATTAGTTCAGCCCTCATCAAAACAGATCGAAACAGGCAGTACGACTGACTCATGACCAAGGAGCTGAGATCTTTGACATGTTGGCATCCAAGTCTTCTGCGCGTACTTTGGTAGTCACTTTTCCGGTTCCAAATTCAATGTTACAATACCTGAGCCAAAGCATAACATGTGTGGCAGAAAGGCGAGAAATGTGTTGGCAACGCGCACTCTTTACAATCTGTGTGATACAGCGGTTCGATGTTGAGGACCAATGACCAACACACGCTGCAGCGGCTACAGACTCACACCCGATAGATTCGACTCACTTGCACCAGCACTCCTTTCCAGGGGATGCGACAAATTTATGTTTAGGGCGTAAGAAGCAGGTACTCGACGACAACGGGTGTCTGTGTTTAACACAGGAAGTACACAGGTACAACACCTTGAGAGTTCCTGTGCTTCACTGCTTCACAAAGGAAGTACACTGGTAGAATGATGGCAATGGCAATCATGACTTGGACAATGATCATTAGACATGATCCTGACCCAGAGCCATGATGGCAGCGCGAGCGATACAAATCACGCGGATGTAAGCGATGCAAATTTGCCGCGGTTGCAAGCGATACAGCGACCCACTGCAGCCCTGTCTTATGCTATATGTTCTTCTCTCTCTATTTCAAGGCTTCATTGAGAATCCATGGGGTACTATTGGATCTATTGGCAGCTATGACTGTTGGAGAACAAAAAGCAATGCATGCGGCTGGGGAATCGCCGAAACCGTAGTCAGTGACGATATCTCTAGGACCTTAGGCCTCTAGGCTTCCGCCAAAACGCTTAATGCCATGTCGGTCCCGGTCTGGAACAAAGCCGCCGAGGGCGTAAGGATCTCCCATCATTTTCCGGGTCTCATCACCACCAGCAGCCATCGTGGCTCGGGTTTTTAGCCTCAAACATCAACTGGAAAGGTCACAAACGAGGCACGCTTGAACATTCAAAAAGCACGGGTATCGCGGGTGCTCTGCTGATTGACTGGGGGTACTTACTAGACATCCCCATGTCCCAAGTTTGATATGTTGAACCGGACGCGATTCCTAAGCATCAGCAATATCAAGGCCCTGTTCATCCAAGTAACGTGCCGCCAGATGCTGTGGCAATGGCACCGCCTCCATTGACATAGCAAATAGCTTTTCGCAGATCCTCGCCATAGTCCTCTCGTGCCTCCACAGCTGGCGAGTTCAAATGTCATTAAATGTGTCTTGAGAAGTCTAGATATGAAAAGGAGCTCTATGTAGCTCTCAAAGAAACATTGTCTGCTCGTCACCGACTCGTCACCCATCTTTGGGACATGCCTTCTTGGCACAGAGAAAGGTGCAAAGATCTGGAAAGCCACCAGCAGAAGCTGCGCTTGGAATGATGAAGGCACCGCTGCGCTGCGCATGTCCTTAGGCTGAGAACAAGGCCTACAACATGCTACAAGAATGACTACAATGACTACAATGACTACAATGACTACAATGACTACAATGACTACAAGATGCTAAAGCCCAACTGGCGTTGCTCCAAGATACTCCATAAATCCTGGTAACGATGGGAGGGGATGTGAGGGGATCCTTTCTTTTCTGCGCAAGTCTCGATGCAGTGGAGTGATCCGCCGGGACCAAGGGATCTCTCCGCTGATGTCACAGTAGTGGACACCTCGAGTAATGCAGCAATCTATCCTTAGAAAGGGCAGCGGGCAGCACTGCAAATCTAACGCAAGACTTCGCATGCAGGTCTACCGAGTTGGAAAGTGATTCTTTTCTGGTTAATCCATTGTGCTCAGCATGTCTCGAATGCATCCAAACAAGTCGAGCTTCATAAGCTCGCCCTGGGTGAGCATGTAGGGACCAGCTACGTTGATAATGCACTTGGCACTCTTCACGAGGTCTATAATGGAGTAAGGGTCGTCATAAGACATTTGCATGACAGGGGTGTCCTGCAATGGCATCTGGAAGACTCTAGGAGACTACGGTCGAAGCACATATACAAGGCCTCGATCCACCCGAGTGCGCACTCAAAACGCAGGAATGAATGGGATCGACAGTGATTGCATGGGATCTCACTCCTCGTAGATGGTGCCGGCGAACTCACGATCCCGTAGTTCCTGTACCCTTGAGGGCGTTCGCCCTGCAAACGCAAAGGTGAAGCTCTCCGGCGTTCGCTTCAAAGAGACGCGTTTGAGATACTCCATCATCCTTAAAGCACGTGCATTGCGCAGTCATGGCAGCATGCAGCCTTGCAACCAGCTGCATCTTCTCATCATCCGAGTGTTGCGACATGTTCATCCAAACTTTTTCTGTCAATCAACACGTGCAATTTGGAAATACAAACACTGTGCCCCTGCGTCTTGCAGCTTGTACTATCTTGTACTGCTGCTTGGCATCAAATAGCCTGTGTATCCAGACACCCCGTAGAAGACCAGGTCATACTGCTTACCATCCCAAGAACTGCACCAGTCATAGTTCCTCAAAGCAAGGAGAGGAACTCTGCAGTGTGATAACCAGCTCTATCATCCAGAATCCATGCCCACATATGCACACACATACGTTAGCTACGTATCCGATCAGTTTCTAAGCACTACTTAGATATACTTAGATCACCATCCCTAGTCACAGCGCAAGCTATCCACATGCTGATGCAGTTCTCGGCCGTGGGGCTTGTAGAGTGGAAAGTGCTCGTCATACACTTTTTGAGCTTCTGCATCATTTGCGTCTTCTCGGAGCCTGGAACAAATTGGAACAATCAACTCAAGTTGGCTCAGCAATTTCCAAGGGCCTTCTCAAAGCGGAACGGGCTGTCTCTGCACTCCAGGCCTTTGCTTGGCCTGTGCCAAAGGCTGGTACTTTATCATGAACCTCGGTGCCCATGGGAGGGATCAAAGTGTTGCAGCTTACGACCCATCTGCATCTGCTAGGCTGAAAATGGCGATGTGCAGAATCACCTACAATCGTCGCAGACCGTCTGCCTTCAATGCAACATTGCTGTCGCCGCACAAGGTACTACATCATGCACAGTTATATGATTTGCATTATGGGAAGAACGTGTTGGGAAAATAAACTTGGGACTCCAGTTCGCAGGGACTGCGCTTGCCAGCATCCAGTCAGCAAATAGACATCCGAGGTGCTCATCAGAAAAGTACATTGTTTGGAAGGGTGGAGCCACTTCCTCTGAACAGCACAGAAGAGGAAACAGAAGCCACAACTCACAAACTCTGCAGACCAAAAGGGAGGTGTCTGTTCCGGATGAAGTGAGGGATCCACAAAAGGGGATGTGCAATGGTGCCACGACAATCACAACATGCTGCACCACGGTGCAACACCAGGTCCTCACTTGCATCATAGGGCGCCATGGTCAGCAAGCCCCAAGGCGGAAGGAGGCTGCAAGAAGCTCTCCTAACAATCCGCCTCAAGGTGTCCCCTAAAGCCTTGAGCAGGAAGGCAGCAGATTGAACCTTCCGGTTTGGCAAGTAAAGCAAGCACATCCTGCGAACACGCAAATAGTTCGGGAGGAAGCCCTTCTTCGCGGCAAAAGCAAAAGAGACAAACAAGAAGGAAACAGGAAAACAAAGAGACACATACTCTATACATGTAGACACGAAATGGCACGAATGTATTTACGTTTAATAAGGGCAAGGCATCCCGCTACGCGAACGGATGTGCATGACGTACTGAAAAATAGAGCTTGAACATCCATGAAGATGCAAGAGCATTGGCCGGGACCACCATCTGACTTTGTTGGGCACCATCACCGGACCTTGCGCGAATTGCTAGGATCAACAAGGCGTTGAAACTTGAGGTGACCCAGTGATACCAAGTGACTGAAGGATACCGAAATCATATCGAGTGACCGTTGCGGTTTTGATCGGTTTTGTCTTCGGTAACCTTCTCAGCCCATCTCTGCAACTGACTTACTTGCCTTCAGTTCTGGCGGCCGCTTGGCGGCCACCTTGACATCTAATCTAGGCACCAGGCTGGACACCAGCTTCCACGATGCAGGGGAGACCAAAGAACCCACATCTGTATGACACTTTTGGATACTTTTGGCAGATTCATGCACATTACAGCCCTCTTCGTGACCTAATCTGTGAGTGCCAAGCTCAATGCATGCAGTCCCAAACCTCTTAATCTTTTTCATACTGGTGGGCTTGAAAAGCCTAGTAACCTCAAGCGGCAATTCCAGCGGCAACCAACTAACTATTCGAACATATTACATATTGGTCTGCCTAATTTTTACGGAGTCAATTGTTGATGCATGCAATAGAAGTTAAATGTTTCACATGTTCACAGCATTCTAATTCTAAGGACGAATCTCTCATGCGCTTTGAGCCAAAGCCGGCTAAGGCAAATGGATTTCTGACCAGGAAGAGCCTTCGGATGGGCTATGCTTTTTGGTTTTGAAATCTCTCAACGTTGTAGTGTAAGATCAACAAGTAACGCTGAATATGTAGCGTAGATGGTGTGCAAGCTCTTTCACTTGATTCGTTTCTCATGGCACCACATGTACACTGGCCGTAAAGTTGCCATATAGCCATATAATGCTATATACAACAATTCACACTATGCCCTCCAAAAATCAATGGTAATATTCCTTCTTGAAAATAAGCATGTTCTGGCCGCACTTTCTACAAAAGAACTGAGGCATTGCAAAAGGTTTGTAAAGTTGCAGCACTTCGACTCTCCATCACTTTCCAATGCTCGCAAGGAGAGGCAAACATTTTTGGCGCGCGCAGCTGCAGCTGCCTCCTGAGCCTGTATCATTTCTCCTGCACGAAGAGAAGCTTGGACTTGCACCCCACGACTCAACCCCTTCAACCTGTGATAAATATGTGTGGCGCTTTCCTCGAAACCACCCTTACACTCATTCTTCTGCATCGCGAGCCTCTTTCTTGATCAAGTACGTGAGGTGGCACTTTCCACAATAATAGCGGTTGAAATGCATCGCCATGAAGACACCTTGTGAAACATCACAGTGACAGCGGGGACAAAATGATGGGACCCCTTTGTGTTACATGGCAACATAGATAGATAGATAGATAGATTAGATTAGATTAGATTAGATTAGATTAGATTAGATTAGATTAGATTAGATTAGATTAGATTAGATTAGATTAGATTAGATTAGATTAGATTAGATTAGATTAGATTAGATTAGATAGATTAGATAGATAGATAGATAGATAGATAGATAGATAGATAGATAGATAGATAGATAGAGAGAGAGAGAGACAGAGAGAGCAACCACACAAATGATCCCTATGAATGAAACCTTGTCATTGTTTGATCCCAGAGGAGACAAGGATGCGGAGCCCTTTCTGTGGCAGTGCCCAAAGGCTATGAGGCCGTGTCTGCTTGTCTAGATGAACACGGCGATCAAATGCAGTCAGTGAACGTCAGAAGAAGAGGAGATTGAAAGCTGCAGTATGATTTGTATGAATAAATGTCACAAGTTGAGGTGATTGAAAATGAACGTCTCAATGAGGATGGCAATAAGCCTTCCATAATACTCTGCACGTGGAATGGGAACAAACAGGGAGAGATGCACTTGCTCCTGCTACCAGTAGAGTCAGCGGGGGCAAAAAGCACTAGTCTCTCACAACATTAAGAGGAGGATTGCTGATGGAAAAAGAATGAAGCGACAACCATTGTGAGAAGAGGATGCTGCCAAACCTCAAAGTTCAAAATCATGCCCCGGTTTGATTGATTGCAGAATATTGAAGTATATTGAACTAAACCGAAAATATCATAAGATTGGCATCTTCTTTTGACAATTCACCACTTCAGCAGCGCCTGGTCCGCAGGTCTCATGAGGACACTCACGGCGGAGGCGGGTGACCTTGTCATTCGAGTCCACTTTGTAGAATTTCCTCGGTACGTCGTGGCACCCAAAAGTAAAGCTCAAGCGGCAAGCGCTTCCAAAAAGAACATATTGATGCACCTCTGACCTCTGATACCATGCAGTTACCAATCTAGCCAGGTGCCAAAGATATCCAAAATCCTAAACTCCTTTACTTCGACCCCAACACCATCCATATCCATCCATAGCCATAGCATTTCACAATCAGTGGGGACTGATGCTGCTCTGAGTCAGCACTGCAAGCTTCACCTTCTTCCTCTTGTGCTTAATCTTCCTCAGACCGCGCAGGCTGTTCGGCCCTGGCACTACCCAATACAACAGATTACAATCAGACCCAAGCCGTCTTGCCACGGAGAAGATGCATGAAGATCATACTACCCAACTGAACTTTGCAGACCCTGACTGCATCTGACTGCCATATCTGCCATCTGAGTAGCTTGGGCTTGGTGTAGGTCTTCTTCTTTCTCTTCTTGCCTCCGCCATCAAGGCCGGAGCTCACAAAAACGGTGGACTCCTGGCTGAAGGGTGCTGGCACAGGCAAATTGATACGGCCGATCCGGTGGTCTTAGTCTCAGCATGTTTTAAGTGGTTTAGATTTGAGCAGGGCAACTGAGCATGTTGCCCCTTTCCATGCCCAAGCCCCAAGTCTTCCCATCCCCCAGCTGACTCCTCTGTGATGCCGCATTCAAGCAGAATCTCCTCGTCAGACAAGCTCCTGTAGTCATTGCAAGAAGAAGGGACCTTGCTTCTGGCAAGAGAATCCAAGAGGATCAAAAATGCTTGAAGATCCTGTCGAGATAAGGGTTTGTTTGCCCTGTATCGGCTGCACTGTGCCATACCATGTCGCACTACAGCACGGGCACTGGCCTTTTTTCCGCAGAGTGTCTTCAACCTCTTAACTAACGGAACGGAAGAGAGGGGAGGCAACTGTGCCCAAGGGAAAAGATGGTTCAATTCGAGAGCAAATTCCGAGCTCCTTGCTAGGCAACCATGTTTCGGGGTTTCAATGCCCATATACGCATATTTCTATCTATCTATATATATATATATCATATCATATCATATCATATCATATCGTATCGTATCGTATCGTATCATATCATATCATGTGTATATTATATATATATATGTTATAATATAAATGTGTGTGTGTTATAACATGTTATGATATGTCATATATATATATATATATTGTTATTGTTATTATTATTATATTGTATATACAAGTCATATCATATTATATCATATTATATAATATCTTATTATATTATATACGTGTGTGGGTGTGTGTGTGTGCCTCCTTCAAATACTGCCCTGCACATCCTGGTGCTAGGGGCCTTTCACGTCACGCCTTTCTGTTTTGGGACGCGTATGGCATATGACTGCATGTGACTGCTCAGTTTCACAATGTTTCACATAGCATTTATATATATGCATATATATATATATGCAATTCTGTGCTACAGTGTCCAAGGTTGCCATCATCCTACCTATAGTCGTGCCAATGGCCAATGTCAACCCATTCGGTGCCTCGACATAAATTTCCTGTGTACAAGGTGCAGGTGAGCATAGTCTTGCTATCATTCTCGGCTGGGTCTACAGGCTCAGTAACAAAATTGGCTGTCTTTAATTGGCCTTTTCTTGCATATTGACCATTGACATGTCGATTTCTACAACGCAATGATTGGTTGACATCTCATTCTTATCGAACGCGGGTCTAGAATAGAATTGTGTGCGTGTGCGTCTGTTGAGATGACTTGTGTGCGCCGTTTGGACTACAATGCAAAGACATGAAAGAGGGAACAGTGCCTCTTCTCCCGTGTCCATCTGAATTCCAGCCATATCAGATGAGTAATAAACAAGATACACAAGGATGCAAATCAGGGACACACCAAGATGTCCAAGATGTCGTTTTTTTGTCGAATATGCAGCTTCGAAAGTACTGGGTTCTGGGTCCCTGGGTGGGACTCATCTGACTGCTAGCGGTTGATCTACGCATGCCTGACTTGTCCAACACTCCAAAGGTTTGGAATGACCTCGCTGCAGTGCGAAGAGGTGCGAAGAGATTCGAAGAGTATCACTACAGTTTTTGGAAAAATCAAGTCAAATGTCGTCGACTCTTCTGGTCTTCTGATGCCTGGGAAAATCTAGACTGGTTTGCTGTGCATGTGCATGCGTGCATGCATTCACAATATGTATATACATTTGGAACCCGAGATTTTGGGGAGATGGTCTAGATTTCCTATCTATCTATATATCTATCTATCGATCTATCTATCTATTCTAATCTAATCTAAATCTATTCTAACCTAATCTAATCTAATCGATTCTATCTATCTTATCTATCTTAACTATCTTATCTATCTGATCTATCTTATCTCTCTTATACATCTTATCTATCTTGTCTATCTTATCTATCTTATCTATCTTAACTATCTTATTTATCTTATCTGTCTTATTTATCTTATCTATCTTATCTATCGTATCTATCTTATCTATCTTATCTATCTTATCTATCTTATCTATCTTATCTATCTTATCTATCTTATCTATCTTAACTATCTTATCTATCTTATCTATCTTATTTATCTTATATATCTTATCTATATTATCTATCTTACCCATCTTATCTATCTTATCTAATCTAATCTATTCAATCTACCTTATCTATCTTATCTATCGTATTTATCTTATCTATCTTGTCTATCTTATCTATCTTATCTATCTTATCTATCTTATCTATCTTATCTATCTTATCTATCTTATCTATCTTATCTATCTTAACTATCTTATCTATCGTATCTATCATATCTATATTATATATGTTATCTATCTTATCTATCTTATCTATCTTATCTATCTTATGTATCTATCTTATCTATCTATCTATCTACCTATCTATCTATCTATTCCAATCTAATCTAATCTAAATCTAATCTAATCTAAGCTATTCTATCTATCTATCGATCTATCTATCCATCTATTCTAATCTAATCTAAATCTAATCTAACCTAATCTAATCTAATCTATTCAATCTACCTTATCTATCTTATCTATCGTATTTATCTTATCTATCTTGTCTATCTTATCTATTTTATCTATCTTATCTATCTTATCTATCTTATCTATCGTATCTATCTTATCTATCTTATCTATCTTATCTATCTTGTCTATCTTGTCTATCTTGTCTATCTTATCTATCTTATCTATCTTATCTATCTTATCTATCTTATCTATCTTATCTATCTTATCTATCTTATCTATCTATCTATCTATCTATCTTTCTGTCTATCTGTCTGTCTATCTGTCTGTCTGTCTGTCTATCTTTCTATTCTAATCTGTCTAATCTATCTAATCTATCTAATCTAAGCAATCTATCGAATCTATCTAATCTATCTAATCTATCTAATCTATCTAATCTATCTAATCTATCTATCTAATCTAATCCAATCCAATCCAATCTAATCTAATCTAATTTAATCTAATCTAAATCTAGTCTAGTCTATTCTATGCTATCTGTCTGTCTATCTATCTATCTATGTATCTATGTATCTATGTATCTATGTATCTATGTATCTACCTATCTATCTATCTATCTATCTATCTTTCTATCTATCTATCATCGATCGATCTCTTCCTCTCTCTCTCTCACATGCATTCATATTTGCATGATCTTGCGTATATCTGTGGCCTTTGAACGTTGAGTGTCCCAGCCGAGCTGACCACAACAGAATAAAACAAATATATAGTCTTCGCAAAGACAAGCGATGAAAAAGCCAAAGAGCTTTACTTTGTGCCATTCAAAGCTCCGCCGTTGCCCTGTGGGCATATCATTTCAGAGCATGGCACATCAGGGCGTCTTTGCACCCACAGTTTCATTTCTCTTGGCTTCAGGCCCTCACTATTTGTTCTGACTCTGCAACAAGACAGTGATGGACCAACAAGTTGAAGCAGCATGTCCGGAAAAAGAAGCTGCCTCATCGTCTGACTTTTTCTTGATAGGGTTTTGCCTGTCTGATCTGTGTCAGTAGCCTCAGGAGCGACCTCAGCGTTGCTCATAGACCTTCACCAGGCCATTCTCCAAGGCCACTGCAACTTGGCCAATTTTTCCAGGGTTTACGTCCAGCGAATTCACCACGCCACCTGCAGGTTTAGGGATTACACCCTGTGCACATGGCAGGTGGCTTCTTCAAGCAAACTCAGAGAACATTTTTTTGGGAGAACCCTTGCAGCTTAACACATGTACGATTGAATGCTATCTTGCTCCGCAAACATTAAATTCAAAAAGATTTAGAAAGTGAGATCACCGATGCTACACGCCTTCTGGATCGAGATGGCATAGTGGCCACTCAGTCTCTGCAACAAGCCAGAATAAAACGACCCCGTCGGAATGACCGGAGTAGAATCCATTCCCTGGCGTTCGCTGGGTGAAATTGAATCATTTTATGAATGCCTACCTCTCTGTTCATCTTTGTGCTAAAAACATCGACAAATCCATACATTGAGCCAAATGTGCAACAAGTTCAAGTATATAGAAAATCGGCATTACCATAACTGCAGTGAATGCAGTTAAATATGAGAGATTTGGACCATGGATAAAGTTTTGCACTCGCAAAACACAAGGGAAGAAAACTCAACCCTTCGAGTGCTCCAGGTCCTCGTACCTCCTTTTTACGTCCCATCAACCCTTGTGAACCTTCTTTGAACCTTCTGGTCCCCACTATTCGAGATTCCAATATGTCCAATCAAATCTTATCCGTGTTTCTTTTTTGGAGAAACGAAATGTCAACCTTTGAGAGGTGGCTTAGAACATGTTTAAACTTGTTTAACGTTAATTTAACATGCTTGAATCGGTTCAACATGCTTGAACATGGTTCAACACTTTTTCCATCTCTGCCTGTCACTGGTCTCCCACCTCCTGGGATCATGGCCAGTGCTTCAACTTGGCCCGCGAAAACTGCATAGTGGGAGCGCAAAGCTTTTCCACTACCAGCCTAGCAAAACACTATGCAGACTAGGCATGTCTGTCGATTCAATCCGGGGAAGTCTAATTAAACTAATTATGTCTACATAATACACTGATTGGATGCAAAACACTCAGAATTCATCGTCATCAATTCAGATGGTCAGAACAACTCAAAGAAAAAAAGGCTTCCCAAGTTCCCGCATGGAGGTGCAAGACACCAAAGTCATCAAACCAAATCAGTAAGAAAATGCCATGTGCAGACCCACACAAGAGCAAACAATCTTTGGCTTCCAAGTTTTCATGAAAGTGATTCTACTTTACACGTATTTTAAATGCCTACTATGAATATATTCATATATATATATATATACATATGCGTCTCTGCTCAAAGTATGTCAAAGTTATATCATGATGAAAGGTCAAGGCAAGAATCCGCATATACATTTTCCATCGCTAGATCTCGAGTAGTGCACTAAGGATAAAGTGTCGACTGTAGACATTGTTATACATGTATAACAATGGGTTAAAACAAGAGGTTGGGTGTCCCAGATAACCCTTACCATCTTGTAGAACAACTGGGTCACAGTACCAAACTTTAGACACCAACCTAACCCGGCCCAACAATAAGGGGAAAGAGGGTAGGTAATCCCACGAAGCCTAAACCCCCATCACCCCGCAGAGGGGATCAGGGAGAGGAGGGAGGGAAGAAAAGACTGGGAAGATGATAAACTTGAGCCAAAATTGGCACAGAGTTTATCACCTCCCTAAACCCTTCAGATCACATGTGGGCCCTACCCAACCAACCTACTCACATATGAGATAAGAAAGGTCAAGGCAAGAATCCGCATATACATTTTCCATCGCTAGATCTCGAGTAGTGCACTAAGGATAAAGTGTCGACTGTAGACATTGTTATACACGTATAACAATGGGTTAAAACAAGAGGTTGGATATCCCAGATAACCCTTACCATCTTGTAGAACAACTGGGTCAAAGTATCAAACTTTAGACACCAACTAACCCACTGTCAAAAACACCCACTGTCAACACTTAATCCACACCCCGAGATTAGATGGAGAAAACTCGGGGGGTCTAAAATAGCTGGAAATGAGAATTCTTGGACCTGCCACGGTTGGGACAGAGTCCAGGGATCTGCTAAGCCAAGGCGGCTCAAGCCGTCTGACGGGTTTGCATTCACTATCCAGCCACTCATACCATACTCACGAATGCATCGCAAGGAAGCGCAAGTGAACTTGTTGGACAAGAAAAAGCACATCTTCTTCAGAGGAGGTAACACGAATCAAGCTGGCAGCAGAAGCTTGGTTGTCCGTGAAGTAGAGCAAGTCCTGATTTGCCAGCAGGGCATCATGAACCAAGGCAACCACAAGCGCCGCCACTGTCTCCCCCGGGAAGATCTGTTGCGAGCGACTCTTCCAGGTGGCAATGCGATCGGGCACTATGCATGTGCCAGGATGCCCTGGGACAAAGATGACCCACCCAAGGCGGAGAATGCCCTCTTCGAAAGAAGCATCGCTGTAGACACGAACAACTGGCTGATGGCCATGTAGAACGCACACGTCCCGCGGTTGGGAAAGAGCTACTGCAGCTCTCAGAGCATGCAAATAGCTCATCTCGTGTGGTGTCGAGGCAGAGTCATCGCTCCGCTGGTGGGCTGAAAGCACTGGCCCGGCCAATTTGCCAAGGTGCTCCATACACATGGAGAAAAACCACATCAAATCGCCCCGTAACTTGCCGGCCTCGTCACGCAAAAGGGTTCGTGACTTTAGGCAGGCATCCAACTTCCGCAGAACTTTAATGCTGGTGGAATACTTCGGCTGCACACGAACAGAACCTGCTGTGACAAAGTCCCCGGTATGGATGGAGGTGCCCAGGTAGTGCCGGTTGGCGGACGTCACAAAACCTTTGGATGCCTGGGGCGGGGCCCCCATCAAACTAAAGACCAATCGCAAACCAAGTTGGGATGGAGAGCAGTCGGCCACAAAATCAACTGCCAAGATCGCGACCACCGAGAATCGCTGGTGCTCGGGGCTAACAGGGAGCCCTCTGCACGCATCCGGTAGGTCGTCGGTACCCAGAGTCAGCCGGAGCCACTCCAGGCTGCCACTGGAATGCGGTGGCTCGCGAATATCCAAGCGACGACAGAGATCTGCTGCGACCGCGGCCACAAAGTCGATGCTCACCGTGTGGATCGTCTCATACATAGTAGTATGAGCATTGTGCTGGGTTTTGCGACAATTGTCAATCACTCTAGCTTTGCCATCGGCCTGAATCAAAAACCTTTCCAATGGTCGCCAAGGCTGATAATCGAACATTGCATCAACTTCAGATCGCGTCAAAAACTCGGAGCAAGAGTTCTTTGCCTGTTCAGCCTTGGTTGCCTCCAGGATGGCCGCATGGTGTTTGGGAGGCCGAGAATGCAAAAGAGTGTCCAAAGCGGCCTCGGCCCCGGCGACCCAGTCTTCGAAAGTATCAGGAACCTCGGCATCCACTGATCGAAAAACACCACTGGGGCTGATCTCACCCACAATGGGGTAGCCGCGCAGGAGATGAGGTGGGCTTGTCTGAGATCAGGCCAATGAAGCAGCACCGTCATAAATGCTACGAACGCTGGCTTCTTCTCGGCCGCCACCATCTGCGCACTAGGGACCCGGAATGGCGCTATGGCCAACTCCAAAGGATGCAGTGCACGGGCCACGGTGCGAAGCACATGCCGGAGTTTCTCTGCCACCCGCGGCAGGGCCCACTGCCAAATGGCAATGGCGTCCACGACAAAAGCAATATCCAACTCTGGCCACGGTCTGGGTGCGAATGGCGATCCAAGCTTGGCGGACGCCTCCATATGGCCTTCCTTGCCCAGGCCTGGGGGCAGCAACGGGTTGAGCCCTCGGGTGGTATCAGCCGCATAGCGCTGGCCACTAGGGCCGGCGTAAACCTGAGCTCTATCCTGGGCAAGCAGTGGTTGAGGTCCCAGGACATCCGTCTGTTCGCCACGAAGTCGGCACCAAGCCGCAAACATTTGCAAGTCCTGCAAATTGCATGCTTGCAACCTTTGCGTGGTCTGCTCCCACACAGCGCGATCAAGGGAGCAGGCCGGCAAAAGCGGCTGCATCCTCTCAATCACCTCGCCAGCTGTCAAGAGCCCTGGCATGCTCGCCAAGCGTCCCGGTTCCCAGACCGAATGTACCAGGCGGCTTTGCAGGCCCCGCTCCATCAAACAAGGGGGATTGAGCAACACCTTGCCACCCAGCACAGAGGGCAGCATGGAAAATAACAACGAAAACATGTGGAATCCATTCCCTAGGCGTGAATTCTGGCGTTGGCGCTTGAGGTCTGGATCCCCTGCGACTGTACCCAGACAAGCCGCAGGCAGACCATGCATCTGGGCACGCTCTTCGCGCAGGGGCTGCCTCCATTGCCGTCCCGACCAGAGTAAGGACCGCTCCTCATAGGCCGCCGGGGGCCTTCTGCAGTCCTCCTCAAACCTAGCTGCTGCAGCCGCTGACACTTGGGCAACGCCGTCAGCCGGGTGCCGAAATTCCCTGGTAAAGGTGTGGAAAGCTCCCACTCCATGCTTGGCCACCACGTCCGCCGGGTCAAACATCGGCTGGAAGTCCTGCTGAAAGAAAACTCGTGGTGGGCACGGCTTAGCGCCTTCATAAACCAAAGTGGGCACTTCGTCGGCCGCCGTAGGCGACCAGGTCCAAGGAGAAGCCGGGTAATCCCAGCATGCAGCGGGCCCTTCCTTCTTACCAACCAAAACAGACTTCGGCGTTGCACCCACCCACAGGCAGCTGCGTCAACACACACTGGTGAGCCGTCCATCCATTGGCTGTAGTGATCACGAACCTCTTTGATCATGCTGACCACATTCTCCAGGAACACCACAAGCTCCAAGGAAGCACACTCAGGGAGGTCAGCAAACTCAGCGCGCAAACGTTTGAGCTCGAGTGGCTGCGCGGATCCTCCAAACTTTTCCGCCTCAAGTTGAGGGAGCTGTTCCCTTGGCACGGGCTGCCACCTCCCATCAAAATGCCCCGGATGTTGCGCCGCTGCAAAAAGAGCAGAAAATCCTTGGCATGGAGGTCCTCAATGCGGGGAACGTGCACCAGATTGGGCATGTTGTGCACTGCCGCTTGGGCGATCGGGTCCGGTTCCGCCGCCACAGCATAGAAATGCCACCCCAACTGCAGGAGGGCGATGCAAAGACCCCCCATGCCAGACCAGCAGTCAAGAACCAACCAGGCGCCTCGACAAGGTTGGCTCCATGGGACTTGAGCCAGGTCACCTCGGCCTCTCCAGGTGAGCGGCATACATCTTGGCAGCCAAACCAGTCTGGGGCGACTTCACCAAGGCCACAGCGCGTGCGGGCTCCTCGACGGGAGTGCTCATGTAGACCTGGCGGCCCAATGGCTCTGAGGCATGCATGGGTGGCACAGATTGTGCCGGCAGCGCCCACACCGACGGACGCTCAGGAACCAAACCCCCCGGGGACCCAGCCCCTAGGGGGCGTTGGCCCTATTCCTGGTGAGCGTGCTCCAGACGTGTGTGCTTCTTGTGCATGCACGCCTGGCCACTGTCCAGCCTAACGTCGCACACATGCAACGCCTGGCAGTTCTTGTCTTGGCGTCCACGCCCGTCGTTCCAGGGCTTACACAAACGTTTGCCTCCCTTGATCTGGCTCACTGTGCGGAACCCATCTCCTTTAACGGCCCTGGCTCGGCGGTCCAGAGGTGGACTCTCAGCCGGGCGCTTGGTGCCCTTCGGCTCCTGCGGCTCCAGCAAAGGCTGCACAGCAGGGGAGCGCTATTCCAAATGGCTCTCACGCAACGCCTCGGTCAGGGCGGCAGACGCAGGCCAGCCCCACCGCACGTACGTGGCCATCTTGGCTCTTGTCAAGAGGTCATTCCGCTGATACCACACCAATGAGCCACCACCAAACTCCATGCAATCCCGCAGTGAGGTATCAGCATAGTGCAAGGCCGTGGAGAGATCCATCATCAGGACGTCCGCATCATTGTACTTCACCATGTAGTTACCTGCCCATGCCCACCCATGGCCAAGCAGTCGCAGCGCGAAGTAGTAGTCCGTGACGGACCGGAGGCTCACAGAGACCTCCTTCTCCAACTGAAGCTGCAGGCCCCCCGGCAATGCGATGTGATCTGTGGGCCTGGGCTGGGCCATGGACAGCACGGACCGGATCTTCTTGGCGTCAATCACAGTCATCGTCTGCTTTCTGAACTCGCGGTAGATGCGAGACCGTAGTTGCTCGCTGGGCTCCAAGACTGCATCGAACGACAAGCCGTAGCGCCGCGTTCAATCTGCATTCAGCTGCTGCATGGTAGAGGTCGGAAGGGCCTCGTCCAAGTCCTCAGTCTTGGAGCTGACCGTCACCGCCTGTTTCAAAGCCTCTTGGCCTGCTATGAAAGCGCTTTTGAACCGCGCCACAGCGATCCTGTTGCCCCTGAGCGCTTGCACCTGCTCTATGTGGGCCTCTACTTGGATGACCGGCGTGGTTGCTAAGTAGTTGTTGCCTGTTAGCAAAGATACAGAAGTGACTTGGCAAACTTATAAAGGCACACATATGGCTTGCATAGAGGGCTACTTAGCGGCAACTTATGAGGTATACATAGGGTGAGATACAGAAGCTTGCTATGTATGCCATGGCATACTTACTAAGTATATTAAATGGCTAAGGGCACACATACTAAGTACACCAAGACTGCTTATGTAAGTAATTTAAGTGGCACTGGCGCGCTTGCTATGTAGGCCATGGCGGACTTACTAAGTAGGCCAAGGCGGCTTACTAACTAGGCCATTGAAGATTCTTATAGTAGGTAATGGCGGATCTTTAAGTGCAGAAAGAGGAGGCCGAAGTGGATAATATATAGAGAAAAATGCATTGATTTCTTCTGGGCTGTCAACTTGGAATAATTTTTCACCGCAAACTTCAAATCAGAAACTTGAAACCTGTAAACATGGACTTGGGACGGCCGAGCCTAAAGAAACAAGAAACTGAGCTATGTTGACCTGCTGAGTCTTCGAAGCTATACTTAGGGTTGCAGACGAAGACATTGAACACACATGAAACTCAGCTGCATTGTTTTTCCAAGAGAGCGTTTGCCAACAATGCGCATTGCCCAAGAGGAGTCTGCATGCAGAGCCTCCAGGATGGCAACAAATTGAAATCAACCAATGATATAGGTGGCTGATGGAGTGCAACTGCATGCGAGCCTATATAGCCCAGCATGTTTGTTGCACCTTCGTGACAGTTGCAGTGATGTTGATGTGTCCGGATCTTCCTGGCGCGCAAGGTTTGGGAATGGATCTTTAACTATAGGCGATTGTGATGCATCTATCACAAAGCAGGCTGGGCAATGGCTCGCTTGTACTCTGGAGGTGACATATAAAAAGCCAACAATAGAAATCCAACTCTGGGGGAACCTTGTTGAGACATTACAACGACACCAAAAGACATGAAGCTTTCAGCCTATAATCGAAGGCAGGTTCTCACAAACAGCCTGCAAGATTCTTTTTATCATTGTCACTCACGCCGTCATCAGCCAATTTGCGCTACCAGCTCGCCCAAGTAGAGCATCCGGCAACTGCAGCCTGATTTTCAGGCATTGGCTTAAAGATGCAAGTGTCTCGAATGCACTCCAGCCCGAATAGAACTGGATCCAAACCTTCGCAATTGAATATGTTGCTTCCCAACGGCTCCCAAGGTTGAAGGCAGACCCATTCAGCATCATCTACAGAAGCAAAAAACAAGACTTGGCCTAGCAAAGGGTCATTGAGATCTTCCACATGACAGATCACCACATCATCCTTGAAGACACGGGCTCCTGGTGCGTAGTAGGCAGAACGAGCCACCTTTGCGACACGGAACGCGCCCAAAGTTCGATACAGCAATTGCTTGGTCGCCATCGGAGCTTCTTGGGGCTGGCATATGCCGCCGTAGAAGGATTGATCTTGGTCTTCCAGCAGGGAGTCAAGCATGTCGCACGCGGCATCCACCATTACAGATCTCTCCCAGGCACTCCAAGTGTTGCAGATCAACTGAGCATGTCGCTTGATCTCTTTGTGCTTCCGTTCGTGGCAAAAACACGACACAAGTGTCCCATGCCTCTGCAACATTCTGCAGAGATGGAGGCTGTAGTGATGCTTTGGCAAGAACCGTGTATCTCGATATGCATCCTTGAAGGCTGACAAATGTGCCACAACTGCAACCTCCAATGCTCTCGGGGTTGTCTTGCCCAGTTTGACCTGTTGAAGCAAATCCAAGACATGACACAGTCGAAGATATGAGTCGCACTCAGCACGGATGGCGTGCAAATCCTGTGTTTGCATTGCTTCAAGGAGAAACAATCTTAATACACTGTAAACTGACAGGCACTCACTCGCCGAGCACTTGATGTCTTCATTTTGATCTCCCTTTGCAAAGATTTTTTGTCCTGTGACACCGCGGCTTCTGATAGCTTGCGGCCAGATAAATTTTTGAAGTTCCTCATGTAGATCAGCTTGCGTGATGCCGATTTCCTGGAGCTTTGCCACAAGGAGGCCAGCCTCCACATTCCAAAGTCCAGCCACACAAAAGCAATGCATCCAGTCAAACATCAGGACGCTCACGGCTTTGATGTCCAGTTCCGCCGATCGCAAGAGTCCATGTGGGTTGTAGTTGAAGCCAAGAGCCTGGGTCATCTTGCTAAACTTTGCCTTGGACACTGGGCCGTGGGCCTGTTCTTCAAGGTAATCCAAGATCTTCTTAACGCTGGCATCAGTCTGGGCGTCCACCAGGGAAAGATCTATGGTCGTGCTCGGAACGAATGCATCCTGGTGATGATGGAGCTCCGACTTGTGGTCCACCAGATTGCGACATAAGGGACAACATATCGTTCCAGCTGCCCCTTTCATGCCTATCATCTCCTTCAGTGCCACCTCATCGGCCACAATGACGTCAACAGCAGCGAAGAGCATGGAGCAGTGCCCATCAGCGAACCGCACTTGAATCCCTTCCCGCACATCAATCGGCAAGATGAACTGCTCGAGGCATCGCCTGAAGTACTCAGACATTTTACCTGGCAGCCTCTTGACATGCTCTGACCGTGCGATGCCTGCCAAGAACCAAGACCTCTCAGAGGAAAGTGCTACTGGTCCAAACTCCTTGATGCTCCAGTATATGACTTGCACCTTTCTCTCAAGCCTGTGAGCCAATACATTTCCAGGGCTGATCTCATCGGCATAAGCCAATATACTCAGTGGCTGCTGCCTGGACGGCTTGTAGCGATCGAGAACGTGCCGCATCATCCGCGCAAACTCAGACTCTTCCGCACAGAGGTGGTACAGCAAGGGGAGAGGCGCCAGAAACGGAAGCTCAACGCTCTTAGCCTTCATGGCCGGCTTCTTTGCTGTCTTCTTTTGCTCTGGCAGGGTCACAGAATAGGAAGACAGCAAGCATCCCAGCGGCGTCTGCACCTCCACAGTGGTGTCCCTTTGCCTCTTCACCGTCTGCCTGGAGATTGCCGATGGAAACTCTCTGTCTTTGAGGTCCTTCAGCACGGCTTCCAAGCCACTGCGTGAGATTACGTGGCGTCTACCAAGTCGTCCAACTTCGATCGCCATTGCATGCAATGATGGCTCGTGCAGGCGTGCCACAAGTCACAGCCTGTTTAAAGCCACCATGCAGGATATGATTTGTTGTTTTGAAAAATAATAAGGGCATGTATTTCGATGCTCATTCCATGTGATAATTGCCACACAATAGACAGCCACGATGGCAAGAACATGCCTTTCGATTTCGTTACATTATGCATTGCCACATACATACAATATATAGGCCTTTCTATGGAGCAGGATGGGAAAAAAGCCCCTTTCGATAATGATTCCATGTGGTAATTGCCATGCGGTGTAGTATAGAGCAAGATGCATGTGTCTTATACGTTCGATCTAAAACATGTGAAAGCATGTTAACACAGTGTTCACACACACAGATTGCTGAAAAAAGCGACGGACGCTTATGGCATCAGCAGGAAACACACTCCATCGCATGATTTCTTCTTGCATGCTGATGGCATCAACAGGAAACGAACGCTGTCACATGACTTCATCTCCCTTGGATGATGACAAAACTAGACAGAAAAAGTCGTGCTATAGCAAACCGATGTTTTTGTATACACATCCTCCAGCATGTGGAAAACGGCAAAGTCTTTTTGACCAACGCGAAGAATCTCTAATCCACATTCTCTGCCACCTCAGCGCGTTTCCGAAGGGCAATCCCATCTTCGATCAACCGGAGTGCCTTGTGAAATGATGCGACCTCATCATCTCCGAACTTGACTTTCTTGTCGTTCCTGTCTGATTTGTTGATGAACACTCGCCAACAAGTGGCCGCTGGGTTGCGATGCACTTTGCCCTCGAGCCAGAAGAATGTGCCGTTCCACGGCACTGGTGGGTTTGGCAGCTCGGAGGCGCCTTCCCTCGGTGGCTCTGCGGCCGCGCTCTTGACAGCCGCCTTCGGTTTGGCCTTGCCTGCTGACGCCTTTGGGGCGCTCTTCGCAGCGGCCTTGGCTTTGGCTGCAGTCTTTTTCACAGAAGCACTGTCCACTTCTTTGCTTTCTTTTTCTTCTTCCGTCTTCTTGGCAATGCTCTTCGCTTTTGCCGCAGGCTTTTTCATCACAGGTTCTTCCTCTTCATCATCTTGCCTGTTGTCTTTCTTCTGCTGTGCCTTGCTTTTCTCACGGCTCTTCAAGGCAGCTTGCAAGTTTGCAACATAGTCTTCTGGACTCTTGGTCCCCTCAGGGGACGTCGCAAAGAGCTGCTTTGCTGGCGCAGGCGGTGTACTCTGTGCGCTCTCTGGTGTTTTCTGGGGAGCACTCTGTCTAGGCGTAGTAGTCGGCGGACTGCTTGTGGAAGCTCTTGGGCCTTCTGCAGCATCATTGTCGCCAGGCTCTTCTGCAGGCTTGTCCATAATGGCCTTGGGAGCCTTCTTGGATCTTTTGTTTGCAAACACCTCCAGCCCAAGAGAGTCGGCACTCATGCCTTGCTGCTGCATCATCATCATTTGAAACATTGACATCATTTGCATCATCATGTTGGGGGCTTCTTCCATTGCTGTGGACATGGTTTCAGGAAAGGACTGTTTCCTTTTTCCCTTCACAGAGCCATGACTCTTGCGGCTGGGTAGCCCGGCAGACATTCCAAGGCTGGCAGTGCATTCTTGCACCGGTTGGTTGTCTGGAGGAAAGACTCGATCGAAAACTTCTTTGGGGAGGTCGAAAGGACTGTCTGGAAACGTTTGCATCAAAGGCACCTTCTCAAGATGCTTGATCTTGCTTCGGAGCATATCTTTGAATTCCCTCACCAGCTTGTAAAAGGTCGCCGAATCCTCCGACTTCATGCCACCTGAAAGAGTTTGGCAAATTGCCAGGGTAAGCTCATGATGAAGAGACAACATGTGCAAACAATGAACCAGTGGCCAACACGTATCCAAAATCACACTGACCATGCATGCACGCAGCGAATGATAAACTTCATCCAAGCTACAGTCTACTGCCGACTTCACGATGTGCGTGGCCACTTTTTCTGTCGGGAGATGGAGTCCCAAATTGACGCATTTGTCAGCAAGAAGCTCGAGCTTCGTGTTGTTGTGCTTCTTGGAGTCTGCCATGAGCTCCATGTCATTGGCGGTAAAGTAGGCTGCAAAAGCCTTCACGACCTGTGATGGTCGCTTATTCCCTTTGTTGCCCTTCAATTCCACATGTTCTTCCATTTGCTCACAAAGCACCTTGCCAAACGTATCTAGCTGATCCTTTTTCCATGGACCATTGGCCAAGGCTTCGGAGAGCTGGGTGGCCTCTATAGCTGTGATCTTGCAGGAACGCAGCCGGTTCATCCACACCTTCACCTGGTTGTCGACCATCTTGTCGAAGGTGGCTGCATCTGAGATCAGCTGCTTTTGCCGTTCCAAGAAGCGCTGGATGCCATCAAGATCACTGAGCATCTGCGAGCCCTCGCTGGACCCAGCAGACTTGTGCGACATGATGGTCCGAACGTTTTCTAGTCACATCTACAGACTACTATAGGAGTCTTGATACATCTTAAATCACCTGCAGTATGCATGGAGTCGGCTGCTGCATTCACGGATTGACGACTCCATGTATATAGATCAACACTGGACGTGTCCCATGCAGGCCTCATCCTGGGTGGAAGGCACGCAGCGAGGTGAGGACAACAAACAATTGGTTGCCTGCCAGGTGACGTGGTTTAGAAAAAAAGGTCTTCTATTCTGGGGATTAGTTTCAGTTGTGGACTGCTGGTCTGCAATTGACAGCTGACAAATTGAACCCTTAATTTCAAAAAGATGGGCAAACTTGAAAACTACACTCATATGACTCATACCAAACAACACTTGCGCTCTCGCATGCATTGTCAGCTTTTGTCCTCGGTGAATTGAACTGAATGAAAACCTATGCAGTTCGATGCAGTGACAATGTAATTTCTTGCATGTTCCAGATTTCTTCCCTAATCTCCAAACAGGAAAGCCAAGTAAGTTTTGAGCCTCTTAAGTCCCCTCTATATGTGAAGATGCTGGCGAGCGCAACTGCCCAGCCAGCTAGATGCAACAATCGACCCGGCTAATTCTGGCCTCGAAGCATCGAGCCCAATGCCATGGGTCCTGCAAGTGCATGGGATGCACGCCGTAAGATGCATGGTACTCTCTATCTATCTATATCTACCTATCTATTATAGATATAACTAGATATATATATATATTTTTCTATCTATCTATCTATCTATCTATCTCTCTATCTCTCTATCTCTCTATCTCTCTATCTATCTAATCCAATCTAATCTAATCCAATCCAATCCAATCTAATCTAATCTAATCCAATCCAATCTAATCCAATCTAATCTAATCTAATCTAATCATTCTGGCCTCGAAGCATCGAGCCAATGCCATGGGTCCTGCAGGTGCATGGGATGCACGCCGTAAGATGCATGGTGGCTAAATATAAATATATATATATATAAATATATTTATATATTATTTATATATAAATATATGTGTATATATATATATAAATTGATTGGGGAAGGTTGGGCAAATGCTGCATTTTCTTTGTACTGGGGCATGTGTCCGGGGGTGCACATGGCTGGTCAAAAGTTGGATACCCCATTGCACGGATGAAAGCATGATGGGCAATTGCTCGCATGTGGTATTTCAGAAAAACAAAATATATCAACATATCTTCAACCCTCTTGCACGCAACAACGTGGAAAGGATCCGTGACCACCCATGTCCACTCATGACACCTGTCCTGACTCGAAGATTGCAAGCACCACCTGCCCAGCGATGGAGTGCGGCAATCTTGAAAGTTGAGGGGGCATCCATAGACACATCAAGGCCAGAAATCTCAAATTAAAAAGTCTCAACTGGATCCCATGCATGTACATACCCATCATCAATGCAGGAAGACTTGGATTCAACCTCATCCCACCCGTATTGCGCCCCATGCTCATTTTTTTTTGTGCCGCAATCCTGCGTGGCCAAAACAAGTCTTTGGTCTTTGAAATTTTGAAACTGACCGATTAAGTGGGGACGGCAAACATTGCTTCTACATGATTTACCTGTGGTGAGAAATGAATTATGGTGGTTCTTCTCCATCTGAATTTCTCTCTATATCTTGAGCGTTTGAGTGTCTGTTTGAAAAAAAACTGATGGGTCTAAATGGACAACATTGGATGCAAACGTTTGACCGCCATCCCAGTTGCACGCTGCGACAAAAAACAGCAAGCGAACCTTAATTAGTGAAGTTGACAATCAGCACAAGTTTATGTTTCTGCTTTTTTTTGTGATCATCACACATCATGGGCCGTTATAGATTTGAATATCACTTGATGCATTGTCACTTCACAACGTGCAGGGCATGCAGTTTCCAAGCTGATCCTTGATGAAAAATTACCCAGATTGATGGTTGACAACTGTTGTCTGCTACTTCTTTGGCCAGAAACTAGTTGAAAGGGTGTGTATATATATATATAAGGTTCCACAAACACCACACCAGATCAGCCAGAACCAAAAGCAAAAAAGGGTGAAACGGTTCTGTGCAATGCTTCGTATTTGGGTGCAGCGTCCATGCTGCCATGCTCAGAGTGCGGGCGCCCGTTTATGGCATGTCATATGACGTGAGGTTTGTACCAACATTACAGCAGGAGACCTTTAGGGACTTTAGGGGGTATTTTTTGAGAACTGGTTAATTATATACCGTTTCAGGCGCCCCCATTCTGCTAGCGTTGGGTCCACATTGCCACGCTGCATGGATGCTCTGGCCACCTCATCCACGCCTATGACTGTCTAAATTTAATTTGCTGCTAGAAGCCATGAATGGAAGTTTGAATGGCCCATGCAATTTCTTTATGTTAGCTTTGCTAGTTATGTTTTTTACATGGCCAATGGCCGCATTTTATGGGAATTTTATTTATGGCCCATGGCTATGGCCTTCGATGCATGTTTCACTTCCTTTACTTCCTTTTGATGGCCTCCTTCAGCACATCCGCGAGCTGGTTCACCCCGCGGAGGGTCGCCATGCGCTCTTCCGCAGTCAGGCCACTGCTCGAGCTGGATGCCTCAGCTCAATGACATTCACTGAGGACAAAATCCTTTGCAGCCAATTCATGCTATGACACATTCCAAAGGCATGGGCACTGCTCTCTGACACATGCGTGGCCATCATGCATTCAATGAATACACCATGTATTTCATCTTTGACAAAGCCAAGCAACCTGGCTCGTGGTGTCGCGCAGCTGCTGGAAGGTCTCCTCAAAGAACGTGCGATACTCTGCATGCACAATAAGTGGGCAAACATCATGCTGCACAAGTTTACTAAGCATGTAGAAACTCAACCTATACATTCCCATGCATACACATGATTTTGCTGGGCCAGTCTCGCAAAACATGCATCAAGCATTAACAGTACACTTGTGTACCTAAACATGTGTGTATAAACTGTGCAAAACATGCATCAAGCATTAACAGGACACTTGTGTACTTACACATGTGTGTATAAACTGTGCAAACCAATGCAACAAAGAGTCTTTGGCGCGCACGACAGCCCCTCCCCGCGTGCGGCTGCGGGTTCTGGTGCTTTGGCCCTCCCTGTAGGTCTGCATCTCGTCAGCAGCCTTCCACTTCCCGTCCACCCAGACCCTGCCATCCTGGTAGTGGACCTCCTTAGGGGCAGGAATCAACCGATCAATCATGGTTCAAAGTATTAAAGGCCAAAAGTCAATTGCAAATTGCATTTCAAGATTGCAACAAAAACCCCTATTGCAACAAATTGCATTTCAAGATTTCAAGATAGCAAAATTCAAGATTTTAATGTTCAAACTTTACAGTGCCACCGAAGGTCCTTCTTTCCACACCACCACTGCACCACCTGCGTGGTCGCTGCAGGTGGTGCAGCAGGTGGTGGTGGCGGCGGCATCAGTGGCTGTGGCACCACCACCCCCTTGCCCTGCTCATCATGCTGGCGCCCGCTGGCCTCCTGCAGGCATCAAACCAATCAGGCAAACAGAACACCTTTTCACATGCAGAAGGACAAGACAAAAAAGTTCATGCATCGTTGCATTGACGTGAAACAACTGAGCAGCACATGGGAGTCCTGCTGCTGGTGCCAGGGCGGCTTGGGCATCTTCTTGTTCTGCGGCATCTTCTTGGTCTGGGGCCGCATGAGAGCCGGCGGCATCGGTGGCTCGGGCACGGGCAACACCTCCTGCAAGTCAGATAGCACATCGCTTTCCACCACACTCGTGCTGACTTGGGTGGACTCTACAAGTATCTATACAAGATATGCATGATTTGCCATGCAGGTCCTCCACCTCATCGTCATCCTTCGGCGAGGAGTGCACGGTCTCCTGCACAAGCAATCAATGTACATACGACCTACATGCAAACCGAACAGTTTATAGTGAAATGAACTCTCGAAGATGACCATTGATATAAACGTGTGTATATATATATAAGTATATGTATTTATATATGCACAGACATATATGTATATATACATACATGTATACATGTATACATGTATATATATATATAAATGTATCTTTATAATAACAATATATATAAATATATATATATACGTATGTATGTATGTATTTACATAGAATTGATGAACCTCCACTGCATGACATCCAATCAGTCAACCCTGATGGCACATTCCTCTACATCTGAGTTCTCCTCCTCCTCACCTTCTTCATGGCCATGCTCCGCATGGACACCCTTGGAATGTGTCATGCCAACGTGCAAGCGTCCTACAATGCCATGCAAAGACCTGCATGTTGCATGAAACTACATGGAGGCATGATTCGAACCCATGTGCTCACTGATTTTGCTGGCCGAGATTCGCCTGGGCCCCACTTGGGGCCCCACTACTCATCATCATCATCGTCCTGCCGCTGCTGCTGCTGCTGCTGCTGCAGGCGGTTGCCCGTGTCATCCCATACCGCCACCATTGCACCGGCACCGTTGGGCTATGATGCTATGATGTGTGAGGCACCGATGTGTGAGGCTATGATGCCCTGCTGCTAGGCTAGTATAATGTCGTGCTTATGTGCTGGAAACCCCAAATGGGAACTTGGCCGTACCTGACCAGGCGGGAATGTGCATATATATATATATATATATAAGTGTGTGTGTGTGAATATACATATAAATATATATATATATGTGAATATTAAGAATAGTTATATTCATACATATATATATATACACTGGCTGCACCTGCAGCAACATTCAGGGATGACTTGCCGAGGAATCCAAAGGGTTTGATCGGATGTGAATGTGTATAGGGAGAAAAGTAAATACAAGTCTACAGGTGGTAAACCCAAATGTCGAGGCGATTCTGTTTGGGATTGGGTATGCTTGGGTGACAACAAACATACACAAACATACTAAATGCCCTTGCAGCCCCACAGTGGCACAAAACGAAAAAAAAAAGTGTGACAATTCCTGCTGTGAGTGTGGTGTGGCATGAGTCATTGAAAATCTCTAAGCCATCCGTCTGCGGAGCAATGCAACCGGCTTCACAAAAACAGATTTAATCCAAGGGATTCATCCAGAGAAACCTCAATGATGCAAGCGTTGATGTGTATCTACAGAGATTGAATGAACACCACTTTCATCACTTGACCACTTCTCATCAACCCTCAACCCATGTTTGGCGCCTCATGGTTCTCGCAGTTGCATCGAAGACCTGCGCAACGAGCAATCACAATGGGGGCACATGGGGCAATGCATCCGATATATGCATGTCACCACTGAATGTTGTAATGTTAGATTTGGGTCCACTCGTGCTACAACGTCCATGAAAGTGCAAAGGTGTGCATAGATCTGTGACCCACATTCCAGCCTTTAATTGGTCCCATCCGTGCTGCAGAGTGCCTGTACCTGAAGCGGCTCAACTGTCTAAAAGTGGCCGCGCATGTGCTGTTTTGACACTGGCTTCATGTGGCTGCCCATGCAAGATCTCTTGTATAAACCCACATATGCGTCAGCAAACTTTGTATGATCGTTGAACCTATAAGTTTTCACATGCCTTCACATCGCCCAGCACATCCCCTATGATCATTGAGCCGCCAGGCACCCCCATGCGCAAACGATGTCCTGGGCACACGGGATGCCGTCATATAAACAGAGTTGTCCACAGAAACTTGCAAGCCCCCGCAGTCCAGAGATCTCTGCAAAACATCACACAAACGAAGCTCATCCAGTTGGGTAACTGGATGATATTCCCCCGTCCAAGAAAGGCCCCCATTTCAATGCTTGCAGAAATCTCTGCACAACATCACACAAACGAATCTCATCCAGTTCAGTAACTGGATGAGATTCGTTGCATTGGCTACACGAAAACCCTCTCAACCGACACAAGCAATGATCTCCAAGGACGGCCGAGAATGACAAAGTGTTGAAATCACCAAAATGGCAACTTTGTGGAAACACAAGTGTGATTTCAAAATTTTGTGGACCCACAAGTTCGTGAATTGAAAAGTTGTGTTTCCACAAAAGTTTCAATAGTGATTTTTTTTTTGTGGATCCACAATTTTCTGAATTGAAATTTTGTGGGCCCACAATTTCTGAATTGAAATTTTGTGGACCCACAAAATTTCAAAACCCAAGATCCCATGATACAGGGGGGAATGCTGCCCTTTTTTTTGGGGTGGGGGTTTAGGGTTTAGGGTTTAGGGTTTTGAAAATTTATCGTCATTTTTTGAGTTTTCTCGTTCTAAGGCATCCAAAACTATCTTCAAAAGACAGGCTGTAGCTACAAGTTTCATTTCTTTTTGAACCAAAAAAATTGAAAATGATGCGAAGTGATGTTATGTTTTCGAGTTGATGGCATTAACTCAGGCTTCTGAGGCTCCTGCCCACCTATGCCATGTCCTAGCTGTTGATCAACGCATAGGTCCTGACAACGGCGCACGTGCTGGAAATACCACACTTGACATGACATGTGTGACAAGCTTTTGTATTCAAAAACTGCTACAAGTTAAATCATGTGTTGATACTTTGGACAAATAGAACCATGACAAATCCTCAGAAACAAACAAACTATTCGAGACTCATGACTGGGTCTTGTAATTGTCCCGTCGGTTTACCACTGCCAAGGGCCCCAAAAAACACTTTTCCTTTTGTGGGTTTGGGGTTTGAAAGCCAAGCATTGTCACTGAATCACTGCCCCGCCATGCTCCGCCTGAAGAAAGAGCTTCCTATGTAGACTATGCTGGGCCTGGGCTTGCGTGGCACTGGGGTGGAACGTGTACATCACAATGCACGCGAGCTGATGTAGCCCAGCATGCGTTACCATGGCAAACTCCACACAGCCATGCCCATCCCGGTGCGCACGATGAAGAACTGTCAACTCCTGAAGTTTTGGTGTTCCACATTCACTCCGGGCATATAGATATAGACCAATATAGATATATTCATCAATCACTCGCACCACTCCGCACGATAAACAAACGGGCAGAAAGTCAGAAAGCAACTGTTTTTCTAGTTTCAAGATTCCAAGCGTCGAGTTCAAAACTAATTGGGAAACCATCCATCTAAACAATCTGCATGGTATTGCGGCACATGCTGCCACAAACCCCCAGCGATGGTCTCCTTGAGTATCAGGAGCCCATTCACACGAAGTTTGACCATCCCCAACTCAGAAAAAAAAGGTTGATCCTCTGGGTGGGTCAGCATCGCAAAGTGGATTTCACCCTTGTACAGGAAAGCCGCCCCAAATCGCCATCCGTCCTGGAGATCAACAATGCAGATGATCTACACACATATCTAATCTAATCTAATCTAATCTAGTCTAATCTGATCTAATCTAATCTAATCTAGTCTAATCTAATCTGATCTAATCTAATCTAATCTAGTCTAATCTAATCTGATCTAATCTAATCTAATCTAATCTAATCTGATCTAATCTAATCTAATCTGTCTAATCTAATCTAATCTAATCTAATCTATCTAATCTAATCTATCTATCTAATCTAATCTATCTAATCTAGTATGTATGTATGTATGTATGTATGTATGTATGTGTGTATGTATGTATGTATGTATGTATGTATGTTTGTATGTATGTATGTATGTATGCATGTATGTATGTTTGTATGTATGTATGTATGTATTTATTTATGTATTTATGTGTGTGTGTAAATAGATAATATGTATATGTATATGTATATATATATATACGTGCGAGCACAATGACCCAGCACGCCCTTTTGGAACACTATGGTCCTGCTTCCCAAACATGTGGTTGAAGGGAAACTCCATTCCACGGACATTAGGGTGAGTCAGCATCCAGCGATCCAAATGAAGTTGCACGAATGCCATGAGACAGTACAACACGTGCCTCATGAAAGAGCTAATGCAGAAAGAACTTGATTCACTGCTGCACACGTGAAGTGTGATGCACTAAAACTTAATCCAAGCAACTTCAACACCGGGGACTTCGTGACTTCGGCCAGCTCAATCACAATTCCTTCTGGGTAAATCCAGATGGCTGCCATGTCACTGGTGCCGGCCGATGCAACACTGGATGGAGAGATCACAAATTGAGCTACACGCTACAAGACACGTCAGTATGGTGCCAAGTGATTGATGACCCTGCATGTTTGGTCAATTTATGTCTCTAAGGTGTCTTGCTCCAAATCGTTTCAAGAACCAGCAACACATCACCACCGTCAACCTTTACCAGCTTGTATATGGCAGGTGCAGCATCTGATGGCTCTGGGCTGTGCGCTCTGAAGTGATGTTGGCTCTGACCTCAACAGATTTCGCCCATGGGGAGTTGCAATATATAATTTTTGCAACCTGGAGAGATTGTGGAATGACTCAACCATGGAAAGCGATCCAGCTGGCCCAGCTCCCACAGAAGGTAACGAAATTTGCACCTTCCTCACATTGCGTCCTATACTGTTTATGTTCTTCTTAAGTTTGCGCCCACACATGTCAAGCTGTTGTGTTCAAATCCATGTCCAGCACCTCCCAGCCATCTCAGCCATGTCCTATTGCTCTTACATCATGCCTTGATTCATGCATCAGTGCCATGAAACTCACATCTATCCCCACAATCAACCCCCTGATACATGAGTATGAGAAACTTCTCATTGTTGCATCTGTCCATGAAAAGTTCCATTGTATATGCAGCTGTGCGAGCAAATTGCCCGGCACAGTATGTAGCCTTCAAATGTGTCCAAGAGTCCGTCCTATCTACATAGCTTCACTTCCACTAAGTTCCCACGCAGTCATGGTGGCTTCAAGTGACCTGGCAGACATATAGTAAGTGCGTTGTTTGGTACAAGCTTCACACCAAGCATGCTGGGCAATTGCTCGCATGCACTTTCCTCTGAGATGTTGTCATAGTGCCTGCGCGGGATTGGTGGCAGCACCTAGCACATTGAAAGCTTGACTCTCGTCGTCGAATCTGACACGTGCGAGTCACAGCAACCCAGCACGCTCAAACGTCTTGGATGCCTGAAACCTTGCGGAAATGCTACACACATGCTTTCCATGAAAAGAGAACGACCCGGCATCAAAGACATGCATACTGACCAAAGAGCTATCTTTTTTTCTAGTCAAAAATCCCAATTTGAACCCGTTTTCATCTCCAACGACACCTGTATAGCGGTTTTTCAGCAAAAGTCATTCAAAAACCGCAGCAAAGCAACAGCCAAGGCCCAACAGCGTAGAATGACTATCGTGAGACATTTGAATCACACTCCAAGAATTGGTTTGAACCAACGACTGAAACAAATATCGAACTTATGAACCTTGAACGCACGAATATCAACGATGCTTGGACCACCTAAGACTGGCAATGCTGTTTTTCAAACTCCTCTCAGAAGCATCACTCATCCAACTTGCCCTACAAATGCGGCAGCTGATGTGCCTCAATCTTCAGCCATCCACTTGGCTTGTGCGCCAGCTTCACCTTCAACAGCAGCCATCCACGTTCCTCCATACAGCCCTGGATCCACTTTTTGCGTGGGCATGGCGGTGGTTGGCGAAAGCTCTTGTTGTAGCTCAGAACCTCCACCCATTCCTGCACACATTCATCCATGTCTTCGTTCCAGACACGCTTCTTCTCCTTCGCACTCATACGAATGACGGAGTACATAAACCGACGCTGCTTGGCAGGTTCCTTCTCATCGTCTGCTCGCATCTTCTTCTCTGTCATCCGATTCCATGGGCTCGTGGACATCTTCATAGATTTCATGGCGTGCTTCTTCATTGCCGCCTTCTTGGCTGGCATCTTCTTCATTGCCGCCTTCTTCGCTGGCATCTTCTTCATTGCCGCCTTCTTGGCTGGCACCTTCATTGCAGCCTTCTTGGTCAACACCTTCTTGGCCGCCGGCAATCCCTTCACAGCCATCGGGCAGCAAAAGGTTGAACTTACTGGTTGAAACTTGCAAGCCTGAGCCAATCACTGAGGTGCATAGACGTCATGATTTTCATGCGTGCATCAGCATGCACAGCATGATGTCTTCAATGGAGTCAAAGATGACAACTCAAAGCAATGGAAACCCGCCGACACACAATGGCTCAAGGCCCAGTATGTTCCAGATGTGACCTATAAGGATATGAAGTTTCCTGCAAAACTCGAAAACAACAATACAAATGCAAAAGATGCACGGCATGATTGGCAGTGAGACTGAAAATTGCAAGTGCTGGCACAAGAAGCGGTGACGGAATTGTTTTTTTTCATGCCCTCACGCTGCCATATCTCACGGAGGCTCAGGCGTGACTTTGGCCTCAAGAAGCTGCTTGATACGAATCTTCTCAGCATCCTCCATGGCCCAGGTTGCTGCGACATCGTTGAAAGGGATCCTGGGCAAACAAACACATCACCACTGGAAGGTCGACTGGAAAGGGATCATATAAGCACACATCAAAAATATCGAACAACGTTTTCCCATATGAAATGGAACAATTTTCCGGAGTAAAATTGTGTTCATAAACAAGTCTCAAACGTACCGAGCCATCAAGGCGTTCAACACGCCACTTAATAAGACCATCGTCCATGACCCAAGAGCAGCACCAAATGACCCTGCAGCAATCGTCACCAGAGCTGATGGAGCGCTCCAACACACGCGGCATGATGTTGTCAAGCAGGAAGCGCACGACTTGAACGATTCTTGCTGAACTGTTTTGAATACGGCTATACAGAAGCACAATCGGCAACCTCATGGACCTTGTTGACATGACAACATTTGGATGCCAATGTAGCGACAGCAATCACAAACGAATAAAAAAAGCAAGTGATAGATCTTTTGGAAAGAACTTAATTGAAAGTGAATGCAATGAACTCGCAGCATCATGTGAAATGCATCTTGTGCTTCAACATGCAAGTGGCAAATCGTTTGAACAACACTTGGAGGGAGGAGCAGCTATTTTCTTGTCCAGCAGAAGCTCACCAGTCTTTGCTAAAGAAGATCTATTGGCATGCCCTTTCTCACGCAGCAGTCGTGTGTGATTTGGCAAGCCAATTCACGCAGGCCACTTGCTTCAGCCCTCCTCGGCTTTCTCGCCACCCTCTTCTGCGCTCGGGCGCTTCTTCAGCCTTCGCCTTTTTCGTCTCGGAGATGCCATCTCCTTTGGTTCTGCAGCCACCTCCGCTTTCACTACAGCATCCGAAGCTGACAACGCTGCGATGATGTACCGCAGATTGCCTTCCTCCAGCTCCACGTCCAGGTCACGGCTTCTGATGGACCATAACATGGTCATCTCTCGGGCTGCCATGCCAAAGGCCTCCACCTCCGGGAAGTCCACGACCACCAAACGCGATATCACCCACTTATCATCTTCGCGCGGGTGGCGAATTCGTGGGGGAGCTTCCCCTTCCTGCAATGCACTGAGCATGTGCTTCTTCACCAAAGCACTACATGCGGCTTGCCGCATGCGTCTTGCATCGTCCCACCACTGGACGTTGAGGCTGTGAGGGTCTCTTTTCTGGTGTCGGTTTTGACCCTTTCCTGTCACGAGGAAGCAAAGGCCTGGGTCATTCTTCGTGAGGGTCACGAAGGTTCGGCCGTCCACTTCCTGACACTGAGGGAACCAAGGCCGCCGAGCACCCAACTGCACCCTGGTGACCGTCTCAATCACCAGCGGCAAGCTGCCAACATCTTGCTCTTCCTTCGCTTCTTCAATCCCTTCGGGCTCCGTCTCTGCGTGTGCACCATCCGCCATGGCCCAGGTCCTAAATACTCTTAAGTATGTTGCAACCTCTTCCACATAGCCATGCAAAGCATGATCAGTTCGCCCATATGACCTGGGAGCACTATATGTCCTGTTGACCTCTCCAGGTACGAATGCATGTGTAGCCAGTTTCAAATCTTAACCCTTTCCTTCTGCATGTGTTTGTACGCATGCAGCTGCACTGAGATCACACATAAAACCTGCAGTCATGAAAGTAGCATGCGAGCTGCGAGCTTTTGGAAAAAGCACAGCAGCCTCCATGGGTGCACAGAGTTCTACAGGACAGAGCAAGTATATATGGCAGGTGCAGCATCCGATGGCTCTGGGACACCGCACTCTGAAGTGATGTTGGCTCTGACCTCAGCAGATTTTGCCCACGGGGAGTTGCAGTCTATATAATATATGCAACCTGAACCATGGTAAGCCTCAACGATCACTGGCCGCAATTTATTTTCACTCTTTGCGTGGAGAATCGCGCTGACAGGCGCTGGTCTGTATGCAAAAGAAGGGCGAGAAAATGGCCAGCCCTTTTGAACCACCCAGCTCATGAACCTTTCTCCCGGCGTCGCTTGGGTGGCGGCTCCCTCAGCGGTTCCACCTCCTGTTCCTTGTTCCGCTTCATCGCGATCATCGTCAGGCACGTCTCCTTCTCAAGCTTGCCCACATTCCGGATAACCGGAAGAGTGATTGAGCGCTCAAGGCTCAATTTCGTCTTCTTCAGGACGTCCATGTTTGGGTGCACCTGCGTTTGAAGTCTACAAGTTGGGAAAGTGATAAACTTGAAGGCAACAAAAGCTTTCAGGCACAAACAATCAAGAGGTCAAGACACAGCCACATATAGAAGTTAGTATAATATGTAAGTCTCATATAATCAAACATCCTTGCACGCCTCAACATTCACCTCATCAGGTTCCAGAGACTTTGGGATCATCCAAAAGGGGTTGCAACAGCCTGATGGGCCCTCCGAGGTCCCCATTTTGGTCGCAGGAGAAAGGCACACGTAGAAATTCTTGTAGGCACCAATGACCAACTCATTCTGGCCTTCCTTCCCAATTTCGCATGTGGTCACTCTGTTGGTTGCACAGGGGATCTCCATTTTTTTTGGAGCCCAGGTCTTACTGGTTGTCACTGATCTTGGTCCTTTGAAAACAGAGAGCGAGTTCAAGGCATCTTTGCACTTGGCTGTTTGCATCTGATCCCAACAAGCCACCATAGTCTTGGCCTTCAAGACTTGAAGCTGCATCTCAATGGACGTGGCTGGGTGGTCTGAAGTCCATTCGACTTCCTCTTGCTCCTTGCTGGTTTTGCTGTTCAGTTTCCATTCCCCATTGAGGAATGAAGAGGCTGACACCAACTTGATCGTCTGGTCGTCCAGCAGGATCTCCACGTCTGATGTGGTGATTCTCCTGATCGTGCATGTCACATCTCCTCGTGTGGCTTGCATGCCCGGTTGGAAGCCCTTTGAAGCCAGAACTTCTTCCACATTCTCCAAAGCTCCAGATGCAGCGTACTTGTGCTGAGCCAAACGAGCTGGACCCTTTGGGCGATCATCCTTCGTCGGCTTTGAGCTTCCGTCTTGTGGTGAATCTGACCACTCATCTGGCAGTGTTGGAATTGTAGCCCCTGTCTCCGTCACCAACTCAGCCATGCATTCCTTGGCAGCCTGGCCCATGGTTTCATATTGGCGTTTCTTTCGGTCCAGCAAAATGGAAATCAAATGGGCCTCCAAGTGTCCCATGTGACTCTTCATGGCAAGTTTTTTCTTCTCATCAGCGCACAATGTCTGAGCAATGTTCTTCCACTGGGCTGCTACTTTGACCAGGTTGACCGCTTCCTTCAAGAGCTCTTTGGTGCTCAAAGCTTTCTTGGCCTGAAGAGGCAAGCGCGCGCAAACATCTTCATGCCATACATCTGGACAAACAATAGATATGTATATACATAGATCTGTCAAAAGTTATAACAATAACCGGCCATTATCTCAATGCCTGTGATTGTCAAAAAGAAGTCATTTCTGGAGAAAAAGAAAAACCTGCACAATTCAAGGAACATCACTGGCTGAAAGAACTCGCTCTGCGTTGCAGAAAGCAAACTTCAGCAGCATGTGTCGATACCAAACCCTGGCATCACCCTTCAGGTCTGTAGACAAGTTTGTCCATGTCTCCAATCCCAGATTTCGAGAAAGCCCATGAGCACGAATATATGATTCGGTCTCTGTCCAAAAGGCATCCCCTGCTGAATATTTCAAAGAGAACAAGAAGATGCTTGGGGCAGCCTCTTTGCATTTCGGTTGGCTCCTCAAAACTTGGTTGCTAATGTCTGACCACAAAGGCGTCTTTCCATGCAAGCTCTGGTAGGAGTTGATGGTTTGGATGATCCGGTTGCTGACTTGGATCTCATCTTCCTCCTTGCTGATTTGCTGGACTGCATTGCCCGAAGCCTGCAGCAAACTGATGATGTCAGGGTTGGCTGTGGCAACAGCGCTGGTCAAAACTGTGCATTCCATGCCATTCTTGATGGCTGCTGCCCACTGGCTTCCAATGCGGTCTATCGATAATTTGCCTGAGGAGTCGGTCAAAGCTGGATCATCACTGGCAGCACCATAGAGGAGCGACCTGCACGCCATATTGGTATGTGAACCTTGTATTGTGCAGTACCGCAAAGGGCCACCACATGCAACTGATGGGAGACGGCCACTGGATACCATAGCCATCCTGTCATTGAACTGTATCGCCTTTGCAGTTTCTGGGGTGCCTGGCAACATCTCGACCAGAAGCATGTTGACTTTGCTTGGGTCGAACCCCAGAGCATGGATGCTCTTAATCAAATCGGCAACATGATGGCAGGAGACGCCCATACCGTCCCTGTTTTGGGGGTGGACCCACACCACACTGCACCGCACAGTTGTGCGGTACGCCAAGTTGTGCTCGAACAGGTAGTCCATGAGCTTGTTCATCTCTGTCAGTAGTCCTTCGCCTTTAGATCCGCTGCTACGAGCCACGAACTCTCTCAGCTTGTCCTTGTGCACTTGCTCCATCTTCGATCACAATGGCAAAATCTGTAAAGGTTTATTGTACGGTATTTAGCCCCCTTTGAAATTCCTTTTTGCATCGCTTTGCATAATGCTCCTTATTGTCATTCTATACTGCATTATACTTGTCTGCATGCATTATTCTCAATTGGGATTCTTGACATGTCCTTCACTTGCTTGAGCTCAAGTCACCGTGGAAGCAGCTGAATAACTCTTTGATTCGGCAGGCTGTGTTTGCATGAGACATGCAGTATGCCGATAGTTGCACGCGAGCCCTTTTAGAGCCCAGCGAACTTATAGGCGCAAAACGGATCCTTACTCAGGAATTTGAGATCTGTGGCCTTTTTGCTCAATGTTGACTCTCAACAAGACATCTGAAACATGCTTCTTCAACTGTGTTTGCCATGATTCAGAAACCACATGCATGTAACTGTCAACTTTGCCATGCTCAACCAGAACTTAATCTGTACATGCGAGCAGTCGCCCAACATATCGTTTTTGCACGTCCGGCCCTTGCCTGCTCCAACTTGGCGTCGTCTTCCAACAGAAGCGTTTCCATCACCTGGAAGCCAACTATATATATAGTTTTGCAGTTAACCGTTGAACACTGAACCCTTACATATAATGTTTCATGACCAGTTTTGCCTTTGTATATATGCATTGACATGGTTGATAGCCGCATTTCAAAGGTATGTTAATTTATTCTGGTGGCATATGGCCTCACATTCATGTTTGATCACTTCCTTTTGATGGCCTCTTTCATGACACTCGCAGATGTATCCAATGAGACACCACAACATTTTTGTATACTATGTGCCTTGATGGACTGGATGTTCAGCTTCCACATGGCGGAGCGGCGCTGTGAAACTCCAGAATCAAGGTATAAACCAGATTGGTCGATGATCAGAGCTCTCTATCAATCCAATAAATCCAATGCATAAGTTTCAGTCGTAGCCTTTAACCATTTTGGCATTTTAAGATTACTCACGTGGCCATAAACACAACATGTAAACTGACATTACACGATCAGTGGACGGCAAAAATTCAGTGGCCCTGTATAGATTTTTTTCTTCAAAACCGAAATCCAAGGCAGCTGAAACATCGATCTACACTTCCAGTGAATGTGAAATTCATTTTCAAATTTCAATATGTATCATTAAGACTACCTGAATCAACTATTTGTGAATGAACTGCTCGGCACTGCCTATATAGCTGCAAGTGTTTTCAAAAGTGCATTTTCAAACACTTGTGTGACTCTGTGGTTGTTGATCGTGTTCTCTTGTTTGCTGAAAAAATGCGCCAAGAACATGTTATAATTTTTGGCACTGGGGGCGGCTTTGCACCACTTGACTGTTTTGCCACTCGAAAATCAAAAAAAACATGCACAAAATTTTGGAGATGCAGGGTTCTTGACCTGCAGATTGCCGTGTTGATGCTGGTACAGCGCATTCTTTTCAATCCTTGCCGCCCTATAGGACCAGCGGTGGAATCATTGCTTCAAAACCCCCAAAAAAAGAACTGTAGTGCAGAAAAACGTGTTGCGCTGATGCTTTCTGGGCGCAATATAACTTCGCAAGTTGATTCCAGCAAAAGATTGCTGTTGTCTGATTTGTCGGCAGCGAGCCATCAGACCCAACTGCGTTAGTTTTGAACCTGCCTCAGTTTCTAACCTATATGTTCTCAAATCAAAAGGTCGACCATCATACAATATGCATCTCTCAGTTCTTGAAACCACATCCCCAAAACACAGAGGATGCTGACGCCAAATTCGAAGCAACATTTTTTGAGAAAAAAAATGTTTTCAGCGCCTCTTGCTGAATAAAATGCAAACCATATCAAAAAAATGTGTTGTGTTTTTTTATTCTGCCTAAACAGAAACGTCCCTTCACCAAAAAAAATGCTAACCATCAATTTCATCAGCCATAGTTTTTTAATTTTGGCCAGTCTTTTTTTTAAGGTATTCAGTACGGTTGAGTCAAGATCATAATTTTTCCCAGGCTTGGTGGACTTACTAAGTAGGCTGTGGCGGACTTACTAAGTAGGCCGGGGCGAGCTTACTAAGTAGGCCGGGGCGAGCTTACTAAGTAGGCCGGGGCGAGCTTGCTAAGTAGGCCAAAGGCACACTTATAAGTACGCCAAAACGATTTTATAAGTAAGCCATACGTATACTTTTAGTAGATATTAACTACTTCCTTTCTTTGCCAACCATACATATTGAACTTATAGTTTAAAGAGCATAAGTAGGTACTAACTTGATGGCGCACAAAGTAAGTAGTTATCCTAGCGCTGGCTACTTAGTATGTAAACCAGGCTGACTTATAAGACTTACAACAACTTACAAACTAGGTTAATGCATGTTACGAAGGACTTACTAAGTACGCTATGGAACACTATCTACATAACAACCACGCCGGTCATCCAAGTAAGGACTTCTCCCACTCCGACGCGGTGATCATGAAGATGAAGTCATCCAACGTAGTGAGGCTGTGCGTCTTGGAGTAGGCGTCGATCCATTCCTGGGACAGCTGGGCTCCCTGGAAACAGGCCGCTAAGCCGCGGTCACTTTGCATCACATCAATCCTAGCCATGGCGGAAGCGCCCTGGAGACCTATGAACCCAAAACTGTCAGACACCAGTCAAAGACATGGTCCTAGACAGCCATGGTCTAGCCCCCCAAGACATTCCCCCCCAAAAAAAAAGTCAAAACCAACACAAAACAAAACCCTGGAGCCCTGGAAAACAATGGAATGATCACCCCGGGGGAGAACTGGCCCACGGCCAGGACACACTGCGATCCTGACCACATGAGGCACACCGCACCACCCGCAGCGCGTTTTATACGCTGCTCTGGTCTCTCAGTAAAGCCAATTACTGTGATTGGCTAAGGCCACAAAAAGGCCCCGGGGGATGCGGGCTAGACAACGCTTGCACATGTCGTCCTTGTCAACCATCGTAAAGCCCACACCACGAGCCACTGGGTCCTGGACGAAGGCGGTGTCACGACACCACGGCACCTGCCTGCCCTCTTCGGTAAGCTCTCGGACCAAATGGCCCTGACGCAGCCAGGTCACCTCATCAGGAGCAGTGGGGTCCGGCAAGACCCCCTCCAAATCTGCACCTTCTGCACTCTCATCGGATGCCGACGAGGAGGATTCCGTTGCCGAGGCTGAACTCGGTGACACAGACCGGTCCGCCTGGACAGGGAGGTCAGCCACCTCAACATCAGGCTTCTGCAATTCGGCCACATCCAGGGGGACAGGGGATGTCTTGTCAGGGAAAAGCTGGTGTAGCGCGGCGACTTCCGGCCACTTCCGGCCATGTCCAAGAGTCACGGCAAAGGAGGCCATCAGCATTCAGGGCCAGCTCGGGTCGCTTGTAGTTGAACAAAGCCAGCAGCCTGTCAACACATCGCTGCTTGACCTGGGCCGACCGGAGGACTTTGGCCGCTGCGTAGTGCATTCACATCAGCACCACAGCTTGCTCTTTGCGCAATTGTGGGTCCCTGCCCCCCCCTGGGGGATTTCAGTCCAGTTGCCCACGGCTTGGAGTTCAAGGGTACCAAGTTCCAACGTATTTGCCAGCGTTGGTAGGCACCTGCGAAGGCAGTTGAAGGTCGAGGTTTTGGCTTTCTCCACTTCTGTCCCCGCCATGAGAAGGGCGCCGCGCAGGATCTCCAGATACCTAGCACGGGACATTTTCCTGGTCCTGTTGGAAATGAAAGCCGTGGATTCCGTGATTTCCCAAAGGTCTTCTGCATCGAGGCGTGCCGCAGGAAATAAAAAGCTTGTCTCGGGCATTTCATTGCGATAAAAATCATGGAGGATGCACATGAGACTCTGACCTTGCATGGTGACATTCGGCAAGCCCCAGGCATATGCCGGCCGTGCACCACGCTTCCTGCTCTTGCCCTGACTGCAATTGAACTCCAGCCAGGTGTCGTGCTTGGTCTCGAACTTGGAGCGCTGCAAGTGCTCAAAACGAATGCAGCCCATTGCCGCCATGACGAGGAAGGCCAGCAAGACCTGGTGGGACCCCCGAGCCTTACCCATCATCAGGCAGAGGTTGATCAGCTCCCAAGGTTCCAACTGTGGGACACGGAGTGGAAACGAAAAGGCCTGGTCATGAAGTGGTCCATGTTGAAGGCCGCCCCGAAGGTCACCGAAAACCACTTGAGGCTTGCATGCATCGATGCCGCCGCCGTCGGCCCACCAGAGGCCACCATCCTCAGGAACTCGCCCAGCTGGATAGGTGTAGGCCGCCGGACGTCATAGGTCTTCTCCGTGCAAGACTTGCGCCAACGGCGGAAGGCCGAGATCAGTGCTCCAAGCCGAGCTCCCGACAACCGCGAGGCTGCTGCCATCAGCGTCTCCTTGAAACTCTGCATGCAGCCGGGATCCTCCAGCTGGGTCCAAGACAAGCCAAGCTCGGTCAGGTCCACGACATCTTCTAAGACCATCCTGAAGAGCTGGTCCAACTTCGAGGCCTTCAGCGCGTCTTCACGAGCCCAGGGGTCAGCCTCGGCGGCCAAGGTCACCATGACCAGTCCCTCGACTGGGAGGCCAGTCGGCAAGAGTCGGCGCACCTTCCCGGGCACAGACGTGGAAGGTGGCTCCGCCGGGACGACTGCCCGCTTAACAGGCTGCCCGATACTGGACTGCCGCTCTGCCGCCACAGCCGTAGCCAACTGCTGCGTGTGGACCTGAGCTGCTCGCCCAGCCCTCAACCACACATGTGCCAACTTCATCGCCATGTCTGACGGGAACTCCGGTCCCATAATAGATTCAACTTCACGGCAAAACTCCTGAGCCGAAGGCCACATAAAGGCGACATCTGCACACGTCTGGACGCCCAGGTCACAGAGCGTGCGCAAGACCGCCGTCTGCACATCTTTTGCAATCTCCTGCCAGGCCGCATCACTTGAGGTCAGGACGCAACTGCTGGACGAGGCTGGCAAGGTCGAAGACGCCGTCCTCTGCGACTGGGATCTGCTCGAGGGGCACGACAATGGGCGGGTCGATCCGGACGAACCTGTCGCCATCTCCACCAGCTCCTTGTCCATAGGGGCCGTCTGATGCTGGACCTCCGCCAACAGCTTGTTCTGGGCCACGCGGTCCTGGCACAGTAAGTGGTCCTTATCGGCCTTATCGCGCTCAGTGCACAAGGCCACCGGGGGCTGCACAGAGCACCCCTCGCACCAGCAGGCCGTCCAACAGCCGCAGCGGCAGCAGGGCTGGCCTCCCAGGGCCCGCACCTGCGCCTCCCTGCGGTGGGTCACCACCGCAAAGGTCTCACGCGCCCCCGGCGTTACCAAACGCTCACCACGCGTAAGGTCAACTCCACGCACCGTGGGGTGCAGCTCCACAAACTCCCGGGCACGCTGCTTCCACAGTCCCCACTCCACAGGCTGCAAGGCCATAGGGAAGAAAAGACTGGGAAGATGATAAACTTGAGCCAAAATTGGCACAGAGTTTATCACCTTCCCTAAACCCTTCAGATCACATGTGGACCCTACCCAACCAACCTACTCACATATGAGATAAAAATGATAAACATATTTCTGTATATGCACATTGTTTGGAAAGAACACATGATGTGCATGTGTATATGTATATGACGCATTTATACTTACATCACATCTATCTCCGGTGATTTCTTTTTGGTTGCCCTACCCATTCCAGGTGGCCTCCCACTCGCGGATCCAGCCATCATCGCCACCCGACCAGAACACGTCGCCCGCAGGTGCAGGCATGAGCGCGTTCACCCTGCCAGCGTGAGCCTTCGGAATCACAGCCTGGATGAAGCCGTTGTAGGTCTTCCTAAGCTGCATTCTTGCCAAATGTCAAGGAGATGAGTTAGTTCCGTTGTTTTTTTCGAGTGGGTTCTTAGCGCTTGAATCAGGTCTCAGCCTTCTCAGCATCTCAGTCGCCTAAACAGCCTAAAGCCAAGCTCAAGGCTCCAAATCCGGATGCTGCCATACTCATAGCCCACCACGAAGTAAAGGTTCGATGGGATCGCAGCAAGACTCACAACTTCGCCCCAGTTGTTTGGTGCGTAATACCTTTGCAGCAGCAGCCCCAGGTTAACAGCTGAAACGCTTCACAACATTGCTCGCACTCTGTTTAAGAACATGAGAGGGCTTGGTCTCCATGCCAGCCAACGTGACAAGAAAGCCTCAAACCCTTTTACTAGAGAGGCGGCCCCATGACAGTTTCTATCAAAAACCATTCATCTGCATATTGACATCTGCCCACATCATTCCATCATTCCATCCCTCAAGCACTTCGATCCCATTGTGCTACTTGCGCCATATCCAAACAAGCAACCACATCGGGATGTCACCCCACCTGCAGATCACACCATAAAGCTTTGCTCAAAGCGATGACCTTTTGGAGCTTTATGCAGCTTTACCCTATCGCCTATCCCTTGGTTCGTTCATCCCTGCCTGATGTTGCTGAACCAATTCGGCCAAGGGCCTCACCGCCACACAGATACAGTAGAAGTCATGTGGAATAATGGTGCTAAAGTTTGCTAAATGATTAATATAATATATATATATGTGTGTGTGTGCTTGTGTGTTATATTATATTATATTACATTATATTATATTGTATTATATTATACTATATTATATTATATTACATTATATTATATTAGGCATTTGATGCCTCAAAATCTCATGTGCACCTATGTTTGGGGAATGGTGAAGGCATCTGTCCATTCACAGGGGTGTCCACTTCAAACAACTGACACCAAAGCCTATAGCCGCGTGCGAAATTCCCGTGTTGCTGAGGGTAAAGGGCAGAAAAGAATGCCTCCAACATCCTTCAAATTTAGCCTAAAAACATAGAACTCCTCCCAATGGTCAAAATCTGCGTGGAGTGTGTTGAAGCAATCTGTTTGAGGATGTTTCAGGACGGCTTTCAGGACTTCAAAATGACACAATGGGTGTGATGAAGCCACCGCATCGTATAGCAAGGGTCCTGTGACATGGCATGATTTCCACTCCAACCTGAGGAGCGTTTCAAGCGCCGGAGGTTTGCTGTAGCCTCTGATGTCGGCTTGGAAGACTTAGATGAGTCAGAAGCGTTGACCTGAGGCCGAGCGGCTTTTGCTTTTTCTTGCTGTAGAACAGCTCAAGAGTGGCAACTCTCAAAACATCTCCATCAAGTCGGCTCTTCTACTCAGAATGAAGAACCGATATCAATCCATATCTGTCCACATCTATACATATGATCCATATGTATCCATAATATGATTAATATGTACTCTCTTTCCATGGCCATAGCTATCCACTTCTGATGTCTTTGATATCTTTAATGGATGGCCTTTAGAATGTGCCATCATTCCGATCCAAGTCAGGCACCTCCAGCCGCTGCGCATCGTATTTTTCGTCCAGGCCGAAGAGGTGCTTGCGCCAGTTGGTGAACCTCGATGAGAGTCACAATGGGCGTGGAAATTGTCTGACCCTTACAGTACAGGGTCTCGCTTCACGTCCCCAATAATAAAAATCGCCAAGTGGCGCTGTTTGAAGCTTGTCATTCTTGTCCCATTTCGGCCACTGGTGGTATCCAGCATCTGCTTCGATCCTTGGGATTCAGAGGTATTCCAAACATTTACAAGCACTGCTCATGCGCTGCATACAAATGGGTGTGGCAAAAGAGGCGCTCCGCCAGCAGGATTGGCGTGCGGTAAGGGAAAAAAACAAGCATTTCGTTTGTATTTCAGGTTCAAATCTGTCAAACACGTTTTGAAAGGATGGACTTTTTAGTCTGCGAACACATGTGCAAAGCGTTAAAGACCTATCCCGCACCACTGATTTGGAATATTTGGATTATTTGGGAAATATGTGAATAATTAATGTAGACTCCCTGATAGTGGCGGGAGGCTGTCAATCTGATAGGTTGTTACTTGGGGCCACGTGCTCTACGTTTGAAGACTTCGCCAAAGCTCTGCTGTATCCAGGCAAGTGTTGGATCCCAAGGAACGGTCATGGTCCGCTCCAATTTCCAGTGCCAGATCCTTGGTTGTCCCATTCGCCTCAAAACGCTGAGGTGCACAAGCATACCGTCGGCATACCTCTTTCTCTTCGCCAAGGGGCACTGCAAAGCTGTTGTCTTGCCCAACTATCACGGTCTCCCAAGTATTGACCCCAATGCAGGCAGTGTTGTTGGGTGTTGTGGTACCCTTCCTGTCAAGGAGTGTGTCGAAGAGGGCAAAAATTGAACGAATGTGTTTGGCATCCTGACCAAGAAGAGGATACAGGCAAATATATACATACAGACATATATATATATATGTGTGTGTGTGTATCACTATATATATATATATTATACATGTATGTGTGATGCACCAAATGCAAATTTATAATGCATGGTGCATGCTATGACATGACATTGCGACATACTGAGAGGCCGATTGCACACTACAGTAGCAGACTGAGAACGTAGAAAGCGTAGGCATCTGAATGGCGTGAATGGCCATGAGGATGCTGCAATCACTGCGCCGGGCTGCGGGCCTTTTGTCTTCTGGAAGCTCAGACTTTCCCTTGATTTCCAAGCCATCCCGGAGCTGCAGCAACCAAATAGCGGCTTCTGTTCTCGTGGCCTTAGCTCTGCTCTGACACTTGAAGACTTCACAAGTAAGCCACGCACCTTTCGGTCGCTTCCTCGATTCCCAAACTGTCAGGAAAGGAAGGGCCCAGCAATAGCATAAAAAATCAAAAAAAGGAAAGGAAACGGGCCCTCAGATTTATCGAATATGGACAGAGCACTTAGATCTCAGTTTTGGAGTCGAAGGTTCTTGAGCCTGCAGTTCTACACCAAAAAAAGTCATCCAACGTTGATCCCAGTCAATGAGTCATAACCTTTCAAGGCTGAGGATGTGTGGATTGGCGTGCGCCATTCTATCATATTGCAGCTCTATTCATACGAATCAAATCCGCCCACACCGCTTTGGCGGTGAAGGCGTGCTTATTGGGGGGCAAAACAGCAACACTAAATGCTCAATGACATTTGTTAATATAGCAGTCGCTATATCAGCTTTAGCTGGGGGGGGGGGCAAAAACGGTTTCGCACCGAGACCAGAATACGGTGGTGTTTTCGACATTTTTCGAGGATTTTTGGGTGTCTGAGCGCAAGAGGGTATTGAAATGGAATTTTGGGTCATTTTGGTAGCTTTCCGGCAATGGAAAAACGGCCAAAAATGAAAAAAACATTGTACATAGCAAGATTTTGCAGGGTTTTTGGATGCCAGAGCATTGAAAACACTGCAAAAACAAGTGTTTTGGACTGACGTTATAGCAAAAAACGTGTAAATTACCGTATGCTTGACTGGAAACATTACAAAAACACTGTCAAAAGCAATGTTTTGGAAGGATTTACTGCCTTTATGGCAAAAAACGTGTAAATTACCGTCTGTTTGACTGGAAACATTGGAAAAACACTGTCAAAAACAATGTTTTGGAAGGATTTCTTATATATATGTTGGAGTTGGCTACCGGCATTGGAACATGGAAAAATTGAAGAAAACACTGTAAATAGCGGTATTTTCAACGGTTGGGGAGATAAGGGAATTGGAAGCATTGTCGAACATGATGTTTTCGACCGGTTTTATGGCGACAAAAGTGTAAAGTACCGTGCTTTGAAGGAAACCATTGCAAAAACATGGAAACACATTCAAAGAACACAGGATTTGGGGGACTATCTAGGCGTCGTTGTCTAGCTATTTGAAATTCCGCAGCTTGGAGAGCCTCCAAGGGAGGGAAAAGTGAAAATTCCATAGCTTGGGAAGCTGTCACGGCGGGGAAAAGTTCCCTAGCTTGGGAAGCCCCCACGGGGGGGATGAAAATTCCCTAGCTTGGGAGCCCCCACGGGGGGGAAAAGTGAAAATTCCCTAGCTTGGGGAGCCCCCACGGGGGGGAAAAGTGAAAATTCCCTAGCTTGGGGAGCCCCCACGGGGGGGAAAAGTGAAAATTCCCTAGCTTGGGGAGCCCCCACGGGGGGGAAAAGTGAAAATTCCCTAGCTTGGGGAGCCCCCACGGGGGGGAAAAGTGAAAATTCCCTAGCTTGGGGAGCCCCCATGGGGGGGAAGTGAAAATTCTTAGCTTGGGGAGCCCCCACGGGGGAAAACCACCCTTAGCCCCTCTCACGGACCGAAATAAACCTGCGGTGTGGGCGGCCACCCCACGCGAAGCGGGGTGAATATGATTCAATCATAAATCAAATCTGGTACTCTCCGTCCCCTTCAGCTCTTGAGGTTATGAGAACTGAGCTCACAGGGCGCATCAGGGCGCGCAACAGGCAAGCAGCCGAACAGAAGTAGGTTGCATCGTTCAAGGGCGCAACTTGAAGGATGGGTTCGATGTCTGAAGTGAAGTTCTTCAGTGGTTTCCCATCACTTAGCCGCCATTGCCACACCTGGGTCGACAAAGTGCAGTCTAGAATCTAAATAAGGAAATACGAAGAACTCTCAAAGTTCAATCGGTCTGGTCACTGACAAAATGCATCATAAAGAGCCAGAGTTTCAGGTTCTGTTGACCCTCCAAGATCCCTCATCTGGTGCCGCCCGTTTTAGCCGGCTCTGGCTCTCTGTCGTTTCTTGGGTGTTACAAGCTTGAAAATGTTACCCTGGCGCCGCACCTGCCCATCATCTCCACCACTGAGTGCTTCAGTACCCCCAGGCAGTATCGCCACGGTGTTTGCAGAAACGCCTTCAGCTGTTCTGTGGAGCCAAAATATCGAGATCAGGCGGTACTTCAAGTTGTCTTGGCACCTTGCCAGCGTGCAAATGCAAATGATGCAAGTGCTTGTTTGATCAAAATCTGCTCATCAATGACAACTCTGGCCTCCGCACGATGCATCCTTGTGAAATTCTGTCACTTTGAAGACGAAAAGTCACCCCTTGCCTCGGGGAAGTATCTTCCTCACATCCAGGAACCAGGGCACCCGAGTCCATCTTTTCAAACACCAACCTGCACAAAGCGACTGCCGAAGCATGGCTGCTCCCAGTTGTGCTATCCTTCTGGCTAGGCTAGAGATGGAAAACAGAGCAATCCGTCGATAGTCTGGAAGCCGGAGGGAAGTCATATACCATCATATACCCTGAACTGCTACTTACTGTGGCACACAGTGCAACCATGCAAACTTCAAGAAAACAAATTGCTGTCACCACACGTGACCACTATCAGCTCCTGTTCCACTCATGTCGGGAAATTTGAGACCGGTCCACACCACCAAGTGCAACCTCGCAATACCTAAGCACAAGAGCACAGAACAGCCTGCACTACAAAACAGTGCAAAGACACACATCCCCACTTCCATTTGTGGCGCAATGCTCGTCTTGTCCATCTATATCATCTATAATGGCAAAGACTCGCTCAGTAAACACCCATGACTTTGCAGATCGTTACATTGGAGATCTTGTTCAGCCTGGTTGCTCTGTTTTATCCTCACACTGGCGGCATGCTTCAGTCCAGGCATTCAATCCAAAGCCACAGTACTTGTCTGGGTGGTAGCAGCACTGCTCCTGCAAAGGCTGGCAGGCACTCTTCCACTTTGCACATCGAAAACTGGACCAGCTGAACTATCCAGGATCGTTGCAGATAGTCTCTACTCTCCGTATCTCTCGGTTTCCTTTGGACTTAGAATTCACGGGCCGAGGTTAAGTGTTACGTAGAGTTGGTAATCATGGCCATTGCCACTGCATGCACAGCCTACGTGAGGGAACTGGCAAGAACTGGACATATCTGTGAGCGCTTGCTATGCCTGTATGACGTGACACAGGCTCTGGTGGTCTGGGTCAGCTCTGCTGTGTCTATAACCCTTTCACTTTGCACGAAGGGTCAGGATGGGAGTTTTGGATTCACATGTGTTCACCTGGTGAGCAGTTTTCAGCTAGAATTGCTAGAATTAGCGCATTAGGAGCTACATTGTCAACAGAGGAAGTTCTTGCTGCAGAGCAGGTTGCATGGGTAGATATGATAGGCTTGACGCGGTTGACATCCTCGACTCTCTCCAAGTATATAGATATTTTGCAACTATCTTGCCTCGCTATGGAAAGCCTAGTGATCGATTTCAGTTCCACTGATCCACCGTCCGTGTCCTTGGTGGTCGAGTCTCACCATGGACATGAATGTGCTTTGATATTTAACATGCTTTGATGCGACTTGATGCGACTCGCTCCTGGCACGTCGAGTCAGTACACTTCTCAGGTGGAAATGGCCTCTTACAGCGACCTGGGTCACAGGGGACGTCCGCGCATGATCTCTGGCAACAGGCGTCCTTGCCTCAATTGCGCAGCGGAACAACTTGCCGATGCACAATCGACTTGCAATCTTGGCTCTTCCAAGTCTGTGTATATCGCATGGCAAAGGGTAGTGCTGTTGGCTCTCTGCAGACTCTACATCATCCTAAGACTCGTGTAGTGAACCCAGGGAAAGCCTGGCACATATATAAACATATTAAAACATGATATACACGGTGTAACCAGGAAGAGCCGGGTCACAATTCTGCTCGCCTTTGCAGGTGCCAGTGCGGAGCCGCAGTCCTCGATCCAAAAGAGTGACTTCGCGATTGCGAAAGCCCAGACCAGTGCAATACCCGGCACCAAGGTCTGTGCAATGCAACTCTTCTGTGCAACATGTCTCGATGCACTCCGGTGAGTTGGCAGCGCCACTGCAGGTGAGATGATCATTGCGTCCGAGAAAGTTGACCACACAATCTGTGTATGTACAGAGAGAGCCTGTGGCTAGACCTGTCAGAGCCTCAACATTTCCACTCAGCTGGTGGTTTTTGATGGTCACGCCAGCGCCAAACAAACCGAGAAGGAAGATCGATGCGATCGATGCGATCGATGCAACATACCAAGCTCTGCGGCAAGTTGTGGTTCCAGTGGTTCTTGGCTTCGTTGAGCTCTGTGGCTCCAGCGGGTTCAGCGCTTCCAACTCCATGCTCTGCGGCCCAAGAGGTGCTTTGCCGTACTGTTCGGATCTGTTCGGTGCTACATTGCCATACATGGGGCCAAAATGAGCCGCAGCATTGTTCAAGTTTTCGATTCGATTCCCCAACCAAGCAGAAGCCTCCCTTTGACTGATGCTTCGCTACAACGTGCATCATTTTTTAAATCTGAGGAACCATGAGCCACCTAGCTCTTCAAGAGTGTAAATGAATCGAAGATTTGCAGAATTGACGAGATGGTTTGTGGTCCAACTGGAATCATGAAACCTACTGCCAAGACTGCAGGTTCGACATGCTATGTGAAGCTCGGCCTACCGCCAAAGATCAAGCTCTGCTCTGCCTGTAAGAAGCCCTGCCAAGGACAAAGGCTGAGCGATACTTCAAGTTCCATGCATTTCACGGCCCTTGATCATTTTTGCATGCGGAAGGGTGCAGGCAGTCCTTCTCTGCCAAAGCCTGCTGAAGAGCTACGACCTTTGCATCTGAGGGTACCTATTGGCGGGTTAAGATTCTGCGGCGGAAGAACATTCGCCACTGGTTTGAGCTCTTAAACTACAGTCATCAAAGCAAAATCTATCCGTACCTTTGCCAATGAGGCGCAATTGCAATTGCTTGATTGTTCTGTTCATGTGAGAGTCCAAATTGAATTAGAGACCGACCGTGGCAGGCTTTGGCTCGCACCTCCAAGGGCAGTGTCTCACCAGCGAGGGCACGAATGAAAAGCCGCATGGCCCTCCAGAACGGACGGAAGGCTTTCTACCAATAATGACGCCTTCAAGTTGGAATCTATGGATCCTTTCACTGGCCATAAATCAAGTGGAGTCCAAGAGAGCAACACGACCTCCATCTAATCTGCGGCTGAAAGTGTAAGCGAAACAGGCAAAAGCACATCCGTCCAAAGAGTGCAGAGTTCATGCTGACATGTAACCAAGTGCAAGAAGAAGGCAATTGACTGTCGTTGGGTGAGGAATGGCGACGAAAGCAGCAAAGAGTTTCTGCTTTCAGCGTCCCTATTATTCACACATATCTGTATAATGTATATATATATATATACATGTGTGTGTATACATATATACATGTGCATATATATATATACACATAACTAATCGTACGTATATATATATATATACGTATATATATAATGAATCAAATATATATATTATGTATATATATATATTATACATTATATATATACTGTGTGCGTTTGCACCAAAAAAATACACTTATACTATCACATCATGTCACATACCTGCTTTTATTCATTATGTTCGAATTTGCGATGACCCAGACGCGCCTCACAGCCCACGGCAGCTGTGCAACCCGTAGCACTTCAAGCCAAAGAGTGGGCAACAGCAAAACAACTGCGTCACTAAATGCCATGATCAAATAGCCTGGTACACATTCCTAAAATGAATCTGCTCTACTATGTAAGTTCAAGCTGGATTTCAGCCTGGTTTCAAGACACAACAGCCACTATGCCTGCGTGTATCATTTCGCGTGTGATCAAGGGGGGGAACACTACCCCTTGGGGCCCTTGAAGCTTTCTGTACTAAAACGGTGGGGCTGCATCATCTTCAAAATGGCGCAAGCTTCTGCACATTTTTGTCGAAGCCAAACAAGGAGGCGGCTTGACAGGACGGCCATGGATGGCCATGGTAATCTATGCAGGATCAACCACTGGACACCACACCAGCTCATGGTGGAACCTGACAAACCTGGTCGAACTCAGGTCTTGAGAGGTGCCTTCTTTTCTTTCTCCTGCACAGACATCCCCGCGCACATATTTCAAAAAGCCATGTCAAATGAACGATTCCCTCCCGGCTCCCGGCCTTTTTGCCTGTTGGGTCCACCTGCGTATTGCCACCTGCCAACGTTGTGCCTGTCTTTTTGCCATGCCTCCAGCAAAAACCATGACGGGAATGTGATCACAAAATCTTTGAATAATGTTCGTGATATACGGTTTGTTTTGACATCTATAATCAAATTAATGGAAAGTCAAATTAAGCTCAGCACATCTTCTTGATCTTTTCAGCCTGGCACCAGCTGTTTGGAATGGACGGGGCGCGCATGTTGTAAAACCAAAACATCCCAAAACACTCTGCGGTACCTGATGTGATTTACCTCAGGTCCTGGGGTCCTGGCCGCCGTCATTTTTGTGATTTGCATCACATCTTCGTCTTGGAGTTCATGCTTCAGGCCTGGCCACAGCAGCTCTTGCCACTGCTTCACCCAGATTGACAGTGGGCCAGACGCGGAGCCCTGTCGATGTGTTTCATGATGTTTCGTGATGTCGCAACCGTGTTTGAAACCAACATCCTTTCTGCAAGACATTTCTACAACCCTCTAATAATTTTGATGCCGCGCTGCCACCTTGCATTTTCGTTGTTCAAGCGCACTAGTTTTGAAGTTTTGCAAAATTCATCGCAACATGACGTGCTGACCACAAACTTGTGGAGACGCACGCACTGAAGAGCCCCACACGAGGGCAGACCTTGACAGCAGGTACAGGCTGAGGGCTGAGGATGGCTGGCCGCTCTCGGTAGAAAATGGATCAAAATGGCACAAGCATTTTTGCGTGCGACGCAGTAAGCCATGCTCAAGGACCCAAGGAGTCTAGACTCGGAGTCAGCTCAGGTGCATGTCTGGCCCACGCATGATATTTACAGTATGAACGGTTTCTGCACCTTTGGCGACGATGGAATCGGGTGCAGTGTAGCACTGTGAATTTGGGAAACAATGACCCAACGAGCAAAATAAGGTTGGCGTTCACCTGTAATGGAAACAATCTTGACTCTTATGTCACAATGTGGACATCGGTGTCGGTGAATATACAACCACAAAGATCTCCCTCTGGTGGTGTCTTGCAGTATTTCCGCAGCAAGTGTGCTTCCAAGCCTTGCTTGGCTCGTGGTTTCTATTGTGTAAGGTGGGCCTTACTTTTTGCACTTAAAAAATCCAGGAACCTCTGTGTATTGCCTGAAAATCCTGCTCAGTGGTATCAGCTATAAGGTGCAAATAGGCGCACTAAGAACTCCGAAGGCACAAAAAGTTCAAGCCACGGCTGCACTGCAAGAACACATGACTGGCACACTAAAGCCCAAAACTACCAAAAGTATCCAAAGTAAGATGTCATAGTATATTATGAAGTATATATCTTGTATCGGATAGCACCCTATCACCCTTCCTAGAAAACTCCTGCTCCATGCTCGCGATTCCACTTTCCACCCTTCATGTGACATCCTCATGCAGCATTGCAAGGCCCCGTACTTGAACTCATCCAATATGCTCCTCGGGGCTTCCCATTGTTTGAGAAGCTGGGGTGGGCCATGCATTAAAAGCGGCTGTCACATCACTGTCACATCCATTCGTCACAATCAATTTCCAAGGTTCTTGTGAAGAAGACCAACTGCATTCTCGACAGTGAAAGTCTTGTTGCCGCGTTGGCATGTCAAAACTAACCTGGATCGCCGAAGGACCACATGGCTCAAAGAAGAAGCATACAAGTATTGTATAGTAGAGTTCAGCAAGACTTCCGGGCGACATTCTCAGCTGCTCACGGATCGGTGAAGTCAGGGAAGTGGCCCTGCAAGGAGTGGTGCCAATCTAGCTGTCCCTAGCTGTCCCTAGCTGTCCCTTGATGCGTCGAAATCTCCGTCCATGGGCCAGCCCTGTAGCCCTGCCTTTTTCTTGGTATATACCCGCCGTAAGTCCAACTCCTCCAAAGTTTTCAAGTGGGCGGGGCTGTCTCCACCAAACATGCCCCGCGAAAGGGCGATCCAATCTCCACAAATCATTTCGAAGAATTCACCTTGAACAGAAAACCAGAAAATCCAGTAAAGTTTTAGTAAAGATAAGAAGCACCACAGCAAGGCTGTTGATGTTTCAAGTGTGACGCTTGGGCGAGCGAAGCACGAAGCTCCTGCCAGATCCTTTCGAGCAAACCTTCAAGGTTCAACCTGAGCAATCGTCCTTTTGAATGCAGCACTGGCCGAATAGAGACCCTGCCATGCAGCATGGCCAATTTGCAACATGGAAAAAATAAGGGTGGCAACGAGAGGCTACGGTTTCTTTCCGGGGCTTCCAACGGTTTGCCCTACAGAAATTCACCGTGGATAAAGTTATCGAAGTTGTCAAAGCAGACTAGGCCTGATACATCCTGATACGTGCAATTTGAAACAGGCTAGGCTTTGAAAACCTAGTGTTCAGTGTTGCAGAATGTTGCAGAGACTTCTAGTTGAAACTGGCATGCGCTGAGGATTGAGGGCGACTGCACCATGACATCTGGGTGCCCCGTGCTCCTTGCTGACGGAGATCACCACGGAGTATGGTTGTCGAGCAAGCTGATCAACCTGACCTTGCGGTTCAACAGCGCCCTCCGGTGCAATATCCGTCACCAAAGCCTATGGAATTCTGTATCTCACTTGTGCAAGTATGGAGAAAAGTAACCACAAAAATCTGGTGAGACAAGCTGTCTGCATTGCATTGTGCGCGCTTCAGAGTCAAAACTGCAGCGCACCCATAGAGGGATATCGGTTGAACAAATTGAATAAGCTGCAAATACTGAAAGTTCAGCGTGAGTGAGTCTGAGTCCTCCTCCACAGCTGAGTATCCATGAGTCATGCTCCCCAAGTGGCTAATGCTGAGCATGTCAATCTTGTTGTAAACCTGAGCTTTCGAAGACACTGATATTCGAAGCCCCATTGGCCCAGATATATGTACTTCCCTGTCGGTGTGCAGCCTGTCGGTGCCGACAAGGCACATAAATACATCTGCAATACTGACGTGGTGCCGTGCCAGCCTTCACACAGAAGCTCTGGGAGCAGCAGACATCACTCAAACAGCTCTAGGCCTAGGCATTACATCAGGCCTCCTCCAAAACATCGATAAAGTCATCGATGGTGGCGTCTTCATGCCTCCAAGTCCAGTGGAAGACAACGGCAAAAGCGGAGAATGTCAAAGGCTGCCAAAGGCAGTCGTAGTGAACAAATCACGACGGTATCTCCTTCGTAACCAATCACGAAAGCGGCTGGCGCGAATCTTCAATAGCTTCAAGAGGGGACCGAATGCATTCACCAAATGAAAGAGCAGCAATGCAGCTTGCGGTCGGGTAGCACGACGACGTCGACATTAAACATCTTGTACCTGGAATGCTCATGAATGCTCCAGAAACCAAAACTCAGCGGCAGGTTGGATCAGAAGCACATTGTGCAGCATAGCAATAAGGCTTCCTTGAAAGAGAGAGAGAGAGTGTGGGGAGAGAGAGTGTGTGTGTGTGTGTGTCAGTGTGTCAGATTAATCAAGCCGAGTAGCTCACGGAGAATGGAGAAACATACTTCAGAACTCAGCCTCGGCTGAGTGGGTCTCATGTCTCTCCAAATGATCCGAAACGATATGACAATTTGCAGCCATCAGCATTGCAAAGAAACCGAGCGAAGGCAGGATTATTTGGTCTAGAAAATCTATGCGGAAAACGTGCACAGTCCGCTGTGCGAAAAATGCTCACAGATCACAGCATGTCCCCCACGCTCCCACCCAAGTGTGGTGAGCTTCAGAAGGGATTCGGATCGAATGAGCATGGTGCTTCCCTGGTTGGCTGGTGCTTTGCGTCTGGATATTTGTATGAATTTCTTGTATCTCTGCCACGGAAACTTTGAAGCATGAAATAATTGCTCTGAAGAGAGCCTGTCATTGTAAAGCTAACCAAGGAGAATCCTGATCTGTGATGCTGAGCTAAAGCTCTCAAGAGCTATTGAATCTCAGCAGAATCTGTGGGAAGAAGCAGCTTGGAGACCAAGCGCGTAGAAAACTCACGAAAACTCATCAACCAGCTAGCGATGTGCATGGAGTTGTGGAGTACACTGGCATTTCCGCAGAAATGCCTACCACAAGCCAAGCAGAACTCCATTGCCGCCAGCAGGAGACCACATCTTCTTCATGCACTGAATGGATGGATTCATCCCATAGCTCATGGTGCGTTAAATTCATTACATGTATGTATACATTTCAAAATATAATATTATAATATTATATATATAATTTGTAATGTTTTATATGTATATATATATATAATTTGTAATGTTTTATATAAACAAATGCCAAATACAAGTGTTGTACATACATGAATCTCATGTCTGTGTGCGTGTTTGTGGTTTTTGGCATTCTCGATCATCTTTCCAGCGGTCTCTCAAAGCCTTAAGCTGCACCTGCTGGGTGAAACTCATATGTCATCAGGTAGCCACGGGTGGATATCGTGGGCTTTGGGGATTGGGATTCTGATGGAAAATGCGCAGCTGAAACTAGCTGAAACAGCTTTGGCTTGCTGTTCAGACGGCCACCTCTGTGGAAATGGCCCTCTCAGATTTGAAGGTACCTACAAAAGCATGCAAGTTGTTCTAAGTTCACATGTCATGTTCGCAATGTGCTCATCATTGGCCACCGACTTTTGGCTTCTGAGGTCCTGGCCTTCTCATTTGTTGGGCTGCAATTGCTTCAAGTAGCCTTGAATAGAAAGGACTTTCTACTGTCTACCACAGTGATGGCTATGAGTCTATGAGCTCAAAATGACTCCGAACCAGCTCTTCCTGAAGCACAGGCCATAACAAGCCCATTGCAGTTGCAGAGACTAGCCGATAGCCCATTTTTCCCATCGAACACCAGCATCCTTCCCATTATGCAAATGCTTCAAGGTGACCCTTCACATCTTCCTGGCCACGAGATCGTTGGCACAGGAGAGGAGAGGATTTTCACAAAGTGTAACAATGCGCAGATTCTTTCAAGTGAAAGAAGTTGATAAAGTCGATCATCAAAACAAGCTGCACTTGTAGACTAGCAGTGAAGGGGTAATCAAAATAATGAGCGATCCAACGGTTGGCTCAGATGTGCTACAGAGTTCTCCACTTTGCCCCAGTATTCATACCCGACTTCAAACTGCAATGGAAAGGGACAAACAAACTGAGCATGCAGAGGCCTAATAATAGCATATACTGATCTGATATGATTCAATAAAGCACTATTTAGCTATGTCGGTTTCTACCAGCATTTACTAGCGTATAGCTCCAAATTTCCGTTCTTTCAATATGCTTCGGGCCTGGTAGGGTTAGAGCCCCCGCCTGTAAAGTTGAAGTGATCACTGCTCCAGTCTCCGAACCATCAGGCTCACCTGCACAAGACCAGCTGTGCGACCCTCGGCGTTCTCTACAGACTCCACAAATCGTTCACAACATGTTGCTGTCTCGTCTCGTGTCTTGTCGTGTCTTGTCGTGTCTTGTCGTGTCTTGTCGTGTCTCGTGTCCTGTCATGGCCTGCCATGATCTCTGCATTCACGCAATTTGGCTCTGACATGGCCGAGACCAGCAACGCCGCCACATCTCCTCGAGAAATTGAACCAACATTCCTCAGTGGGGAAACATTGGTTGACTGTCTTGGTCAAATGTGATCAGAACATATATCCTCTACCCCTCGCTAAATAATACGGTGCAGCTTCAGCATAGAGTTTTTGATGTCACCACAGAAATATCAGTCCAGCTTGTATAGTCTTATCCAATCAGAACTAGCGTATCCATACTCAACTCGGGCATTTCCGCCCAGTTTGTCCAAGCAGCTCTGTGTCAAAGGTAAGGTGCGGCCTTCGCCGAAGAAAGCAGCGTACACAGACTGCTTTCATGTAGTATTTAGTATGCAATGTATGCAGGATGGGGGCATTCAAAATCTTGACAATTTGAAATGCATCAACCCCAGTCGATAGAAATCTGGAAGAAAAAGCTGGCCTTTCCAATGGAGCCTGGTGCAGAACGACCTTGGCACATTTGGTGGCAAGTTCATTGACGAGTACAGTCAACCTGGAGCTTACACATGTTTGTACTGTTTTAAGAGTCAACCATAGTCCACCCCTTGCAAGCCTTTACAAAGCCTTTACAGGGATCAGACATGACCAAAACCAAATCATAAGAGCACCCTGGGGACCCAGCTGGGAACTTCCCTCCCGGGTGTTCGTTGAGGCCTTTCACCCGCAACATAGTGAAAGCCACGCCGCTTCGCAGCACTGCCTGCACTAAAACAAAGCTGAAAATAATAAAACAACATAGAACACATTCCAACTACAACACTGGTTTGATCTAGCTTGATCTTTCTTGATGTAGCCCCCTTGCGAATGGTTGAGAGCACAGGACTTTGGAAGTATAAGAGCGGCATGAAACTGGGCCGAACTGAATTTGCAAATGTGAACTCAGCTGAAATCGACTGAGAACCATCCATACAAGACTGCGCTTGGGCCGCAGCCTGGCAGAATCACATAATCTTGTAATACCTTGCCTCTGCAGATGTCTTTGGCGGAGTGTAAAGCCCATTCCAAGGACCCCTGTCATAAAAGAAGTGGTCAGGGGGGTCAGTGGAGATAAGGCGCAAGGCACTGGCAAGTCAAGTCCTCTTTTAAGCCCCACGCAAACGTACAATGGTACACAACTCTAGGATTCATTGCCGACCAGTATCTTGTGTTGCGTGGACCCACTGCGAAAAGTGGATTTTGAATTGGGAGCTGTGTAGTCTGTGTAGTGTAGGGGTTCGCTGAAATACTAAGCAACACATGGCAACACCCCATGCTGCATCCCAATATATCCCAATGCCACCTCGTCTGCTCGGACTCTGACTCTCCGTCACTCGCCTTGCAAGAAAAAAACGAGATACTGTGAAAATATGACTATCGTCTGCAAGTTTTGATATGTTCACACACTTGAAGACAAGGCACTGGTACTCACAAGTCAGGCACTCATAGGCACCGAACTTAGGATTGACCCTACCTCCTTAAGTAGATTTAAATAGTATCATCTTCTATCATCCTGTATCATCTATCAACGTTCCTAGTCTAGGAGCTTGGCACTATACTGTCACTATACTGTGTTTCCGCCTGCTTTGGCATTGCCGGAGTGGTTTGATCCGCTCTGCCAACGTATACCACCTGCAACTTGGCTTGATGGCGAGATGTGTGGAATGTTTCCGAATTCGGCAAGGTGCTGGTCTTACATGGTCTTACTAAATGCAATGACAAATGCTTTTTATATATCCTTTTATGTTAATGCCCTATCATTGCCTATCATGCCCTATCTGCCTATCTAATTATGTGCCGATTTGCAACGGCGCTCTTGTATCGGACTGCCCTGCCTGCGGCTCTTTCTGTGCCCGGAAGGCTTTGACAAACTGGGCGGAGGCAAGCAAACACAAAAAAATACTAAAACACAGACAGGACTCAACGGGGGATATCGATGGATGTCCGATACCATGGTATGCTGTATGCTGCCACTCTTTAAGCCACAGTGAAACAACGTTGCATAGTTTGACTAGATCTGCGGCATTGTACCAGCGTCTTCTCGTATGCATCAGTCACCGGAACACCAACAGCGCCAATTCCATGCATACAAATGAAGACAGTATTTGCAAGCTCCCCCCCCCGGAAGCAAAATGTAAAAGTACACCACCGTAGACCCCAAACAGTGGGTGGATTCAAGAAGTGTTTTGAGGAACAAGCTCAAGCACATGAGAAAGCATTAAGAACCCCTAACAGTACATTGTTTGGGAGTCAAGATGGGAGACAAGACCTCGGGAAGGCGGACACGCCATCCAACACCAACGCGGACCTTAAGAAAGCATTAAGAACCCCTCACAGTACACAGTTTGGGGAAAAAGAAAACTGAGACCACCCGCCACAAAGGGAAACAAGAAGAGAGACAAGCTGGGAGACAAGCTGGGAGACAAGGGAGACAAGGGAGACAAGACCTTGGGAAGGCGGGCACACCATCCAACACAGGCACACATGTGGGGGAGACAATCAGAGACAATGGGAGACAAAGGGAGACAATGGGACATGGGGAGACAATGGGAGAGAAGGCAGACACACCATCCAAGCCGGAGATACCATCCAACACAGGCACGCATGTGGGGAGACAATCGGAGACAATGAGAGATAAGACCTCGGGAAGGAGGACACATCATCCAACACAGGCACACATGTGGGGAGACGATGGGAAACAATGGGAGACAATGGGAGACAATGCGAAACAATGGGAGACAATGGAAGACAAGGGGAGACTGTGACTAGGTGTGAGACAAAAAGGAGACAAGGGGAGACAAGACCTCGGGAAGGCGGACACACCATCCAACAAAAGGAAACAAGAAGGGAGACAAGGGGAGACAAGACTTCAGGAAGGCGGACGCCATGTAACAAAAGGAAACAAGAAGGGACACAATGGGAGACAAGGGGAGACAAGGGGAGACAAGACCTCGGGAAGGCGGACACACCATCCAACAAAAGGAAACAAGAAGGGAGACAAGGGGAGAGAAGACCTCGGGAAGGCAGAAGGCGGACACCTTAAGAAAGCATTAAGAACCCCTGTTTGGGGAAAAATGTTTGTCCGTACATAGCTCGTAGGGTGGAACTGCAAACTCGTCCCAAGCCCAGCAGCATCAATCGCCAGGGAGAAGTAGTTCATCCTGTCACCTGCAACACACCCCGAAGCACTTCATCGCGTGAAAATCTTTCAATAATGGGTGTTCAAAGTTTGCATGGCAATGCGTTTGTCAGACAGAATTTCATGGCTTGACACGGGAAGCTGCAGACACCCGGTTCTTTCGCCCTTACAGCCTGTAAGGGCGAAAGAACCGGGTGTCTGCAGCTTCCCGTGTCCCGTAAGAATGGCTGCCTTCGTATATCCGCTCCTCGCCATTTGTGCCTCGGTTGAGCTATGGCTAGGCATGGCTAGGTGAAAGAAGCGCAGAGCAGAAATCTTGGCCACTCTTTTCTCCCGGTGCAGAAATGACGCAAAAATGACACTAGACAGTTGTTTCGCTCAGCTGATTCTACGCTCAAATTGGATCCCTGCTTGATCCCTTCTGACCCCCAGGATGGCACAGAGCTAATGACTGGCTCTGCGCAGCCTTTCGGCCAAGACACGAAACACAACGCCCATCTGCACAACATCCTCTCTTCGAAGCTCTATCTCCTTGGGTTGCAGAAACTCAGGGGTCGAGAATCTTTCGCTTGTTAACGCCTTGGGTTCCCTACACCCGGTACAACATCATCAGGCAATGGCACCCCATCAGTCCGCACCTCAGCACAAAACGAGGACAGAAACGCTAATCAGTTTGTTCATGGGTTTTTCATCAGGCTATCTGGAGACATGAGACATGATAATACATCCGATTAATTAGTTACTTTGCCTGTGACGGCTTTATTGGCCATGATACATCCAACAGCTTGGCTCGATCACACCAGTCTTGGCTGTCGCACAGCTTTGAATGCATTGAAGGGCATGCGAACGTAGTTCCAAGTGGTTGCCTGCAACCAAACGGACTCAGTCTGAGACGAATGATTCTCAGTTGAACCTCTTGGGTCATCATGGGTCATCTCACTTTTGGGCAAGGGCGGCATGGTATGTGTCCGCCTATAAGGCTGGGAATAAGTCGAATAAATGGATGTGAGGGATATCTTCCAGCCGCTGAGATTCGAAGAGAAATGTGGCACACAGGTAACGACCATGGTAAAGTCATGTGGAGTGATGTAGTGCACGTAGTGATGTAAAGTGAACTCCGGTCTTCACATGCTGAATGGGAGAAGGCCGGCAAGGCACAAAGCAAGGCGCGTCAAGCGACTGAGCGCATTTGGGCAAAGGCTTAAAATTGGCAGATCAATGCAGGTCACCATCTTTTGAAGTTTTGGGGACCTAGTCTCAACGGCCCCATACTGCAGGTACTTCCAGAAGGAACATGGAAAAAAAGAACGTAAAATATCCGCGAATTGAAACCTCGCACAAGTTTTATTGGGCGCAGGGAACGAGAATCGCTACATCCCTTGCCTCACACTCAAACTCAAACTCGTACTGAACTCGAGTTCTTTCCTCATCTGGATAACACTGCAAAATCTGGTGCCAGGTGCACGCTTCTTGAGGTCAACATTGGTCAACATTCAAACTTCAGAATTCTGGGGCGATTTCCACCGTGGTCGAATGCCAAGGCACAAAATCTGACGTGCGCAGGAACCAAGAGAACCTGCAGTGCATTGCTGCATGCCAGAGTTTGAAAACGATGGGAGATAGGAATGGCTGCAAAGAACCGGTTGCTTACTGTATGTTTTTCTGTGTGATCTCTACCAGACTCTAGCACTGACCCAGTGTGAACTTCGCCGAGATGCTTGTTTTTGACTGCTGCATTGTAAACGCCGATTAGGATTCCTCCAAAGCGGGAGAAGTTCAGCTTGAGCTTGGGAGACCTCGCACAGCATGATCTCAATGATCTCAATGGCACCGTGCAAGCCACTAGTCACTCGCTGAAATTCTCGCAGGGCACAGGAATTTCATGGAATTTCATGGAATTTCAGTATACCAAGGTGAGCAAATCGCTTTGAAACATCACGAAGCTTTTCTGATCCCCAGCCTCAGGGTGCACTGGCCGTACGCCTCGAAGAATTGCCCCAAGAAAAGAGCGAGGCCTTTCCTGCACAGCGAGGAGTGTGAGAAGCGCTTTGCAAATCTTTGCCAGGCTGCCAGGCACACGGCAACTCAGAAAACACACAGTATCTTAAAAAATAGAGCAATTTCCAAACCACATTTTCGGGAAGGTCGGCATCTCAGCTGCAGACTCATTGCGGGTCCAACCTGCACATGCGCTGTGTGAATCAGGCACAGTGGAGATGCTCCCTTGACGAACATGTCTGCCATTGTCTGCAGTTGTCCACTATGCCTGCCCGCTGAACTCCATAGCACCTGATCTTCAAGGCTCTCAAATCCCAAAACGATATCATAGATTGAGAATGATTGATATAGATGGAGGTTGCTACATGCTTCGACATTTCGACACAAGTCAATCACAGCAAGTGCTTAGCCGAAGCCATGGCACATGTCCGAGGGATATTGACGCTCCAGGTCCCAGAGCTCAAAGTCCGTGGAACGCTTAAAGTTGAAGATCTGCACCTTCCAACCCGCTCGTTTTCAAACGCTCCCGAACAGGGAAGAATTTGAGAAAATGGGGGATGTATATATTATGTGAAATAAATATCCAAAATACAAAAAAATGAGTTATATTGAAGATTCTTGAAGAATGAGAGCGCAAGGTTTACGGAAGGCAGTCAGCAGCATAGCCCAGCCCAATCAATTGCAAGGCCAAGCAAAATCAAGTGAGATTGCAAGGAGCCTTGCCATTGAAAGCTCTCTGGTATTCAGCAAAATCCTGGACGCTTCAGAGTATCATTTTGCAGCTTCTTGTTGCATTTCAGCCTGTGGTTCACTAACTCGAGGAGGAACCCTTGTTTGACTCATGACTTGTGAAGCTTCAACTTCCACGCCAACACTCGCTGAGTAGAGGCCCGTGTCCTGCCGATAAAGCTGCCAAGCCCTCAGCACGTTGCCAACCACCTGGCCCAAGACTTGAGTGGTGGCAATGCGCAGCAGTGCGCAGCTGTGGAGCTCAAATTCCACCAGCTTTTCAAATGCACGTTTGACAAATTTGATCATTTTTGATATGTTTTTCATATTTTTCTACTGTACGGGAACCAGCCTCGCCCTGGTTCTCCTGAGGATCATCGCAGTCACAGATCACCAGCTTGTCGACACCAGAAACCTCAGCGACATGATGCCGCGACACATCAGTGGTGAGAGCAGGGAAAGATGTTTGATGGTAAACACATGTAAACACAGCAAATCTGTGACCAAGCAGCAGCATCATAAAGGCTGTCCGGCACACTAGCCAAGAACCGCTTCTGACCTCACCCAGTCGCATTGTTGTACTGACAGCTCACACCCTCATCAACGTGAAACAGGCCATTCTGGGACCGTGGTATCCCCACATGGTGGTTCCAAGATTCAATATACGAGGCATGAAACAGCCAGTCACTATCAACGAGGATATCCTTTCGCAAATACTTTTGGTGTTACATCCCCTCACCATTCTTTGGCTAGTTTGGGGGTCTCATCATGGCCTTGCATGACGTTGCCACGGGTGCCAGGGAAGTCAGTTGTCTGCGCAACAGCCTCAGGTACCAAGAAATACTGGAGAAGTGTCATAGTTTCAAAGTGTTCATGGTAATAGATTAATAGATTCTGTCCATTCATATGCCGTCCACGTCGCTGTGACAAAGGTAGCGCCTTCTTTCCCTTGCTTTCCTTAGAGAGTCCAGATCACCAGTTGCCAAGTTACATATTGACGTCAACCACAATCAGATCTATCTAAAGAACATTTCAGTGTGTGAAGGACTGTTAAGGTTGGTCATCCACGTTAAGCGAACCGAAAAATCGAATGCCTCAGAATTGTCAGAATTTGTGCCCCAGGCTCCCAAGTGTTCGTCTGCAGAGCCCGACTTCAGTTCTACGCAAGGATAGCCGCTGGTGATGAGCTTCCTAACGCAGAGCCGCGATCTCAAATGATTCAAATCGAATCATTCCGAATCGATCAACACGCAAGTTACTAAGTTTTATATAATATTATACAGTAAATATAATATAATATAAGATTATATAGTAAATATAGAACCATGTCTTGAAGGTGTCCGAGTTTTTGGAGCTTTTGGTGTGTCGATTTCAGCAACTATGGCATTGTTGGAGCGACTGTCGTGGTGAAACTCTGCCTGACCCGGAGCCCAGCCTGAGGACAACTTGGCCAGTCTCCGTCTCGGAGCCGACAACCAGCACCACCGGGGCCTCGTCAGGCTCCAAATCTGTCCACAATTTCCTCAGAGTGCAAAGCCAAGGGGTGCCCAGGGATGTTTACCGATGGTCCAAGCTCCAAAGATGTGCAACCAGCCATCAAACAACATGCGCAAAATGGATAGGACAATTTGAGAAAACGGCTGCTCAAACCCCTGTAGGCGTGCAGTCTCGTCTTCGATAGTCTCCTGTCATTCTGGGCCAGTCTCATTTGATCATGGCACGTGTGTAGCTGAAAGTCACAACTGGAAAGCGCCCCCTAAACCAAGCTACAAACGATTGCAAACGTCTCAGAGTTTCTGTCCTCTGGACGCCGTTGGAGCGCTCGCAGGGTCTGCACCAAACCCAACACATCCAAAACAATGCAAGTAATGTGTGCTGGTCTCTTCTGTTGTCGCTGAATAGCAAAGGCAGCTGCAAACGCACAACAACTCAACAACAGTGCAAAAATGCCAAAGAAACAAACAGAGCACCTGTTCCAGCTCCATTCGACGTTGCTGACCAGCCTGCAGAGGTGCTCGGAATCTCTTTGGTTTACGACACTATTGCCCTTTTCCAACTTCAGCTGTCGCTGAAAAATCACCCTAAAACTGTCATAGTAAAAAACATCGCGATCGTACTGCCGTCTACTCCTTGTCTCCACCATCAATGAACCCCGTGCCAGAGGTTCCACTTCACTTGTCGTCAGAAGATCAACAAGAGCAGCCGCATCGAGCAGAATCGACTACACTACAAGTCAGTACAAGTACTTCAGCTCAGGTATTTCAGCTCAGATTGCCAGGGGTCAGGTACGTTATATGCTTCCACATCTAGGGAGTCGTTCCCTCCCTTCAGAACGAATGATTAGATGTGTAATCACATCACACCCAGCAGACGTCATGCTCATGGGCTCATTTCCCGTGCCAGAGGTTGCACTTCACTTGTCGTCAGAAGATCAACAAGAGCAGCCACATCGAGCAGAATCGACTACACTACAAGTCAGTACAAGTACTTCAGCTCAGGTATTTCAGCTCAGATTGCCAGGGGTCAGGTACGTTATATGCTTCCACATCTAGGGAGTCGTTCGCTCCCTTCAGAACGAATGATTAGATGTGTAATCACATCACACCCAGCAGAAGTCATGCTCAGGGGCTCATTTCCCGTGCCAGAGGTTCCACTTCACTTGTCGTCAGAAGATCAAGAAGAGCAGCCGCATCGAGCAGAATCGACTACACTACAAGTCAGTACAAGTACTTCAGCTCAGGTATTTCAGCTCAGATTGCCAGGGGTCAGGTACGTTATATGCTTCCACATCTAGGGAGTCGTTCGCTCCCTTCAGAACGAATGATTAGATGTGTAATCACATCACACCCAGCAGAAGTCATGCTCATGGGCTCATTTCCCGTGCCAGAGGTTGCACTTCACTTGTCGTCAGAAGATCAACAAGAGCAGCCACATCGAGCAGAATCGAAATCACTACAAGTCAGTACAAGTACTTCAGCTCAGGCATTTCAGCTCAGATTGCCACGGGTCAGGTACGTTATATGAATATGCGTCCACATCTAGGGAGTCGTTCGCTCCCTTCAGAACGAATGATTAGATGTGTAATCACATCACACCCAGCAGAAGTCATGCTCAGGGGCTCATTTCCCGTGCCAGAGGTTCCACTTCACTTGTCGTCAGAAGATCAACAAGAGCAGCCGCATCGAGCAGAATCGACTACACTACAAGTCAGTACAAGTACTTCAGCTCAGGTATTTCAGCTCAGATTGCCAGGGGTCAGGTACGTTATATGCTTCCACATCTAGGGAGTCGTTCGCTCCCTTCAGAACGAATGATTAGATGTGTAATCACATCACACCCAGCAGAAGTCATGCTCAAGCTGTATGTCAGACACGCCCCTTCATGAAAAAGATGAAAAAGACTCAAGATTACAACTTTTCCTCTAGGACACATCAGAAGAACGAAAGTTATGCAAATCCTCAAGATCAATTCAGATCTCCAAGGTTTAAAAGTGTTCATCCTTGCCCCGTGTACCAGACCGCCAATTGTCATCAACCAATATCACATGGCAAGAACTGTGCTTCTAGGACACATCAGAAGAACGAAAGTTATGCAAATCCTCAAGATCAATTCAGATCTCCAAGGTTTAAAAGTGTTCATCCTTGCCCCGTGTACCAGACCGCCAATTGTCATCAACCAATATCACATGGCAAGAACTGTGCTTCTAGGACACATCAGAAGAACGAAAGTTATGCAAATCCTCAAGATCAATTCAGATCTCCAAGGTTTGAAAGTGCTTATCCTTGCCCCATGTACCAGACCGCCAATTGTCAACAACCAAGATCTCATGGCAAGAACTGTGCTTCTAGGACACATCAGAAGAACGAAAGTTATGCAAATCCTCAAGATCAATTCAGATCTCCAAGGTTTGAAAGTGCTCATCCTTGCCCCGTGTACCAGACCGCAAATTGTCAACAACCAAGATCTCATGGCAAGAGCTGTGCTTCTAGGACACATCAGAAGAACGAAAGTTATGCAAATCCTCAAGATCAATTCAGATCTCCAAGGTTTGAAAGTGTTCATCCTTGCCCCGTGTACCAGACCGCCAATTGTCATCAACCAAGATCACATGGCAAGAACTGTGCTTCTAGGACACATCAGAAGAACGAAAGTTATGCAAATCCTCAAGATCAATTCAGATCTCCAAGGTTTGAAAGTGTTCATCCTTGCCCCGTGTACCAGACCGCCAATTGTCAACAACCAAGATCACATGGCAAGAACTGTGCTTCTAGGACACATCAGAAGAACGAAAGTTATGCAAATCCTCAAGATCAATTCAGATCTCCAAGGTTTGAAAGAGTTCATCCTCACCCCGTGTACCAGACCGCCAATTGTCAACAACCAAGATCTCATGGCAAGAACTGTGCTTCTAGGACACATCAGAAGAACGAAAGTTATGCAAATCCTCAAGATCAATTCAGATCTCCAAGGTTTGAAAGAGTTCATCCTTACCCCGTGTACCAGACCGCCAATCGTCAACAACCAAGATCACATGGCAAGAACTGTGCTTCTAGGACACATCAGAAGAACGAAAGTTATGCAAATCCTCAAGATCAATTCAGATCTCCAAGGTTTGAAAGTGCTCATCCTTGCCCCGTGTACCAGACCGCCAATTGTCAACAACCAAGATCACATGGCAAGAACTGTGCTTCTAGGACACATCAGCAGAACGAAAGTTATGCAAATCCTCAAGATCAATTCAGATCTCCAAGGTTTGAAAGTGTTCATCCTTGCCCAGTGTACCGGACCGCCAATTGTCAACAACCAAGATCACATGGCAAGAACTGTGCTTCTAGGACACATCAGAAGAACGAAAGTTATGCAAATCCTCAAGATCAATTCAGATCTCCAAGGTTTGAAAGAGTTCATCCTCACCCCGTGTACCAGACCGCCAATTGTCAACAACCAAGATCTCATGGCAAGAACTGTGCTTCTAGGACACATCAGAAGAACGAAAGTTATGCAAATCCTCAAGATCAATTCAGATCTCCAAGGTTTGAAAGAGTTCATCCTTACCCCGTGTACCAGACCGCCAATCGTCAACAACCAAGATCACATGGCAAGAACTGTGCTTCTAGGACACATCAGAAGAACGAAAGTTATGCAAATCCTCAAGATCAATTCAGATCTCCAAGGTTTGAAAGTGCTCATCCTTGCCCCGTGTACCAGACCGCCAATTGTCAACAACCAAGATCACATGGCAAGAACTGTGCTTCTAGGACACATCAGAAGAACGAAAGTTATGCAAATCCTCAAGATCAATTCAGATCTCCAAGGTTTGAAAGTGTTCATCCTTGCCCCGTGTACCAGACCGCCAATTGTCAACAACCAAGATCACATGGCAAGAACTGTGCTTCTAGGACACATCAGAAGAACGAAAGTTATGCAAATCCTCGAGATCAATTCAGATCTCCAAGGTTTGAAAGTGTGCATTGTTGCCTCGTGTGCCAGAAAGAAAGCATAGTCTGCGATTGTATGCAACTGGATTACAGTACAGCACTCCGACATACTCCCACTTGAATCAAGAGCAATTCTTGATCCCCTGTATGCGTGCACTACCGCGGCATTGTTGGAGGACTCGCAAATTGCCAATGGGAACAAGGAAACCAAACAGAACTCCTTGTTGGCAGATTAGTCATGCATGGAAGGCAACAAAATATGAAATAATGCTGAATCATGCCGAATCATGATCACCATTCGCACTCAAACCTGATTGCCTTAACATGCCCCTCGCCTTGAAAATGAATGTCTTTGATGCCAGTCCCAGGATGAAGGCTGCTATGCCAGCCAAAGGCCCAAGACTCTGCAAGAAGGACGGCCTGTACTCCTGGGAGAGTCGGCGACACCAATAGCTCTAGGTTTTGACTAAAGGGAATGGAAAAAAATGTTAGAACAAGCTCTGTTGAATACGTTGTTCAGGTGCATTTTCAGTTGTATTATCTATCTCTCTATCTCTCTATCTCTCTATCTATCTATCTATCTATCTATCTCTATCTCTATCTCTGTCTTTATCTCTATCTCTATCTCTATCTATATCTATACGTATATTGTATTGCCTAGGATAGACCTAATTACCTAATAGGCTCGTGTTAGGCCGCCTAGGCCGCTCTCCTGCTCCACTTGCTCGGATGCTTTCGGAGTTGCTGCAGGGATTGCAGGTGCCTCGAGGAGGTCCACCTGAAGCTGGGATCATGGGGCACACTGAAGTTTTAGAAACCCACAACGAATTCTACATCTTAGTATATACATCTTACAGTTCTTACAATTCTTACAGCATTAGCACATCTTGCTGTACATCTTGCTGTACATCTTGCTGTACATCTTAGTACTTAGGCATTACTTCAGCGCGTGCCAATGTACTGAGTTACAATTACAGTGAATGTATTCCAATGTTTTGCCATGCGTTATAATGTGTTCCAGAAATATACCATTCCCGTATACTGCATGTGCAGCATGTATCCCCTCATTGCCGTCTCGTGGTCGTCCTGCCATCCCGGCATGCTTCATATTCATCTCCATAGTGAATAGTGAGTCGCCTTGTCCAACCATGCACCATGCCCTGACCCCTGACCCGGCACGAGGTTCCAGCACCTCGATGTAGACACGCTTTCCAAACTGAGGCAAGCGGTAGACTGCACCTGCAAGAGACCGGTGAAGTTTGGTGACTCCTCGATTCTCACCCTGGCATTTTTCTCACAATGCACACCAAGAGCTTCAGCAAGGGATACTGTGCAAGGCAACTATAATCATAATATAATTGATCTGAATTAATCTGAATTTAGAATCCATAACTACGTCCACTCCTCCATCCCTGCGCCAAATGTATACCACCGGCCTTTGCCCTTCATGTTTGGCCAGCTGTCACCCTTGAGCACAGTCATCCAGCCAGGTGGCACTTGCTTGAAGGCCTCATTGTGCAACTCAAGCTATCCGCAGCATATGCTCAAGGTATTCAAGGTGACTCGACAATGCTTGGAACTGTCAGGCCTCTGAGGCATTGGTGCCTTTCTTTGTCAGACTTCCAGCCCATGCCTGGTTTGATCAGCGTTTCGGAGTGCGACTTGCACAGCAGGAGTGCCATTCACTGCATGACCAACCAGCAAAATGCCCAAATATATCCTAATATGCCCAAACCTACCCAAATACGATTCTGACCCCAAGCAAGGCACTTCGGAGTCCATTCGGCGGATCTGCTCCGGGGAGAGCAGCTGCTCAGCAGAGAACTGCGCAGCTGACAGTGATTTGGGTGGTGCCAGAAGCATCTAGCATGTACCAAACTTCATTCGGGCTTGCTAGGAAATGCAATTTGGAGTTGAGGCTCTGAAAAGTTGACGACAAAGGATTATCTGCGCACAGTATCGTTGTATCGCTCACAAATGGGGCACCCAAGGTTCCACAACTTTGGTGATCAAGTCTAGAGGTTCCATATAGTTCCATACAATTTACGCCCTTGCTGTATCCACACCTGTCAGTGTTAGAAACCCTTCTTCTGGGCAGGGCTGAGAAGGTTCTTTGAGAGCAAAGGGGTAAGTGTAAGTGTATGCTGGCCTTGGCTCTGTCGACGAACTGCTTGGGAATGAATTCCAGAGGTTCCTTAGCCGCGGAGACGGACAAGAAATGTGTGGATGATGAAACTGCTCAAGTTCCTGTGCCCAAAGTGGAAATGATTCTACCATTTCTGACGCATTGTTGCCTGGTCCGCTGACAGCACTTTGCAGCAACGGCACTCCAGCAAGTAGGAAGATGGATCTCAGCGATGTCTCAGGTGAGGGTGCCTCCTGTTGGTCTGTGCACGCAAGACGCCACCTGGCCAGGCAGTGGCTGTGTTTCCTTACCTAGGGCCCTTGGGCACAATATGGCACAACACTCAAATGATGTGATGGAATGACTTGTTTCTTCACACCGTCAGTTGATCTTTATCGTTCTGTTGTTGACCGGTTTGACAGTGTGGTCACTCGCCTCAACTTTGTAGAGCCTGTGGAGGCATGCATCGACCACATGACCATCAGCACCTCGCCGTGCAGAACAAGCAACAGGATGGAACAGGATGCAACAGTGTGCAAAAGGTGTAAAGGGCTTACCTATGCTGATGCATGAACTGCTTAACCGGTCTCAGGAAAGTAGACTTCTACTCTTCTGAAGGCATATGGTACTTGGATTTACCTACGTGGCAACTTTGCTTCCTGGACAATGGTCCCAAAGGACTGAGGCAGATGCGTTTTAAAAGGCAAGACAACACAAGCCGTCCGGAGCCTCCACAACAGTCTTTCGTATCAGCTCACGGTACTCCTGGTCCGATCTGCATCGATCTGCCCGTTATTTTTGCAGTTATCAAACGGTCATTCATGTTCTTCTCTGTGTTTCCGTGCGAGAGTTTAGAAGTCTGTGCGCAGGAAAGCATGGTGCAATGCTGAGAGCTCCCAAGCGTGTCTTCTCAAAACAACTGTTTCGATAAATTTGACCATCTGAAACACTGATGCCACCTGAATCTGATTCAACTCACCCCATCTGCCGGACATTGCCGGACGCTCCTCGGTCAGTAAGCGTGGAGGCAGTTGCTGGGTCAACTCTTGGAGCACCTTGGCCTCACCAGCCTGGAGCTGGATCAAACGCTGTCAAAGGCTGTGGAACAGTGGGCCTCGGCCTCCGAAAAGCTAGTCGTTTTCTTAGGGATTTTTGTTATGGCCGACTGGCCGACTTTTTTTTTTGCCAACTCATTCTTAGATGAGACTATGAGACTCTCCTGACTGAATTACAACAAGGTCTGGCACTTTCACACGGCTTGCATGACTTGCTCTGAATGTAAGCCTGCACATTTGGCAAAATGGGACACCAAGCCGGTGGCAACCCCTCCAGAAACCTAACGAACTCTATCTACGGGTGCATAAACGGTATCTAGGATGAACTACGATTGCTCGCGCGGTGCACCAGGATGCAAGTTCCATTGAATTTCGTTGCTTCGCCAATACCTATAATATACATACACTATAACAATAAAATAATAACAATAACAATGACAAGAACAATGATGATGATGATGATGAAGAAAAATAACAATAATGTGTACTGTTGCTACTTGTGTATGATCATCGGTTGGTCTGTGTAGTCGCCTTTAACTATTGTGGTTTCTCCAGGCCCCACCTCCGAGATGGCGCGCTCCCGAATTTCTTCATCGCTGCGAAGGGAGCTGCTCCTTGGAGATCCGCAGTGGAAGTGGGAGCGGAACAAATGTCGGGATTCGCAGCGGCCAAGGATGATAAGAACATACCAAGAACACGGGGCATGATGGAGACACAGAGCAGGGGAACAGCATGATAACACAAAATATTTCGCGGAATGGAGTCGTTTTGATCATACGAGATCCATCAGTTTCTCTCTCCTCGGCAATTGTTTCAAACCATGGCTTCCAATGGAAAAGGGAACTTTGGCCACAGCACTTGGCTCGACCAAATGATACCAGTTCCTACCACATCCTTGACACTCAAAACTACAATAAGCTAATAAGCACTAGTATGAGCTAGTAGCCTCTCGAAATCTGTTGTTCCCTTGCCACCTTTGCATCCAGGTGCAAGCAATTGAGCTAGGCCACAGCATTTTGTCCATGACCTTCTTGTCTTCCATCTGATTCTGCAGCTCTTTGTGGCTCGGTAGCTGATCCAACGGGGTCTCCCAGTCCTGCATATGTATATATAATGTGTGTATATGTCCATCTGCAATGATCCTGTGAAGGTGCATGTCTGATATATCTGTGTGTTTTGTGGAATGACTCATATGTACACCGAGCGCGTTACAGTGGTACTTCAGCATCATGCCAATTATCATCAGGTGTGAATATTTCTGCCGAGACACAGGTTCCAAAGGGTCTATGTCCACGGGTGTCTCGACCACACCGCTGATGTCAAACAAAGGGAGCTCCTCCAAAACACAAACCAAGCCAAACAAGATCTGTTTTCCCGTCTCCGCTGTGGTCCCGCGTCCACAGATTACCGACGTGCTCCGCAACAGGTGTGCATTGCAACCAATGTTGCTACGAAAGACGCATTGGATTCTTGTTGGAAAGTTTATGCATGCTCTTACAGAATTTACTGTACATATCTCGTCATGGAGATTCATCTGTGACTGTTGGTGTATGGACTTGTTGGGCCTTTGTCCCAAGGCACTAACTCTCGAAGAATCGGCAGGTTTTTGTGCTTGTATTTGTGGTTGTATCATGTTGTATCAGTGTATCATCACACAGGACCCCGCGTTTCACCCACGTCTTGGTTTGGAAATGATCGGAATGATTCTTGATTGAGGCACGATTGAAACTTTGCTCACCAGGCTGTAGAGACAGAGACCCAGATTTGCCAAGAGTACTGAAATGTGCTCAACTACTAGGTATGCTGTGGCCAGTCCTCCAGCTTTTCTTGCCACCCCTCACACCACACGACGAAGTGTCAAAAAACTGAAGGTTACATGTCTACAACCCATGCCTCATGCCTGTTCCAAAAAACAACTTTCTTGATGGCCAAAGGAGCACTCTGAAGACACCCACACATCTTGTGCCTTGATCCGCTTGTCGGAGCGTTCTCTTCGGCTGACTATGCAAATGTTCACATCAGGATCTGCCACCACCGGTCCTGAGGATCACAACTTCACAACCGCACCCGGAGTTCTTTCCCTCGCTGAAGACCAACATAGGCAAACCATTGGCAAACAATGGTATTGCTTTTGCTGGCCTCTTTCCCAGCTCTCCCTATGAATCCATTCCTCTTGTCCAGAGCTCTTGTGTTGCAGCATGCAGAATTCAGCCAAAGTTACTCAGGGCACTGGAAAAGGGCACCGTCACAAAGCCTTGTGCTTTCCCCTTCTTCAGCCATCTCCTTACCCAATGCTTCAAGTGCTGCGTTCTTTTGATCAGTTTGAGGCTCTGAGTGAAAGAAGTGCACCATTCCATTGAACGCCAAGACTCCGCAGGACAAGGTGCCCTGGCGCCCATTCCTCGATTACTAGAAATGGCATCAGGACTCCTCGTCACTCTTTTGACATCTTTTGACCTTGTGGGATCCTTTTCAATGTAATCAGTCATGGCACCATTCCTTTTGTGTTTTGTGCTATCCACAAACCCAGCCTGCCGCATCAAGCGCTTGAAGGCATGAACTTGTCCATAGAGGGCCGGAGTGCTGACCTCTTCCTCCTCAGCAAGGTCTGCAATCTCTGATATCTCCACATGCCAGGACCCCTCTAAGGTTTGCCTTCATGGTGCCATGTTCATTCACGGGAAAGCACACTTCCCAAAAGGTTTGCATGGGAAAGAAAAGCATCAATGTGAATAAACATGGAAAGCCAAAGGCAAAGCAAACCAACAGACCTAAATATGATGTCAGATATGCAGCCCCTTGAGTATCTTTATTCCCCGAAATCCTGCTCAGCCAACACTTCTTGCATGATGCGCTCTTTCTTCTCTGCTTCCTCCTCGGGACAAGGACCGAGAAAACCTCTGACAATGCTGACCGTCAGATTCAATATTTTTGGAGGGAAGCAACCACATACCCCCTCATCCCCCTCATTTAAATGTATAACTGTATAATTCTCTTTGCCACAAGACTAGGTGACACTCTGTATGAAATACACTCCGTCTTCATTAAGAGAAGGAGGCAGAATCCAGCTCCAGTGCCCTACCCAGTGGACACAGGTACGAGGTAGCCATCGAATAGGAACTGATATGGAACTGATAAACTACTTAAAACTAACCATACCGTCTTGTACCTATTGTGCATGTGCGTTTGTTTTCGTGTCTGTCTGTCTGTCTGTCTGCCTGTCTGCCTGTCGGCCTGTCTGCCTGTCTGCCTCTCTGCCTCTCTGCCTGTCTGCCTGTCTGCCTGTCTGCCTGTCTGCCTGTCAGCCTGTCTGCCTGTCTGCCTGTCTGCCTGTCTGCCTGTCTGCCTGTCTGCCTGTCTGCCTGTCTGCCTGTCTGCCTGCCTGCCTGCCTGCCTCCCTCCCTCCCTCTCTCCCGCCTGCCTGCCTGCCTCCCTCCCTCCCTGCCTGCCTGCCTGCCTGTCTGTCTGTCTGTCTGCGATTCAGCCGTGTATGCGTGAGTGATGTCTGCAGGTTCAAAACGAAAGACTGCCTGCACATACCGGGCATGCCAGGACATATACAAAGTATGGAACACCAATCCATACACATCGAGTAGCACCATGCTGGATGCAAGCCTCAGCATCCACAGTCACAAATGGCTTCCCTGCAGAAGCTTGGCAAAACCATCAGTCGCTTCCCCAGAAATATCGCGTAATAGATAGATAGATAGATAGATAGGATAGGATAGGATAGGATAGGATAGGATAGGATAGGATAGATAGGATAGATTAGATTAGATTAGATTAGATAAGATAGATAGATAGATAGATAGATTAGATAGATAGTATAGATTAGATAGATAGGATAGATTAGATAGATAGGATAGATTAGATAGATTAGATAGATTAGATAGATAGGATAGATTAGATAGATAGGATAGATTAGATAGATAGGATAGATTAGATAGATTAGATAGATAGTATAGATTAGATAGATAGTATAGATTAGATAGATAGGATAGATTAGATAGATAGGATAGATTAGATAGATAGGATAGATTAGATAGATAGGATAGATTAGATAGATTAGATAGATTAGATAGATTAGATAGATTAGATATATTAGATAGATTAGATAGATTAGATAGATTAGATAGATAGGATAGATAGGATAGATAGGATAGATAGGATAGATAGGATAGATAGGATAGATAGGATAGATAGGGTAGAGAGGATAGACAGGATAGACAGGATAGACAGGATAGACAGGATAGACAGGATAGACAGGATCGACAGGATGGATAGGATGGATAGGATGGATAGGATGGATAGGATGGATAGGATGGATAGGGTGGATAGGGTGGATAGGGTGGATAGGATAGATAGGATAGATAGGATAGATAGGATAGGATAGAATAGAATAGAATAGAATAGAAAGATAGATAGATAGATGGATGGATGGATAGATAGATAGATGATAGATAGATAGATAGATAGATGGATGTAGATAGATAGATGTAGATAGATAGATGTAGATAGATAGATGTAGATAGATAGATGTAGATAGATAGATGTAGAGGTAGAGGTAGAGGCAGATGTAGATGTAGATATAGATATCGATATACATATAGAAGAAGACTTGAGCAAGCGTCTCCATGTGCGGAAACAATCGGTACACAACAAGGATTCTCTGATTCCAGTTTTCGGACACTTTCCGGCAGGTTCAGCCCCCGCCGACGCTGTTGTTCCTGCTCCATCTGACGTCGTTCTTCTTCCTCCTCGAGCTCCTTCTGCTTCCGACTTCTGCGCTTGGGTGCAGCTAAGTCAGAGACCTGAAGCAATGGCAACAGCTACCAGCAGCTCCCACATTCCCCTGCAATACACCAGCCCTGCACAAACTGTTTAAATGTAGAGACCCAAGGTGGCCCAAGCAAATTATATAGTGTGCAGTGCCTTGGGCATTCAAAGCAATTCTGCAATCTCTGTTCAGTGGCTTGAGGTGTCCCAATGACTTTGAAGCTGTTTGGTATACTGCGTTGCACCCCTTCTGAGTCTCCAGACATCAAACTTCAGCCCGTGCATTGAGGTTTTGGGCAGCTCCCTCCCTTGTGCACATGGCCCGGTAAAGCATAGCGCCTAAGTGCATTGAGACTCTTTCAGCTCATTTATTCTGTCTATAGTCTTAGTTGGTAAACCAGAAACACTATCTCCCCGAATCTTTCCATGATAAACTGTTGAAGATCGATGGAAACACCATCAAACCTACCAGGCTATATTGGCTTCTCAGCACGTCATGACACGACTAGCGCCACCACCAACACCAACACCAACACCGCCACCGCAGTTTGATAAGAATTGCGGGCAAGCTGCAGCAGCAATCGCGGAGAGGCTCAGCACCACAAGGAGACCTGCCAACTGTCTCGCAGTCTCGCACTGGGCTACGAAAGAGATTGCAAATAAATATGGCTTACAAATACTGACAACGTTGCAAGATGTTGCAAGGATTGGCTTCGACGGGTTTTCGGGTCTGAGGCTCCCAGCCACGGCGAGCCTGCCAATTAGCATACTCCCGAAGAAAGTATCAAACTGTCATACATAGCTCTTGGGTGAGCAAGGAGACCATGGTGAGTCAGAAGTCAAGAGGCGGATTGCATCCACTCACCGTTAGATATGTTAGATTGACCGCGCAGTAAGGTGCTAGGCTAAGCGCAAACCACTTTTTGGTCAGTCCATGCGCTCTAAGAAGCTGTTTGCTTCAGCATTGGTCAGCTCCTCATCCTGTTGCGCACAAACATCCATTGCACACTTTTTGTGGAAGATAAGCAGGAGTTGAGTCAATATCGAGACATATCGAGTGAATCAAGTCGTAAGCTTTGGTGCTTAAAGGATGTCGGTCCTCCCAGCGTGGAGGAAAGGTCTCTCAGCTTCGCGCACCATCTCAGGTGCACGGCGCGGTCCAAAAGGACGACAAAGCTGCCTGTTGCGGCTGACAGTGTGCTAAACATAACTGAAAATATCTTCAAATTGGATCTCCCCACAACCTTGGAATGCCCCCATTCTGGTTGAAGTGACCGTTGTAGATTTCTGAAGATGACTTCAGCTTCAACAGATAGTTCAGCTCATTTTGCACAGTTGCAGAGGCTCAGTCAAAAATGTCAAATCAGGTTCAAATCTTCAATAATCCCGGAGTTCCCATTTCCAAGTCCAGACACCCAAAGGCTGAAAACACATGTGGGTTTGACAAGTCACACAAAATGGCCATGCGTCCAACATCAGGACATCGCTCCAACAGCTCCTGTCAAGCTGAGCTAAATTATGTGGCAAAAGGGCCGCACTCGCAGGCTGCAAGATGTTCAAAGCTACCGAAGAAGCCAACACAATCCCTTGGAACCCCCAAGCTCACACATTTGCGAGGTGGTCCTCATACATCCTTAGGTGCTGACACAGTAGGTTGTGTGGACTCGAAGGCTAAACTGTGCAAACTGCTGATGAACCCTCACTATACAATACTGTATGGCATCGCCTTGCGTTTTGCCAAGAATCCTCAGGGCACTTGCATGCTTTCCTGCCTTTGCAGCAGCATCAGCCAAATCCTGCCGGGTACCACGAGGGTCCAAGAGGGGCAGAAAAGGTTGCTGTGCAGATAATGAAGCTATTTAACTAAAGATGTTCAGTGATACAAAGCAAGAAACGGAATCAATGGTCTCTTTTCTGCCATGAAACGAAATGGGGTGCAAGTTGAAACAGTAGCTCAGCAGGAAGGCTGCAAAGGTTCTCTCCCCGGAGAAACGAGAACGGCTGGGTCTGGACAGTCTGCCCTCCTCAAATGCGTGTTGTTCATTCGGTGAGAGACGAAAAGATTTGATTAAAAGAGTGGAGAGAGGTTTGGCTGAGGGGTCTTGAGTCATGAAAATAGCCGGAGGACTGCCTTTCTCCTGTACTTCGCACTGCTCTGCGGGTGGTTGCGCTGCTCCAAGCTGGCAAAAGACACAGAATGGACGGTTCATGACGGTTGTTTCAGATGTAACACTTGAGGAACTTAGATTGCAGTATATTGCAATCGGCATGACACCCTACCAGTCATGAAAATTATGAGAATGTCTGAAACAAACCTCCAGAATCAATGCTGTCAGGCAAACTGAAGCTGCAGCAGTCTGACTTTCCAAGAAGAAACCAAATCGCCTGCGGCTCTGGTTGGCAACGGAGTGAGCTTTGCCGAGGGGGTCGCCAAGTGTTGAGAGTATGCCTGAAATGATTTGCAAGTGACTGCAATGAGCTCACAGTCTGATAGCCTCCGTAGTCTCTCTTGAGAAAACAGCTGCAAACACAGCCTAAAAAACATAGCTGCCAAATCTTGGACCAAAGTGCTTCCGGCTTGGCTCTGGTCTTTCCGGCTTCGCCATTGTGGGTGACACACCGCTGCCAGCAGTCTCAAATTTGGCCGCGTTTGAAGGCAATCGCGCAGCAACGGCTCGCGTAGCATCCAAAGATTCCGCAAGGGTCTGGCAGAAGCATTTGAGCTGCGATTGAACATTGGAAAACGTCAGCTATACCCTTCCTATACCCTTCCTATCCCTTCCTATCCCTTCCTGCATTTACATCATTCGTCCACACTCCTACGAAGTTCAGAAGCCGCCTGGAAATCTCCGCGTCCAAAGCCTCTTTGCAGCGCTCAGCATGGTGCAGGCCTTCTAAAGCATCCTTCCAGCCACACCCATGCGATCAAAAGAGCCAGGGCCACCGGGACAAAAATGCAAAAACATGCACAAATTGCGTCCGATGATATCTTAGATATGATAGCCATATATAGCCATGATAGCGATGCCTCTGACATCGCCTTCCCAGTCAACTCCATGCCTGAGAGCATTGGCTTGAGCTGTTCAGTGTTTCCAGGTGGCAGGCTTTTCATGAAACTTCATTTTCCATTGCCAGCATACAGACCCGCCGAGACCATGCAAGGCTTCCTTGACATGCAGACATGTACTTCGTGTAGCTTCCGTTCCTCCATTGCTGGGTCCCCTGCATTCCTTTGTTGCTTGGAATTGCCGGTAGAGCAACTCCCGATGCTCTGACTTTCGGGGGCACTCCTCACAGCAAAGCATGGCTTAGACAATGCAGGCAATCTGAACCCTAAAACAACCAACTTTGATAGATTTCAAGCCCGGTGTGAGCATTGTACCATCCAAAAAAAAATGCTGAAGCGTACAATCGCAAAAAAAAAGGAATCAAAGAGTGCGAAGACGTCACACTCCATTTGTGACCCATTTGAATCCTTGGAGTCGCTTTCAGAGTCGCTCATCTTGAGAGTACAGGATTGAAAAAATGGGGTTTCTGCTGTTCGTTGAGCTCAAGAACAACATCTATAGTCTATAGCCTACAGATGGCTATAGTATATATTTCTTGCATCTGATCAAAGACTTACTGCTGCCACTCTGCATGTCTCCTATGCTTTAGGACACTGCCAGCACTTTGGCCGACTGTATTGAGCAAAATGGCGATTGAATTCCTAGTTGCAAGAGTTGTACATTTACCCGCCACTACCAAGTCAGTAAGAATAGAAAGCATAGGACCAAATGTTGCTTGGTGCTTTGCACGCTGGAGAGTCTGTGTTGGCTCCTGGAATCTGATTCTGTGGTGATTCCAAGTTCCCTTGTGAGCCGTTCTTGTCTTAAGTCATACAGGCCAAATAGATCCAAAGAGCATTTGATAAATTTTGATGAATGTTATTATATATACCAATGTTATATATATATATACCAATGTTATATATACGAGCATTGATATTTCAATGTTATTAGTTCATATACCAAATTTGCTCGGTGCTGCCTGCGGCTCGGACCGCCATGGCGTGCGAGGCATGATGCGTTGAACGCGCTTCAGGGTCACCAAGAAATGTATCGATCAGGCGCATAGTCAGCTCTCATAAACGTTTCTGCTGTCAATCAAACTGTGGTATGTTGTTGGTTGGCTTCCTGGTCTGTGGATGGCTGTGGACCAAATTGTATTTTAGGAGGGAAATTCTGAAACATGTCGGCAATGGCTTTCCACTCAGAGCTTTTGCCTTGGAGCCTGCAGTTTGCCGAGTAATACTGAGTAAGCATGAACTACTTACATGGCTTAACACAGTGCGCTCAGAAAGCGTCCAATGGAATGAGTGTGCCAAGGACTGCTCGAAAGCACCATCTGACCAAAGTACACTAAAGTGGGATACATCTTCGACCCGTTCCAAACCATGTGATTACTGCTGGTACCCGTCAAACTCTCCACTGGGAAACGATACTGTCAACAAAGATCAAGGTCTTCCTTGCATTGACAAGCATGTTCGAGCATGTTACTCACCCATCTTTTCTACTCAGCCCCTCCCCTTTTGACACCCTCTGACCTGCCCTTCCCAGGCTTCCAGAACCCTTGAGACACGAGCTCTGTAAGCGTACACGTGGCGTTGAATTTGAAGCCGCCGGCTTTCCTCAGTGCCAGCTATTTCAGTGAAAGCTTCATGTGAACATAGTTGCAACTATCAACCTGCTAAAGTCTGAAGACAATTATTGGAAAAAGCCAGTGTCTGAAAGGACTTCAGCCTCAATACTGATTTCGACATAATCTTTTCCACTTTGCCCAGGTGCGTCTTTGTCACTGAGATTTTTGGCCGCTCTTTGTTCAGTCTGATTCCCACGTCGTTAAGCTCCTGGTGCAAAATGGTGCAAAAATTGATTCCATTTTGATCGGCGTCGAGTACCAAGGTGAAGCGACCCACATGTCCTTCGTGAGCATTTGCCTTTGAGCATCGTCCTTTGTAGCATCAAGGATCATTAGGATCCTTAGTCATCTGTCGTCCGAGCATCTGCCTAAACAAAAATAGAAGAGGCCACGATAGGCCAACACACAAAAGAAAAACAAAAAGAAACTCTTTCTCAAATTGGCCATGAAACATGTCTGCAGAGCGAGCTGTCGCAATCACCTGCCTTCCTCTGCCTTGCCAAGTGTGGCCAGGTGCAGCGGAGACAACCAACTCTCCAGACATGAAGAAACGAAAACGCCGGGACTCCTAGGACTCACTTTTGTGAGTCGAAGCTGCCAAGACTATCATTTCTGCGCATCAAAGTGACCTGCCGCAAGCCACGGAGCTTCTTTTGGCGCTTGCAAATGCAAGCCGTGTCCTCATGTGCCTTCAGCTCAGTTTTTGCTGCACGCACATTGAGCAACAGCTGCAGACGTCGATCTGCAGCAGAACTTCGATGAATTCTGAAGTGGAAAGGCAGTAGCTCATCTGCCTCCAAGGCTGCAAAAAAGAAACCGAAAGGATCCAAAAGGCAAGCTCATTCTGTCAAGGATGCAGGAAAACCAGAGGAACAAGAATCTTCCCGCACGCCTCAAACAAGAACTGGGCAGCTCCGAGGTCCCGAAACAACACCTACAATATAGCTCCTGTCGAATTTTGCATACTTTGCAACGCCAGCTAGACACCCATCTGAGCTATCAGCTACGGATCCCAGAAACCCAAGAATTTGCAAGGTTTATCTCAGAAGATTAAGCTGATTAAGCTGACCGCCAGGTCATGCTAGGTCATTTGCTCACTAAGTTTGGCACTGCGGAAGTTTGCTTAGAGCACTTGGGAAAAACTGAGCGGTCCGCTTAGAGCGGATGCCTTTGTTCGGTCCTGGCTGCTCCAGGTCCACTCAGCTGGCAGCTTTGGCCCAAGCCTAAGAGGTTGTCGGTTGGGCCAGTGTTAACCTGTGCAGCCCATCAAACCCCATCCCCCAACAACCCATCAACAAGACTCAAAAATAATCCAAACGGAGCTCAGAGTTATAATTAGCCCGCCACATGTCGCCCACTGAACAACTATGCTCCACGCAAGCTGCAAACATTCTCGAAACACACTCGCATGCAAAATGCAAAGCTTGGTGGCTGTGGAAAGCAAAGTGATCGCAACGCTCGCCAAATGACCTCACTGAATCAAGGGATTGCAATGCCATACAATTTAAGGCAATGATTAGAGTGCAAACGTTCCACACCCATCAATGGCAGCTCTTTGCAAACAGGTTTCTGGCAGCGCCTTTGACATTGCAACGAATCTGCCTGGTGCTCACGCCAAGCGGAAAGGGGGATCCAAATTTGATGCCGACCATTGCCGACCCAATCATAGGAGCTACATAGGAGCTACAGCTACACAGCAGCTATCATTGCCGGCCTGCCAGCTGGACTCCAAGACGTCTGCATAGCCAACTCCAGCCTCACAGACTGCGTCAATAATGGCGGTTAATGGCAGAGCTCGCAAGGGACATGCACCTCGAAGCATCCATTGTGCATATGTTGAATGATCGCCAAGGTGTCAGGGTGCTGCTTTACCTTCAGTTGACATCCGATGACATCACAATGAAAGAAATGCTGAACAGCAAGAGCTGGCAACTTAAAACCATTGTGCATTGCCTGCTGCTCAAGTTTGCTGAGGTGCATTGCCGCAGCTCGTGCTTCCACTGATAAAGCCCCAGCCAATGTGGCGCACTCCGACCTGCGCTGAGAGGCTCAGAGAATTACTAGTCCAAAAGCTCCAAAGTGCCAAAAGCGACACCTGCATAAACAAATGCTTTGTGCAAACAAAAGCAACTCTGTACAAGAATGCATCACACTTTCTACATGTGCCACTGGAAGATACTGGAATAGGGGGCAACAGACTTCCCGGCAACAGACCTCCCAACCGCCTCCACTGCTTCGCAATGGCAAGTTCGTGTTGGAGTGAAAAAGCTGTAGAAAGCCTCGGTTGGTGTCGGAAGTTCGGAAGGCCCGGGTCCATTTCTTCCAGGGCTATCCTTGTACCACAAATGTCGCTACCAGGCCAAGGCTCACTCCCAGCCTGCTGTGCGCACAGCAGCTGGCAGGCCATTGGATCTTCGGCTCCACGAGGAGCAAAGCCCGACATATCCAGGGGGAGATAGTATACACCGTGCTCCAAGCCTCATGGACGATGCTGAGAATCTTGGCTAATGTATATTTTGTGCAAGTGAGAAGGTCCGTATAAAATGTATTTTCGGAAAAAGCGATCAATTGAGGGAACCTCAATATAGCGGCACAAGATCAAATGCCAGAATCCTAAAAGTGCTGACTAGAGTTGGTTCGGCCAAGACATCGCACCAGTGCACCACCCTTCCGGAACAGCCTGTATGGCTACTGACTCTATTGGTGGTGTTGATTTCAGGCCTAGGCACACGCCTGCAGCGATTGCTTGCTCAGTGATGCTGATGCCGATGTGCTTTTCTTTGCAGGCATAGCTGGATGTTGTGCAACAGGGCGTCTCAAACCCTGCAGGCTTGTGCCATGTGGACCGGTTGCACTACAGTACTTATGAAGTTTAGCTCAATTAATGTCAATTATATAGCTATATTAGTTATATATCTACACACATGGTCCACTGATCTGCTGCTACAATTAGGCTGTGTTGCCACTTGGCTTGTTGCATGCTGGTCCCCCTAGTGTGCTGCTACTGTGACCAGCTACGTGCCGTCGCCGGCCGTCACCAAACACCAACTGAATATTTTCCCTGGCCTTGAGAAGCACAGGATCATCTGCCTGCAGAGCGAAACCATCAGCAAGGCATCTGAGGGGCATACACAAAAGAAAAACATGGCGAAGATGAGGAAGTTCATTCCTGTGTCGTCTTGGAGATTGAAACAAATCGAAGAAATACAGAAGCGTCCCGTCGCACTACATAGGTAGATGGATAGATGATAGGTAGGCAGGATGGTACGACAAGATAGATAGATTATATTGAATTAGATTATGTAGATTTGATCTGATTCAATTTATATAGTTTCGATTCCATGAGATTACAGTAGATTAGATAGAATTAGAAGAAATAGAGAGATCCAATGAATATTCTATCGTGTGTATTATCATTATTGTGATTATATATATGTGTGTGTGTTTGCACATATATATATACATATATATATATATATAACTTTATATAACTATAATCCATGCACAATATGCATGTAATTTAGGAGAGTTTGAGGTCCACCCATGGTCACAGGGCATTGATGTAATTCCAAAAGTCTGCTGGCTTTTGTGCATCTCCGGTAATCGCCAGAGCTCAAACAGGAGTGAAAAACAAAATAAAATGCACAGAGCTGCAAATTGCCACAACTACCCGTAACTACCCTCGTCATTGTCCATTAGCCATTTGCTGTTCTCTTCACGGTTCTGGCCAAAAAGGTAAGGCGTATCCAAAAGAAACCGCTCTTTGCCCGGAAACGACAGACTGGAGGCACGGCAAACCAAATTCCAATACACATGGCAATGTGCATCAAGCATTGCATGAGCACAACTTGGAGCATGCAAAAGCAGAAAAACTACGATGCAACATTCCAAACAAAGAGCAACTGTGCCCAGAAACGCGCACGCACACATACACATAGATACAGGGGCAGGTCGGTCATGTCAGAGCATCGGCGTGGCCTCATTTTCTCCGCAAGGACGTGAACAGGCTTTGTCCCCGCGTTGCCACAAGGCCATAGCCAGCGCCTCTGAGCTGCTGTCAGCCTCAAAAAGGATCTCTTGTCTGCTTTACTGCTCTGGAGTTGGATCACTAGGGTGACCTTGAAAAAAATGAAACCAACTGTTTGGAACTATGATCAGATTCAACATGACTTATCTGCGAGATAATAGGCGTTGCGAGAACTGCTGTCTCATCAAATTGTGGACTAGTAGACCACTGAGTCGCCTCTAGCACTGCGAATGTAGCAGGGTGGTTACGTAGAGCCTGAAAATCGAAGTTCCACAGTTGCATCGCCAAGACGCTGAGAGCTCGGGATACCAAACACTGTGCTGGATGAATTCCACCTGCGTCCGGCGAGGTGGAGACAGTCCGTACTTCGATTCACTTCTGAAGCAAGTCTGAGAGTCCAACTCCCTCTACCCTATTTGATGTACTACCCTGTAAAACACTCATATATGAACAGATATTTGCATATATTTATTTATTTAAAATCATTCATATATGTATATATATATATATGTAAGTATATATGTATCTTTTTGTGTGTGTGTGTGTTTGCGCAGTGGATTAAAATGGTGTATTATACAGACAGACAGACAGACAGACAGATAGATAGATAAATAGGTAGGTAGATAGATAGGTAGATAGATAGATAGGTAGATTGATAGATAGATAGAGATAGATAGGTAGATAGATAGGTAGATAGATAGATAGATAGAGATAGATAGAGAGAGATAGATAGATAGAGATAGATAGATAGATAGGTAGATAGGTAGATAGGTAGATAGGTAGATAGGTAGATAGATAGATAGGTAGATAGGTAGATAGATAGATAGAAAGATAGAAAGAAAGAGATAGGTATAGATATAGATATAGGTATAGATATAGGTATAGATATAGGTATAGATATATGATATACACATAGAGATATAGATATACACATAGAGATATAGATGTATACATGCGCACCTGTGTGTATGTGTGCATGTATGTACTGTATGTGTGTGGTCACCAAGCATCAACTTTACCATGTCTACCTATGTCTACCTTGAAAGCCGCTTGGTCTGCAATGAACAAGGCAATACTTGAACACCTGTGATTTGATTCACCAGCATTGCTGCCCACCTGCCGCAGCCACTCTACACGAAGCTGGCACGCAAATTGCACAGACAGTCGCAAGCATCCAGCCTCCTTGGAATCTGACACTTCGCTTCAACACCGATCAAAATCCATTCAGCAAAATGATCTTCATGAGTTGCAGTTTCACTTCATCACTTCATCATGAAAACAAGGTTGCATGCAAGAAGCCCTGCATGGTCTGGCACATTCATTGCTAGGAAGCAAGTGCAGAAGAGCCTGGAACAACTTGGTGGAATGGCGTGCGCAGTATCCACGCAATTGTGCAGCCATTGGCATATTTTCAGATTTTTTGGAATCTTGTTGTGCTGATTTCTGGATGCTCTTTCCGAAAGCTTCGCCACCCGGAAAAGGAACCTGAAAGTCCCCGAAGCTGGATTTGCTGGTCAAGCCAGGATACCTGGAACATCACCGCAAAATTTGTGGCCGACGACTTCAGCAGTGCTCCTAATATATCTTATCACACGAGTATTCACGCCGTATGAAGGTACTGAGTGACTGGACAAGATCAACTTGCATGGCCAAAGCGACCATATTCCTTCACAAGAATGCCCAAGAGAAAAGTCTTGAAAGCCCGGGTCAGATTGAGTAGTGGGACCGTGCACTCAGTGGAGATTCGCGACACAGACTTTGCATGAAGCACTTTCAAGAGCAAATGCCAATCGTCGCACCAATTGGGATGCTGGTAGATCCCATGGCTCATAGCATACAGCCTCAGCGGCAGCGGCAAGAAAAAAACATGGCTGATAGCTCATGCAACCTACGCAATATCAATACTGTGCGCATACGTCCATTGTATTACATTGTAGTACGTTACTTTGCGTTGCGTTGTGGTACAGTGCAGTGCAGTGCAATATAGTAAGTTACAACACAGCACAGGTCAGTTGCTGCGCATTGCAGAACACACATACTCATACGCATGTCCCGCATGCACATGACCCGAAAAACTGCAGTCTGAAGGACTTGTACTTCTCTAAAGTTTGAAGCGCTGTGATACCTCCAAAACAGAACAGAACAAATGTAGGTATAGATTAGATGTCAATGTAGTACTGTTGTGTCTGTATATATATGTACGTATGTATGTATGTATGTACGTAGGTATGTATGTATGCATGCATGCATGTATGTATGTATGTATGTATGTATATTTATATATATGTGTGTGTGTATGTGTATATGTATATGTATATATATATACATATATATGTGTGTATGTATGTGTAGCATACCTGGTATCATATGTAAGTAGGTCTGCGAGCAGCTTGCACAAGCTTTCATGCCAACGTCCAAGTAGCACATGGTTGAAACATTCTGTGCCTTGCTCCGCATTTCTACACTCTTTCCCGTCTCGCTCTGCTTTCTGCAAGGCTTTCCTTACAATCAGCGGAACTGTTTCAAACTGTTTCAAAATGCAAGTTTCCACCAATCTGTGCAGAACATTGCATAACCTTAATACATCCACGTTCAGACTTGAAATCAAGTACAGAAATGGTGGCTCCGAATGGGTTCACATTTGTCATTATATTTGCCAACTCGTCACCCTTCAATTGCTGCAACTATTTCTACGAAAGAGGGAACACCTGACTCACCTATCTTCGGACCCAGCTGCTCCGCTTCTCTTGCGAAGTGTTCTTCCAGGTTCTCAGACTTTTGAGTCTTCAGAACCTGGTTTCATTAAGAGTGCTGCAGTGATCTTCAGTGCTTTAGGTTTAAAGGAGATGGAGAGGAAAAAAAAACTACCTGGGCCTGACGCCTGATGTTTCTTTTGGCTTCCAGTCTTTGAGAATCTTTCAATTTCTATTTTGTTCTGCTTGGCTCCACCAAATTGAGAAACACTTTTCCGGCCACTGGGGTGCCTGGGAGTGGTTCATGACAGATGCGAGCTCTGCCTGAAGGCGAGGGTTTGAGGTGAATAGGATGAGCCGATATGTCGATAGGTCGACGGATAGCGGATAGCCATTGCGTGAATAATGTTCCCAGTCAGTCAGGAGAGATGTTGTCTCTTGTTGAGAGAATCTGGAAGCATCAGCATTTGGTGACAGAGCCTGCCTTCGATGCACTTTGCACTGTCTATTCTGTTTTGGGCCGTCTGATGGAACACTCAGATCGTACCCTCTCAGCTGGTAACCGTACGGAGTTCGAGACTACAAACCGTAAAATGGAGAGAGACCTGTATGCATAACAACACACTGCTGCAGCTGCAACCTCCCCCTTTTGATACAAGACGTTGAGTGGCAGAACACATTCTCTCCATGTTTGGTCAATTGGCCAATGCAAATCCTGCAATTACTGCGATTATCAATTCTTGCGTGGTTTCCGTCTGTTTACCGTCAGCTGCAAACTGTTTCAATATCTTCCAGTGTGTTGCTACCTCTCCCAACACCTCAGATTAGTCCTCCTTGGCTAAGTTCTCGAGGCCGTCGCAAGACGCAAAATGACTTCCCCATTTACACAGGCTGGCAGTTTTTGCACCTCCATGACTCTAAAGTTCTGATAGCAGCACTCTCACAACCTTTTGACTTACTTGAGCTGCTTGAGTTTTCAGCGACTGCAAGCGATCCGATCTCTCTGCCAATTTATAGTCGTTTCTTGTCCTATCTCTCAACCAAACCGCCACAGCCTTCAACCTGGACTTTCAAGCTACCGGCGCAGCCCCAGAGGAGGGCCTGCTCCATCTTGAAGATTGCCTGGTCGTCCAGTCCTCGAATTCGGACTTACAAGCGCTCGCATGGGTTCGAACGTTGCAAACAACTTGAAACATTGCGGTTTTGTGTCTTGGTGCAGCAGCAATGTGTTTTTTACTTCTCTGGCAACACATCAACTATTAGGTGTTGATCTGCAGTGTTGCTCTTCTTCTTGTCAAAGTATTGTTCCATTTACTGTACTCCTGTGACTTGACCATCTTGGGATTTGGCCATCTGCCTCTCCCTCCTCTCTTCTGACTCTCTTATGTAGTTGGAAACTTCCATATTTGGGAACGAAATGGTGGCAGCTGCCCGAGCAAACACAGCCTAGCAGCCTAGCATGACAAGGATCCAGGATAGCTTGTCTTGCCAGTCTTGACGGTCCTCCCTTTTCTCTTCCGGCAAAAGTCGTTTTTCTTCAAACATGCTGGTTCCGTTCCTGTTGCTGTCCTTGATAATACTAGAAGTGTGGATGCTAGCACAGCATAGTGCAAATTAACCGGAACACGCTCTCTGCAAATGTCACACTTCACTCACTTCACCAGCCTTCGAATTCTCGTAGCCGCCGCTGTGGGCATATCTCATCGGAGCCATCAGCACAATCAATGCGACCGTCACAGCGTTGAGCCGCAGCCACACAGCCACCGGAGGCCTGGATAAGACATGACACAAGCTGCACAAGCCCACCTGCGTACAACCCTGAACATCGCTGGACTCCACCAAGCATCACCAAGCCCCTCAGGTCGCTGCAAAACTTGAAACATCTGCAGCCCAGTGACACAGCGAAACTCAAGCTCTTCACTGGCCTGCCATGGAAAACACACCCGTACCCGCCCCCGGAACCTGGACATACCTGGATTGAACTTGATACCGATTGATACCAGAACCATTGCCACCCTCAGAGTGGAAAATCACTCAGTGGGGTGACAACGCACAATGTATGAGAAAAATGTAGAAAGCTGAACACACCCATCCCTTCCCACACTGGTGTGACAAAGCTCCTTGCAAGAAAGCCCGGAGGCGGCAATGATGCTTGCCACTCCTGCTAGCAGGCAGCACAGATTGCAGGCGTGCGTCATTGATTGATCGAAACACCCTTCATCCACGCCTGAAAAGAGGTGGGTATGCCATGGCATGGAGTGAAAGAGCAACGCCAAAAGTGTTGCTGAAGGATGGCAAAATTGAAATCTAAATGTGTTTCTCGTTGTCCCCACCCCGCGGAACCCACCCTGTTCGAATCATTTCACCATTTGCTAAGTGCCACTTCCATGCTGACTTCCAAGTTTGTTTTAAATCCGGGCGGAACAGCAGCCCCAAACTTGCAAATTAAAGCCCCAAAACCTTTCTTTCACCTTCACAGTGAAAGTCGGACAAATGTGATGCATCCCTGAAAATTATCACATTGTGCACGAACACGCTACCTTTGAAAAACAAATGCTGCAGCAGGTAGGAATCCAATAACAACATATCACAACAGTAACACCCGAAATATATTGCATCATGTCATGTTGCATCCCAAAAAGCCCAGCCTTTTCCTTGTGCAGCACCCGAAATAATTCCCGGCAAATCCAGGAGCTGTATCTTGCAATCATTGTAGTTGATCACACCTCTGCAAACATGGCGTTACTATTAAGAAAACTAATGCAAAGCTGGCAGAAGAAAAAGAAAACAATTCCACCTGACTCATTGAACGTCCCGTATTCCCAACCTGGGATGCATGTCAGGGTCGTGAACTCGTAGGCAGCTGCCTCCGACTGCACCCCAGTGAGGGCAGTCAGTAGTGACGATTTGCCGACCTCGAACATTTCGTCAGGTTTCAACAT